GTAACGTACGTGATAGAGTGACTCATCCACAAATATCTTTTTAATATTATCATCTTGATGAACGTAGAAAAAGATATGAGAAAAAAGAAAGAAAAGAAGATCAAGTATAGATACAATTGTTCCCTACGTGAGCATCAAAAGACAACAACAACACAATGGCCTTGGAATTATTGTTACGTTGACAGTCTCATATATATAAAAAGAAAGAATCGTACGTATAAAAAACAATAAACGGTGGTTCTCTTTGAATGACACTGACATCATAATCAAATTAATCAACAAATCGACATTTCGTAATGATAAAATCTGTTGATCTTTCAATCTCCTTTTCTAAGTTGCATATGTCATACTCTTTATACATTACTTTATTTGCCTATTGATTTCTCACTCTCTCCCGGATAAAGATGTATAACCATAAGGCCATCCACAGATTTAAAATCTAGTTTGTTCGGATAGATTATTTGTAATTTATCAAACTATATATCTGTCTTTTACAAATAGTATCAAAACTACAGTGCCTCACCGAATGTTAAAGAGTTGTTGGTAAGACAGAAAATGGTATGGGGGAAATAAAAATTTGTTGACAATAATAATGGAGTACGTACGTACATATCATCGAAAACATATATTTTCGCGTGGTTGAGAGAAGATAAGACAATGTATAGTGCGACTCTTTTAACACCTTCTACGAAGAAAAAGAAAAAAAGGAAAACGTCTGACTTACAGATAGAGACCCAACAACATCCAACTATGACATTGAACAAGTGCAATGTATGGTACTTGTATATATTTTTTTCTTTCTGTGTAGACAAATTATAGAATTTTACCGTTAAATGTTTGCAATAATGATAAAACTGTACTTGAGTACTACTACTGCGCCACTGACGTTAAAGATAAGGTTGTCTTGTCTCGTGTCACAACCCATTCTTGTGTGTGATTGATAATTCAGAAAAAAGAAACAACCATTGTTGGAGATTTAACCCTTTTGTATTTTGGTATATTTATAATTAGTCCGGTTAAGAGAACTCAAATTATATGAACTTTTTTGGTCTCGGCATCAGTATTTTACTTTTGGGCAGGGTAAAAAACAAAACAATGGTATGGGTCTCGAGGAAAATAAAACTGTAGTTTTCAGGCACGAGGCTGTAAACAAACACTAAGCAGAAGAAAGAGGAAACAGACAAAACAAAGAAACCCGCACAGAACCGACCGGTTCACTGCTACTGTCTGGTGGTGTGGCCGTGTGGGAGGACTCAAATACCCATTTATCTCCGTAACAACCCTCTGAGATGTCAACAAGTGTCTACAAAGCTTGCATTGACTTGGACCTACTACAGTTGATGAACAGTTTCAAAACATGGCCTTCACGTGACATTGTCTTAGATTACAATTTACACGGTTGCTCTTTATCGTTTTACCTAGATGAACATGTGTTTTTATAAAGAGGAACGATCGATATTTGTTTTTGCCTCTGAAAAACTTACAAGAGTTAATGGATTAGGTTATGTATATATATCTAGAGTGTCTCATATTCACAAATCACAAGAATCAAGAAAGGAACTCCACTTAACGTCATATCACGAAAATTTATTATCTTATATTTGTGCATACATAAGACATACCCGTGAGGTGGTGTCGGAGTATCGGTAACAATTAACTCATACAAACACACAATTACGTAACTAGAATAATCAAATTCATGCTTATATTTGTTAACTTATTAGCAATGACAACCCACGATGGTTTGAATATAAAGATACATATAAAATATGCATCGTCTGTTTTCATATAATTTTATGCTATTTGCGCATTTGGTCCTAGAAGTATACTACTACTATTGGGATAATATAGAATTTGAGGTGGCGCAGACACCAAGTCGGTGTAGTCGTGTGGGATAAGCTAAAAGTCAGTCTCACTTGCAACATATCCCGCTCAGAGACACGGACACGTGCGACCAAAAAGAGTTGACTTTTGACCGGGTCCCGCACGTGTGGTAGACATAGCTTCGGTCTTCCTTCGGGCTTACATAGTGGGCCGCCTTGACCAGAGCTCTTGGCCCATTTTACTGTTGAGGTAAAACGACAATGTCTGACGACTTCTGCTATCCTATTTCTTTCACCTTTTTCTTTTTTTTGGTTCTTTAAAACTTTGAATCACTCGAAGAAGACAGACACGGATTTAGACATCTTCTTACAAACGCTGTTCACAATAAATACAGATAATGTAGTGTAGTGTAGATATGTTCAGCCATATTTATCTACATACTAGTAATGTCTTTTACATTTTTATTTTTTCCCTTCAAAGGCCAAAGTCACATATACACTGCGTCTGCATATACTGCAATTTACCAAATAATCAGTCTTATATATCCCACTTACTGGAGCCGTGTTTGTGCCTCTTTGAGATAGCACTAAAATGAAAATAGTAGTATTGTATATTAAATAATGAAACAGTAAACATGCCCATGTTAATGATTTTTGTTGCTACATTGGGACAAATGATGATTATAATATATATTGCTGCTTAAAAACAAGTTCATCATGGATTGTTCTAAACTGGGGGATATTAAATTAAAATATACTAGCATATATAATGCGGTTGTAATGCAATGTTTTTATGTCTCAATGCCCATCGTTTTCCAGAACCATGCATCATCATATATCTTCTTTTCCTGTCCCAATATTTTTCGAACCAATTCGTTTAGTCGTTGACGACCAACCAACCAACATGAATTTTTGTATAATATGCCTAGTTACATGAACTAGTGATGATTAAAGAGGACAAAAACTTACGTTAACCAGTGGGGGATGGTGGTAATTACTATGGTTTTATCATAAGTATTGTCATCTAAACTAATCAAATTCTTTCTAAAATATGTATATATGACCCACAATGAGTTTTTTTTGTTGAATGAGTGAGAGTTCAAACAGCTTTAGAATACCATCATTTGGACTTTCCGATATGTCACAATATAAGGGAATAAATACTTATTTCCCGGGTCATGCACATGCAACTAACTTATACCCCAACATAGTGTTGTCACTCTTTCATACAACAATCGAATTATGATTTGAGAGTTTTATTATTATTCAATTCAGGGGGGGTGGGGATATAGTTTTATTTTATTATGGATTTTTATTAAATAACATGTTTGGTATTATATTATACTTTCCATTGATCTTTTGGATATGTTATAGTATTTTGGCCAAATTAAGTAACCCATCTTTAAGTTTCAATTATTTTGTCTTATATGTCGTGGATTTATTAGACCAAATTATATCATCTAAGTCGCACAAACTCAAATCGAATCAAACCAATTTGATCCCTGATCATGTTCGACTCGACTAGCTTGGTCCCCCTCCATTTCTAAACATATATGACCAATCCACAAATATCCAATTTGATCTTTTTTTATAGTCTAGTAATAATGCATGCAGTAGCTAGAGTTGTTTATATCAACAAATCCATTTATGCGTTTAACCTTTCCTACGTTTAAATGGTAACGTTTATTTACATAGTATATAATAATTATCATTACTTTGAATATATCGGTAGAATTATTATTTTTCTTTTGTGTGTTAACTATATGCAACATATGGGATTATGGGATTGCATTCGAGTGGTAAGTGGTAACACAACGACAACAACAATAAAAACCATTAGATAATATATATATATATATATATTATTTTTAATTTTTTTTTTAACACTACTAAATTTTATCTTCTGAATTTGATGTATAATTTATGTTGTGTAAATATGTTATCTTGTCTCTACGTACGGTCGAACCAATAACCTAAAGTGAAGCAACCAACGTATAAGCAAGCTAAGAATATGGATCAAACTCAGTGCCAACAACGCTTCCAGCTAATGCGAGATTAAGCATGACTTGCTTCACACAATATAGAATAATAGTCTGTTAGGGTAAGGGATTAATTAAACAAGAACATTGGATGCCTTCTTTATGACATTGCGATTTAGGTGAATGCATAAAACTAATAATACTTTAGTTTTCACTTCCTTAAATTACTTCAGTGAATCAGTGATCGATGACCAAATTATATATATATCATCTAGATAAGTCGCACTTCAAAACGAATAAACCAATTTGATCCCTCATGGTCGACTAGTTTAAGTTATAAAAACCATTTTTGGTCCCCTCCATTTCTCCTCATCATATTATATGTATGACCAATTAACCAACTGATCTTTTTGCCTAGTAAGAATGCAGTAACTAAAGGCATGATGTTTTATTAACTAAACAGCAACTGTTGTTTTATTGACAACTCAATATATGCGTTTAAGTGGTTTAGCTATCCTTCTGGGTAGATTAAAGGCATGATGTTTTAAACCGTACGTAACGATATACGTTTCTTCGAGTCATTTATTTGCTATTGCTCTATGTTGAATTCTCACACCGTATCTGAGGAGATGGAATCAAATTAAACTCCTTACTCCTTAGTGCCAAGGAGCTCTCGACTAAGGTAAGAAGACCATCCGACCAATTAATAAAGCTTCCGGCTAAATTTGAGATTAGTGACTTGCTTTACACAATCTAGAATATTATTCTTGGGTTACGGATTCACTAAACAAGAACATTGGATACCATCTTTATGACATTTCCCATTTAGGTGAATACAGAAAACAAATATTACTTTATTTTAACTTCTTAACTTCTTCGGTGAAAGATGATCATTGGTCTGGATTCAAAGATACTATATTAAAATTCACGATATTAAAAGCTTTAAACTAAATCATATAATTTAAAGATTCAAAACGTACATTGAATATTCTCATAAGAGTAAAACTTTGAAACAAATAGTATACGTATAGTAGTTAGTTTTGATAAGTACTTTCTTCAGGTGATATGAATATGAGTTGGATCTCTGATGTGAATTTTTATTGGACTGGTTTGAAGTGATGGGCCTTTAGTGGGCAACGATGTTTTCACTATACCATGTACCGAGTTTTGTTTGCTATCTGGTTCACGTGAGTTTCGCTTTTAAACAAGTCTTAACTCTTAAGTGGGACAAGTTACAAATAAAGGCAATGGTGTGTTATTGCTGTGAGCTAATTCCAAAACAATTTTTTTTTTTTTTTTGAAATGCCAAGTTATAGAAATTTACCAACAAAGAATCAAAGCATTATCTTTTTTGAGAGAGCTCTAAGCAGCAGCAGTTCCCTTGAGCTTCTTAGTTATGGATGCGATGTATTTCCCTTGATGAAATGCTTGCTCCAGCTCCAATTCCGTTGGCTGTCTCGACCCGTCTCCAGCGAATGTTCCTGCCCCGTATGGGCTCCCACCTTTAACGTTCTCCATCTCAAACATACCAGCACCAAATGTGTAGCCGATCGGGACAAATATCATTCCATGATGAACCAGCTGAGTAATAGCAGTTAATCTAACACAGAAACCAGTTCTATCAACAATATAGCAATTGGTCTCTTTGTTGAGGTGTTGTTTGGATTGCAAAAGGGAACTTACGCAGTGGTTTCTTGACCACCACCTTGGGATCCTGTGCTGTAGAAGATTCCGGCTGGCTTGCCGGCGAGCTGCTGAGTCCTCCAGAGGCCACCGGTTGCGTCCAAGAATGCCTTGAACTGAGCAGCCATCATACCAAACCTTGTTGGGAAGCCGAAGACAAATCCATAAGCCTCAGCAAGGTCGTTTGGGGTGATAATAGGAGCATCACTCTTTGGCGGTGCACTCATTTTAGATAGCACATCTTCTTGGAGCGTTTCAGGTACCTGTCAAGAACAAACGCTAGCTCAAATCTTCAGTGTACTTTTAAACATTTATATTCCAAAATAACTTATGACTAGCAACACTAAAGAGCAGATAATAGATGCAGAATCAAGGAACTTACTACTTCGGGTAAACCAACTAAGGGAAAGCACAATGTAGACATAAAAAGCAGAGCTTATGGTAAAACATGCGGCTGGGATGAAAACATAGCTTTGTTTTGGTTCTGATAGCTTAGGAAATAGCTAGTACTTACTAGTCAGAGATAAAGAAGCGTGATAAAGCAAACACTATCAAGAATGTTGGCAGCTACAAATGCATAAGGAAAACAAAATTTAGAGCATCTTCTTGTTTCTTTCAGAAAACTGAGAGTCAAGCATACTTTCGTCGTGGCAAACTGAAACTCAGTGAAGAGAGAACACACTAAGATATGCCAAATAGACAACAAAGCATGCCAAAACAAATGTAGCTCAATGATTCGGAAAACAGGAAGTAAGTGGTCATCATCCAGTCAATAGTGTTGATTCACTCAAATTAACAATTTCCGTAAACCAAAAAGTCCGAATTTGTATTTTCTCCTTTCTTTCTTTCAGATCCAATCTCTAATCTTTAACCTTTATTGTCACATTCTACAAGAGTTAGAGTCAGTTGTAAACCAAGAATCAGATGTGCTCATGAGATTGGCAATGAAGAGCCACAAAAGAAAAAAGCTACCGACCTGCCACAGTCTGGCGTCAACTCCATCAACAGAAGCAGCACCTTTCCTAATCTCCTGTGCTAACTTCTCTACATGGCCGTACATAGAGTAGTACCTGTTACACTCACCAAATTTTGAATTGTCACAACACACTGCATCTCCACATCAAATCCATCATTAAAAAATGTGAATTCCCTCTCTAATCATTCCCCAATACAAGAATCTCAAAACCCAAACCCAGCACAATATCAAATGCAAGCAACTTAGCATCACCTAATGAGAACAAATCTAGTTAAAACACATAGAATCTTCAATCGACTCTTCGACCGATCGATGATGATCGCGCATTTACACGCGTGTTCTAATACAAAACTAACACCAGGAAGAAGAAAAAAAGAATCTTAATAGAGAAATATCATTATTTGACATACACGATGTAAACTTTGGTCGCCGCCATTGAATGCTCTGCTCCTTCTTCTGAAAGCTTTTTCTAAATTTCCCAGAAATCTAGCTCAGTATTGTTTAGACTTTAGAGTCTATTTGGAGAGTTTTTTTAGTCAACGTCCCCGTAAACTGATCAAAATTACACTTCTACCCCGTAATTTTACATCTATTCACCAAAACCCAACTTAATTATGATATCTAGTATCTAGTCTGGATTCTATATACTGTGTATCCTTTTAGTCATGGAATGATTAAGCAAAGCATTAGAATCACGACATTGTTGACACCGATGATTGATTAATGAATAAAAGATGATGATAGTGTGATTTTGACATTGGTAAAATAAATTTTGATCAGTGTGCTTAATTCTTGACAAACGATGTTACGGAGAGTGTTCTATATTTTAGTTAGAGATAGGGATATGTTCAAACATGTGATCGATCAACATCGATGTTTTAATATATAAAGTAAAGTAAGCTGTAAGCCGTATAAAAGTAGTATCGTATGATTCGAAGAATTATGTAAATTGTAACAATTAATTGAAAAAAAGAGAAATAAGTAACAAATGAATCGAATTAAATCATCAGAGAGGGGGAAGATGATGATCCCAAATCAATCTCTCTCCGGTGTTCAATGCCGGCGGCGAGAGAAATCACCGAACTCCTCCTCAATCGCTTCCGTGACGAGACAGCGCGACGCCTCCATCAGATCAGGGCTGAGCCTAAACATCAAAACGCAAAACTCCATCTGATTCAACGCGCCGTCGCAGTCAAAGTCCCCTTCTTTAATCATACAGCTGACGTCATCGTCAGTCAAATCTCCGAGACCGAGAACCGCGGCGGCGTTGCGGCGGAGACTGTCGAAGGTGATGACACCTTTCTCCCTGTCCATCAGTAGCTCGAAACCGTTGCAGAGCTCTCCGATAAGACCTTCGCCGCCAAGGTTTCCGGCCATAGCGGGGAGGAAATCGTGGAAAGTGGGTTGTGGGTGTTGTTGGGTTGGTCGTGTAGGTGACTTTGGTGACGCCATTAGAGCTTGGATGATGATTCTAGTGTTTTTAAAAGTCTGAAATTTGAGCTTCTTTGTTGTTTATGTTGTTGTTGTTTGGTTTGAAGATGAGAATTGAGAATATATATAAATAGTTAGAAAGGAGGGAGAGAATGGGATTTCTGAGAAGGAACATCCATGGAAGCCAGCTAAGATATAATTAATTAAGGCAAGGAAGGAAAGGTCACCGTGTCTCGGATATTGCCAATTTTTGTGTTTGGAGTTTCTTCGAGGAAGCTCGCTTTAGGGGGTAATATCGTCAATTCGTTAATGTACATAGACAATTGCGTAGTGTGAAAGCGGCGAGAGTGGAGGGTAAAATCGTCAGATGATTTATTTAAAAGTAATGGAGTGGAGGAGTTGTTTGGTTGTTTATATTTGGTTTGTGGAAGTTTCCATCACTTTTTCCTCAGCCAAGTGACACAAATGTTGTTTTTTTTTTTTTTTCTTCCTTCCAGAAAATGAGGTCGGTTCGATATTATTTATTCACACATCATTGCTGTGAAATGAATTCAACTTTATTATTCTATCATGATGATACCATTCAATTGTTGTAGACTTTCGAGTTAAGTCTTTATATACATAAAGCGGCCTTACGAGTTTATTCGTTCGGATAGTCAAATTTCGTAATCGACTCGTGAATCTGATACTAGTTTGTTATGTCTATCTTTATGATGAATCTTGCAAGTTGCAACGCCAGAGTCCAAACATAAGAAAAATATATGTCTTGACTGTAACATTTATTGTCAAACTTTTTTACTTTCTTTTATGCGACGTTTCTTTCTATTCAATGCATGATATTTGATTATACGATTTTTTTTTTTTTTTTTTTTTGGTGTCCCTTAGTCATGGACAAACTAAACCGCAGCAGGGAAGAATATTCTGCTTGGTATGTCCCCGTTCTTTATATCTATTTTTAATCTTTACATAAATCCAACCAAATCTTGCTTAACGGATTACTACTAATTGTCATTATTAATTTCATAATTATACTAATCATAATTTTAACCGAAACCGAATGTGCAATAATGCTTTTCTACATTAAAATATGAGTCAAGTTTTAAAGAAGGAACATTGAATCCTGATTTGATGTCTCTGACTAATGATATATCTTAGATTCTTACTCTTGCCTGCCTTGGTTGGCTTTGTCTTCTTTAATGGTGTGACAAACCATTAATTATGCTCTTCTTAATCTCATATTTGAATTTTGCTGCCCTTCTCGATTTCTTCTTCTTAATCCATGCGGCTTGTTTATTATTTTCTTAGATTAAAATGAAGCTTCATTTTTTAGCACTTAATCACCACCAACACTGATCGTGGCGGGCTTTAACCGGGTCCGATCGAGAAAGCCCATCGCAATATCTTTGCTCCATATGTAATACTGTCAACTGTGAAGTTAAGCTCAGGATTTGTTTTGTTTGAGACTTTGAATATATATACAATGGTTTCTGAGCACCCCACTAGATTTTGTTTAATGTTTTATTTCTATCTTCCTTAAACTGCATTATTTAGTTCCAATTGTGAAGTAAATTTTGCATCTCCATTGAATAATTCCATCATTTGGTCGTATAAAATATATGGTTAAACTACAAATAATCTCTTAGGCACGTTGTGGTTGACATTAAGAGCAAATAATATCACGACGCAAAGAGATATGCACAGCTACTCATTGCAATTCTCTTCCATGTCTCTCTCATTAACAAATAATAAAACTATATACCAACGTAGTACCTTAACTCCCCAATTCCAATAACAACATATTATCATTATCGTTTCCATTCCAACTCTCTCTTTCTCAACCAGCTATGGGAGCCAGTAATGTGCTTCCTCCGCTCCTTATCTCTCTGTTTTTGACGTTTCTTGCCACACAAGGAACTGATATCATCACAGGAAACCAGACTCTAAAAGACGGAGACACCATTGTTTCAAAAGGTGGGAGCTTCGAGCTTGGTTTTTTCTCTCCGGGAGGGTCGAGAAACCGTTATCTCGGTATTTGGTACAAGCAGATCTCTCTCCAGACCGTTGTTTGGGTCGCAAACAGAGATTCTCCTCTCTACGATCTCTCAGGAACCTTAAAACTCTCTGGAAACGGGAGCTTATGTCTCTTCAATGGCAGAAACTACCTCCTCTGGTCATCATCATCATCGTCCCAGAAATTTAAAATAGAAAGCCCGATTGTTCAGATTCTTGATACAGGTAATTTAGTTGTAAGAAACTCAGGGGATGATCAAGATTACTTATGGCAGAGTTTAGATTACCCAGGAGATATGTTTCTTCCAGGAATGAAATATGGTATCAACTTTGTAACCGGTATAAACCGGTTCTTGACTTCTTGGAGATCTCCAGACGATCCATCCACTGGTAACTTCACGAATAAAATGGATCCAAACGGCGTCCCGCAGTTTTTCCTGAAGAAAAACTCGGTTGATATCTTCAGGGCTGGTCCATGGAACGGTCTAAGGTTCACAGGTATGCCTCACCTAAAACCTAACCCTATCTACCGGTACGAGTTCGTGTTCACGGAGGAAGAAGCTTACTATACTTACAAGCTTGAAAACCCATCGGTGATCACAAGAATGCAGCTAAATCCCAATGGAGCTTTGCAACGTTACACTTGGGTCGATAGCCTTCAGAGTTGGAACTTCTATTTATCGGCTATGATGGATAGTTGTGATCTCTACACGTTGTGTGGCTCTTACGGAAGCTGCAACATCAATGAATCTCCGGCTTGTAGGTGTTTGAAAGGGTTTGTTCCTAAATCTCCAGAGGCTTGGGTTGCAGGGGATTGGTCCCAAGGGTGTGTTAGGAGAGTGAAAATGAGCTGGGGTAAAGGAGAAGGAGACTTTCTAAAGATTTCAAAGTTGAAGTTACCAGATACAAGAACATCTTGGTATGATAAGAGCATGGATTTGAACGAATGCAAAAGGGTATGCTTGAGAAACTGTTCTTGCTCGGCTTATTCGCATTTTGATATTAGAGATGGAGGAAAAGGATGTATTCTCTGGTTCGGAGATTTGATTGATATAAGAGAGTATAATGAAAACGGACAAGATCTGTATGTGAGACTTGCTTCTTCTGAAATAGGTAATTAAGGTTAAGACTAGTGAAACAAAAAACATTCTTTTTACTAATAATGATTTAAATCTTGATAGTATTTTCTTGTTCTGTTCTGGTTCGATCACAGACAAGTATAATATCCATGACGTGAATGGGAAGTTAGGGATGATGCTCATCATATTATTATCGACAGCACTGTTTCTTTTTTGCATTTGCATTGGCTTGACTCTCTTCAACGTGAAGAATAAGAAACTTGCAACAAAAGGTAAATGATTGTAGTTTGTTAACACTCAGAACTTTTTAAAAAAAGTTTTTGTACGGTTATTAAACCCTTTGATTTATTCAGAAATGGTGCAACGCGAATCAGTCCGTGTTTCCAGCAGAAAACAAGAGGATGAAGATCTTGAATTGCCGTTTCTTGATCTTGATGCGATATCAGAAGCTACAGATAGATTCTCTGAAGGAAATAAACTTGGACAAGGTGGTTTTGGACCAGTCTATAAGGTAATTAACAAACCACAGTTTTCTTGTCTGATACTCAGATTATACGCAAAAAGAGTAACATGTTTTGATTTTTCTCACCAGGGAACATTGGCTTGTGGACAAGAAATAGCTGTAAAGAGGCTATCAAGAACGTCGAGACAAGGGAAAGAAGAATTCAAGAACGAGATCACATTGATTGCAAAGCTTCAACACAGAAATCTAGTAAAGATTCTCGGATATTGTGTGGAGGAGGATGAAAGAATGCTTATCTACGAGTATCAACCAAACAGAAGTGTGGACTCTTTCATTTTCGATAAAGAGCGTCGCAGAGAACTTGATTGGCCTAAACGGCTGGAAATAATCAAAGGGATTGCTCGGGGACTGATGTATCTCCATCAAGATTCAAGGCTTCGAATCATCCACCGTGATCTCAAAGCAAGCAATGTTTTGCTTGATTCTGATATGAACGCAAAAATCTCTGATTTTGGATTGGCTAGAACCTTGGGAGGAGATGAAACTGAAGCAAACACGACCAAAGTGGTTGGAACATAGTAAGATCACCTATCTTTCTTGATTTCAATGCAAAGCATTATAGCAAACAAAAAAAAAACAGAATTTTAAAGGATTTGTTTTCTATTGTTGTGCAGTGGATATATGTCTCCAGAATATCAAATCGACGGCTATTTCTCATTAAAATCCGATGTATTTAGCTTCGGGGTATTGGTATTAGAGATCGTATCAGGAAGAAGAAACCGCGGATTCTGTAATCAAGAAGACAAGCTTAACCTTATTGGACACGTAAGTACATTAGCAGCAAACAACGTAGATTAACTTATAAATTTTGTAAACTTAGGTTAATTACAAAATGCTAATTAATTCTTCAGGCTTGGAGGCAATACACAGAAGATAAAGCATGCGAACTAATCGATGAAGCTTTCAAAGAGTCATGTACCGATATATCTGAAGTTTTAAGAGTGATACACATTGGTCTGCTATGTGTACAACAAGATCCTAAAGATAGACCAAACATGTCAGTGGTGGTTCTGATGCTGAGCAGTGAAATGTTGCTTCTTGATCCGAAGCAGCCAGGGTTTTTTAATGAAAGAAATCTCTTGTTTTCGGACACTGTATCGATTAATCTCGAGATTCCTTCCAATAACTTACAAACCATGAGTGTAATAGAGCCTAGATAAACCTTGTCAACTGGTTTTTGTATATTCTAGAATCTGTAACCTTTTTACTTCTGTTTTCATCTTTATTTACAGTTATAATTACAAAAAAGGTTAAGCAAATGATCAATTAGTCATTATCTTCATTACCTCCTAAACTACCCCAAAATAATAAGATTTGAGTATATAAAGTAGATACTAAAGGTAAGGAAGTCTAAGCTTTTCTTAGGCATACATATATAGTTGAAGCCATGATCCAGAGTTTTCCAATATATTGAAACTTGGGACTAATTTTGGAGTGGACATGCTCATGGCAAGTAAGAAGTTTTTCTAATCTAATAATACGGACCATACATTTTAGGGTAGTGACCGGATGACCCAAACTGGTATGTACGATTTGAAAATGAAAGCCTAAAATTTGGCACATGAAAACGTATAAAGATAATAATAAGATCATGGGTGTCTCAAACTCTCAAGTGAGAGAACTCTCTCTTATGGTAACACTTGAACGTGGAGGAGACTGTAAGAGATACCAAAAAACGTGAAGGAGGCAAAGAAAGGAAAAGAAACGTGGACAAAAGGCGAGGCCCATGTTATGTTATATTCATCATCCCCCTATAAGGCCTTCTCAGCTTTCGGCAATCTCTGTCTCTTAGCTAATAGTTAGTCTTTTTCTCAACAGTCGTGTCATCTTAAAGGTTTGTAACGTACGGTGTTTCTTCTAATTGATTGAGAATACAAAGTATGTAGGAGGCATTTATTTTTATAATATTACTAACTGTGATATATATTTGTGGTCGTAACGTAAAGTAAATCTAATGAATGATAAACGAAAAAACAAATTTTTTTTTGTGGCGTTTGATTTCATCATTTCTGAATGGTTTGTAAAACATATATATATATATATATATATATATATTTATTAAGAAAACGATCTCTGCATATCCTCTAACCCTATACATACATACATACATACATGAGACACGGCACATAGCTTTTAGAAGATAAGGACTAGAAAGAAGGGATGTATTCAACCAGCTAATAGTATTGTGAATATGAACAATGAATATTGAACCTCTTTCTTGAAAGTTCTGACTTATTCCAAAATTCTTATCCACACAAAGTAAAAAGAAACACAAAATAAAAATGCTACAATAATGAATGAGAGCCATAACCACACCACACACCACTCGCCCACAACAACAACAAAAAAAAAAAAACATTGAGCGCGTTTGCGTGGCTCTCATGATGACATGTCATCTTCATATTGATTCTTTGAGATCACCGATGTTCGCCACGTAAGATTACCCCATATTGAAGCATGCCACATAAGCACAATCTTTTATGTGGTCATGATTTAATGGAGCATATGATTTTCCCTTCAATACAATATGGGTTCACTGAGAGCCACAAAAAATAATAATCAACCGTAGTACTAAACGATTGAATAGCCAATATATTATTTCAAAAAAAAAAAGACAATAAACAATTATGGTCCAAGTAAATAAAAAATAATAATACTCTTGCCTATGTATGTATGTAGTCCATATGTACTATATTAGAAAGTTTCTCTCCCATACGGCCATTCCAATGCATTATTTGTGTATTTAAAAAATCCAATTTTTTTTGTTTTATATTATATCTTATCCTGTCTACAAAAATTGTAGGGGTGAAAATTAAAAAAAGAAACAGATGACTTTGTGAAGAGAAGTAGAGAAGAAGAAGTATGGGAGAAGTAAGAAAACAAAAACCAAGTGGGTTTAGACAATTGAAGATACTAGGGTCTGGTGTGGTGTGGGAGAGAGGATTTAAAAAGACATTTTGTAATATGGTCCAGACAAATCCCAGGTGGGCTCACGTGGCTCAGACGCTCTTCCAGAACCTGATTCGTCCACGTAGGACGAACTAGAATCTCGCTCTCCTTCTTACCCGGCTGAGATCTCGCCACGTCATTGAGTGTTTTGTTGTTCAATCTCCTCATTAACCCCACAAAAATAATATCTTGAAACTCCAACCATGAGTTTGTCGCCACGTAAAAAAAACTGAGTTTTTGGACCATGCGCCTTAAAACTGGTTTAACAACAAAAATTAAAAATTTACCACCTCAAAATTGTCTAATACTAACCAAAATTCACCACTAACAATTTTGAAATGAACAAATTTTAAAACTAATAAAAGGTGGAACAAAACTAATATACAAACAAAAGAAAGGAAGCATAGGGACTGTAGATAGAACGCATAATAAATAAATAAAATAATAATAAAACAAGATTTGATCAATGAAATAAACAATTATATATATGTATATATATAACTGATAATTATCCAAACAAAGATAACTCGAATAAAGGGTTAAAGTGTAAAGTATTGCTACACCAATTTCTATTAGAGTAAAAATATTAAAAGGGGTTGAACAAATCTAACTAAATGATTCAATAATAATATCCCAAGTTTAGTAGTAAAGTAAAAATTGAAAGAGAAAATGAGATAGGATAGTAACCACAGAAAATAAAAAAGACTTGGGTGCTTGGCTATATATATAAAATAAGCCAATCGTGAAACCAAAGAAGAGATATAGATTTTTCTTCCTGCAGGACACACAAAAAGACGAAACTAACCTCCAAAGAATTGTTGAATCACAGAATTCTCGCCCCCGAACAAAATATCCCAATTCCTCCTCCTCTCTGCAACTTGCGCTTTCCTCTTCTTCTTCTTCTTCTTCTTCTTCTTCTTATTCCTTCAAGACACCAAAGCAAAGGATAGAGAACGAAGGAGCTTAACACGAAAGAATCTTGATAGAGAGTTTTGATATGGGGAAGAAGTGTGATTTATGTAGCGGTGTAGCAAGAATGTATTGCGAGTCAGATCAAGCTAGTCTATGCTGGGACTGCGACGGTAAAGTTCACGGCGCTAATTTCTTGGTTGCTAAGCACACTCGCTGTCTTCTCTGCAGCGCTTGCCAGTCTCTCACGCCCTGGAAAGCTACGGGCCTCCGTCTCGGTCCTACCTTCTCCGTCTGCGATTCCTGCGTCGCTCTCAAAAACGCACCCGGCGCTGGACGGAGCGTGATCTCGCCGGAGGAGGTTGATAGTTTCGATTCCCAAGAGGATCGGATTAGAGAAGATGGCGCTGAATCTTACGATGATGGTGAGGATGAGGAAGATGATGATGAAGAGTACAGTGATGATGATGAGGGTGACGTTGACGATGATGAGGAAGCTGAGAATCAAGTTGTCCCTTGGTCTGCTGCTGCGGCGGCGCAACCTCCTCCGGTCATGAGTTCGTCATCATCTTCTGACGGAGGTTTCGTGACGAAGAGGACGAGGACGATGGAGAATTCAGATCTTCTCTGCTCCGATGTACGGATCTAACTTTTTCTCATTCATCTTTTTTGTCAAACTCTAATTTGGATTTGTCTCCTCCGGTGGTTTTAATTTTGTATTTTCAATTATCAAATGCAGGATGAGATCGGAAGCAGTTCAGGACAAGAATCAATTTATTCACGGCCGTTGAAGCGATCGTCAAGGGATGAACCGGTGGTTAACTCGATCGTCAGATCATTGAAGAGCGCCGTTGATACATCTGCTTCATCGTCTTCTTCTTTCATCTTTGCCACCGGTAAAACCAGGAGAGATCTCAGCCGTTGATTCCCCTTCTTTTCCTCTTTTTAAGTAAATCATAACCGTTCATTTTCTGACAATACTTATGTTTCAGTGTTGAGGTAGTAGTTCTTTCTTTTGATCAGCTTATGTCGTACAAACTCAAATTTTTTTAAAACAACTTTTGTATCTGACCTCTCTATTATTATGTTGATTATTATTATTTTTTCTTTTAAGCTTTTAAGTAGATAATTTTGGATTCGTCATATATACCATAGTTTTGATTACATGTTTATTATTATGGCCCCTTTGTTATATAAGACGATGCTATGGATCAAATGAATTATGGGAGAGATTGGTGGCAGATGGGCACAATGATAGTATCGACCACTCGAAGAAAACTAAAAAATTTGTGGGGACTAGAGAGAAAATGGTATATATAAAAATAAAAAAAGGGGGTCCTGAAAGGTTCATTGATTAGCCAAGAACAATGAACCTGTCATATCCCTGCGAACTGTGTTTTTATTTGGTAGTAACCTTATCTCTCAGCATGTTCCTCTTCTCTTGGTTCACATGATATGATCCTCATCGATCATTCACATCTTTCGTATACCACCACCACCAATACCACTTTCTATTTTTTTTTTTCTTTTCATTTAATACTTTACTATTTTCCTATTTGTTTATTTTATTTGTGCTTTGTTTATATACTTTACATGAATATATATTCAGATTTTCTTTAAGAAAAACGTTTTTTACATTTTTATAAGCCATTTTTAAATTTCTATGGTTAATGAGAGAGTAGTGTGTGTACTGTGTCGTGTGGGGTTGGACCGTTTGATTTATTTATTTTATATGAAAGATGTATGGTGGTTCTCATTTCTCAATCTTTTCCTTCCGAAGAAATGCGACAATATGAGCCGGTAAAAAATCAATTGCGAACTAATACTGATATATTGTTTTAATGCAATTTTAATTAAATTTACCTTCGTCTATATTTGATTATTGTGTTTCAAATTTCTACAAATTCCAACCAAATAAAACAAAATCATTCGGTGGCTTTCACAATCAAAAGCATGACTACCGTCAAATTCACTCCAAACATCTAGTCCGTAGGTAGTTCTGAAAGTCAAAAACCAGAACCTAACGGATTCTATTATATTTTAAACTACACTATAATTAAGTAAAACCCAACATTTTCCTTCAACCGTATATAACAACGATAATTTACATCCACACGGCCATCCTAAATTCCAAATATAACTCAAAACTGAAACAAGTAGTTGCAAACTTTGTCAACAAAAAAAACCTTTGTCTTTTGAACCATTCATTAGAACTGTATCAAATGATTTTGAAAAGAAGTTAGATTTTGAAATAATATGTTTTATTATATATGGATTTTTCAATTTTTTTTCACTTTTTCAAATCCAAATCAATCTTAGAGAAAAAAAAAAACTCATGAAATCTGCATAAAACTAGAAAAGTGAAGTGAATCTGAATCTGCATACACAAACAAGAACAAGGTCAAACCTTGTGCATCTTTTTTTTTTTCAAGGAAGGCTTGTCATCGACAATATCCCCAATTTCTTGAAAATATCAGAGACAAAACCAAGTGTAAACTATTTAAAGAGACAGAGAATAACAAAATGTCTCAAAAAAACAAAGATAAAAAACACAAGAAAAATAATATTACAAATTTTGGACTTTTTCTCCATTTCTTCTCTATAGTAAGAGAGGGGGATAGAAAAGAAAAATATAAAGCGGACGGAACCCTAGATAATTTCCTCGTCATCTTCGTCATTTTCCTACAAAAAAAACAAAAAATTATGATAAAGCCAAATCAATCTTAGAGAAAACAAAAGCTCATGAGAACAAAACAAGCTACATAAAACTAGAAAAGTGAAGTGAATCTGGATCTACATATACAAACAAGAACAAGGTCAAACCTTGTGCATCTTCTTTTTTTTTTTCAAGGAAGGCTTGTCATCGACAATATCCCCAGTTTACTGAAAATATCCGAGACAAAGCCAAGTGTAAACCATTTAGAGCGAGAGAGGAACAAAATTTCTTAAGAACAACAAATATAAAAAAAACAAGAAAATAATATTACAAATTTTGGACTTTTTCTCCGTTTTTTCTCCACAGTAAGAGAGGGAGACAGAAATGAAGGATATAAAGAGAACGGAACCCTAGACAATTTCCTCGTCATCTTCGTCATTTTCCTACAAAATTATGATAAAGCCAAATCAATCTACAAATTTTGAAAAAAAAAAAAAATATTACAAATTTTGGACTTTTTCTCCTATTAGTCGGTCGGTTGTTCTTCCCCGTTGTAAGAGAGGGAGACAGAAAAGAAGGATATAAAGCGGAACCCTAGACCTTTTTTTTTTGTGAACGAGACCTTTCTTATATTCCTTTTAATATTTTATATTCTGGTTTCGGCTGCGTTTTTGTAAAGAGCAATGATTTTTTGTATTCTTATTATTTAATGAAGTGCTCTTGGTTGGAATATTTTTCTGGTCACAATGTTAAATTAGCAAATACGACTAGATGTTTTAGTAATCGGATATCAAATTAGACTGAAGATAATTAAAGATCATAATCACAAAAGAAAAATGTTTTTTTTTAGTGTTTGATTCAGACTCCTTCATTGTTTTAAATGTGAAAATCATACAAAGATCAATCTTATAAAAGACTAAGAGAATAAATAATCCGCAGAGGAGGGAGATTCCAGAGACTGCCAAAGATACTACAAACACACACAAACAGTCCTCTCCACAAATCCGCTATAACCACCCTTTGTTTCATCCATCGTCGTCGTACCTACGAATTCCTATCAATATGGTTAAATTTTTCCATGAGACAGATACACTTACACTTCCCAAGACCATTTCCTCGTCACCTTCGTCATTGTCCTACCAAAAAAATTATGATAAAGCCAAATCAATCTTAGAGAAAACAAAAGCTCATTAGAAAAAAAACAAGAAAAGGAATATTACAAATTTTGGACTTTTTCTCCTTATCTTCTCCATAGCGGCAGTGTTCTCCCCTGTTGTATGAGAGGGGGACAGAAAAAGAAGGATATATAGCGGAACCCTAGACTTTTTTTTTTTTTGTGAACAAAAACTTTCTTATATTCCTTTTAAGATTCTATATTCTTGTTTTGACTGCGTTTTTGTAAAGAGCAATGATTTTTTGTATTCTTATAATTTAATGAAGTGCTCTTGGTTGGAATATTTTTCTGGTCACAATGTTAAATTAGCGAATACGATTGGATGTTTTAGTAATCGGATATCAAATTAGACTGAAGATAATTAAAGATCATAATCACAAAAGAAAAATGTTTTTTACTTCTTCATTGTTTTAAATGTGAAAATCATACACGGATCAATCTTATAAAGGACTGAGAGAATAAATAATCCACAGAGGAGGGAGATTCCAGAAACTGCCAAAGATATCACAAACACACACAAACAGTCCTCTCCACAAATCCGCTTTAACCACCCTTTGTTTCATCCATCGTCGTCGTACCTACGAATTTCATAAGAATCAGATTCAACCCGAAAGAAGGATTGATAGAGACAACCACTCTTCAGAGCACAGTTGAAAAAGGTTGTTTATATTTTACCTGGCTGTGAAGATGGTGAATCCTATGAGATCCTAAAGCGTATTACTCATCTGTAAAAGGAAGAGCCTCAATTTTTGTTATTCTCTTTGGATAACCAAATCATGTCCAGAAAACTTGTAACTATTCAATTAGTTTAATTGGCTTCATGTCAATTTTTTCCTTCTAAGAGTTCAAACCAAATTCACAAGGGTACACAAGTGGAATCATTGAATCAATCAAGCAAAGACCAACTACATTTTCTTTTGCAAACCTAGGCTTCTAACAATCCCATAGCTATTTGTCTAAATGTGTATAAGCAGTGAAAAGACTGTCTTCCCAAAAGACTAACTAGATTGAGCAAAGAGAAGTGATTTTGATTTCTAATATCACTCTACTTTGTTTATTCCCTGGACAAGGTTTCATGACGTCTTTCATTTCAGCAATGAAAAGTAAGAAGATACTGATTCACACATTTCATATTACAGGTAACAGAGTTTACAACATTCCACCAACTGCATGGTTTTCACTAATTTACTGGAGTCAAACTGGTGATCTAAGGAGATTCATTTTTTTTCCCTTAAGTCAAGAATTGTAATACTTGGCTTACTATTACTCCAAACTAGGGAGCAGATAGAAAACAGTCAAAAAAACACCCAAACAAAGAAAAACTTTCTTGATGGGCCAAAAGCAATTATCTTCTTGGTATCAATAATTAATTAATCGAATTAAAGCAACCAGTGTTAGCAAAAAGGAGCAAAAGCAGTGTAGGAAAACCATGAATTGAAGATATATTGTAGAAGCTCATTTGCATCACTTGTAGTGGAAATCTCCCTAAATTTCTAGATAATAATCAAAAAGGCTACGAAAATAGCATACACTCAACAAAGCAACTGAGGAAAAATACCAGCAGGTGACGAGAAAATGGAATCTTGAGAAGAGAAACGAATCACAGAATAAAATATCATTGCTACTTTTCATTTACTAACGCAGAAAGTTAGGTAATGACAAGCTGAAACAGAGTAGAACATCCACAAGAGCAATCAATAGTAGAATCAAACATCACACTAGTCCTAATTTCTAAAAACGAAGCCATGGAAAAATCTAAGTTTTCAAGTTCCCACCTATGGATATATCTCTAAAACACTACGCTAACATATTCAGAACGATTCCGTAAACTATAACTAGACTTATGCAAGTCAACAATGTGAGAGAGAAAGAAAGGATTGATCCTGACCTTTGATGTGTTCAGGATGAGCAGAAACAGAAGCAGAAGCAGCAATCTTAGCCTCGTCATCTTCATCATCATCGTCATCATCCCTACGTGATTTAACAGTCACAATAGCTTCCCTGGTACCTCCAACATTCCCAGGAGGAGCAGGACCATCACGATCATCAGGGTATCTAACCACAACAACAGGACAAACACAATGGTGAACACAATAGTCACTAACGGAGCCAAGCTTGCCATCACTTCCCCTCTTCTCAGCACCAAAGCCTCTGCTTCCCATAATCACGGCGCTGAGGTTAAGCCGTTCAGTCTCTAAACAAAGCCTCTCCCTCATATCGTGGTCTTTCACTATATGGATCTTATGAGGGAACCCAGCTTCCTTCAATGGCTTCGCTAGATCCGCTACTTTGGAAGACGTGAAAGCGTCGAAATCTTCCTGACTAGGCTTCGGCTGAGCTGCGGGATCGACGGCGGCGGAAGGAGGAGGGGTTTGGACAGGGAGAGGACCCCAATCGGCGCCGAAGAGAACGGAGGTTGGAGAGACGTGGAGGATGACGACGGCGTCGCCGGGACGAATGTAATGGTCAACGGCCCAGCGAACAGCGAAGGCGCTTTCTTCAGAGAGGTCAACGGCGACTCCGATCTTACGGCGAGCACCGGCGGTTGGGGTAGGAGTAGCGGCGGAAGGAGTTGAGGAAGAGTGGTGGTGAGAGTGACGAGGAGATGAAGGATGGTGGATCTTGATATTAGGGAGATGAGGGTAATCGGAATCTGAATTCATGATCTCTTCTTCTTCTTCTTCTTCTTTGATTCAACAAATTATAGAAACTTTTATTAAAATGATGATGAGGAAGATGAAGAAGAGAGCCGTGTCTGTAGATTGTTTTTATAATCTAAATTAATTTTGTTAAATTAATGCTAATTGTATTGGATAATGGATGTTTTGTAGTATATTGAATAATTTTCAAGAGGTTGAGAACGTGCTAAGCACAGCTCCTCTCTCTCTCTCTCTACTCACAAGGAACCTGTTTTATCTTATCAGTTTTTTTTTTCCTAATGGGCTGTGTTTTTTGTATTATTGGCCCATTTGTCATATTTTTAGTTTTAAAATATAGCGTTTGCATTTGACAATATCAATTCAGTCCTAATGTCAAACATAAGATTGATTGCTGTTTGATGCTGATCATCAAGTTGTTTATCTATTGTGTGTGTTTTTTCTAAGGGACTATATATCAATATATGTCAACCAATTCTCACAGGAAGACACAGATTTGTAACGTATGGTTCATATTTAGCTGCATTATATATTTATGATCGACAGTTTTTATTTCTACATATGTATGAGACTGAGAGATCACTACTAACATGTTCACCGAAATAGCTGTTTTGAAGAGCAAAAGCAGTTTAACTACTAAGTACTTATACTCCAGTAAAACCGCTTATATAAAAGCTGATTAACTAAAAATTTGCACCTTAAGACATTTTTTTCTAAGTTAATACTGGGAGTGTGTATAACTGACTGCGTACATATAATTAGTATTAAATTTGAACCAAAACAAAACCTTTATTATATAATATCAAAACTAGTACACATATATACTTCATAAACCAAAACTTCAAGCTGTATATACCCACCCTGTATTTTATGCCATGTCGTTGGAAAAAAAATAGAATCAAAGAGCAATTTGATAAGTTTCTCTCACATCAAAAACTAAATGAGATGACACCGTCTCGTAAACCGAGGATTATATTAGGTGATAACATGAATCATGACAGGATCATTGCCTAACTAGATAGAAGAAACACATAATGGATACAATCCCCAAGATCTGACACAGCTTTAGAGAGATAGAGAGAGAGAAAAAGTTTCATGACACAATATGTTAAGGAAGAGAACAGAACATATGTCTGAGTGTTTAGGTTTAGAATCCCATAATAAACAACCAAAAGGGTAAAATCCAAAAGCTGAACCTTTCTTTCGACTCAGCTCTCAGATGCATACACCAAAAAAGGATCTCTTTTTTTTTTTCTTCTGTTTCGTACTTTTTTCTACTTAATATGTAAAACCAAAAAAACAAAAACGACGATTTGTTTAAATTAATATAGAAAGAGCTGAGAGAAGAGAGAGCTGAAAAATCTCTGAGACGATATGATGTTTCAAAATTTTCTTAAATCATTTAAAGCTTCAAAGACAAATCGATGGTGGATGATGACGATGATGTATTAGTACGACTGCAATCACCTACGACGACCGATGTAGCCTTTGATGAGACTGTTTTACCATATTTTCCTGGAAAATCATCGTATTTCCCCGGAAAGAACTCGTACTCCTTCACACCTCCTGATCCATTTCTAGGGTTTCCTTCCATGTAGCCACTCCCAAATTCCTCCATCGATACCTAAACCCACCATTAAATCAATACACACCAAACCAAAGTACGAATATCTATACTTATATGTGTATAAACTATACCGTATGATTTGTCGCCTCATTAAGATACGGATTAGAACTAGTAGCAGCAGCAGCAGAAGGTGGAGCTGATCTAGTCATTCTATGATGATCATAAATGAAACCTTGGCTGCTCCTCTGATAATCTTGTTGAAAAAGATGCTCGTAGCCGTTCATCGGAGGTTGAATCATTGTGTATTTCGAAAACCCACCACCGTTGGATCGAACTACATTGCTCTGATCTTCATCCAAACGTTTCTTCTGCGGTTTGCATAATAAAAATCAAAACTTTTTAATGAAATTGCCAAAAAATTATATTTAACATATTGGAAACACAGTTTGAGAGGAAAAAAAGAAAAATAAAAATCAAACCTTGAAGCAAGTGTCACAGCGAGTATTAGAGGAAGCGTTATACATTTGAGGATTTGGGATTGAAGAGAGCTCATGAGTAGAGGTCGTCTCAACAAAACCCCAAGGAGAGCAAACCGGGTCGATCATAATCTGACCCGACCCGACTCCACCGCAATAGATCCTGTTGCTTCTGCATCCTCCTCCGACTGAGCTTGGGAAGCCTTGCAGGACAAGAACCGGGTCCACGGGTACGGGTAACAAACGGGTAGCGCTGTTAGGGTTCGGCGGTGCTACTGACGTGTCTCCGAGTGTGGCGGCGATTTGTTTGTTCTCTGCTGCTTCGGTTTTGAGACGCTCCCGCTCGAGCTTTGCTACACCCATTCCTCTCAAGGTCGGTTTCTTCTGGTTTTGCTGACCTTTCTTTGATCCCGGTTTCCGACCACGGCTCTTCTGCGGCTCTGTCCGGATCTCGCCGGAGCTGTTGACACCAAGGTGGGTGTTCCTCAGAAGCTCGTTTGGGTTTCCGACGGAGTTTTGATCTGTTGGCATGAAAAAGAGAGAAGTCGCCATTGGTGATGATGATGATGATGATGATCACTGAGCTTCTTGTTCTCAGAACTCTTTTTTAAAGGAGAGAGAGAGGGATGAAGAGGTAAAGGAGAAAAGCTTTAAGTCTGTGTGTTTTGTTTCTGCGCTCTCTTTTTGTGTGTCTGTGTGTGTATCTCTTTATTGTTGATATATACTCAGGCAGGCAAAGTACTTACCTGTGTTTTTATTTTCTGTTATTTCCAGGTACTATATGAGGATAACGTATCCTTTTTTACTTTTCACTTTTTACCCCCCCCCCTATACTATACTAATTTTTTTTTTTTGTCTATACCAATCTAAAGCATGTTTTTATCAAAAAAAATATATATATATTCTTTATGTTCTCAGTCTTAATTGACCTGGTACAAGTATTCCATAGCCCTTATTGCAATGTATTTTTTTGTTATTAACTTCTGCATACAGTATATATATAGATGTTCAGTTTGTCAATATAGTGGGTCGTCTTATATATATGCAAGATCATTATCTTATGTTGTACTCGGGATTAAAGTCTAGAGACGTTAATTAAACTGCATGAGATATTAATATAATCATCAAAAGGAACAACTGAAATAAATAGAGGAGAGTTTTTGTAACTGAAAACTATATTATCGCATGATAGGGTACGTATGATGTTATCCATGCAGTGGATTTGTGGAATAAATTTAACGATATGATAATTAGTAATCTTGACTAACTGGTTACTTCCAAAGGTGCATCCCCTATCTATCTATATATATATATATATATAATCTTCACTTACTCCTTAATTAAGTAGCCTCATACTGTAACTCTTATATAAGAGAAGATCATTCGAGTAAATACAAATTCCACCACTTTGCAACAAATAAGATCGACAATTCGATATACGTTGGTTAAGAATTTAAAGGCCTAAAAACAAGAACAGATTTCAAAATCCGTAAGAATGCAAGATACAAAACTAAATAGCTTGATATAGCCTTTTTGTCAATTTTTTTTTTTTTTAATTGTTCGTAGGTGAAAAATGTTTGTAGATACATACTGTAATATTTACCGTGGAGACAGCAAAATCGGAGACTGTCGCTAGCTAGGCTCAGACGTCGTTACGTGCGAAGCACTCGCCAATAGGAACACCGCGTTCGTTACACGGAGAAAATATAGTACCCGCAGATCGAAAGCAGGTGTCGGGACATGAGACCATTCGCCGATTATAACGAGCAAGGTCTGAAACAACATGATTTTACTCAGCTCATATCAACTAAAATAAGCAAGTCCAGTTTCAGTCGCAGTTATATTTATTCTTTTTTTTTCTTTTTTCTTTCTTCTTCTTCCTCTTTTCAAAAACTTGTTCTTATTTCTTCTAACGAGTAAGCTTTACAAGTTTTAAAAAGTCACAAATCGGATAGGTTAAATTAGAAATACTCTGAAAATTTACAAAATAGAAAAAAGGGAAATTATACAATGAAATTTGTTTCTTGAAAGACACATATAGGTATTGCGAACAAATAAATTTGAGATAGTTATTGCTTTCATATAGTATATGAAGAGGGCTGAAAGCAAAAAGAATGGCATGAGACTAGACGTGAATTCCGAGAAGGGTGGGTTGAGCTACGGAGTAGAGTAGAAATGATGGCTGTATCATATAAGGAAACATTTTAAAGCTGCCTCCATGTTAATTTTTGCTTCAGCCCAACACCTACTAATAGAAATTATGTATTTTAATTGTATCTTGAACATTAGTTTTCTTTTTATATGAAATTTTTTCGATATACTAAATCGTAAGAGAAGTCCCTCTTGATCATTAAATATATTACAAATGTGTTGAGATTCGATAACCCCTTACTTTTTACTTAATTATGGCCACTATTAATCTTTATAGTTTTGTATTTTAGTCGAGGTAATTTTGCAGAGTACTACGTTTTCTGAATAAAATTAGCATGTATTTTTTTTTTGTCGTAAATTAGCATGTGTATAACATACGGTGAGAATGTATTTTCCAATATGTACGTACGGTGAGAATGTATTTTCCAATATTTGTTAAAGCAATCAAAAAAAATATAAAACAACTCCACTTCTTATATACAAAATATTCACGAGTGACATGCAAACACTCTGTGTGACTGTGTTTAGCGTGATTATGTAATTAAAATCGAAAAAAAAATCCGAATTATTATTATTATGAAAAGAAATCCAAACGGGATGCATGACCAACCCAACATACCTTAGTTATCTACATTAATTGTTGCTATAATAAGCTTAGAATGACACGCGATATACTTATCCAACTAGTTTACATAGACACACACACGAAAAAAAAAAAGAAATGTCGAATGATTCTAGAGATATAGATAAATTATTACTATATGTGATTAACTTAACCAACAAATGTGTTATATCCATAGACAGATCCATGAATTAGAATTCTTTTAGTGAGTAACTAATCTTATACTCAAAAGAGCATACTCCATATATATATATATATATCATGTTTGATTTCTTTTTAAAAAAATGAAACCTAAACTATAGTAGTATATATATATATATCATGTTTGATTTCTTTTAAAAAAAATGAAACCTAAACTATAGTAGTATATATGGTTTATAAATTTCTGAAAAAATGGATACATTTAATATGTAGGCAAAAAAAAAAAGAAGATAAAATTTAATATAAGATACCGCGTAGATTTGTGTATTTGTGTGTGTGTGGGCTATATAAGATATAGGGTAGGACAAAGGAACAGGTAGGGCAAAGGACGAAAGAGTGACCCCACATGTGCTTTCATGTTAAGTTTACGGAGTTTTGTTGTGTCTTTGTGTGCGTGGTCCTAACGCCACGTGTCATCACGGGGACCACTTTTAGAGGTTCATTGGGCGGCCGGCTACTTTACTTAGGGTTTTTTTTTGGGCACGTGCGAAGGATAGTGAGAGAGAAAGAGGCGAAGCGTGTGAAGGGGTTGATTTATATTGCTGGGTTTAGGCAGGCACAGAAAGATTCTTGGGATCCGTGAAGCATATTGTGTCCTTTCTAGAATGATTGGCCTTTGGCTTTGCCATCGGAGGATCCTCTTCTTCTTCTTCTTCTTCTTCTTTTGTTTTTTAATTTTATTTTTACTTCTCCTCCTATATATTTACATAGAAGAGCCAAATAAACTTATTTTAGAAAAGTTAAAAAGTTTTAATTTCATACAGTAGCTGTTGCTTCATATCAGAGGGGATTCTAATATACACCCTATCATTCCATTTTGTGGTTTTTCTCTTTGAGATCTCTAATATACAACTGTATAAAAATGGTAAATACATATGGACATTGTGGAGTAAATGTACACAAGAGACTAGACTATAGAGAGAAGACAAAAGGAGGCAGAGTAGGTGAATAAATGAGTAAGTTTTTTTTTTCTTTTTTCGTTTGGGGAAGTGTAAAGCAAGAAAAAGAAATTAATTAAAAAAATAAAAAAAAATAGACAAGAAGAAAAGAGAGTAACTGTTAGTTTTGGCTTTATACATCATCTTCCTTATCTATCTATTTTCATACAAACTTGCAAACCCTTCCTTAAACCTCCTTTTGGACCACCTCTCTCTCTCTCTTTCTTCTCTTCTACGAATTTAATATTTTCCAGATTTCTATTATCATTACTTTAGATCTCAATCTCCCCAACTGAGATTCTCCCTCTCACTCAGTACAGTTGTAGACCCTCCTATATTCAACTTAAACTACACCTTTGCCCTTGTCTCTAGATTCTTCAATCTCACCTAACCTCTATACAAGATCTCTATATGTGACAACAACTATGTCCTCTCTTTGTTTAGATTAGAGATGGAGAAAGGATGATGGGTTTTGTTGGTATAAGTACACAACAATAATTAACCTTCTTGATTAAACTTGGCAAGTACTAGCTAGTACTAGAAAGACTAGCTCAGACCAAGAGTACCCAGGGGTTAATATTACTATGTTGAATCTTTAAAGTAAACATTTGGAATGGAGGGACATGATCAGAAACAGTGTTGAAATCTGAACCGTCGAGTAGGCAGAGACAAATCTGAGCACCAGATATTCTGTGTCCAAGAGTAGAAAGCTTTTAAATATGGTTTGTGTGACTTGTGAGAAGTGTTTTTTTTTTTCTTCTTCTGAATATTATTAAACTTATGTAACAAAAGCTATTGTCACTTTCACTTGTTAGTTGTCTTGTTCTATAACAAAGACACTGCAAGTATTACTCTGGCTGCAGTACAATAACAAACAATATTTCGTATTTGCAGATTCTCCCCCCCACCCCCTCCTATTCTGCCATGTATTGCATTCTTTTAATCTACATGATCAATGTGTTTTTTCTTGAGAAGGCTACACTCTTGGGAAGTATGAAGGAAGCGCATAGCATCCATTTCCCAGGAGCCACTAGGCGTACCTTTCGCATCTTCACGTCCACAGCCACCTCAGATAGAGCAATCCGTATCCGCTGCAAGTAAAAAACCACATTGTGCGAATTAAACATTAACCAATCGTTAATTAGAAGTTGATCAAATTTTATTAGATGTGAGAGTTTGATGGGGCTTTTTCCCGTTGGTTTAGACCTCATGGAAGTCAAATTCTGGATCAGGAGCCTTGGAGAATCCATAAACATGGATGGTTGGGAATGATAAGCTTTCATCTCTCTGCCTATCGTTGTATACTCCGCGAAATGCATCTGTTTGAGTAAAGGATGCATGGCGGTTAAGAGGAAATTGTGAACCAGAAAAAAAAAAGGAAGCATTTTAATAAGAGTATGATGGAACCTAGAGACTCAGCGGCATCTTTCGGTAAATTCATGACTACTTGGGTGACTTTTTGACCCTTATCGCTTGAAAACATAGCCTTTATGAATCTTCTTCCATCCATGTTAAAGATCTAGACAGAGATGAAAGACTTCGAATTGTACAGATGGTTTAAAATATGAAACAAAGTGTCTGGAATTTGAACTTACCTCGATTCTCTTCTCAAGCTTATTGACAACACTATTTTGCTCCATGAATTCTACTGCATGAGGGTTCAGGTCATTGGCATATACACGTTTTACAATCCTTGCTGCAGCAAGTGCAATGGGACCCACTCCAGCAAAAACATCACCTGTCAGTAAAAACAGAGTAATTTGAAATCAACATAACACAATACATGAACAAAATCTATACCAAGTCAGACAAAAGAATTCAAATTATCAATAACAAGAAGACAATTGATGCACATATCTACCACCCCCGCTACATATGCTTCTAAACAACAGAAAGAAGCAAAATTTAACACCAATTGGAGGGACAATTCACTTTTTACTGGAAGATCAGTGGAGTTTTAAAGAGGGCATATCAATAATTTTCATGATGAACAGAAAACATACAAACAACATCGCTGTGGTCGAACCCAAGTAGCAGCCTCTGTCTTTCTGTCCCAAGTTTCGAATTCCAATATCTAGCACATGAGAAAATAACACCAAAAGAGTTGACATGATAAGAGATTCAGTAAATAAAGTGATATCTGTCATCAGTAAAAGGATATAACATATTAACATATTTGATATATCTCCTTTGACTGAAAACTCAAATTGCTATCAGACATCTTACGCAAAGCTAGTTTCATCACCAGATTCAGGACAGTAAGGGGCTAAATCCAAATGGATAATGGCATTTGGGTCATCATCAAAACACAGTAAAAGCATGCATTCTAAGATTGGCATTTCATGAGAAAGAAGATACATACACTCTAGCTAAATCAACATGAAAGCGCAGTCCATTTTCAACAACCAGAGTCACCAGGGAATGGTTGCCGGCTAAAACCTCTAACTGCATAGTTCTGAAGTCATTGTGAATACGATCAATCTTATTCACAACGGTTTGTATCTTTGGCTGATTCTTGTCCAGAACTACCTGATAAGTAAAAGAAAGTAACATAATAGACTTCAGTTTCTGAAGCTGGGGAAATTTGGTTTCAGACTTGAGCAATAATGTCCACTATCACATTACCTTAGCTATGAGCCTCTTGTAAGGTATATGCTCATCTCTTAGATTCAGATGCGCAATATGCCCCACCATCTCAAATGCTGAAGGCACAATCACACCCTTAGGTAGAACAGCCTCTAATATCTGCAAACACACACACACACAAACTTTGAAGCAAAACATCTCGATTTGACATTCGAGAGAAACTAAAGTCAGGTTGAAAGTGTCATCATTTACCTCAATCATTGGCCAATAGTCATAGAACAAAGTCAGTCTGCATTTTACTAGCTCAAAACTTAAGCTTGCATCGGTCATTTTAGCTTCTGCAAACAGAGCCTACCAAACATAAACCATAAAATTCTCCACCAAGAACAACTATTGGATCAAACCACATGAGTGGATTTAAAGAAAATTTGTTTAACCTTGATAGCCTCAGGCAAGTCTTGAACTTGCTCACCGGAATATTTCTCATCCAAAAGCAACAATCTTGTTGAGCCTCTCCATCTTCCTCTACTACCATAGCCTTCTCCCAATAACCCTTCAAAATCCTCAGCTCCTTCTGGATCTTCCACCACTTCCACCACTGCCATTTCGTTGCGCTTGCTTCCTTTATCTTTATCCTTTTCCTTCCCCTCCGTTGTTTTCTCTGTCTTCCTCTTCCTCTTTGGCCGAGAAATTTTGGCCAAGTTTCTGAATCGGAGATACCCCGTTGAATTAAATGTCTTGGCGAGTTTGTCTCTGTGCAACACTGAAGTCAGTCTCTCCCCATCCCCTTCTGCTTTTCCACTTATTCTCCGATTAACCGAATCCACAACACTATCTTCATCTTGTTCACTCTCACGGCCCAACAGCTTCACCACATCGTCTTCAATTTCGTCTCCAGGAACTCTAGCAATGTTCCGAATCCTAGGCCAATTAAGAAGATGCCCACGGAGACGATTCTCAAGCGCAAAACAGTCCTTGGCCGGGACCCGAATCGCCGAAATCTCAAACACCCTAGTGAAATCATCTTCATTCAAAAGAACTCCTTTCTCGATTGACTCATCCAAATCTCCAATTTTGCGTCGATGGGCATCTCTATCTCGGCCGATTGAAGCCAATCTAAGGTCGTCTAGCAAAAGCTTCTTCCCTTTCAGGAGAGACGGACCATAGGGAACGTTTGTAGAGGAGATATTACTGGAGAAGACGCAGAAGATAAGGGTTTTAGGTGTGGGATAGGGTTTATGGATGAAACGAGCTGAGTAGGAAGAGAAGACTGGGGAGAAAGGAAGTGAATTGGCTCGGAAAAGTGAGAGCTTTGACACCATTATCCGATTCACAGAGCTTCCTGGTGGATTTGGGTTTTGGTGTTGGGACAGTGAAGGTAATTTCCCGCGTTTGTGCATCAAAGATTTAAGGGAGACGAAGCAGAAGATTTATCGGCAAGAAGAAGATATATATCACACACTGCTTTCAAAAACTCTGTTCTAGAAATTATCCTAAATATCTGAACGTCGTCGTTTCAGCAGCTAAAACTATAAGTAACAAACGCTGTCGTAGTGGAGAATTTAAATGAAAATACTCTAAAACAAAAAGTTACCAAAACAATATTGTAGTATTTGATCAACAAATTTCATCACACATGTTTTAGACAATGAGATGGATTTATACGAAATCAAAAGTAGCTGTCTAGCTGATCAAGTTCAGAAACTAAAGTAGACCAAACAACAAACCAGATTCATGTCAAAATGTTTCAATTCAATTCATATAATTTGAAACAGGAAAAGAGACAAGTTACCAAAACACCATATATAATGTCAATCTTTAAAAAAAAAACACCAATTAAAACTAAAAAAGCACCAGTTGTAAGTAGAACCCCTAAATTTGTAAAAATAAAAAAGCACCAGTTGTAAGTTTGTTTATCACAGCACTCGCGACAAATAAACCTATAGATAACATGCATGCATAATTTTTGATTTTTATTCTTTCGATAGACTTTTTGTTTTGGCTATGCATGATTCCATAATTTGAGCTAAACTTTTGGGCAGGGGAACTCTGCGTTCAAGGGCAAAGCATAGGACTCCACGGCACCTGAAACTCCAAAGACTGATCTCATGACCGGCTCTCAAATGATTACCCTTGACGACATCGTTCCACCCCCAGTTCAAAGTGTAGTTGAAGGTCCCGTTTCTAGAGTCCGGCTTCTCCATCACCCATATCTTGAAACGCAAACCCCACTTTTCACATTTTTTATTCACCAGAAGCGTTCCCACGCCAATGTTCTCTTCCTCGATGTCTTCTCTCTCTATGGCTTGACACTCCGCTTCTGTCAAGAAGTCGTTTCTGGTTAGCATACTGAAAGGCATTAACAGACGGCTCTGGTTTGTGTTGACATCACTCTGGGATAGAGACTTCTCAAACACCAGCATCGGGTTTCCTGCTACCCCCATCTCTCTCATCACCTCGAAAACCCACTCCGGTGTCTCTCTAGCTACCCGTGGCATAGAAGTAACGTTTGTTTTCTTGAATTTACCATTACTACTCCTTTCTTGCGGCACCACGGCAGGTCTCTTGCGGCTTGTACTCTCCATTGGGCTCAAAGAAGACTGTGAACTAAGGTTTGGAGGAGGGTTTTCAGTCTCAGCCCTGTTGTAACGGAGTGAAGAACAAGTCTCAATACAACGAAGGTGGTGAAGCGATGAAGAAGAAGTAGAAGCCCCATTAAGATTTTCATAGGTTTCTTGAGGGTATCTTAACGAAGACCTAATCTTTCTAGGGACATAATCCAAGAATCTGTACCTATCGTAGTATCCTTCTTCTTCTTCTTCTTCATATACGATCTTAGATTTTCCTTTTTTCTTGCGTTGTTCTTCATCATACACCTTACTCGCAACGTCCGCCAATTCTAAGAGCTTTGACCACATATTCTCCCTCTTAGACTCATGATCGTCGTCGTTTGTCTTCTTCATTGTGATTTAGAACCCTAACTCGAGTTCAAAGAGAGCGAGAAGCGTGAGGAGAAAGGCAATTACTAAGAGAGAATATGAGGATGAGTGAAAAAAGAGAGTGCCTTTGTTGACGTTAAATAGTTTAATTGTCCTCCTATTCCTAATTGACTTCTTTTTCCTTTTTCCTTTGAGATTAGTAGTTTAATAATTTTAATTAATCGATAATTACAACTTAGTTTCCTTTTTTTTTTTTTTTGTATATATCATTCACGGGCACTAAAAAGATATATTAGCCGATGGCAGATATATACACCAAAATATCGAGCCAAAGATTTTCCTTTTTCTTTAATTTTTTTCATTTTTTGATGTTGTTGTAAATCAGTCACATTTTTCCAGTGGCAAGCTTCCATACGAAAGTAGAACTAAAAGCGTCGTCCTCTACATATGGGCTAAGACCTGCCGTGGTGCCGCAAGAAAGGAGTAGTAAGGAGAAATTGATGCCTAGATTGGTATATCACATAGCAAGTAGAATATTGAATTATTCAGTAGTGAATACATTTGAGATGAATAGCGTTGTTCTCATAATAATCATAATTAAGCTCTTAAACACTAAATTTATACTACACTTAATAAAGTAATAATATGACCATATATCATTGTTTTGTGTGTATCATTCATCACTGATTCAACATTGTCCCTTATTTATTAGTCCTTGATGGGATGAGCATAAAAGTGGTTTAGGAGTTCTATAAACAGCTCGAATGTTTCATTCCAACATTCGTGTAATGGAACAATGACACAATGATTAATTTAAAAGGAATCAAATTAATTAGCATGAGAAGGTCAGAAATATTAGAATAGTAGAGTATATAAGTTGCAATAAGAAGAAGAAAAAAACGAATTAGAAGAAAGGCTAAGCCCTATAAGTAGTCACACATATAACTGTACAAAGCAGAGTGGAAACCGGATGATTCACAAGCAAAACTTATATGGACGACACAAAAGATTGTTTGTTTTCAGGATATTATTGTAAACTCAAATCTCATCAGGCAACTTAAAACTCTGTGTACCAAAAATCTGAAGTGATGAGTTCTGAAGAAAGACGGCGACTCCACATTTGCTGCTGTTGAATCCATCCCATAGCGTGAAATGAGCAGTCCCCGACACTTGTTTCTTCGGTGTTACGTCTTTCACAGTGCACATCTTCTCCATCTTTCTTACAACGTAGTCATTCGACAACATTCTTCCTTCGTTCTCTCCTCTTGCGCAGTCGGTCACAAGCCCGGTTTCGTATATCGCCACCATTATGTCCATTCCGTTTCCGTCCACTTTCATTCTCAGTGCTCCGGTGAGTGATACTTGTAGTGTCTCTGAGGTTGGTCTCTGGAAAGACGCCTGTTAAAAGAAAGCCATAAATGTTACAACCACTTATAGAGAATGATAAAAGCTAGTAAAAGAAGACTAAAGCCATATTGTTCTGTTATGTCAAAACTCAAATCATTTCAAGACTCAAGATCAGATAATTCATGGTTGAAATAATGTTCCTAATCCTGCGATACACATCTACAAGAACGTGTCGTTAAACAAAAATTTCTCATACATGTTGTTTAGTTAAGATTCACCAAAATGTGCTAATTCTAATGCAATAGAAGCTTGCTGCATATATAAACCTACCCTCCCTGTCATATACCTATAACATTCTATTAGCAAAGCAATTATAATACATGGTACGAGAAACAAGGTGATGCGCACAACCAAAGCTAGAAACTAAGTTATAAGCAAGATTCATGATTCACCGGATTCTTAGTATACAAAGCAGAGAGCCTCAAACACAACAGAGATTTTGTTTCAGTGTATCGAGCAATTACTTGGAAAGCACATAAATAAACCCTAGTTCAACCACATTCACAGCAACCAAAGTCCAATCATAAAACATCAATCAACATGAATAAAAAAACTCACCTTGAAAGCTGGAGAAGGAAACCTAGGAGCTTCGGAGATAGAAGTTAGCAGCGTCTCTTCCTCGATTGCGGTCAACTGCGATCTTCCTTGGACAACAAGCTGCGGAGTAAACATGGTGTCAAGATTCAACGCCTCTACATAGGCCTTCTGCCTAACCGTCCATTGGCTTGATCCATACGGATCTTTCCACCCCTTGAAATCCCAATAATCCACGTGAAAGACCAAAACCATCGCCGGAGATCCACCATCTCCTCCTCCTCCGTGGATCTGAGCGTCGAAATCGCCCCGACCTAGCCGGGACATAAGCATCTCAGCGGCAGGGGAGGTCTTGCATCCCTGAGACGAGAATAGCTGGACGAGAACAGGTCCGTCTCCGGCGGGAACATCAGCCGCGACGACGGCGGAGCTGTTACCTCCGGAGATAGGTTTAGTTGAAGATTTCTTGAGGCCGAAACAGGCGAAAAGACGGCGCGCCATTGGAGAAATATTGTGCCCGTCGTCTCTTCGCCTCCTCCCGAAGAAATCGGATATATAAAAAAAAGAAAGAAGGAAAGATCGGAGAAAAAAACGAATCAGAGAATCAAAAAAAAAAAAAAGGAAAATTTGAGAATGTCTTTGAGAGAGAGAGAGATCTTGAGGAAGGAACAAGGCTTAACGCGTCGAGAGGTCAAGAGACAAAGGCGGCAAAAGTGTTCTTACTCTTATTTTTTTTTTGTAACCTATATATATTTTTAAGAATTTATTTAATTTGGTGGCAAAAGCTGTATTTTTCTAACTAACAGAGAAAAAGGAAAAATATATTTGGTGGATATTTTTACTTTTTTTTTTGTTTTTGTTTTGTAACAATTTTGAATAATTTTTACATAATTTTGTTTGGGGATTTATTTCAGACTTTTTGGTACGAAGGAAGGGTCGGTGACACGTAGGGAAAGACAGGTTGTATACTTTGTTCGATCGAAGTCGGCCAACAACAATATCCTTTCTTTTTCGTTAATAGAAAAAGGAAAACAAAAACAAAGATTCACTTGCATGCACACCTCAATCCAAAATAAACAACTTTACCTCAATTTAAACAGTTTGTAATATATTTTTTAAGAATTTGCTGATGTACTAATATGGATACGGTCTGCTTAATAAAAAATTTAGGGTATCGCGTATGTGGGTTTGTTTTGACTTAAGTTATTTAATCCTCAGAAATCAGTGAATCTGTAAATACCACTTGACATTACATATTGCTTTCAAGTTTGGAGAAACCAAATTTTAGTATCTAGGTTTAGGAAATTTAGCAAGCACAATTTTAACAAATTACATTATGTATTACCAAAAAACCTAAACTAACCTTCACATTAAAACCAAAAAAAAAAAAATAACCTAAACTAAAAGGAAATTAACAAATGTACATAATACTTTTATTATCATATTTTATCACTCATCTCAATGTGTAGAAAAAGAGAAGCACGTCTGTTTTTGTCTCTCGACTCACTTCTTCTTCCCTTCACTCGTTTTGGTCTTGTCACCTTGCTTGTTGGTGGCTTGGTGCCTTTCTATTTGTTGTTCAATCATATCCACTCACTATATATGTCACACACAACATCCCAACTTTGCCCTTTATCAAAAACATAGCATCCCATATTTGTTTAGTTTATATATTTTTAGAAATTTGAAAATAATGGCACATTGCCACAAGAGTTAATCTGAAAAATTACCATGAATAAAAACTCCGTGATTTCAATCAGGCAGTTTTGTTTTTTAATGGATTAAAATGATTTTGAAATAAGCATATATATCCAATTCCTAAAACAATGATACACTTTATGATTTGGTTTTAACCACATATAAAACGGTCCATGCAAATCCATGTGGCTGATAAATCCACGACAAGCCAAACAAAAAGTTCATGTACGTTCCAACATAATCTCCACCACAATCTAGGAGCTTCACTCCGTCCTACCATTTTCCCACATATATTAATATATATTGCATAAACTCATTTACTCGGCTCTCTTACATATTCCTCGATCGAGTTTAAACAAAATTAGTTCTAAGAATTAATATATAAAACACAGGATGTTAGAAGGGAAAGCTGTAATGGCTGAGACAGATATGAAGCAAACAATGAAGGAAGATGCTCTCAGTTTGGCCTCCAAAGCCCTTGATTGCTTTGATGTCACCGAACCCACTCAAATCGCCCGTTTCATCAAGAAGGTTCACTAACAAATTCAAGTATTAACTATGCATGTTAACCTTAGTGCTAATTAATAAATAGACCAATAATTTCTATTCTACCTAGCTAGAGTGATCCTAATATATCATGCAATGAAAAATATCAAAGTTAATAACAAAATATGTTTATTACTTATTTTTTGGGAATTTTCAGGAATTTGATAGAATATACGGATCAGGGTGGCAATGCGTTGTTGGGACGCATTTCGGATCGTTTGTGACTCATTGCAGTGGCTGCTTCATCCATTTCTCCGTTGGCAGCCTTACCATTTTGCTTTTCAAGGGTTCAGCCGGTGAACCAGCGTCCCGGACCGACGATCTAGCTAGTTTAGACAATATTCTTGTAAAGTAGTCAAAGTTATCTTTTAGTGTTATGTTAAAATCATTCAAATTGTTTCAGTACGATTGCAATCATGATTAACCGTTTATGAATGTTTCAAAAGACAAATAGGCAAATACTATTATATTGCTCTCTCACAAGCATCGGTGATTATTTAAGTTTAGAGCTCGAGATCTTTTAAGAGATATAAAAACAACTGAAAAGAATTAATGAAAAAATATTTTACTTTTGAAAACCTTTGTATTGCTTAAGGATGATTACGTGCACGTGAACATCTAAAGATCATTTATACGTTAATTTGTGCGCTTCTATGACTGCTTTTGTTTCAAGTCTTCATTTATGGTAATGCTAATTATGCTATATCGTGTGCAAAACCATGCGGCCATATACTGTATATATCAACTTTATCTAGCTTTTAATCTTTCTCTGACGTTAATTTGATAAATGTGAAATTTACATGGTTCAAAATCCTAACACTATAGTTAGTTTTCTGTACATGAGAACAAGGTCTAGGTTTCAAAAGCTTTTCTTGCACCACCATTTCCTATGACGACCTTCAACACCATTAAGCCGGAGTGTTGCCTTTGTCTCGCTTAGTCTTGCTTTGTAATCTTTCTTCCATTTCTCAAATCTTAATTTTAGAGTCTTAAGTTCTTCTGCGTGCTGCGACCTGTTTGAGATTGATTCTGGTCCAAATTCTACCTCAACAAAACTCTTCGCATCTTCGTTAATTATGACGCTTCGTTGATCAAATTCTGTCGAAAGGTTGTTTGCGTCACTCCAGCTACCCTTAGGCTCTTTTGTGGAAGTTCCAAAGGACATTGTGTCCTCTGAGTCATTACCAGGACTTGCAGTCTTGTTTAGAGCCAAAACCTTACAAGCAGCAGTAAGACTCATCTGCAAGGACATATACCCATTTGAACATCATAATCTTTTAGGCGTTTGGTCAGAGCAAATTATATATATGCTGGATGATGATTGTGTGCAGTTATGGGGAGTTACCTGCATTGAAGACATATGTTTTTGCCATGTTTCCTCCATTGACTTCATTTTTATTTCGTGCTCTAACCATCTTTCCTCAAACCGTTGCAACTCCTCCTGAAATGCAGTGTTTTCATCTTCCTTCTGCATTATAGCTGCTTCGACTTTCTGAACCCGGCTCTGGAGATCAGCAAGATCCCAAGGTTGATCCTGAAACTGCTCTAAAAGAGGGTCCTAAACAAGAAAGATAATAAGTTACAGCAGTAGGATAACGCATAGACACATAAATCAGGTAAATGCTACCTTGTCTTCGGAATCCCTCATCCTTAACTTTCTTCTTGGTATTTTCTTCTCATTGCATGATTTTTTCTTCTGTTGCATATTATTTAAGTGTTTACGAGCCAGCCATTTGCGTACCACTGCATACAAGGAGGAGAGCTGTAAATCTTATCCAAGATAGAGAAAATAATTATTTAGCCAAAGGAAAGACAACGTTATTTACTATATTGCAAGTGTATGGCTGCATCAAACTCTTCAGTTATTGCTGGGGACACAATAGCTGATCTTTCCACGACAATGTAATTTCTCCTGGCATTTTCTCCGCGGATATCTGTAGCAACAGAATAAGTTAGCCATGAAATCAAACAAAAGAAAAATAAGCATATACCATAAAAAATATATAGAAAGGAATCATGCGACATAAGTCATTACATGACTGAAATATCTTTGCAGCATTCATCATATTGTGATAGTATTCACGAGTCTGATAACCACGAAATTTCTTCTGTAATCCAAGTATGCCACACAAAACATATTTTTTTCTTTCCTCAAGGACTCCAATCTATCAAATATGAAGATGAAGGCGTTACACAATAATTGTCAATGTATCAGTAAAACAACATAAGACAGTACTACAGACAAAGAGAACTTACTAGTCCAGTTCGGAGGTATATTTTCCTATAACCAACTTGATACATTTCAGGAGGAAGATTATATTGTTTCAGAATAGCATTTGATGTGCTAAGTGGATCCTGGGAGAATTTTGTGGCCAGAAGTATGAATCCGTATCTAATCCATGAACAAACCAACAAAGACAAAGCTTATGATTGGAACAATAGATTTATCAACAAAGCACATCCTTAAAGTTGAGAGACCACACCTTACTGCAAGCTCTTGATGTGTCAAGCGAGTAGGATATCCTGATCTTGATATTCTAACAATCTCCAAAACGCCACAACTTCTAAGCTGTTGTAGAACATGATTCTCATCATAAAGTCCAGGAAGCTGCTTCGAATTGGGCTTTATGCATCGAATAAAATGAGGAGTTGTGTCTTCTAGCTTTTTCATCAGCTTGAATAGTTGGCCCTGTAAGCATAAAGTGAATGGATATACCGATAGTCCCTCATATTCAATAAAGTTTACAGAAGAGATTATTAAAGTCAAAGATTGTTTTCAGAAAACTTTTGAGGAAAATTTCAACCAAAATAGAAAACTGCAGAATTCAAGCCTCCTCACCTTAAACTTTGTAATCACACTTTGATTCATGGAGTCCAAACTGGTTGCCGACTTTAGAGACTTGTGTTGCATCTTAGTAGAAAACTGGTTCAACAATTGACATTTGCTTGATGATAAAAGTTGGATAAGATCAACATGCAGTGGATCTCTGTTCTTTTCCAGGAAGCCGTTGGTATCATAGACAACCTATTATACCCATAATGTATAGAAATAGAACTCTCATAAGTATCCAAGGAGATATTTGTTCATTCTCTTGCACCAAATAATTTCACTGAATTATCATAATAATTATTTAATATGCAGAATCAACTTGCTGGATTTGGGGTATGAACAGACCTCTCCAGCATAGTGACTAACTCTGAAACCCTGACCTCTCTCTCCCTTGAAACAAGAGTTAGTCCTCAAATGCTGATTGAGCTTATTTGCAAACGTTGTATCAGTCGCCGTTGGAAATTTTGATTCTTCATCTAACAGGGATACCAAACCAATGGGTTTCTGCATAGGCAACCAGATGGGCGAGATTATGTTCTCAAAACATGGAAGAATAAACCAAATATTCCAATATGTTTAGAGCTACTATCCAAGTCTGAATTTTTCAAAGCACTATACCATCCCTTTCTCACTCAGTAAGATGACATACTACAATTACCTTCTCAATCAGGTTTAGACACTCTTGATTGTCTTTGAATTCGACCCTAGTCCAATCAATTCCATCCCCTTCATATTCCTGAACAATGGAGATACTTTCATAAATTATATATTAACAACACACACTGATTGATAATTGTAGCTAACCAGACACCAGAAGCAGAACACATCTTCATATAATAAGGCTTTGGAGAAAGACGATCACCTCTTGTTCAAGTTTAAATAGATGTCGGTTGAAGTGTTGCTGCAGTCTTTCATTTGCATAGTTTATGCAAAATTGTTCGAAACTATTATTCTAAAACCATGAAGACTTGATCATTACACAGTAAAAAGAAATAGAGACTATAAAATATTGAGCAATGTTACAAACCTTATATGATTCAAACCCATATATATCAAGGATGCTAATAGATCTTCCTGTACGTGAGTTACCAACTTCGAGTGAAATGTTTATTTGCTCAACAAGCCAGTTGAATAGACTCGCATAGATGGTTTTCGCTAGAGAATCCCTCATATCAGTTGCCTGAAATATAGCAAAGCAATCCGCACACTACATTTGGCTAGCTATATAGAAATTACAAGTGTTGTATAACATATTGCAGTGATTGTTTATAACTAAACAAACCTGTCGCAGTGTCAGTCTTTTAGCAATGCAATCTCTACCAGCTTGGAGCTTGCATGTAGACAAAACCACCATAAGATCTTTTGCGTTGCAGCCCATTAACATAGCTACATTAGTAACAGCTGTAAGAAATAAGCCAGCATAATAAGTATCACTGAATTTAATGCTAGTAAATTCACAACCAGTTCACAAATTCAAATGATGAATTATACCTTCATCTGCTACCACTTCCACATAGTTTTCATTGTCTACCACTTTAAAAGATACATTTCCTAACCATAACACAGCTGCAAGCAGCGCAAATGCACGTTCTTGATATTCTTGAGGAATTTGAACAATGTTGAAAGCTTTCTATAATAAAATAATAAGAAATTACAAAATCATGAAATCTGATCCATGGGAAACAGAGGGGGGCACTGGAAATAAATAAAGGTACCATCAGTTTGTGAAATTTCTGCGCATCATTAATGCGATCAATGGTTAAGCAATTGCTCTGATTCAAATAATTGTATTCACTTGCTGCTTTAAGCTTCAATCTCTCTGCAACAACATAACCAAAAAAAAAACATATAATATATGTTTAATCTTCAATCTCTCTGCAACGATCAATGGTCTAGTAACTTCTAGTTTTTCAACCATGAACAAGTAAGCTAATTGATATGTTATATATGTCTACATTTAGGTGCACAAAAAAAATAATATAAATCTCCATTTTTGCTTCAGCAGGGACACTTCCTAAGCATTTTTTGCTTTCTGAATACGTAGATACCTAAATTAGTTCCTACATATTTCTGTTTGGAATGTTACCTTTAAGAATTTGTGGAGCTCCTGCACACAATTCATAAAAGACATGGTAGGATCTCTCGCCATTGCACAGCTGAACCACTCTTGACTGACACAAAGTGACTACTCATTAGCCCATGATTAGCTTACAAGTAGAATTTGACTAAAGCTTCTCAACAAAACAAATTTACCTTTTCTAGGAGAACTATGGTCATTTAGATCAAGAGGTGACACAAACACGGTGAGGAAACAAAAGAAGACGTGAGCTCCATAGTCTAGCAAATGAAAATTGGCACACAATAATACAAATGTTCAATTCTTACAAGTTTCAAGTTTAGCTCCGCATATCTTTCCCTTTGCACTAAAATGAATCTCCATCAGTTTTCCCTGCACCAATTCAGATTTACTATTGAATCCAACCCACTTCTCAATTTATGGCTGACACCAAAGTCTTAAGTTTAAGGAAATAATTTTAGTAATATTTAAGAAGGAAAAACATCCAGTCATGCAAAAATTGGAAGAAAGAAAATGTATGTTTTACTCACAAATCGGCTGGAGTTGTCATTTCTTAATGTTTTAGCATTCCCAAAGGCTTCAAGTATACAATTTGTCTTTAGGAATTCATTTTCCACCCCAAAGCTACCTCCACCAAGAGCTTCCAAGTACTGCATTGCATATTTTGCCGTCTCAGTTTTCCCAGCTCCACTTTCTCCACTATGAAATAATATTTTATTCATTTGATTGTTGATATCAATATAAGAAAATCGCTTTCACCTAAGAATAGTCAAGTCATCGTTAATGTACACAAAAACATTCGAAATAGAAAGCCTCGTACCTTATGATAATAGATTGGTTCTTCTCCTCTGCGTACAGAAAAATTCAATGATGTAAATGCCATAAATTAGCTATGTTAACACCATAGTAAGGAACAAAGTTTCACAGCTTCATGAACATGAAGAGCCAAAAAACTGTGAAAGAATCACCTCTCATCATCTCATCATAAGCTGCATCTGCAACTGCATAAACATGAGGAGCATCCAAAGCCTTGTTCTGATACGTTGATAGAAATTCTTTTCCATAGATCTGGACATTCTTAAATGGATTTACTGCAATCAAAACTGGCCCTGCTTTACTCTATAATAAAGAAACATGAAACTATGTTAAGCAAAAGTAAACTCGGTTAAAATGTCAAATAACCAAACAGACCACACCAGAATGTTTTAACTTACATAAATCAAGTCCTGTGAATATCTGACCCGAAAGTTGTAAAGAACAGATGGCTCATTCAAATAACTAAGTTGTATAAGGTCTTCAACTCCCTCCAAAATATCTGGGTTGGCAGGGAAAATCTCATCCATTGATACTTTCACAACCTTAAGATGACACAAAAAACAAAAATTACACCATAAGGTCTTTCCATATCATATGAAATAAAACACAAGTTAAAAGGAACTAACCTCGTCGGTACTGGACAACATAACACACACAATATCACCAGAAGTAGATTGTATCTTCCCCAAGTGCCATTGCCCATTAGCAAAACGACACCAAACACGATGTTTCTGGCATAAAATAGAGGCACTGTGAAAACTCTACTTTTTTTTCAAGCCATCAGAGAAACTTAAAACAGTAACGAACCAATACAAGTTCAAAGTTTCACAGCCTCAATGATGAATGAAGAAAGACGAAGAAGCAAATCAATTACCTCCCGGAAGAGATAGTCAACGTTATAGAGATCATGCGGGTTCTTAGCTGGACTCATCTGAGCAGTACTAACCTTCATAACTTCAGCTTCACCTCTCTTCACCTCCCCCTCCTTCTCGGCCGATTCTAAGATCTGCCCAGCTCTCCAATCCTTGTCTATTTTCTCTTTGGTCTCGCCTCCCGGCGCAATCGCATTGCGGAAGTTCGCCGGAAGTGATTTACGACTCGACGGCATTTGTGCCCTTGAGGTAGACCGAGAGGGAAGCAGCGACGAAGACTTATCCTTGAACCTCTCGCGCGCGTCGTGTTGCCGAAGAGACTCCACCATTTCCTTAACTGAACTTTTCATCATTGTGGCCGGAGACGCCGATTATATCAGAATCCACCCACCAACAAAAAAAAATTCAAACTTTATTATTTTGTTGGTGGTCTCAACGAAGAGTCTTAAATCTTAATCAACACCCATTTTTGCGCAATGTGAGCTCCATAAACCCTAAATTTCTCAAATGTAGTGGCTTGGGGTTCAAAGCCAGCAGAATCTCGAAACCAGGAAAACAAAAACAGATAATGAAGAATCTCTCAGCATTGTAACCATATATGATTCAAAGATATTCAAGGAAGGGAATAAATAGCAAAACTGAAAACAAAAACAACCCTTAAATAAATAAACTATATTTTGCCTACGAGAAGAAGCCATTTCCAACGAATACAAGAGAGAGAATTTGAAAATACAGAGACACTGAACTCTTTATTACCATTAGGTAGACGATGATCATCATATGTTATAGTATCTGTTATGATAGATAAATGGGCTTTTATCAAAAAACAATAAGCCCAATAAATGGATCCGATTTAGTAAAATTGACCCGACAAGCCTTAGGTGAAAAATTCGATTGTGTTTCCTCCGTCTCTGCTCTTAACTCTCTTTTTGCTTCCTGCGTCTGCCCTAGCGCCAAGCCAAAATCGGCCATGACGAAGAAGAGGAACAAGAAGAACAGAGACGAAGAATTTTCCATGGACGTTTCCGAAACTAAGAGCTCTTCCGAAGCTGCTCCTCAAGGTAAATATTGTACAAACTCTCAAGATTCTGAGCTGAACAAGTTGGGGATTCATGTGTTTACTTTTCCATTTTTTTCTCTTTGATTTTTTGTTAGCCATGGACACTACGGAGACAGGAGACACAAAATTAGCTGCTCGTGCTCGTACCTTGTAAGCGTTAACAATTTAAAAAGCTCTGTAGTATTCTTCTCCAAAATAATTGCTTTGAATCCCGCTTTAGCCTTTCTCGTTTCCTCAGTTGATTTCTAGTTTGGTTAGTCATGATACTCACAAGTAACACTTGTGAACTAGTTGGATTTATATTATACAAGTCTCTAATTGTGTCTCTCTTGGTCTGAAGTTTTCAACTTTCCATTGTGAATTGCTTTGTTCTTGTCCTATGAGGTTGGAGCTGAGTCATGTATATTGTCTACTATTTATATTACTGTAATGGTTTACAAGCTGAAGTTTCCACATTAGCTTTAACACGTAGGAGACAATTATACAAGCTGTTGAGTTAGACAATCTCGGACAAATTTCTCTTGTAAACTGGTTTATCATTTAGCTACGTTAATGTACTATGGCATGGAATGCTTAAATTTGGTATTTTTAGACCTTATTTATGCCATTTTGTTCGGAGTAGAAGCTACCATTTGACTTGTTTTTTTATTGATGTTTTCTTTGGATTCTCCTTACTCTGTGCTTTCCATTAATCCGGATGACATTTCCTGTTTTCTTTTTAGGACAAGCACGAGGAAAGGAAAACCGATGAAGAGAACCAAGAATGCAGGGAAGATGAATGCCGTGGCTATAGGTAGAAAAATAGCATCTTCTTTCATTATGTCCTGGTTCATCCGTCTTCTTAAGATTCTCTGCGTAGAGATTCAGGTGTTGACTCTTTGATTTTTCTTCTTTGATTTTGTTAGCCATGGACACTACAGAGACCGGAGATGTGAAACTAGCTGCCTTTTCTAGTAACCTGTAAGCCTTTTGGAAACTTTGTATAATTGCTTTGAGGCTTTGCGTTGTTAATTTTGACTTGGATCGAAAATATATTTGATTAGGCCAGCAGTTGGTTTTGGCCAGTTATGGACTTATTGTACTCTCAGGATAATTTGTGACCTAGTTGGATTATATTATATAAGTCTTAGGTTTTGCTTAGAAGTTTCCATTGTGAATTGGCTCTGTTCTGAACCTTTGAGGTTGAACCTGGACCTGGAGTCATGGAGTTTGCTACTGTTGTATTATTCTAATGGTTACAAGCTTAAGTTTCTCCACATAAGTAATAAGTCCAGAAGATAACAGTTAGGAGGCATTATGCAAGCAGTTGAATGAGAGAATCTTGGATAAGTTTTGATTGTATACTAGTTTATCGTTTTGTTACGTTCCTCAGCTGAGTGTACTAAGGCATGAAATGATTATATTTGGTATATTTAAAACATATATATGCCATTTGTTCGGAGAACAAGCTTGTTTGATGGTTTCTTTGGAGTTTGGACCTCCTTACGCTTTGCTTTCCTTTAATCCGGATGACATTTCCTGTTTTCTTTAGGACAAGCAAGAGGAAAGGAATACCGATGAAGAGAACGAAGAATGTGAGGAAAATGAAAGCCATGGCTAAAGCTATAGCGTTGAGTGAGAAATATGAAGAGAAAGCTACAAAGAACGAAACCAAAAGTCTCAGAACTCTTTCGGCCAAGAAATTGTACGAGTGATTTTGGTTAAAAAGCTGCAAAGAAGGAAGAAACATAAGAAATTTTTGATAGTTCGTTCGTCTAATTTGATTTTGCTAACGTTATACTTTCTTCTAAAAATAGCTGTTGCAATTTTGTAATCTCCTTTGGTTTACTTATAAAAACTACAGTACGTATGTTTATGATTAATCAAATTTGTTCTTTACCAAGACTAGTTATCTTAACAACCTTCGTAGAGTACATATCTCAGGTCTGGGCGTTCAAATGGTAGAAACAAGGAAACATTCTTACATGGGAGACTACTACTTTTAAACATTTAAAAATCATTCAAATACCAAAGATTAAAGTGTGAAAACAATGTCATAGACATATATGTACATACATATGGATTCGTATTTTCTATATTACTTCTATATCCAACAACGAGCTCTCTGCACAAGTTTGTTGCCTCTACAAAATCTCCAATGCTCGGTCTACTGGAAAATATGCGCTATAACTTCTCGGTTGCATTGTCAGTCTGCATCTGTTACTTCTGCTTCTATGTCTACAACATCAGTTGAGAAACCTTTTCCTGCACAAACAAACACTTCATCTCACCACTGGATTCTCAAGAGATTGGTAACTGATTTGCGCATAATTAAACAGAAATGTAGATAAAAGGAAGAACGAACCTTTCTTAGGTGCAGAAGAATATCCATTTGGGTTTTGTCCAAAAGCAGTAGTTTGGTTAGAGAATTTCACTGCTTCCTTAACAAACTTATCATCCACCACTGCACTTTCCAAAAAGACACAAAGCTCATGCTTCAAAAGAAATATCAAAGATGACCTTTGATAAATCGAAAAGTGAAGGATTCATCTTTTTACCTGAGAATGGCTGAGTGCAGAAAGGGCAAAGCTGTACTTCATCATCCATCGCTGACCTGCAGCAATTTTGAATAATATTCAATCAACAAGATTTGGGGAAAGAACAAAAAAAACAACTGAGGGATTGATTCTTTATATATCCTTACTTGAATATCTGAAACTCGTTTCCACAATTTGGACACTGCACAAACGTAAAGCAAGATAGGTAAATAGAACAGAATCTTGAAAATAATTACTCAAACACAAGTGGTAGTAAACTAAACTTAATTCAGGATTAACATCCACGAGTTATAATTAAGATTAACAATGTTTCTTCGAATTCTTGAATATGCTGTCTTAAAGCCAAAGAGACAAGAAGACTTACATTGCTCTGCACAATATCTCGTTGTGCCCACCACAGGAAAGCTCCCAACCCCAAAATTGGAACAATCACCACAACCAGCTGCAGATTGTAAGAACTTCAGTTACCAAAAAAGGCTAAGACAGCACAATTAGATAACCAGAGACATTAAATGATTAGACTTTAGAGAAAGGAGAGAGAGTGGTACCCAGACAGAGACAATAGCGTCCAAAATCCAACCAAGCTGGCCAGTCATAGAGAGATAAGTTAACCCAATAGCCAAGGCAAGGTTTCCAAGGATCCTCCCATTTCCGTTGTTACCTCCGCCGTTAAACCCTAAACCCTTGTTACAGCTAACCCTAACCTCCCGTCTTTGCCGGGTAAGAGCTTTCTCACTAGCTAAAACCCCATTTTTTCCCAGACATATCAATCGCTGTCTCTGTCTATGCTCAATCAAGCAAGCTCTCAATCCCAAGTTGTTCTGGAGCAGAGAAGGAACCAAGCTTAGTCCTTTCGCCTGGAGTCTATTTCTGGGTTCCTTGTTGAAACCATCGTGTATACAGATGTTGCTACACAGGATAATCTGTGGAATCGAAGCCATCGTCTGAATTTGTTACCCAGCACAATGCTCGACTTCAAAGTACAAATGGTGATTTGATAATGGCAATGATGTAATTTACCCTTTATATAAAATATTAATAGAAATTATCACAACGCGGGGATAGCTCAGTTGGGAGAGCGTCAGACTGAAGATCTGAAGGTCGCGTGTTCGATCCACGCTCACCGCATTTTTGTAATTTTTCACTATTTTACGTTACTTTTTTGAAACGCGTCGTTTTGATGTTTTCCCAAATTTAAACTACACTTACTTGGGCATGTCAACAGGTTTGACCTTTCACTTTTCAGAGATAACGGTTCTAGTTGCATTATAGTTTTAATGTGATTGAGTGAAAAACCCGATTAACTTTTTTTATACATGTGGGAAGATTGAATGCCCGTCATATTATATTCCCCATGTTCAGTTGAATCACTTTTGTTTTAAGACACATACGTATATGGTTGACATATTATAATGTTCCTAGATAGATTGTCGTGGTTTCTAATATAATTAGTCTAAGATTAACATCGACGTTCAATATCGGTTTTAGATAATTAAGTCACTGCACGATACACCTAAAATGGTTGTCTAAGAATGTACTTCTCTATGAAGCTACGAAACTGAGCAATATCAACTGAAAATTTTCATTATATAACTAGCATCCGAAGATTGGGGAAACGATTTAGTTCCGACTTCAGAGAGATGTGGATCAGCATCACAAAGGCTTGTATTTAGGTCTACTAAATAAATCATACAAGGTTTTTAAAAAGACAACTAGAGCTTAAATATATTTTTTATCTTGATAGATTTTATGTTCTAAACGATGCACAATGTTAAGCAGTATTGTTTTTGTACCAAACTAAGGAAGAAACAACCATAACAAAACAAACGAAAAAACCTTACTTGACAATAACTGCAAGAGTATGTATCACTCTTCAGAAGAAAAATATTTGACTTTTAACCACAATATAAATTCACAATCGACAACGCATCCCCAACTGCCATTTTCTATCGATATAGACGTATAGTGCATATAGATTCCACACGTCGAGGATGGAGGTCCTAAAAACCTCATTACTAATGATAATTTTCGTGGTAGCTTTATGTTTCTTGCATGTGAAGGCTTGGCATGGTCAGGCTTACTGTGGTGGCAATGCGGCTCCCCGATGTCAGCTCCAATACATCGACTGTATCCTGAAGAGTGCCCGACCACCATGAACCCCAACGCTCAGAACAAAATTTGTTGGGTTGACTGCTTTAAACCCCTTCGCATGGCAGAGTGTCGAGGTATTTATTAACTACCATTTCATTTTTATATTTCTTGTGATTGATGAATCATATATATAGATGCAGACCAATGCAGTTTTAAAAGGGCAACTAATAGAATTTCAACACTTTTTAAGATTTTGATATATATATATATGATATTTTGTAGCGGTAAAACCCAACTGTGAATTCTCTGGATCGATCTGCCTAGATCCAAGGTTCATAGGTGGTGATCTGGATTTGTGTTCTACTTCCATGGAAAGAGAAATGAGCATTTTAGCCTTGTCTCAGACCCTGATGTTTAGATCAATGCTAGGTTCACTGGTCATAGACCCGCTGGACGCGCTAGAGAGACTTCACATGGATCCAAGCTCTCGGCTTCCTCTTCAACTCCCACAAATTCTCCCTAGAGACTTCACAGTTCACATGGACAGATTGACTGTTTTGCTCATCTTGAGGTCCAGTTCAAGTTCATTAACCTGTCCCTAAAAGTCGATGGAATCTTGGGACGCACTTACAGGCCCGATTTCAAGAATTCGGCTAAACCAGGAGTCGCAATGCCAGTGGTGGGAGGTGAGGATAGCTTCAGGACATCTTCTCTGCTCTCTCATGATTGCAAAACTTGTTTGTTCTCTGGTGATCACACCGTTGTGAGTGGCTCTTTCAAGCCAAAAAGTACATACACATTGTTAGATTGCAGCCGTGGTGCGTCTTCCGGTTATGGAATCGTCTGCAGGAAGAAGTTGCCATCCAAACTCAGTTTGCTAAGAATTATAGATGATAAAATATGTTATATTTTGTGTAAGTTTACTTTATATGGTTGTCAAAAGAAAACAGAGTAATAAGTTAACTCAAGAACCAAATTCTCAAGAAGGTAAATGTAACACAATTAATTACATGGACTAGTTATGATTGCTGAAAATATATTATTGGTATGCTTCATCCGTTGTGTTTGTCGTAATCATTTACAACCACAGTGTACTTTAATTGGAACACAAGTTAACTTAAAACCCCAGCTAAATTAGGATATGTAGAATGTTAATCACTTATCGTACCCTAAGATCCGGCTATTACATACATAATGTTATTGTTGTTTCAAGATTTCCAAAAGTCAAATTAACAAGATGCGGTGCTCTGTGCTCATACGTAAGAGTTAAGACCGAGAGGTATGGATCTCGCTCATGTGAATGTAATTCTTAAATGCATTTTTATTCATTTTCGAAGTTTCACTTTTATTCATAGCCATTACAACTTTAGATGTCCCAGATAAGGGGCGCACAAACCTTACAAACTCCCATATTTCAACTTGGAGTAAAATACTTTATTTTAGATAAGATAACAGATGGGCTTCTATAAATTCACAATCGACACTTTTCTTCTTATATTCATGCATAATAAACTGAAGAAAAGAAAGAAAAACTACAAAATGAAGATCTCAAAAACCACTTCGTTAATGCTGATTACTCTTGCGGTCATGTTATGTTTCTTGCGAGCCAAGTCACAAGGAGTTTACTGCAGCAACCCTTATGAACGATGCTTCCAAAAGTACATATTGTGTCCGCAAGAGTGTCCCACCACCGGTGCCGCAAACTCCATGAATAGAACCTGCTACGTAGACTGTAGTAAACCCCTCTGCACATCCGAGTGTCGAAGTAAGCAACAACGCTTAGAACTTTTTGTACTATATATTAAGTTTCTATATATATATATCTAAAGCTCAAATGGAGTATATTTTCATATTTTTTCCTTTAACATGAATGGCTTAGAGTTGGGTCCAAACTGCTATAGACCTGGATCGGCCTGCCACGACCCGAGGTTCATAGGTGGTGATGGGATTGTGTTCTACTTCCATGGAAAGAGCAATGAACATTTTAGCCTTGTCTCGGACCCTGACTTTCAGATCAATGCTAGGTTCACTGGCCACAGACCCACTGGACGTTCTAGAGACTTCACTTGGATCCAAGCCCTTGGCTTCCTCTTCAACTCTCACATCTTTTCTCTCGAAGCCACCAAAGTGGCCACTTGGGACAGCGGCGTCGACCATCTCAGATTCTCTTTCAACGGCCAAGATTTAGTTATCCCTGAGGAAATCCTTTCCACGTGGTAAATATAATAATAGCCTTACTAATTTTGAGAAGTTTTGCATTTTACATATTTAGAGGTCTTTTTACTAGTTGAGATTTTGTATCTTGAAACCTACACCAGTACTACATGTGCTTTTTGACTAGGTACTCGCCAGAAAAAGACATCAAGATAGAGAGAGCGACAAAGATGAACAGCGTTACCGTAACGTTGAAAGACAAAGCAGAGATCATGGTCAATGTCGTTCCCGTGACTAAAGAAGACGATAGGATCCACAGCTACAAAGTACCTTCAGATAACTGTTTTGCGCATCTAGAGGTCCAGGTCAGGTTTTTCAGCCTATCCCCAAAAGTTGATGGAATCTTAGGACGCACTTACAGGCCCGATTTCAAGAATCCGGCGAAGCCTGGAGTCGCAATGCCAGTTGTTGGTGGTGAGGATAACTTTAGGACATCTTCTTTGCTCTCTCATGACTGCAAGACTTGCATTTTTACCGGATTAAGTGACTCGTTTAAATGGGAGACTGAACATACACTGTTGGATTGCACTCGTGGGGCGTCTTCCGGATACGGAATCATATGCAGGAGGAAGTGATGTTCCGTGAAAGGGTTATCCTAACTTCGTTCGGAAGCATAACTTAGTAATTTTCGTGCCTTTATCCAAAGCATCCCATAAAACAGAGGATTGGAGCAGAAATAGTTAGTGATATGCTACGGAAATTGTATGATGTGAAGTGATCTATATGTTCATGAATCATGAAGAATAAAATTGTATCCAAGTTTTTGTGCAAATGATATCAACAACACATAAAAAGGACGCATTAGTAACCATTTATTTTTTTCTCCATTGAGAAATAAATAATTCAACGTCTTGTGGCCCGTCACAAAGTTTGTGGCCCGTCAAAAAGTTGGATCACCCAAGCCTTTCCTTTTAGTGAAGTCCTAAGCCTCACCGAATCGGTAAAAGCCCATATATAAATCCCTATTTTATTTACAGCCAGTCTTACCCACATCTTCAAGGATTTTAACCTTTTCACCCATCTGAATCACAGTAAATTACAGCACATGTCTCTCTTGTCTCTTCTCTCTCTCATTGCCTAAACTCGAATGTTTGACCCGAAACACCAAACCCGCTCGAGCTATATCCGAGACTCTGAGACAACCCGCCCGAGTTCTGCTGTCGATCAGCATGCGAGTTCCTCAATCCGCTCTCCGCCTCTCCCTCCGTCGCTCTAAACGCGTCGTAACCACCGTAACTCGGTAATCCGTTGGTCGGAGCTAGCTCCGGGATTGGATGAAGACCTGCCAAGCTAGCCCAATCGAAGTTCCCGTTAAGAAGCGTCCTGAGCGAGTTCATCCGAGGAAGGTTGAAAGACTGGTCTTTTATCTCCGGGAACGAGTCAAGAACGTCGTCAAGCTGAGACGACGAAGACGAAGACGACCCGTTAGTGCTATACTCTTCACGAACCGGAGTAGCAGCAGCAGCAGCAGCTTGTCTCTGGGATCCAGATGTTTTCTTGTAAATTCGACACAAAACCCAATCGTCCAACTGTAAGAAAAAATCGAAATTAGCAATTTGGTTTCAGTGTTTATCTAATCGGAATTGAGAAAAAGTTATCATTTTTGTTTGTTTTTACCTTGGAGCTTCCATGGCTACGAGAATGCTCGATTAAGCGATACTCGTGCATAATCCAGTTGGTTTTCGTGCCTTTGGGAGCTTTACCGGCGTAAAAGACCAGAGCTTTTTTAATACCGACACGGCGACCATCCGCCGTGATGATCTTGTCAGTACCCGTCGCTTTCCAATAACCCGACCCAGCTACTCTATTGGGTCTTGACCCGTTCGGATATTTCCGATCTCTCGGGCTAAAAAAATACCATTCCTTTTCTCCAAACAAGGCTTTACCTGAAAATATTTACAGTAACAACCCCTTGAGTTTTAAGATATTTTCGATTTCAACCCAAAAGTAAACAACACCCAAGGCAAGAAGTGTAGAAAACAAAAACATGTTATTTTGGCTTACTTGGCAAATCCCAAGGATCGAACTTGTAGAGATCGATGTCTCCGATGACCTGGAGAGAGAAATGATAGCCTGCAACTTTCCGACAAAGATACTGAACAAGAAGCTCTTCATCTGTTGGATAAAATCTAAAGCCCGGTGGTAAACTCAATTGAGCTAATGGATCTTTCTCTCTAACACCCATTTTTTGTTGTTGTTGTTGCTCTTTCAAATTCGATTCCAAAAATATAAAGAAAAGAGATTTAAAGGTTTCGAACTCTAAAAACTTGTCAAGAAATTTAAAGTTGTTAATGTTGGTCGATCTTTTGGACAATATGGTGAGTAGCTAGTTTATATAGGCTATGGAAAAGGGCCAAAGGATAAGTACGGTCGTCCTTGTCTTACTGTTCTTAAAAAAAATCTAATTACGATTTTTCTTTGTGGACCCTTTTAACCATTGGGATATCGCCACGTATATGAACCGGCCGACCTTATCAATGTGTTGTACAAATAATTTTCCAGCGATATAAATGTGCATATACAATTCCTATAAAGATTTTTTCATGTGTAAGATTTTTATGTATGTGAACATTCCTGTAAGTGATTGTAGGCAGCAGTAGCACTAGTCAGTTGAGAAATTACTGCTTTGTTGTAGTAATTCATCGTGTGTCAATGTAACATCTCGATATAAAGCAGTGAAAATATGCTAATTACTGTAAGTTCTTGCCACCGAGAGATCTCACCGAAGGCAAGAACAAGATCTAACTAATAACTATATATTGGTGCCGGTTCGGGTGCATGAACCGTCAGGAAAAGCCAAAGTTAAGTATATCGACACGTGTCAAGCCAGTTGTCCTTTCTTCTAGAATTCTGAAAAAGCCTAACATCGATGTGTGGTTAGTTTTATCATAATGCTCCAAATAATTATAGCCTAGTTCGAGTATTCTTTTTTGTCCTGAAGCACTCATCAGTCACTTTTACAATGGATTGGAGAGTCAGAAAAATAAAAGAAGAAGCACTAACTTGTATATGTGACACATGAAAAAAATCTATTGAGTTTAAAAAAAAAACAAAAAAAAAAGAGAAGGCACTAATAGTAAGTAATAAGACGTTTTTATGAACAAAAATGTATTAGTCAGACACGCGTAGAAGGCATTTTCACGTTCGTGCGAAATGTACACGTGTTGGGAGAGTTAGGCAAGACTTCAATATAAGAATCAAAAAAGACAAAAAAAAAAAAAAGTGATAATAAAAGAGCAGAAAATATTGAACAAGTGTACAAAACTACAAAAATTCTAACTAAAATATATTTAACACGAGACACGTATATAGAGAGCTAGAAACATTAATACTTTTAAGATATATTTTTCCGTTACAGATGAATAAACTACGATTTTATTATATATTTAATTTTGATAAATAAAAATGTATAATTAGGGTTTCGTTCACTCAAGAAATACTAAAAATGGGCTGAGAAGTTGACAAGTGAAAACAATGGAGCAATGGACCATGCTGGAGAGGTCAGAGTAGCCTTTTATATAATTCATGTGTGACGCCCGATTCAAAGAACTCGATTCTTCTTGATAATTCTTTTTTCTCTTTAAACTATTATATTCTTTTCATTTCGTTTTCGATTGCTTTTTCGGATTTTAGATTTTAGTGAACGTGGAGAATTCTTGTTCATATAGAGAGAGGGACATGCTCACCCGTTTCTTGTATATATATATTAAGATACTAATTTCTGACTTATTAGCAAAAAAGCTACGACAAGTTTTGTTCAACGATTTGCATAACTGCATAATGTGTTGGATAGAAACTCGGCTGTCACTATTTAATTAGCTTATAATATTCTTATGATCCTGACAAATAATTATTGGTAGTGATATAGTTTTAATCATCTTACAAAAATAACATCTTAATTGACATAAATTTTATATGTTTGCGGCTCAAAATCACTGGTGAACATTTGAATCAGTTTAATATATAGAGAGTAGATATAAAATCGGACGAGTTCGACTTGAACAAACCATCTTTGATCTTGTGGTGATCGGTCCATGTTTCTGAAGATCATGGTCGTTTCTGATCTATCGTTGTGATCAGTCTTTGTGACCAATCAGAGTTGTATCAAAAACTTTATATATATGATTTTTATGGGTTGATTGTAATGTTAGCGTCTTCCTTTAATTTACGGAATGCCCCCAAACCTTAACCACAATATTCTCAATACATCTTAAACACACACACAAAGATAGACTCATGAGAACTCTACACGTATATGCATGGTCAATTGTTAAAGTATGTTTTCCTCTGTCAAGTTACATTGTTAAAGGCTTTAAAGAAGATAAGGTGATCACGAAGGTTTTATCGAAAAGAAACAAAAAAAGGCATGGCGCTTTCTAAATCCATTGCCTACTCACTTTACATGTGTGCATACATAATTGTTTCAACATTATTGAGTTAAGCAAAATCTGGACTATATAATTAATTCGACATTACGTACTCATAAATGATTCAGTGATGACTAATCCATTCTGAATTTTAGACTCTTCCGAAAAATTTATAGGTTGTAGCACCTAAACTATATAGAGATTGATGATTCTTATAATTAAGACCCTTTTACATGAATGATCCCACTATATAACACAATCTTCCAAAAATTACAAACTGTAACATGTATGTTTTAAATAAACTATAAAATATATATTTTTATTAAAAGTAGTTGATCAGTACATAACTTTGAAGTGTAAAATTGCAATATGTAGCTGAAACTAGAATTCTGAATAACTAAAGGCGACAAGTGGTACTAGCTACTACCAGCTACTAACTTTTTAAAGCCGTCTTCCTAATTTCCCTTTAAAAGAAACGCTTTGAACACTTGGTTTGTATCATAATATGAGAGTTTGTAATAAGGCGAGAGATAAAACCGCGTGAACTTAAATTTTCTTTAGGTTTATGAAATTAAATTGGAGTGACAACGTGTAACGTGTGTAAGACTGGGAGCAGAATACCAACAAGCAAACATTAAATTGTCTTTGAATTTTCCTTTTAAACACATACATAACATGTTCTTCACATTACTTACTTAGATTCTGATTTAACTTCTTTTTCAAGGACCACTTAAGCCGGACCAAATCAATCTCTCAAAATTTAATTGATTTATAACCCAAAAAAAAATTATTGCGACAAAAACTTATTGCTGTTATACATCCGTTCTTACGTACTCAAAAAAGTTCTAAAATATCCAAAACAAACTAAAAGTGGAGAATAATAGTATCAGCCGGATTTGGTCTTACCGATCCTCATCAAAGCGAGATAAGCAATAACTCTATAACCAACAAGCATCACAGCCAAAGCTAAGGCAGAGACCAATCCACTATGAAAACCTATATTCTTGATACCTTCAAAGTCACCAACATGACATTTCAACTTCCCATCGTCGCCACATGGATACAACTCATTCGCCGTGTACTGACCCAAAATCAGTAGTTTATAGGTATAGTAACCTATTGATACGTATTTAATCCAAGAGATAAAAACTGGAACATGTTGCACGTAGTATCCTCCTGCCAACAAAAACGTGAGCATTATGACTGATCCAAGCGTCGTGGCTGACTTCTGGTCCATAACTAGGGCGCCTAGGGCTAGTCCTAGCCCACCAGAGACAAGGACATGGACGAGGAGGACCAAAAGGGTCAAAAAAAAGTTTGCGGGGTGGTGGTTTAGACCGGCCATAAAATATGTAATCAAGACAAAACAACATGGAAGAATAAGCTCCATTGGTAGATCCCCGACAACTCGGGACATGAAGTAAGGCGAGAGCCTGTACATGCCCGAGGAGCGTTCTTTCTGTAGCATCGCTCGCTCTTGAGGAAATGTGAAGATTTGTTGGAAGAGAGGGAAGAATGCCCAGAAGGATGACATAAAGAATAACAATCCTATCTGCAACAATAAACCACAAGTATGGTCACTTCATGGATGTATATACATAATGACGCACACAAATGTGTATATTAATTTAAATCTAAATACCTGATCTTGTAAGCGAGAAAGTTTCGTTTGCCACCAAAGGAGACCACAAAGGATAGAGACGATAAATATCTGAGCAATCTTTATGCCAGAGAAAGAATCGTGACGCCTTTGCTTAAGGCCTCTCTGCAAAAGAACACAAAACTGCTGCCACCACGTCGTTGGCCATTCTCCAAAATGATTTGTCTCCACATGAGGATTCTCTATTGGTTTGTTAGAAAGATCATCTTGTCCTTCAAGATCAGTGATAACATTGTCCAACAGGTGTGTCTTGTAAAGCTCAACAAGAGCTGCCTTCAATGCCTCTGGTCTTTGGGATTCATCTGAACCAATACCTACAGGGTATAACATATGTGAGATTCAACAACGAGACACAAAATTTATAAAATGACCGCTTACTTGGGAGGCAAGATATCACAAGGAGAGGCTTACCGTTTGCAATGTCCAAGAGAAAGTCAGAGGGATTAATCCTTTCCACCGACGGGGAGTATCCACCGCTAGCGAAATAGTCCATAGCATTGGATCCAAGACCGAAGTAGATGGGATTACCTTCTGAAAGGAGTAGAAGCTTATCAAACATATAGAACAACCTACTAGAAGGTTGATGAATTGTGGTCACGACCGTTCTTCCACCACGAGCCAGTTCCCACAAAATTGATACGATCTTTTGAGCCGTGGTAGAGTCAAGACCAGAAGTAGGCTCATCAAGAAAGAGCAAACTAGGGTTTATAAGAATCTCTTGCCCTATACTAACCCTTTTCCTCTCACCACCGGAAACACCTCTCAAGAAGGGTCCTCCAATGATGGTATCCTTACATCTGTCTAGACCCAATTCAGTCATGACTGCCTTAGCTTGATTGATCTTCTCTTGTTTTTTAAAAGAATTGGGAAGCCGAAGAAGCGCGGTGAAGACTAGAGTTTCTGTAACGGTCAAGTGAGGGTAAAGAGCATCGTCTTGAGTCACGAAACCTGTAGTTCGCTTCACAGCTTTGGATAATGGCTTGTTGTTGTAAGATATGTTCCCTGTGAGCTTCCCTTTCCCTTCCCCAAGCCGTCCTCCTAAAGCCGTCAACAAGCTGGTCTTGCCACTCCCGGAAGGACCCAGCATAGCCAAGATCTCTCCCGGTTTAACGAACCCTGTCAAGCCTTTCAAGATGGTTCGCTCCTCGGTTTTGTGGTTGGTTCGGAAACAGCCATTTGGATCCTCCAGCTTCACCGTGTACACAAGATTCTCAAACTGCTCCAAAACATCAAGAACAAGATTGAATGAAAAGATCAGTCTTATTAAACATGTATATAGCCCCCTAAGAATGTGAAAAGTTCTCTTTCTTTTAATAAACAAATCAACACTTTTAACCTAAAGAACCAGTTTGTGTTATTCTCCATTGTATCTACCCTAAGTTAATATACGTAAGCAAAACATTACCTTTAAAGTAACAGGGTTATTAGCCTTTTTAAAGATTGAAAAAGGTAGGGATCGATCATCGTTGGTCTTGTCGATGGGGGCTTCAACATCCACAGAAACCTCTTGATTATCCATTCCCAACAATGATCGATCGATAAACCCTTAGTCGCAGTAGCTAAGGATTAAAAAGCTCACCGAATCACTTGAAACGAAATAATAAAAATATATGTAATTCTCAAGCTAGCTAGCTAGTACTAACCAAGAAAGTATATATTTGAGAAAACTGAATCGTGAATTGAAGGAGAAAAAAACTGATACGATGTATTTAGTTTTGTTGGAGTTGGGAGTTCTAGAGACGGAAGAAGACAAAACTAAAACTTTTAACTTTAATTTAATTTTCAGCTAAATATAATAAAAGAGAAATTAGGGTTCACGTAAGGCAAGTGAGAGAGAGTTTTAAGGATATATACAAGGAAGATTCTTTACAGAATGCTTCTGTTACTTAACACGCTTTTAATGTGGGATGTTTGTTTCGATCCGCCGATATAAATATATATTTATCATTTGATAAACAAATCAATTTGAGATTTTCTATTTTTTTTTTCTAACCAAAAATCACAACAATATTAATTTGCGTTATAATTCGATATATACGCAAGGTTCAGGAAATATAATAGGGGAGAGCTGTAAAAGGTTTTCTTTAATCTAAAAAGGAGAAATTAAATTGTAAAACCTAATAATATTTGTTTTATTTCATTATTGTTGGTCCGACAGTGTGGTTGGATCATTGTTCTATTTGTAAACCCTGAAATCACTAGTTATTATTAAACACACATACACCAATTTCTTCAATAGTTTAGATATGTGTGGATATATTATATCATCTAGTACCATAAGAAAAGAAAACAAACTGATAAACATAATGGCAAAAAGATGACGTCGGAAGCATGAAAGACAATGTAACCTCCACTTACGAAGTTAAAGGTGGGGGAATTCGCTAGTGAAACGTTAGGAATTGAGCATGCGATCATCCACTGAAAAAAATTGGTTATCCAAAGTTAACAATGACATGAATCTTTATGTATTCAAGATATATAGTTTTTTTTTCTGCTAAGATATTAGCAGTCTATATATGTATACTCAAAGGGAAATATGTTTGCACTGAGTAACATTTCTTAGTGAAAGTTTAATTTTTAGTGCTTAGACCTTTTCGATTGGATGAAAAGGCCATAACCCACATTTTCTCCACTCTTTATAATTAAGTGGTTTAATTTGTATGGAAAACAAGGTAATATTTAAATTTTGATTCGATTAAGTTTTCTCATTGGAGCTTGATATATATATACTATACAATTTACATACCTTGTTCTACAATATAATTTAATTTTCTACCAATCATGAGTAGTCGAATTTCACAACGATTTGACACTTATACAACATTTACATTATTTTTTTCAATGGAATAAAATGTATTGTACAAGTAGTATGAAACCGGATGTCGATTTTAAAATATTAAACAATAAGCATGAGATCATTTTACATTTTTACTTGTTTTTTTTCTCAAACCCGTTCTCTCATGTTATTTCATTATCTTTGTTTGTTCTAAAAAAAAAATTCAAAAAAGTATGAAAAAGATAAATGAAATAACTAATAACTTAAAATATAAAAGATCAAGAATCTTTTTCTCCATTCAAGCTAAGGATTAAATTTATAAAAGAAAACACAAGCGAATCCGCTGGACAAGTCAGAGAGTTATGAAACAACATCTTTGATGACCGTTAGCTGAGTCAACTTCCGGTGGTTGCAACCCCCACATAAAATCAAGAAAATAGTCCAAATATTTTACGGTCACAGCTCTTCTACAGTTCTACTTATCTCTCAGAAAAATCCTATAACCACAACTTCTCTCAAGTATCTGAGTTTATCATCGAAGACACATTTGGGAGATGCAAAGGAGAAGAAGTGGGAATAATGATAGCCGAGACGGGAATGGTGATGGTAGGTGTTTTGGGATTATGGGCACGCTTTGTCCGACAGCCTCTACTTGAATTCACCGGAGAAGTGATAGATGTTATCTCCCAAGTCGTGTTGAGGATGTGTCGACCAGATACAACTTCTTATACTCCTCTTTCTTCTACTACTAATTAACAACCGTACCCTCCTCCTTCCATCACAACAAGGTGATAACATTTTTAATCCATATCGGAAAAATATACATATAGCTTTTTAATTAACTTTTATTTGTAGGTTCTCAACTCTATATATATGTTTATATTTTGTATTTTTCTTTTGAATGTTAAGACTCCTAATCAACAAAAAGGAAAGCTATTAACGTGCTCTCGCCCGTGTCCCTCTCTAGACATGTGGTTTATATGGTTAATTACCTGAAAGCTCAAACGCAATAGAGTACTAGCTAGTGAGAGCATCGTAAGAGGCTTGGTAGCTAGAGACCAATTGTAGGTGATGCTGCATATATGCAATATATTTGTAAATTATATTGATGAGCAAAGGTTACAAATCGCAAACCATATGTGATTAAATAATCAGCTACATCAGAAGAAGATGTGTTCTCCTAAGCTGATCATACATAATTAGCAGGTGTAAGCTCAAACTTTTGTATTTTTTACTTTAATTCAAGGCCTATCATGAGTAAAATACATTGATTTGAGTAACAAATAATCTGGTGAGACCACAAAAAAGTTGTAAACATTTAACTTTGTTTTCAATATAATGTAAATCTAACAAAAACACAAGAAATGTAATAATGAAACATTCGTTTCTGCATAACCTTTGACAAGAAGTATAAGAAGATAATAGTTAGCTACGATTGATCAATCACGTGACCCACATTAGTATTAATCATGAATACTTAATCATTTCTTATAATTATTACAAACACAACTTCAGTGTGACTATTCTTGGGTTGGTTCCTACAAGTGGTTATACCTTTTTGACGATAATCTTGTGATATTAATTAATGAAAGCATATGTTCTAACTAACAATGGAAAATTTTCTGGTGACTGGCCACTTTACAATCATTAATGATTATAATTTCCAACCTTACATAACTTATCAAATTAAACAAATATAAATTTTCTATAAAATCTGAGATGTGTAGGTTCAACTATCATAATGTAACATAAAAGAGCTAAATCTGCATCATATATATATTTTTTTATATACAACTATTCAAGAAATTTTGAACGTAGACTTTAGAACAATCATAATGTAACATATGTAACTAAGAACTTTTTATCAATGTATCTTGCGCAATAATGTCGCCCCATTCTCCACCTCACATGGTTAGAACATATTCAAATACTTATAAAAATCATTGTATATTTCGATTGTCTCCCCTCCAAGCTAAGACAAATCATGTAATTAGTAAACATCACAAAACTTCACACTGTCATTTCTGCGACTATCATTTGAGTAACTGTTACTATCATTTGTCTCTCTTCGCACCCAAGTTTTTGACATGTGACATGTCAACTAACACTTTCATTTCCAACAAAATATTTGTTTATTAATAGGAATTATAATATACTACTATTTCCATATAATTTACGAACATTTTTATGTTGTAATGTAAATAAACCTCACTATTTGTGCCATCACAAATACAAAACCTGAATCTTGGTACTTGGGACTATACCGAACTTCCATGGAAATGCACCAGTCGATGTGAATGAAATATACTACTATCTTTTAAGAAGAAATAACAAAACAAAAGAAGAAAAAAAGTGGACTGAACAATTCGTGAAACTATAAGGATGTCTACCAACTTACTCAATGGTATGCAAAAGTGAAAACAAGGTAGACATGCATTGGTAGACGAAACAACAAGTCTCCTTGATGCCAACTTAGTTTCGAGGTCTCGTATGGATGATAATGTGAAGATGAAATATTTTGTAATTTTGCAAACGTTTGGCAAAGATTAATGAAAACAATTACTAGTACTGTTGACGTATAGAGAATCTAGAATATGTGTCTACCGGTTGAAGTGGGTGTGTCGGCGTAGAGAACGAAGGGACCCCTAAATTGATAAATTTTATTAAGAAAATAAAGTGAGAAAAAAAAAGAATCAAAAAACCTCTCCTCTCTCCTCCTCTTGTTCATGTGAATGTCTGAGCCTGAGCTTCTTCAATGCATGTGCTCTCGCTTCTGGATCTCAATTAGTTTCTTATTACAGCTTTTTCTTCACTCTCTTCTCTATCCCTTAGCTGTCACGAAACATTCTCTTTCACTCTTCCCTCTCTCCACATAAAAATCTCAATTCTATCAACATTCTTCAACACCTTAAGTTTACCCATTCTTGTCTCTACAGACAAAAAAAAACAATTGAATTTGTTTTGTGGGTTCTTTAATGGATCCAAGAACAAGACTTGACTATGCTCTGTTTCAGCTCACACCCACCAGAACAAGGTACTTTGCAAACAAAACCCATTTTTTAGTTTTTATTTAACACAGGTCTTATATGTTATGTTGATGATTCTCTAACTTTTGTTGTCTCTGTTGTCAAAGATGTGAGCTTGTGATTTTCTATGGTGGCGAGAATGAGAAGCTTGCTTCTGGGATATTTCAACCGTTCGTTACACATCTCAAGAGCGTTAGAGATCAGATTTCTAAAGGTGGATACTCTGTTACTCTCCGTCCTTCCTCCGCCGTTCCTTGGTTCACTAAAGTGACCCTTCAGAGGTAAAGCGTTGCCGTCTCCGTGAAAAAGTAACCAACTTTATTTCATGAACCCTAAAATTTGATGATTTTTTTTTGTTTTTTTCCGATTTTGGGGAAAAGATTTGTGAGATTCGTGACCACTCCTGAGGTTCTTGAGAGGTCTGTTACATTAGAGAAGGAAATTGAGCAGATCGAGGATTCGATTCAGTCTAATGCAGCCGCCATTGCAGGCGAAGCTGAAGGTATTTTTGGTCACAAATTTGGTCAATTTCTACAGAGTATTATAAAAAAAATTCGATATTTTGTCAACATTGTGTAATCTGATCCTTATATAGGAAATGAGTCTTCTCAGAGGTCTACGGCTTTGTCAAAGGTGAGTATTTTTTTTCTTTCACTCTCGTTTATGCCAAAATTAGAGTTATTGGCTTAATTATTCAATTGTACTTGGCTCTGTTTATGTGTAGACAAAAGGGGAAACTGATGGAGACACTGTGGAAGAAAATTCTAAGTAAGTTTTTAGTAGTCTTTTCTTTATGATCCTGTTGCGTTTTGTTTATTGGTTATGTGAAGTTTGTTGATTCTGATAAGTGGTGAAATCAATGGAATAGGGTTGGTCTTCAGCGTGTGCTTGAGAATCGCAAAGCGGCTTTGTGCAAAGAGCAAGCTATGGCTTATGCCCGAGCTTTGGTTGTTGGCTTTGAATTGGACTATATGGATGACCTTTTTTCTTTCGCTGATGCTTTTGGAGCTTCGCGTTTAAGGTATGTAGCTAAGCTGTTCGTTTCACTGTATTGTCTGTGGGCACTTGTAATGAGTATTATGAATGAATTAGTGTTTTCATTTTTCCCCCAGGGAAGCTTGTGTTAACTTTGTGGACTTGTGCAAGAGAAAGAATGAAGATAGAATGTGGGTTGACCAAATCACGGCTATGCAAGCATTTCCTAGGCCTGAATTATCGTTCATGGGTGACTCTGGGATCGTACTCGCTGGCGAAGAGAATGATTTGTTGAATGCTACAAACGTAAAACATGGAAACTCCATGGATGCCTCGAGCCAGGGCAGCTTTGAGGCTAGCCAAGGTCCTTATAAGCATTAATTCTGTTGATTTCATTAGCTGTTTCTTGGATTTGTTTTCTTTCTGGGGGTTATTGGTTAGTAAATAAAGCCGAATTAACTGTATTGTGCAGAAGGGAGAGCTCAAATGGTAATGCCATGGCCAAACCAGTTTCCTCAGTACATGCAGAACTTCCAAGGACATGGGTATCCACCTCCTTATATGTTTCCGGGTATGCAAGGCCAGACACCATATTTCCCTGGGAATATGCAATGGCCCGTAAATATGGGAGATGTGGAGTCAAATGACAAGTCTTCCAAAAAGAAAAAGAAGAAGAAGAAGAAAAAGAAGTCAAAGCAAGATGAATCTACTGAGCCAAGCGATGATTCCAGTGTTGAGACCAAATCAGAAGACAGAAATGAAGGAAAGAAACAATCCAGGAAAGTGGTTATCCGCAACATAAATTATATAACTTCAAAGAGGAATGGAGCGAAGGAGAGCGATTCAGAGGAGTCTGAAGAAGAAGAAGAAGAAGGGTTTGTAGATGGAGATTCCATCAAACAGCAAGTAGAAGAAGCTATTGGCTCACTAGAGAGACGGCACAAATCAACTTCGCGCCGTCAGAGGAAAAACAAAAGTCACAACGATGATGATGATGATTCAAGTAACAAGGAAACTAAGGGGAATGATAATTGGAATGCCTTCCAGAATCTTTTATTGAAAGACAATGATTCGGATCCAGAAGAACCACTACGAACATCATCATCTGCGTTAAACATGGAGTCTGAAGTTGTGAGAAAGAGAGAGCCGCCTTCGGATGATTCGTTCCTGCTTGCAAATGGGAATGAGGATTGGGGAACAGAAACCAGCATTAAGAAATTAGATGCAGGTGAGAATGGTCGGATGATAAGGAGAGGGAATAACTATGATGACGAGATGTTGAATCCAGGTAGAAGTGATGAATCAAGAAGCTATTCGCAGGCAGAGATGTCGATTTATGATGGGAAGCTCAGAGCCAGAAATGAGGCAGAGGATGACTGGTTCATACGTAACCAAGCAGGTCCAGAAACAGATCCAAGTCTTGTCAAAACATTTGTAGGAGACCAATTCCACTTAAATAAGAGCAGTGAAAGGGATGTTCTGACCGATGACTCGTTCATGATCCATTCTCGTGTTGAGGGCCAAGTAGAAGAGTCCCAGTTAAGGACTGACATCATGGACTCAGATGTTTACGGAACCACCCAGCAAGAAAATAATGCCTCAGAGATCACTCCGCATGAGCCAGATGACCTTTTCATGGTTCTTGGACGAGAACAAGATGTTGAACCTACATTGTTACCATGGACCCCTGAAATTGACTACGAGACTAACACATTAGCTCAAAAAACAAGCAAAATCGATATGGAAACTGCCACAAAGGCCTCTGCAGGTGAAAAAATCTCAGATGGTAAAGAAAAGAAGAGTCGTGGTATTTCCAAGGGGAAAGATGCAAAGTCAAGGGCATCTAGTAGACCGGACCCAGCATCAAAAGCCAATAGACCTGCTTGGGGAAGTAGAGCTGCTGTCTCCAAGACAAAATCCCAGATGGTAATTTCTATCACCACTTTTTGTCTTTCTTAATTAGTTTCCTTTTCTCATCTGGATTTGGTTTTTGATAGGAGGAAGAGAGAAGGAAGAGAATGGAAGAACTTTTAATTCAGAGGCAAAAAAGAATTGCAGAGAAGAGTTCTGGTGGTGGTGTATCCAAGAAAACTCCTCCTGCGACCAAAACAGTGAAGAGCTCAGTAAAGAACGAGAAGATCCCAGAAGCCGTGCAGTCAAAGGCTATGCCCGTACTGAGAAGTTCAACCATTGAGCGCCTTGCTGTTGCTCGGACCGCTCCAAAGGAGCCACAACCAAAACCAGTAATCAAAAGACCATCAAAACCGTTAGGAAACAAGACAGAGAAAGCTCAGGACAAGAAAACGAGTAAAGCAGGTCCATCTGATGCAAAAAGTCTGGACCTTTCTCGTGACCCGAGTCTCGAAATCAAGGAAACGGTGGTAGAAGATTCACAGTCTTACTTATCCGTGAAGCAAGTCGAAGACCTTCCTGCTGCTGCTGCTGCTGCAGCTGATGACGATTTCAAAGATATTAAAGAGTTACATAGCTTGCCATCAGAAGAAACTGCTAGAGTAAACAATGGACCAAATGAAATCATAGCCGATGCAACCAATCATCAGAAAGTACAAGATCAGACGAGAACCGATGATCAGGAAACAGTAAAGAAGTCAACTGTATCTGAAGATAAGCAAATTGACCATTATTCGGAGGATGTTGGAGAAGTCCAGGTTTCACAGGCAAAACCAGCGTCTCCGAAGAAGTCAGTGACATTCTCAGAGACAAACATGGAGGAGAAGTATTATTTCTCGCCAGCGGCCTCAGAGATTGACGTGTCGACACCGCCGGTGACTGAAGCAGATCACTCGAGGAAGAAATGGAACAGTGAAGAGACGTCTCCCAAGGCAACGGCTAAAGTTTTCAGGAAGCTTCTTATGTTCGGAAGAAAAAAGTAAAATTGGAGTTTAGAATTCTTCTCCGGATTCATCATCATCAACTCTGTTTTGAGAATGTTGAGTATAGTTTGAAAATCCCGGTTTCATATTTTTCATCTTTTATTCTTTAAAATTTTTCTTGTGTGATATTAAATACTATTTTTTTCGTTATCGGTTTGATTTGTGTCTGTTTATATTTACTTTGTTGATGTGTTGTTTATACTTCATAGCATTGAAAGTGGACACTGGATTGTGAGAAATTGGTTTGGTGAGTTTGAATAATGTAAGATTCTTTTGGATTTTTGTAACTAATAAAGCTATTTGATTGATGAATGGAGATGAGATATCGTTAATTATATGAAACTATTGTAATTCTTAAAAGAAATAATTCTTTCTTTCTCCTGAAAATTCGGTGAGATGATTCTTCAAATGTACGCATTTGGTTCTGTTAGATTGTAACACAAGCTTTCTTCGGTTTTTTTTTTTGTTTTGTTTAATCTTTTATTTTGGTAACATGTTCTCATCAAGTGGGAATCTAATTCCCCACGTTATATCTTTTCATATTCTAAGTCTTTTTTTCAAGCTGTTCTCCATTTTGAGATTTAGTCACGATCAAAAATTTAAGAATTTTGATTATTCCTTCACGTAAGTTTTATAGAAATTATACTTTTAACAAAAAGAGTTCATCTTTTTAATGCTATTTTAGTAAGATACAGCTCAATATATGTGCTTTTCGTTTGTCATAAACAACAGAAGATTCTCCCACAAGGAAGCTCTGTTACTATCTTTTGCACTAAGCATCCGAGACTAGACTGTCTACCATATATTCCTATTTTTCCCAGTTTATTAGATAAACTTTTCCAATACACAAAAGTAATTTTTATAGAACAATTTGAATAAATAAATAAAGGTGAAATACACACTTCAAAGAAATGGTAACGTGTCTTTTTCCATTAGGCGAGACGATCCAATCTGAGCAAACAAAGTTGTCTTTATATCTAAAGAAACACTTTGTGAGAACGAGAGAGAGAGTAAGGTGAGTCCATGGCGTCGAAGATTGTCTCAGCCATAGTCTTTGTGTTCAACCTCGTTGCCTTTGGTTTAGCCGTTGCTGCTGAACAAAGACGTAGCACTGTGAGTCACATCACATCTTTAAGAAAATATGTTATTTGAACAAGATGATAATGTGATATCTATCTTCATATTTTGAAGTTCAATTTTGTTTTGTGGCGCAGGCAAGGGTTGTGCAGGACGCTGAGGTGCAATACAACTACTGTGTGTATGATTCGGACAGAGCCACAGGGTATGGAGTTGGAGCCTTTTTGTTCTCAGTGGCTAGCCAACTCCTTATCATGTTCGTTAGCCGTTGCTTCTGCTGTGGAAAGCCTCTCAAGCCTGGCGGTTCACGCGCTCTGGCCCTAGTTCTCTTCATTGTCAGCTGGTAAGTTATAAACTCTTTTGTTATTGCTACTCAGTAAGTTCATACCAATCCACATAATCTAATGATCAGCTTACAAATATTCATTCTTTTCCAAAACACAAGTGTTTCCAAAATTCAAATCTAAAATTACCAAGCATCTTAATTCGTTACAAAACCAAAACGTGTTAATAATCCGATGGTGCTTCTATCTATCACTGAACTAAGAAAATGCAAAAAGAATATTCACAAACAAAGAAATGGAAATTGTGCTAATTTGTTATACGTTCTGACTGTTTTGTTGGGTCAAAAAAACAAAAACAGGATGTTCTTCTTGATAGCGGAGATATGTCTTTTAGCTGGATCGGTGGAGAATGCATACCACACAAAGTACAGGACAATGTTCATGGACAATCCTCCTGATTGCCAAACTCTTCGTAAGGGCGTCTTCGCTGCAGGCGCCTCATTTGTCTTCTTCAATGCTATTGTCTCTCAGTTTTACTATTTCTTCTATTCCTCTGCTGCTGAGGCCTCCCTTTCACCTTACTAATTCTTAACCAACATATAAATTTTTTTGTTTCCCTTTTTTCCTTTGTGCTATGTGATATGCTGATATCATATTTTCTTGTTTTTTAATGTATGACTGCAAAATTGTTTGAAACTAAGGGTACAACTACACTATGAGTTTTGTAGATTGATTTGTATGGTTATTGAATGGAAATGTTGTTTTTAATAAGGTCAGAGATGTGATATATATCCCCATGTATTATTTGACAACTTAGACCTTTAATTTGTGGGATGTTCATTTTGAATTCAATCCTAAATCTTTTTGATTCTCGATCAAATTTCATACGCTAAATGTCAATTAGATTGGAATTTATATACCCAATTATTCTTTGATGAGAAAAGAATATATATATATTAAGTTTCAATCCTTTTTAATTCCGAGCAAAACTATGGTTATCAAAAGACAAATTATCCGAACATGAGAGCGTCCATAACATTAACAACTAGCTCTCTATTATCTTCTCCCATGCTACAGGGGTATGGGATCCCATCAACACCAATCAGCAATCACACCATCCCATATTGCAACTGTTCCATTTGTTTTAACCCAAAAAAAAAAAATAGTAACAGACAATAAAATAAAATATCTAAGAATTAAGGAAATCTAAACCACGAATTCTCATTGGGTACTTAAAGATGACGTGGCAGATACTTTGTGTTCAAGATAATGCTATCCACACAATCTTCTGTGACCACTGTAGGGACCAATCTCCCCTTGTCTGAATATCAATCTCCGAGTACATATACGAACACACTCTCTCTCGCAAAATATCCACCACACTCGATAGTCTTCTTCTCCCAATCGCTTTTTGCTATCTCTCTTTGTTCGAGTATCAGCAATGGCCCTTCAAGCTGCTTCTTTGGTCTCCTCTGCTTTCTCTGTTCGTAAAGATGCGAAATTGAATGCTTCTTCATCATCTTCGAGTCTATTTGGTGCCTCCATCACTGAACAGATCAAATCCGAACATGGATCTTCCTCATTAAGATTCCAGGTACATAACATGTCTCTGTTCCGACATCACAGTGTTTGATTAGCCCTTTCTTATGCGAAAGGTTAGTAATTTTTAGTTTATCAAAATGCAGAGAGAACATAGCTTGAGGAGTGTAGTCATTCGAGCACAAACCGCTGCGACTTCAAGCCCTACGGTTACAAAATCCGCGGACGGCAAGAAAACGTTGAGGAAAGGAAATGTGGTGGTCACGGGGGCCTCGTCTGGGTTAGGTCTAGCCACGGCTAAAGCTCTTGCTGAGACAGGGAAATGGCACGTGACAATGGCGTGCAGAGACTTCCTTAAAGCCGAGAGAGCTGCTAAATCCGCAGGGATGCCTAAAGGCAGCTACACTGTGATGCATTTAGACTTAGCTTCGTTGGACAGCGTGAGGCAGTTCGTTGATAGCTTCAGGAGGACAGAGATGCCTCTCGATGTTTTGGTCTGCAACGCTGCGGTTTATTTCCCGACAGCTAAAGAGCCTACTTACAGTGCAGAAGGCTTTGAGCTTAGCGTTGCCACGAATCATTTGGGACATTTTCTTCTCGCAAGGTTGTTGCTTGATGACTTGAAGAAATCTGATTACCCTTCCAAGCGTCTCATCATCGTTGGATCCATTACCGGTATTGTCTAGTATCTAATACATATAGCCTACACTGCTAGCTAGGGAATGATTTTGATCATTGTATGTTGGTTTTGGTTTAGGGAACACGAATACATTGGCTGGTAATGTACCACCAAAGGCGAATCTAGGTGATTTGAGGGGTCTTGCGGGTGGATTGAACGGTTTAAACAGCTCAGCTATGATTGATGGAGGAGATTTCGACGGTGCAAAGGCTTACAAAGACAGTAAAGTCTGCAATATGTTGACGATGCAAGAGTTTCACAGGCGTTACCATGAAGAAACTGGAGTCACTTTTGCTTCGCTTTACCCCGGTTGCATCGCTTCCACGGGTTTGTTCCGAGAGCACATTCCTCTCTTCCGTACCCTCTTCCCTCCCTTTCAGAAGTACATTACTAAAGGATATGTCTCCGAGACAGAGTCTGGCAAAAGACTTGCTCAGGTAATAAAGAAGAGAATGTTATCTTGTAGCTTATTAGTCAAGAAAATCATTTTTCTTGCTGTGTACTCAAACAATGGATTTTTTTTTATCAGGTGGTGAGCGATCCTAGCTTAACAAAATCAGGGGTTTACTGGAGCTGGAACAACGCTTCGGCTTCTTTTGAGAACCAGTTATCAGAAGAAGCAAGTGACGTTGAGAAGGCTCGTAAAGTGTGGGAGATCAGTGAGAAGCTCGTTGGACTGGCCTAATGTACTTGAAAGAACTTTATGCTGATGAGACCACTCCGTATCAAATCGATGAAACCTAGTGAATTTTCGGGAATTTTAGATGTCTGATTCTGTTGCGAAGTTTTTCCTTAGTATCTGTTGAGTGTAGATTACTTGGCGAGAAGCCCACAATAAAGAAATAAAGTTGGCAAATCTTTAGCTTTCTTGAATTTGTTTCATTGAAACATATCAGTTAGTTATATACTCTGTTTCGTCATCTTGCACTATAATTTGCTTGTTTCATGAAGGATGAAAAAACGAAATTATCAACGTCTCTCTAACGCATTTCTCTGAAAGAGAGTAAAAATGTTAAAAGTTTCATGGACTCAAAGAAGTAGAGAGAATCAAGCAATGAGTCTATTGGTTCATGTCTCTTATAATTCTAGATCTCTTCTAATTTTCCGATTTGTGATCCTAACCAAAAAGGCAATACTATGTATGAAAATTTTCTCTTAGAAATCCGTCTACCATGTTATGTTCAGTTCTGTAAAACCTTATCTAAGAATCCGAAATTTTTCTCCCATCACAAGTGTTAAAAAGATTATTGTCTGAGTCTGACTATAGGTAGTAGAGAAACAGAACCTTGAAAGCTATTCACAGTTTTATTCATGGCATACTTGGGAACAGTCCATAACTAAGATAAAAGTGGAGAAGAAGAACAAAGTGCGAAAAAGAAACCATCTTCTGGAAGTTCCCAGTGTTTTCAGAGAGTCCAATTGGCTTCACTTCCTCGACGAGGGATACTGTTAACACGATTGTACACATCCACCTTGAAGTTGGCACCGCACAGAACTCCCTCACTGTCCACTCTCGGCATTGCCTTGATCTTGTTCATCGGATGCTCAAAGCTCATTAACCCTCCTTCACTATGGAACATACACCCTACAAAAATGCATCAAACACTCCACTAATTACATATACTTCACTACACCAAGTCCAAATCTTTGTAAAATCATTCGAAGATTTAGTTGTTACCTGTAGGAAATGGAGCAAAAGATTTGGCACAACCTTCTTTAATAACATCCAAATCATCTGATATGACAACAGATCCATCAGCAGCTATCCCCCAGTATAGCTTCACCCCTCCATCAGATCCCTACATGAATTTACATCAAATTGATTTCTCAAAGACTTTGAAACATAAAAAGTGATAAAAAAGGAGTGATTTGTGAAGTAGTAGTAGTACCAGAGCTGTGAAGACAGAGCCGGCTTTGCTATCATAAACAACAAAGGCAAAGCTACCATCTAAGTCTTTAACAACCTGATCAGCTGGATAAGGACCTCTGTCTCTAAGAGTCCTGTAAGCTTCGATCACAAACATGGCCTCGTTTGTTGTCTTGGTTAGACCATATTGTCTGTTTAGCTGACACAGATTGTTCAAGCTCCCAAAGAAGAGACAGTAGATATCATCAAATCCACAAAACAACCTAACAAAGATAAAAAAAAATTGAAGATTAACGGAGCAGAACCTTAACAAAACAGAACAGATGAGCAGGGTTTTGTTCAGTCAGTGTAAGGTACCTCTGGTGGATGGAGAAAGAAGCAGAAGGACGGACGTAAGCAAGAACAGCAGCTTGACCGAAAGACATGGAGAAAGTGTTGAGAGAGTAACGAGATAAGAAATCGTTGAGGGTATCTTGAGGAAGCTTTGGTTGTTTAGAACATTTCTCAGAGGCCGGACTGTTGAGTTCCTCCGGCGGATGAGCAAACGCCTCGTGGAATATGGCCAACATTTATTTTCTATCGAGACAGAGAACCCAAAAAAAAAAATGAAATAGAAAAGGAAAGAGTTTTGTGCGTCTCTTCTGTATAAGAAGAATAATCTTGTTGAAAGGAAGAATGAAGAAGGTGGCAAAGGTTTGTTGAGTGTATAAATATATATATATATATATATATATGTGAAGCGGTGGGCTATTTGTGGTATAATAAGTCCGTTGTCTGTTTTGGTTGGTTTTTCTGTGGGAAGAAAAAAGAAACGTTTTTGGATGAGATGATGAGACTATTTCCTTTCCTTCTTCTATATTAGACTTTTCGTTATTCCAAATTGTCTATATCTTATTCATTATTATCTGGTTTGATTTTGCTTAAATGTTGAATAAAGAATGATAGGATTTAACAACTAAAGTATTAAAAGAAAAATTAGTTGAGAAATTTACTAAAATTAACTTTTAGGATGTCATATTCTTTTAACTTTTATTTATTTTCAAAAAAGAATCCACTTTGTAGTGTAGGTTTTTGTCTTAAAATAATGAAAAGTGTGGTTTTTTTTTGTTTGGGAAGTAGAAGTGTGGGGTTTAAAGTTTAAACCTTATGGAAATATGCAAATCAGTAATTAAGCATATATTTTTAACAGACAAGTAAATCTCTTAAAAAGCAAACATGGTAGTAATCATAAATTTTTGCATGTAGCTGGGATATACAGTATGTTTATTTTGTTTAGCAATATTCTCTGGTATTTTTAGACTTTTTCATGGTTTGTTTTAGATGAACTTGTATAGTACAATAGTAATAGTACATAGGTTTTGGATATGGAATCTATCTATTTATCTCTCTCTATCTCTGCCGTTACATTATCATTCAGCGGGGAGTAGTGGGAAATGATGGGGTCATGAAAGAGAGATGTCAGTGTCACGGGATAAGCGTTCTCTCTCACTACTTTTTTTTTATGTCTTCTTCTTCTTCTTATCCTTTCCCCCTTTTTCTTCATTTCTTTTTCTCCGGAGATAAAACTGATTTATCCATTCCCAATTATTTTTATTAACTCTGATTCATCTTATCTTATGGAGTATAGTAGTCTTTCTTATTTGTTATTACTATGCATGTTTACCTTCAAAGCATCTCAGAACATACAGTTGTACTTGTAAAGTCTTGACTTAGCTTTACCTAATTGCTTTGTCATTTATACCGCTACTTGTTATGTTTTACTACTTTCATATTTCCTTTTATAGTACGTTTCAATATTTCCTTTTTTTTTGTAGATTTAAAATATCTACTTTTATCTGCAATGTGATTCCCTATATATTTTGGTGCTTTCCGAGAACTGAACCAGTCAGTACTGCAGCATCATGGTCATCACTATCACTCGCATTACTTGTTTTAAAATACTCACTTTAAATTTTCCATGGCAACACACCATGGTTGGCCCAATAACTCTTCTTTTGGGCCTAATGTTCCTTTTCATATGCATAGCCGCATAGACGTTCAAATTTATGTGTGACTTCCACTTCCATGGTAAGAATTATCTTTTAACAATTGCATCTCGTGAAGTCAAAGTACAGAGTTTCTCACATTGCCGTCAAATTCATTTTTCGACTATCATATAATTAAACATTGTATAAGTATTGTAACAAGTGGAAATCATCAATCTTTGACATTACCAAATCAAAAGTTACATAACTATTACTTTAACTTGTTTTATGATATACATTGGACATCACCGGTCATGGATGCAGGTTTTAGATCCAAAATCACCATATACAGTATTATATTTATAGTACAACATATCTCGTCCAATATATTATCTTCATTCAAAATTTTACAACTATATATAGTAACTATTATATAATAGTTATATGACGAATTAGATAAGCAACCACACGTCTCACCCTTCTTATTTGTTTTGTTTTTTCATGCGTCTCGTCCCCTTGCAAAGTTCTTTAACTACTAGCCTTAGAATATACGTTAGAGAGTTAATGATCTCTCTATCTATAATTGTAAGTTTCTTTTTCGTTTTCTCGGGTTAATTATTATGCAAAGTGAATAAAAATCAAGGTCTGCTTATCTGTTGCACGTGCCATATAAGGACAACCACATATCACGTTTGCTTCGTCAGCAACTAGCTACTGTACAAAAAACTGGAGGCCCGTCACGTTCGTTCGCCTACTTCCGTTGAATCTATTATTGTTCACGTCTACGCTTATTCATATATATATCATTTCGTTTTTGATGCCATGTTTTATTTTTATCAGTTCATGTTTTCAGTTTAAAATACAAACGAAACTAAGCTAAAATGGAGTGTTGCTGAGTTGTATTACTAGGTTTTGCAGCTAGAATATGCTTCTTTTGTTTATTTCCACCCTCTTTATACCAAAATTGATGCTAATTAAGTTTGTTATGCAAATACTATATATGCTATATCGCAAATTAAATATAATATTTAATTGGTAAACGCAATGATTAGTCGGTCCGAATAACATAATTAAAGGTTGGAAACATAGAGCTAGCCAACATGCAAGGTCACAGAGACAGAGGTTTTTGGTATCTTGAATTTATTAGAAGAAATATGTTTACATGGTACCAAAGTTTAATGATTTATATGACTAAATTAAATAACATCGATGGACAAATTTGTTATTTAGTGAAAAACGTACCATTATCAGAGAATATTTATTTATTATATACGTACGGATCCGAGTGTCTTATAGATCATTAGTCCATAAACTCGCTATACCATTGACGTCACTGTATAAGTCACAGTGGTCTGATTGGACCGATTGGCTCGTGTATCATCTGTGTTCCCTCTTGGGATGGACCGGTCAATTTGTAGCTTGGTTACTCAATTACGTACCAATTTTAAATTTAATGAAAAAAACACAATCCTGTTATTTCGTGTCACATAAGATAGCTAATTAAGAGAGGGTCCGTATTCTCCAATATGTGTATACGTACAACACAATCCATGTGTCATGTGTGTATTTGGTTCTATGAATTCATCTGAAATATTTTCTTCGTGTACCAAAAAGGTGAAAACAGTAAAATACGGTTGCATGCTGTAAGTAATTGAGGTTCACATGCTCACTAACGTTCATATGATCAAATAATTTACAGAGGAAACACAACACATTGCGAAAAGAAAACATGTTTTCAGTATTAAAGTAAGTACCTAGAAAACACTTGGCCAGGGAAAAACGGAAAAGAGAAAACACTTGGCCAACTTGTTTACATGACGTGCAAGAACGACTTGTTATTTGTTAAGCATTGGAAAGCGTGTTTAACTGTTAATAATGAGGCGTTTTAGTTTTAGTTAATAAAGGGTCGAAATATGAAAACGCTACCTATGAACCGAAAAGAACAAATCAGAATCAAGCTAAGTTTAATTTGAAAGGGTAAAAAAATAGACTTGGTATATAAACAGAAAAGGTTATTTAATCAACAATATACAGAAGTGAGAAAAAGTGTACTTGGAATTGGAAAGAAGATGATGCAGACCAGGTTCCATTGCCAGCTTGTTGCACAGTTGGACTTGGAGTGACCGAGTTAGTAGAAAATCAAAACGTGTCTTATAATTATCATTAAAGGCCACACCACAAAAAAAGGCATTCGTTGAGTAATATTAAGGTCATATCTAATCTCTATCATAGGTTCGTTCTAATTCTATATACGATGACTCCGAAGAAGCATCATATAAATAAACCTTTCTCATATCCTACCTAAAAGAAAAACATGCTTTTAACTATCTTTTTCAGTTCTTTCTTCTAGCATGGGTTTGAACAATGAACCCATGACCTTCAATTTTTTTGCGTCATCTCTTTGCATTATGCTATTGCTTACTTGAATGAACTATAACAATCGAGAACTTATAGCTTTCTTTTACCGTAATTTGAGTTCATCAACTAGCATCAACTAGAACATTTTGAAAGTTTTTGTTAAGAGTATAACTCTTATTCTACTTGATTTGAAAATAAATGTATGTGAGGATCTTTTTGATGACGACCACCAAAAGTAAAAGTGTTCACTTGTTGTATTTGTGTCTAGAGGTGGTTTTTAAATTACTAGCTAGTCCATCCTCTCTTTTTTTTTTGGTCAACACTAGCTAGTCCATCTATCTATTGTATATGGTTTCAAAAAGAATCCATGCAACAAAAACACACTGTTTTTTACTGTATTTTACATATTTCATTTCAAACATTTTGTTCTGTAACACAAAATCCACGATTAGTATATTTTTTTAAACCATAACACTTGAGGGTACAAAATATATACATGATTAAGTATTACATCTCTAATCAATGGAAAACACTTTTGTACTCTTTATAATTGAATCTTAAACGTGCTCTCAAATTTGCAAAAAAAAAAAAAAAAAAACGTGGTGTCAAATTATACAATATACATCATATATATAGTTCTATATATTCTGTAAATTTTATTTAATTTTAATTTCGACTCGATATACTTGTCTTTTAGATAAACAAGTAAAAAATATTTAAAAAGTATGATATGCACTGACGACAAAAAAAAAAGGTATGAAATGCACTAGCGGAGGATCATAAACTTGTTTATAAGATCTGTATGAGTCGGTTTCTATCAAAACAGGTACTTTAACATCGTACCACCCATCTCTTCTGTTCTCTAAACTCGTCTCTGTCTCTGTCTCTTTCTCTCTCTCTCTCTCTCTCTACACTTTCTAGAGACTTCTTCTTTCTCTCTTTCCTTGAATTTTGATGGCACAGTCTCTACTCTCCTACGACGTCTCCGATCTCTGTCTAGGCAAGCCTCCTCTCCGTTGTCTCTCCGCCTCTTCCTCCTCCGTGTCCGACGCCATCGCTGCCATAAAGTCCTCTGAAGACACTTTCCTATCAGTCTGGAACTGCAATCACGACGAAACCGATGTCACAGAGTGCGAGTGCTTGGGAAAAATATCAATGGCTGACGTCATCTGCCATTTGTCTAAAGACCATGGCTACAACACTCTCTCTGCCTTAAACGCACCCGTCTCTGTTCTGCTCCCCAAAACTCGTTCCCTCGCTCTCCATGTTCAACCCTCCTGCAGGTTTTATATTCGTTTAGATAAAAATTCAACCTTTCTTATTCCTCTGTTTCCATGCTCTGTTTTTTTCTCACTTTTGAAGTACATAAATTAATAGTTTTCTTTTTTTCTGGGGTCAATTTGATTTTGACTGATCAGCTTAGTTGAAGCCATAGACCTGATAATCGGAGGAGCACAGAATCTGATTGTCCCGATTCAGACAAAACCCTTCACTAAGAAAAGGCAGGAAAACGACAAAGTTTCACTCACCACCTCAACGCATTCGAACGGACGACGATTCTGCTGGATCACTCAAGAAGACATCATACAGTTTCTCCTCGGAACCATCGCCGCATTCTCTCCTTTGCCGGCGATGTCAATCTCAGATCTCGGTATCATCAACAGCACACACGCAATCCTCGCCGTTGATTACCACTCCTCCCCTTCCGCCGTCATCTCCGCCATATCCAACGCTCTCGTCGACCAAACCTCTGTGGCTGTTGTCGACGGCGAAGGAGACGACTTTTTAACGTCCTTAATCGGTGAGATCTCTCCTATGACACTAACTTGCTGCGACGAGACAGCTGCTGCGGCGGTGGCAACTCTCTCAGCCGGAGATCTGATGGCGTACATAGACGGAGCAAATCCACCGGAGAGTCTCGTCCAGATCGTTAGGAATCGTTTGGAGGATGAAAGACTGATGGGTCTGCTCTCGCTTTTCGATTCTGTCTCACCTTCGTCGCCGTCGTCGTGTTATTCGTCGGATGAAGAATCACCGACGAGGACGACGTCGTTTGGGAGGTCGATGAGTAGCTCGGCGAGAATGGCGAGGAAGTCGGAGGCGATAGTGTGTAATCGAAAGAGCTCGTTGATGGCAGTGATGATCCAAGCGATCGCTCATAGAGTGAACTACGCGTGGGTGGTTGAAAAAGATGGTTGTTTTGTTGGCATGGTTACTTTTGTTGATATCTTAAAAGCTTTTAGGAAATTTTTGGAGAATGACATGTGAAATATTTTTATTCTGTAATGTTCTTTTGTGTTTTGTTAATTACTACTACTACAAGTCTACAACCCAACAAAACAAAATGTGTTTGTTCATTGTTGGGGTTTGTTTTGTGTTTTGGTGTGGATGAGCAGCCTGTCGGAGTTTGTGATTAACTAAAAACGTGTTTGGTAAGAGCTTTATTCGTCTTTTGGTATATATTTCTATAGCTTCTTTCTTACTATGATGTTTTATACCATGTACCATAATGAGCATGCATGTCCCGGTGGTCTACGAAATATGGTAGGTGGATTAAATAAAACTTAACTCAGAAGCCATTGTCTTGCAGGTTTACATAGGTGGAATGATGTTTTTGGTTTCACAACATAGTCTAGTTTCATCCTCAAATTGTAAATTTAATTGTGTATATATATATATATATATATATATATATGGATCTTGCAGCTTATGTAACGCTACTTCCTCACATATTTGATTACTTGTATGAGTGTTTCTCAACTATGTAACGCTTAATTAGCTTTTCCCCCAAAATTAAAAGTATAAATTTTTGTTTCTACTTTTCCCACGAAATCAGATCTAAAGTTTTCACTTTTTATAAAGGATAGAACCCTTTACTTTTTTGGAAATAAATTAAATCTAGTTATTAACTGTGTAACTTAACATGATAAAAGAGTAATTTAATCCCGACATTAGTGGGAAGGTAAGATATTTTAGTTAGACCATCCTCGTTGGGGGCTAAAATACCTCCACTTTTCCAAAAAAAATCTTTATATAACATATTTTCTTTGAAAAAGTGAGAGTATCTTAGCCTTGTAAGATACCCCCAATGAAGATGCCCTTACAGCATTATCCTCAACGAAAGCTATGTATCCATACCAATAAATAAGTAAAAAGAAAAGAAAAGAAGAAGCACCGTCGTTGTCTAAAAATATCTAAAATAATTAAGAAGACGAAGCAACCCATCAGCGTCGTGTTTGTCTTTTATCATCATCGTACGTTGAAAACTCGTCGACTTATAAAGCGTCTATCTTCCAATCTCTCTGAAAGCCTTCACCTTTCTCCCATTTTCGAGCTTGATCATCATTTTCGTATTACATCGCGTTTTTTTGTTTGTTATCCTTATCCTCCCCTCCCACTCGGTAGGTTCTTTCTTCATCTTTCTTGGATTGGATTGGATTCTGTTTATAGTTATCGCTTCTTTGTTCATTGATTCTTCTGCCTCTCGCGCGTATGTAAATGGGTATGATCTAGGCTTCCCCTTCCCCCTATTCTCTGTTTGTTCTAGGTTTTGGTCAAAAAGGGAAATTTGGGGTTTTTTGAAATCTGAATCCTTGTTTCCTCCGTATTGATTTTGGAGCTTAGAATTTGAGATGAGCATAGCTTTGATTATTCTGATCTGGATTGGTTTCTTGTAGCTGGAACGAGATTTTTGGCAATCTCTTTGAATTTGACCTTTTAGAGGCACAAGTTTGCTCTCGAGGGGCTTTTCAGGGTAGAAAGTTCTTTGTAATGAATCTCACTTTTGTTTTGTTTATTTGTTTCTTCTTAAATCACTTTTTGAATCTATTTAGTAGCATGAAACCTAAGTCAGAAATCTGGTTTGTATGAACACGGAATCAAACGTTTGGCATGTGTCATGTGCTGCAATAGATATAATAAATTTTTGATTGTATGATGTACATTTTCATGAGTTTTATACCTGTTAGTGAGCTCGTCAGTGACCTGTTTATGTGTGGGTGTGTATTCTTTCTGGATTATTATGGCACTTCTTCTACTATGATGGATGTTTGGTTCTAGTAAATTCTCTGATTCATTCAACTTTTGGTGATAATTCCTCAGGTTTCTTTGTAATTTCTAATCTTCTATGACTGTCTGCAGACTTCATTTGTTTTAATACGCATAGCTGACAATATTATGTTGTCCTTGACAGAATCTTACCTCCCATGGAAGGGAACATCTTCATGTCTGATGCTCAACGAACACATGATGATGGCTTCATAACCAACCAAAAATCTGATCTCATCACCGGTTCAAAGAGAGCTCAAGCTAATGAAAGTGGCTGTTTTGATTGCAACATCTGTTTAGACACAGCCCATGATCCGGTCGTCACTCTCTGCGGACACCTTTTCTGCTGGCCTTGCATTTACAGGTGGTTACATGTTCAGTTATCCTCTGTCTCCATTGATCAGCACCAAAACAACTGCCCTGTCTGTAAATCCAACATTACCATCACCTCATTAGTTCCTCTCTATGGTAGAGGCATGCCTTTGCCCTCTTCCACGTTTGGCTCCAGGAAACAAGAAGCAGAATCCACAGAAATACCCCGCAGACCTGCTCCAACAACATTATACAATCCAATCTCTTCAGGATCATCTCTGAACCCAAGCTTGCAACATCAAACTCTGTCTCCAACATTCCATAACCTCCAATATTCCCCTCGTGGCTTCACCACAACCGAATCAACCGACCTTGCCAATGCAGTAATGATGAGTTTTCTCTACCCAGTGATTGGAATGTTTGGGGACATGGTCTACACCAGGATTTTTGGGACGTTCACAAATACAATAGCTCAGCCTTACCAAAGCCAGAGGATGATTCATCGTGAGAAGTCTCTTAATCGGGTATCGATATTCTTCCTTTGTTGCATCGTCCTCTGCCTCCTTCTCTTCTAGCTCTCTCTTTTTGTATAGTTTGTGATGTAAATAGGCTGTAAACTCGAAGTCTATGGTATAGTTATTGCTGACTCCATTGTTCCGAGTTAGGTCTCAAATTGCTGGCCAATTTCTTGTTGTGTATTGCACAAATATAGATATATGTGCTTGTATCTAATCTTCCTGAACCATGTCGAAATTGAAGAAGTATCTGAACAATCCATCATCTATTTTTCAACCTGTTGCTGAGTTGCCGTTTATATATGATATAAAATTATTTCCCTTAGTCCTTCTGACAAGAGGGAAATAAGCAATCAGAGGTAGAATAGGGCTTCTATGTAATGAGAAGAAGTGAATTGGGTAATTATTTTGGCTTAGAAAAGAGTGACAAATCTCAACAATGTTTGTCAGTTTGCAGAAAGTATAATACGGACTAATTCAACATGAACATATGAAGCCTATCTACATTGCCGTTGAGTCAATTTAGATGCCAAAACAAGTCTGTTAACAAGCACACGAAGCCGGTTAGATCCAGGACCGGGATTGATCTTTGATGGATTACCAACTCTCGAACATTTTGGTTCCCCTGCACACCAACCACCCGGCGTAAAGTTCCCGCTACCTCTACCGAGCAGCTCTTTGTCGATCCTATCCAAGGCAGGATCATTGTGTCTGAACTTACGGGCAAACGCTGTTCCACTGGCAATCATCCTCTCTGTATCATTTATGTTGAGCGTCCGAGGATGCTGTTTGGGAGGGCGGTCCCAGGAGATGAAATGCAGGTCGTGGTTCACCACCGTGGAAGAGTACTCTGGTGCGTTGCAAATAACAGTGTGGAAATATCCTTCTGGTGTGGAGAGGAAGTTGGTGTAATACATTAGAAGAGTCCGTGGAAGATTGTCCCATCCCCAAATGCAATATTCTACGAACGACCTAGATAAGACCATCCAAGCAGAACCTGCAATTTCAAAGATTAGTCACCATTTTTCATAATCATTTACTTGCTAATTACTTAATTACCGGTAAATAGTTTGAATGCAGTTGGCATGGTTCTGCGAGGTGTAACCCAGAAGACATCAGACTTTTTCGTCGAGTAAAGCCCCGGGTCTATGATCAGAGGCTTTGCTCGTTTATCTCTGCGGAACCACATTTGGATTAAAACAGGAAAAAAAAACTCATCTCAAATGTACTCTACACAGAGAATTTATCATTACTCTTTCCAGCCTAGTTTACTACTGTGGTCGATAAAGTTGAGGTTCCGGTCCAACCCCGAGAATGTATCAATCAGATCTGCAAGCAAGGTGCATTGATGATTCAGGAAGAGATTATTTAAAAAAAAAAAAAAGAGAGAGACTAGACGTTCAAATAGATATACCATCTTGGGTGACTAGAGGATAATCTGAGGCGCTGAGATTAATGAACCAATCCCAATCTTTACTCTGCTTTAAGAGAATGGCGCAAGCGTGGAGCGTATTGGCCACCATTGTTGGTCCTCGATATGTAACGAGGTTAGCCTTTGTGATCATGTGAACATTCCCAACGTCACTAAAAACAGGATCCTCCCTCACACGTTTAGCCAGCTCAAGCCTCTCTTCAGCAGGAGACTCAAGATCGAGATGAACAACATACTGATTCCTCGGATGGTACAATGTTCTTAACACTCTCCATAGACTCTCTAAGTCACCTCTTGACCCTGAAACTAGATAACCGAAGCGAGGAGGACTAGGCTGCACCGGAGGAGGATGAGTGGACTTATTGACTTTTGACTCTGCGAATTCGGCTCTTGTCTCGTTAGTGGTCGAGAGACTGGAGGAGAATATGAGGGAGTTAATGGAACGCACGGAAGAGAGGAGACCCATGTTGAAGGATGCAGCTACAAGGAATGTGAACATGAGAGAAGCCATTGCTAGAGGAAAAATCCATTTCTTCTCTGAGTTTAAGGACGCCATTGAAGAGCCTTCTCATAGGATCGATCTCAAAAACAGTGGTTATACTAATGTAAACGTAAAACGCCAGAACTTTAATATTTTAGGCGCATGAGATATGCAAGATCTTCAACAATCGAGATTGCCCCTAACCTACGCCAGAGTAGAGAGACACGGTGAGAGATCTATACATGTATTTGATCAAAAGTTTTGGAGTCAAACTCGATTTATTTATTTTCACATTTCTGAAAACCAACCTAAAACGTTGAATACTAGTGATCATACAAACAAACAATAATAGAAATATTTTGATACAACTCGAATATGACTATCTCCCAAAATAATGAAGAAGAAAAAAAAAACAGAGGATTGGTGAATCGTAACGACGTGATCACAAAGATGACCCGATCTTATAATTTCTATATGACAGATCCATCTAAAAAGACAAATCTGAGCTGTGTGAGGATAAGAGAAACTACATTTGTACGAATCAGAAAAAACGTGTTAGGGACAAGTAAAAACATGCAAAACAAAAGTACCTGGTCTTGACGCGAGGAATGTTTAAAGCTCCGGGCAGTTCTCAACAACACTGTCGACGAGGTTGTCGTCTTTGTCTGAAACGAAGATTTCTTTTTAAAAAAAAAATTATTATTAGTTAAAAGATGTAATAACTTTTTTCTTTGTCTAGGAAAAACAAAGAAAAAGAGATAAAAGAAGGAAATCTGAGAGTTATGGTTACACACTGGTCTTCGGTTTTCCCACAGAGAAGTTTTCGTTTATAAAATCAGGTCGTAGAAGAAACGGTGGGTTCTCCTTTGACTTTTTATTGCGAGGCTTTGATTTTTGATTTGTTGTTAAGTTGCATGCTTAATTAATACCATTTATTACTTTTGATTTACCGACTTGATAACACATATAGTAGTACACATATAGTAGTTATCACAAAGTTAAAAACTGGGAGGAATGTTATAAGAAGAGATTATGGACCATTCCAACCAGACGAACGTAAATGATGATTAAGATTGAGAATGGGTGGGGAAGTGGCCAAGTAATGGGAAATGTCAAACGTGGAATCCCACCGTATGATTGAGCTCAGCTGACTAATCAAATGGAGATAATATACTGGGTCCTCATTTTTGATGATTTTTGCATTTTTTGTGTCTTCATTTTTCTTACATTTCAAGCTTTGGTATATATTTTTACTATGTGTATTAGGTAATGTATGTTTTGTTTCTAATGGTATGATCAGATTTACTATTTATTTGGTCCTTTAATGACATATATATATGTTGAGGAATTAGTGGAACATTTATATTTTTCTATATTCCATTCACTTAAATTCCATTATTTTAATACTTTTGTTGTCAGCATTTTAGAGCTATAGCAATTTTTTTAGTTGATACCAACAGTCTGTTTTTATTTGATTTCAGCACCTTTTTTTTTCTTAACAGTGGAAGAAGGTTTAAAAATCTGCAAGTAAATTAAAAAAATCGTTTATTTTACTATACTATATACTAAAATAAATTACAGTTTGTTTATTTAGTTAAATAACCCTTATAATTAAGGAAAGTTTGAGTTATTTAGTACAATTGCCCCCCTTTTCTTAAAACTCTTTGTTTTTGCTAAACCCTAAAAATCTTCAACGGCGAGTTTGTTGTTCTTCCACTCTCTCCGCCGCGTCTTTTTTATTTGGTTGTCGCTCAGACCCTCTCAGGTAACGATTCTTCTTAGAACCATTCGCTGCTTTGTTCGCATAGGAGCAAATTTGAACTGGGTATTCACTCATTGACTTGTCCGTTCTTTGTCAGGGCTCAGATTCGATTTTGTTAGTCTCAGCGCAGAACAATGGCAGCAAAACCTGGAGCTGCAACTCCAACTTACTCACCTAAACTTGTGGGAAGATCACGACTTCCTGTTTTCAAGGATTCCGACCTCGATTGGTCCCGTCCTGATGGCCGTGGCTTCCATCAATGCCGACCTGCCTGTAAAAACCCTTTTCCCTTTCTCTTCTTAATCGTTACGGTTCTTCATTGTCATATGAAATTTTGTGTCTTTTGTCTAAAAAATGGATTTTTTTTTTTCAGTACTTCAAACTGGTGCTGTGAGCTCTGCTTCTGGTTCTGCATATGCTGAGTTTGGGAACACGAAAGTCATTGTTTCAGTGTGAGTATTATTGTTAGATAACACTTATCCTTTAGTATATATTTTGCATCATCTTCTGTCAGCTAAATTTGTTCCGTGTGTTCAAAAATCTAGATTTGGGCCTAGGGAGAGTAAGAAAGCAATGACTTATAGTGATGTTGGTAGATTGAATTGCAATGTTAGCTATACAACTTTTGCTTCCCCCACTCTTGGCCAGGTATGTGAGTTTTGTGGCGTTAATCCTTAATTTGGATGTTGTGGCTTTTATTTCTGTTACATTAGATTAGTTATATATTGTGGTTTTTAGGGAACTGATCACAAGGAGTACTCATCAATGCTTCACAAAGCGTTGGAAGGTGTAATAATGATGGAGACATTTCCAAAGACTACCGTTGATGTTTTTGCGTTGGTGCTTGAATCTGGAGGCAGTAAGTCTCATGACTCTCTACAATCTTTATAGTTTCAACAATTCTCAACAACTATCGAATATCCTTTTACCAGAAATCAGGACAACCTTTTTGGGAGCATAGGTGATTTCTTACTGGTTCTCTAGACGTTGGTGCTCGTGGAATTGATTATGGAAGCAACCTATTACTATATTGTTATCATAGGATTGTTGTTTGACATTTCCTGATTTTCGCAAATGGTATCGTATTGCAGGTGACCTCTCAGTTGTGATATCATGTGCCAGTCTTGCTCTAGCAGATGCCGGGATTATGATGTATGACCTTATCACAGCTGTTTCAGTGGTATGTGTATTTTACAACAGCTACACAAATTCCTCTGCGTTATCTCTTAAGTTTATTAGCATTAGGTGATAAAGTGTAACATTTAGTTTTTTCCTGGAAGTTTCAACCTTCTTGGCTATGACTTTACTTTGAAAGAAACAAGAGCACCATAGTTTGAGTCTTTGGGAAAATTAGAACCTATAGATGTCCTTCAATGCCATATTTTGAAACACTAACTGATAAATTGTTCCTGCTATATTCAAAGTCTTGCATAGGCAAAAGCCTTATGATTGACCCAGTTATAGAAGAGGAAGGATGTGAAGATGGAAGCTTTATGATGACATGCATGCCATCTCGTTATGAAATCACTCAGCTAACCGTCACGGGTGAATGGACAACACCTAATATCAACGAGGTATGCCTTTTGATTAACATCTCTTGTCTTTCAACTTCTGCACAGGGTTAATAGACGAAGGTCTTTTCTTTTCTCACTGTTGATGTTATCAAACTGGTTTGTTTGTCTAAATCACATAGTATTGGTTAAATAGACTGTTGTTTATTATCGCTTTGCTAAGCACGAACTAAAATGTAGCGTGTTTATACCTTTGTAATCTTTAAATCGGACATAAGGGTCTGAGTGGTTAACATATCAGCACTTAAATATGAAGTAGTTGGTCATAGGAGCCATATGTTACTTAACATGTTTCGAATATCGCAGGCAATGCAGCTTTGCTTGGATGCGTGTTCAAAGCTTGGAGAGATCATGCGGGATTGTCTGAAACAGGCTGCCTCACCTTCCGATGAATGAACATAATCAAGAAACTAAGATTTTGGATTGTTGTAGCTCAGACATAGACATGGTATGAAACCGGTTTAGCTATTTATAGGTAAACTTGATTCTAGCCTAAACTGGTGTGGTGTAGTTTTGAAGTGAATCCAATTTTGTAATCCCTTTGCTAGTAGTATCGAAGATTGGCCATGGAATACATTACTCGGTCATCGTTTAACAAAATTCCAAGAAGTTAAACAAATCACTCATTCATAGTTCTTTAAAGTTTCAGAGTTTAGTCTCCCTTTGGACCTAAAACTAGGAAACATTCCTTCTACTTTTTAAGAAAAAATATCACTGAGCGTTCGATTATTATACGAAAATGCAATCTCTTATACTAATTAAGAAAAGTATACAGAAAAGAAAAAAAAAAAACCGAAGATAAAAGAGCGTAATTGAAACTTTGCATCTTTTTAAGAAGAAAAAAAGACTTTCTGTTTCACAAATCACACAAGTTTTGCAAGGGCGGTGATGAAGGAGGGTATTGGGGTCATTTCAGCTTACGTCGAAGTTCAACTGAAGTGTACGTACGTAGGGATATGCATAGAGGAAGAATCTAATCCGCATGATGAGATGAGATGAGATGTAGATTGATAATGTGATCTAAGGGCAGAGAAGAAGACGTGCGTGTCGCTGCAAAGTGGACAGTTGTACCCTAAAGAAGCCATCCAAACAAGACTCTCCCACGTTTTCAACACCACCCCAACAACTGTTTCTTACTTTCTTTCTTCTCTTCCCACCTCTTCCCATTTTTGTCTCTCTCTCTCTCTCTCTCTCTCTCTCTCTCTCTCTCTCTCTCTCTCTCTCTCTCTCTTTTTTTGTATTTTCTTGTCTTCTTCTCGAGAGATTGATTCATTAACGAACGAACAAAGTATATAGCCAAACTCAATACACATATATACAATTTGCTTTATGAACATGGATATTCAAGGCTTCACAACAACACATCACTGGTTTATAATAATGAAATCGCAAAAAACACATAGTAAAAATCAGTTGGAACATGAATGGATAGTCGTCAGACAGAACACATGAAACTCTTGAACTGATATAGTAACATTTTTCTCACAACGAATAGTAACACAACTGATTTTGTTCCTTTCTTACGGAACTAGTACCGTATAATTAATCTATAACTTATTAATGTCGGTAAATGCTTCTATCTAACATTTTAGCTAAAGATTGTTCGCCTAGTTAATTTCCATCCTAACATTTTATCCGCTTTAATTAGTCTCTCTCTCTATATATATATATACCAACTCCGCCAGCCATGGTTTAACAATCCCTCTATATAGCCGCAAGGAGGCCCGTGACCATTCTCCCTCCATGAGGGTGGACCTACTTTAATTAGTTAAGAACAAAAAGTAGAGCAGGTGGCTCATACACATTTTACACAATTGACTTTGTTTTGTATCATCAATATTGTTAGATGATAAAAACATTGTTTGAATCACCATTTTTTAGTGTGCTTCATGTAAAATATTTCTTCAAATCGACCACTCATGCAAAATTGTTATGTCTTCATTCAAGTCATTCAATCACAGTTCTACTAACATAAAATGTTTTTTTTTTTCTTCTCTTTATATTATACTATTATGTATAAGTATCTATATATATAAAGTTAGCTTTTTCTCTCTTCTCCTTAATCCACATCATCATCCACCTCATTTTATTATGTAATTTTTAAAAATAATTATACCATTTTATCATTTAATTTTAATATTTAAACCTATGTAAATAAGTTTTTCCAAAATAAATATGAAATGTCTTTTTTGTATATTATACATTATAAAACTAAAAAGGATAATTGATTAAGAGTTAAAAAAAACTTACTAATTATCGATTATAGTAACAAATATATAAATAATAGATTATAGTTTTTATTGAATGTTTAAAATATATATATGATTATATTTACACAATGTAAACCTAAATATAATGAGATTTAACGGGAATAAAACAAAAAGCAAGAAATTTTGAGAATATAAATCTATCTAATTTATGTCTCAAATAATTTTCAAACATAAGTGAGATAGGTCGGAATGAAACATGAATTCTTATTTTTTATAAACATATAAAAAGGTAAAAATAAAAATAATATTTCTTTAAAAGTTTCCAATATGAGTTTAACTATTTGTTTCCACAACACATATGTTAAACTAATAAACAAAATAAAAAATTAACTATATTTCATAAAATTGAAAATTAAGATAAAACATTATTAAATGAAATAAACTAAATATAAAGTAAATTATACTAATTTGTTAAATTTAAAAATTGTTCCATATGAAAAAACAAAAAAATATATAAAACATAAAATCAGAAAATATATAATAGTATATAAATGACCATTACGAGATATAAAGTACGACAAATCTAAAAAATGAAAATGTAAAACAATAAATTATGACAATATATAAAGAGATAATGTAAACAATTAAAAATACAACAATACGCCCGAAACCCACAAATCATGTTCAAATTTCATGCCAACATATAAAAGGGCCCAAAATATTAACATCTAGATCTATATTTGGTAAAAACCTTAATAGCACACGTTTTTCAATGATTCTCAACCGCACTTCCATTTACGCCTACACTTCGACTTATACTATACACACTTAATTTCTTAACGACTAATAAAGCTAAAACTCAATAGTTTTTCTATACAAACACAATTTAAGTTTAAAAAAATAAAGTATGGTATAGTGAAAAAAATAAGTAGAAAATAAAATACGAACCAATTACTCATAAACAACATAATAAACTCTCGCGCGTATCGCGGGCAACCGACTAGTAACTAATAAATTGGATCCAAGGAATCTAAATATTAGTCAAAGATATGCGTTACTCAAATAGGAGAAAAAAACAAGGTAAAAAACATTAGAAACCTAAAAAAAGATCTGATCCTAGCTCCTAAAACTTTTTTTCTTTGTAAAGTTGACAAATAAAAAGATCAAATTATACGCATAATCCCTTTATTATTAATTAGACAAAAATGAACAAACAAAGGTGGTAGGGGAAATGTAGGAATGGCCCAATCGGGGATGGTTTTCTCAATAGATACGATCGAATTAATGGTTTTTTACCGGTTTAGTAAAAAAAAAAAATACAACAACAAGTATAATATTACATCTGATTTTAATGAGAGAGAGAGAGAGAGACTCTCTTAGAAATGGAAGTGATATATTTAGATTGAGATCTGACCCCATTTCTTTCCTAACACTAATTTTTATCCTTCCTTCCCCCAGGGCAAAAAAAAAAAAAGCTTATAGCAAGCGAGCGACCCTTTTTTCTCTACAAGGGTCTTCTTCTTCTTCTTCTTCTTCCTCTTCGTCTGTTTTTTTTTGTTATCTTCTTCATCAGATCTCCACGGTATCCTCTTCTCTCTCTCTCTCTCTCTCTCTCTCTCAACCCTTCCCTTCCCTTGTCTCTGTTGACTCTGATTTGCTGCTTCGTCTGAATCATTTTATTGTCTCTGATCTCTCTTGACTTTCAAGTAATTGATTGATTTGATTTTGACTCTGTTGTTAAAGGTTTGATCTTGCGTATGTTTTATTATCTGATATTTGATTGGGAATTTGCTGTTCGTTTTTTTTTCTGGGATCGATCCTGATCTTGTTCGTGTCTGGATATATGCATTTGATGGCGAGAAATGATCTGCCTTTATATTGGATAATTGAATACTTTCATTTGCAGATCTTTGCGTCAATAGATCCTTTAAAGTTGAATCCTTTCTCTAGTTTTTTTTTTTAATATAATCCTTAGCTTTGTTTTCTCCGATCCGTTACATGCCAATATATTTTTGTTTAACTCATGATTTCATTTATTTTTGGTGGGCATTAGGATCCTCTGTTTTTTGTTCGATTCAATGGGCGTTGAGGTTGTTAATGGTGGATTTGAGGTTGCTCCGGCTCCTTTCGAGGGGAAGCCTGACCAAGGAAAAGGAGACAAAGTCTCCATCAAGTTTGGTTCACACGATGAGCCACCAAAGAAAGCCGAAGAGAATAACAAAGCGTTGAACGCTGATGTACCAAAAGATGCAGCGGAAGAGTGGCCTGCGGTCAGGCAGATCCACTCTTTCTACTTTGTTAAATTCCGTCATCACGAGGACCCCAAAATGAAAGCTAAGCTTGACGTAGCTGATAAAGAGCTTAAGAAGTTGAACACTGCTCGCGCTGCTGTTTTGGACGAGTTAAGAAATAAGAGGGTAAGTTCTTGGAACCTTCTTTTCTCTGCTTTATAAAGGAATAGCATATCCTTTTTTTTCTTGCGTGGTGCTAATAATGTGATTTTGGCAATGTGTAGGCCGAGAGATCAAAGTTATTTGAACTGCTAGACCCGTTGAAGTCAGAGCGTAAGGGATTTAACACGATGTTTGATGAGAAAAGAAAGGAAATGGAACCATTGCAGCAAGCTCTGGGAAAGCTAAGGAACAATGATGGTGGGAGTGCTCGTGGTCCTGCTATCTGTTCGTCCGAGGATGAGCTGAATAGTATGGTAATAATCTACTTGTTCACTCGATACTCTTGAGACCCTTTTAGATTGCTTTAGTTGTTGGCCTTTGGTTGATTCTTGTTTGCTCGGCTTTGTGGAAAAAGATTTACAGCTACCAGTATCGGATTCAACATGAAAGCATTCCGTTAACCGAGGAGAAGCAGCTTCTTAAAGAGATCAGGCTGCTTGAAGGGACAAGAGATAAGGTCATTGCTAATGCGGCTATGAGAGCCAAAATCAAAGAATCTATGGGTCAGAAGGATGATATCCAAGGTCAAGTTAAGGTGAGAGAATTGTGGTCAGGTTCTCTGGATTTGTGCAGTTATAGTATGTAGAAATTGGTTTCATATGTTCATTTGTGTTGATTTTTTGGCAGCTAATGGGTGCTGGTTTGGACGGAGTGAAAAAGGAGAGGCAAGCAATTTCAGCAAGGATTAATGAGATGAGTGAGAAGTTGAAATCAACAAAAGATGAAATTCAGGTGCTGGAAACTCAGCTGAATAATGTGAGCGAGAAGAGAGACAAAGCTTATTCAAACATTCATGAGCTCCGGAAGCAACGCGATGAGACGGTACAAGCACATACTTTGGGAATTTTCTAGTGATGACAAATGATATGTGCGATTTAATAATCTTCAATTTTGTATTCTTTTCTCTCATACAGAACTCTGGGTATTACCAAAACCGTACTGTGTTGAACAAAGCTAGAGACTTGGCTGCACAAAAGAACATAAGCGAGCTTGAGGCACTCTCCAATGCCGAGGTTGAGAAATTTATTGCTCTTTGGTGCAGTAAGAAGAATTTCAGAGAAGATTATGAGAAGAGAAGCTTGCAATCACTTGATAGTAGGCAGCTGAGCCGAGATGGACGGATGAGGAACCCTGGAGAGAAGCCTCTGATTGCTCCAGAGGTACCACCATTAAAGGCAACGCCTTCTGAGACTGAGGTTGTCCCTAAAGCTAAGGCAAAGCCGCAGCAGAAGGAGGAACCAGTCTCTGCACCTAAACCAGATGCTAGTGTAGCTCAGAAGACTGAGAAAGCTAAAGATGCTGTAAAAGTAAAGAACGTTGCAAATGATGATGATGATGATGATGAAGTATATGGTCTTGGAAAGCAGCAGAAGGAAGAAAAAGCGGTCGATGCAGCTACGGCGAAGGAAATGAGAAAGCAAGAGGAGATTGCCAAAGCAAAGCAAGCCATGGAAAGGAAGAAGAAGCTGGCGGAGAAAGCTGCTGCTAAAGCTGCTATAAGAGCTCAAAAGGAAGCTGAGAAGAAAGAAAAGAAGGTATTATCTTTTATCTGTTGTTGTACCTTAAGACTCTTTGCATTTTTCCCTCTCTCCCGTTCTAATAGTTATCTCCATCTTTTTTGTGTGTTGCAGGAGCAAGAGAAGAAAGCCAAGAAGAAGACTGGAGGCAACACAGAAACCGAGGCTGAGGAAGCTCCCGAAGCTTCTGAGGCAGAGAAGGAGGAAACTGAAGCTCTGGTGCAGGAGGAGAAACCGCAGAAGGAAAAAGTCTTAAAAGATAAACCGATAAGGAACAGGATCCGCAGTAGAGGGCCAGAAACGCTCCCGAGAGCGATCCTTAAGCGTAAGAAGTCGACTAACTACTGGGTTTATGCTGCTCCAGCTGCTCTTGTGGTACTGATGCTTCTTGTCTTGGGTTACTACTACGTTCTCTAGATGGAATGGAGTGGTTAAGCGAAGCTGCGTTGTTGTAGTTTGAAATACTTAAAAACTGGGATTTTTGCCTTCTTGACTCTTTAAAAACTCATAAGACTATGCATCATTTACATACGAGTAGAGACTCTCTTTTAAGAACTTTTACATCTTCACTTCTTTGTTGCTTTCTCTTCTGTTGTTGAGGCTTTAACTTTGAAGGAAGAAGACAGTTTTTGTTACATTTTATAGTTGTCACTATGTTATGCTCGAGTTTTGATATTTCATGTTCTCTCTTTACTCTTTACTCTTTGCGAGGGCGTTACTGAATAAAATTTCCACGATTAATCTGTGGTTGTTACTTTACTTATTATGGTTGAAAGGATCAATCTGTTCTACATAATTTTCATGACTAATGTCGTGACATTCCTACATGATTATATTAACTCTTTTACTACAGAAGATTTACATTCGGGTTTTAGACACTTTTCTTTTGTTCTCTCTCCAAGTTTTTTGCTTCTTACTCCACCTTTGGAGAGCAATCTTGTTCCACCGTTGCTTCCGAAATCGTTCTCTACCTTTTAGCCAGTCGGCGTAGTCCTTACCGGGCTCACATACAATGAAATCTGCCAACTCCTCCACATCTGTTTTTTTCAGTTCGCCTTTCCCGGCCATACACCACAGAAATCTCTGCCCATTGCAGCTTTGTTCTTCAACACTAATTCCTGAATCCGGATCACTCTCTGGACCTTTAGCTTCAGATATCTTCCTGCACAACCAGTTACATGAAGTAATTGGGTAAAGATCTCATGAATGCATATATATCATCCAATATGAAAGAGAAAACCAATAGGATTTTGCTGGTCTATACATACCCCAAGTACAAAGTTCGGATTTTGTGAAACTTCAAAGCAACCGCCCCGCTCTGTTTCCTATCTACTGCAGTCTGTACCATATAATCATTGATCCATTTAGAAAAGCGCAGAAATGAGATTTTGTGAAAAGAGTTATTAGTTAGTTACCTCTTCAGCTTTACCAGAAGCTGCCAAGTTTTCAGAACCACTGGATGGTATTGGCGATGACGGATTTCCTGAATTATGAACTGAATTCCCAAGTGCTTCCAAGTTACCCCCTTCTAGGATAAATAAATACATAGATATCACAATTCCAAAAATGGAATCCTTCACTAGAAAGCCAAGCTTGAGGGCAAAGCTTACAGACAGTAAGCCTGAAAAATGCGTAAGCATCCACTTAGAATTCACATGTCTGTGAGGATGAGATTCCACTCTATCACACAGGAAACTTTGACCGGGAAATTGAATATTGAACTGTTCAAACCGTTGAACAATATGCATCAGGGCTTTGTATTCCTTGCAAGCTTGAACATCACCTCCGGCTTCAGGTCGATGCCAGTTCCAATTCCTGAAAACCCGGATGGCTTGCAACATCGAACAACCCATCAACTTTAATATGGATGCAAGCAGATATAAATTTTCCATACTATACGCGTCGTATTTCTGCAACACAGAGTCCATGACATCATCAGAACTAGCATTAAGTATCGCACAACCAATAATTGATAAGGTCTGAGACAGCATAGTTTCCGAGCAGGAGCTATCAAATATACATAAGCTTTCCTTTGCATATGCAACAGAATATGCGACCAGCTCATTGATTTCTCTATTGGCATTACTAATTCGATATGCACCCAATGAATCCTTTAGCTTCAGTGTAACATCATTAAATTTCGCCAGTGTTGAGGGCGAAAGACGCTGTTCAAAAGCCACTCGAGAATGATTCATCAAAACACCAAACTTCCCCGGTGAGGCATCCTCACTCGTACACATGAAGCTTGTATACAAAACAACAGACTTTTCAAATGCATCAATATAGCGATCAATAAGGTGAAGGTCTAATCCCTTAACACAAATACCGATAGCGTCAGAAACCAATAAAACAACATAGGCATGGATCATTGTTGGTGCAGCGAACATCAGCGGGCTAAGCAGCAACGACGCAGCAGCACCCAAGCTTATCTGAGGAGCTTTAACCGCATCAAGTTGTTCCCAGTATAATCTATCAACACACATTTTATTCATATTTTCATCAGATGTTGAGATGATAAAATGAGCAGAAACCATTTCCACTACACCGGCCCTATCATGCTTAGTAAACAGTCTACATGAGGAGGACGCAGAATTAACTATGAACAGAAGATCCCTGATTGACTTATTCACCAAAATCTCATCCATGAAAACCTATTCATCAAATATTATTGACATTATCAAAAAGGATTTTTCTCCAACTTAGAAATCCCTTGGCAAAGGTAAAGAGATCGACAAATTTTCAAGACTTACCTCAATCCAGCTACAAAGAAATATATTGCCGTCATGGGTGCCTACAACAGAACAATCCATATTCCTTGCATGAACCAATCCACTGAGTACTGAGAGAACTGATTTGGCTTTCTCAAAAACCAGCTCTTGTTTTGGTATAAGTAAAGTCATGATCTTCATACAACATCTTAAGAAGAGAGTAGCTAATTCAATACTTTCTTCTCTACTTGCAAAAGTGGGACAAGTTTCAGCCTTTCGTTTGAATAAAGTGGAGAATAGGTTTTCAAAACTCCTATCAAGCTCTGTGAACAAAACATCTGAGAGGTGACAAATATCCTCGAAATTGATCAACTCCACTTGCTTACCACTGAGCTTGATATTCCAATCATGTGAGGCTATGTCACAATTCTCCCAATTAATTTGTTGGGTTAATGACAAATGACCCAGAAGGTACAGTAGACGTTGCAGAATTGGCTTCTGAGGAACCTGGAAATCAAATAGGACTCGAGTTGATTATTTCGGAAAACCACAAAACCCTAAATTGCTTCACATCTCACCCTTTTTTTAAAAAAAAAATCAATACTTTTGAGCACGAATATATTTCTCAGACAAATATTTAGGGAAATAAGCATTGCCCAGCAAAATCCGAGACTGGTTGATTGAACAGAACCCAAGAGGCAGAAACATTGTACTCGAAATTGATACCTTAGCGGACGTAATTGCTGAAGCAACGGATCGGAATAAGGTGACGGGCTCGGATGACTTCGAAGCTCGGCTTTTCTTAGGGTTTCGTTTGGCCGTCATCGCCGGAAGGGAAGAGAAGAGGATGCCGAGGAAAAGTAGAAACTGCGAGTTTCGAGATTCGAGGGGACTTGTTGTATGGCGGGAAACTACAAAGCACGCGTCGTTTTTGTGCTTTCGAAACGACACGCAGTTTGTTTTTGGTTACAAAGACTATTAAAAATTTAAAACGGCTCTTCATCAGGTTTCAATTTAAGTTGACTCAGAGTTTCCGACTTTTTGATATCGTTTTCCGGACAATTTTGGTCGCCAGATACTGAAGAAGTCTTGACTTTTCAGATTTGAACTACAAAAGAGTATTTTATAACACTGAAAATGAAATGGATTTGAGAAGAAAAAAATTAACTTTTTTTTTTTTTTTTGGTGATTAGAGACTTTTATGTATTCTCTTGTTCTACCAGTAGTTACTTATTGTTCGTTGCATGCATTATGAATTTGGCAACCATAGTCAGAAATATACATTCCCGAGATCTTCTGATTTCTCACTACCCTGAAAAGTTTGATTCTGCATATTGTTCTTTTTGTTTGCGAACGGTATTTAAGTTCTGATAGAAAAATACTTTTGTTACATCCACGGCTACATTGGGATTGGTAGGAGAGAACATGGTCAAAAAGCTCCTTTTTAAGGCAATCGTAATCTAGCAAGCAGGTCTGGTTTCCTTGCATTGCATCAATTTATCACTCGATCAGAAAGATCCTAGATTTAAGTTGTGATACCTTACCATCTTCCATGTATACATTAATTACAAGTATAGATAGAATAGTACATTCATCAGAATTCTAATTAGTGAGTCTTGTAATAAGCATCCATAGTTATCCTTTTATAGTTTCATTTTTTATATATATATTCTAATTAGTGAGATCTCCTACACAGAGACACATGCAAATAAATTAAGGAAGTGGTTCTAATTGAGTTTTGGCAAGCTTAGTCTCACAACAAATCTAAGACAATATATAATGTGATATGAGTATTGCTTTTTGTGTGCTCCATGATTTGTTGTTTTTGTTATTATCTTGGCATAGTTGAACATGTTTGACAGTAACTGGTGCTTGGTGGGTCTGGGAGAGGACATGGTGCATCAATTGTCACTGTGTCCAATTGTAAACACTTGGACGATTCGTAGCATACTACACGTGTCTCCGTCGTAGGGCCTATACTCGCGATGATACAATGTCTAGTAGTCACGTGTACCCTCTAATAGCCTCGCAACTTGGCTATCGCCTTTAATATCTTTGGTCTCACTCACGATAAACAATACTTTGGTTCTTTGTCTTTTTTTCGTGTCCATGACTCACGAAATATCTTATTTCCGTCTTTTTGGGTTTAGTGGTTTACTATAGGTTTCTTCTATTTGCTATTGTGAACTAAAGATCTTGAATATTTGATTGTGTTGAATGAAGAAGCAATTCAATTGCAAAAGCTAGTGTGTTGAACAAGTGTGGTTAGTCTGTTTTCAGACGTTAACCAAACAAAGCTAGTGCTATTATTCATCGTAGATAGGAACAAAATGTAACGTTCAAAATGGGAGAATCGCCACATAGACGAATAGTTTTTGCTTCTTTCTCTAGTGATAGAAAAAGTATAGTCAATGCTTTCAAAACGTACAGAACGCTCTGAGTCGCTTCGCTTGTAGTAGATTACAATGAATGCAAAAAACTAAGTTTAGGTCCATAAATTTCTACTACCGACATGGAGAAAAAAAAAATGAGCAAAGCATTCAATTCGGTAAAGTAGTGAAAAGTGAAAATACAGCGTCGACCAACAAAATACAGCAAGACTTGTTAGATATCGTCAAGATCATAAAGTCGTAAAATAAAGAACTTTCTTGCATGGTTGATATTGACATAAAGAAAAGCATCACATAATAAAAGAGAAACACCACCATTTGCTTTTCTCTTACGTGGAGCTTTGGTAGGTAAATGAATTAAATGGAAAAAAACAACTTTCTTGCATTTAGCCCTCTAAATGCGATTGTCAAACCATTGAACTATATATCTTATATGATCTATACATATTGCATACGCTCGGTACGATCCGACTTGATGATATCCAATTATCCATCCATGCAACTCTAAAAATTGAAGACTAAATTAAACCGCATTTAACTTTACTATTTGGTTATGACTAACTTCTTACAATAGTTATGCTTTGTGTTTCTGTTATGTAGGATGATTACTAACACTTATAACATACGGAAATATTTGAGTTTAATTTCTAGTCTAATTAATAGTATGAATCACATAATATTAATAAATAGAATTTCTAGTTAAGGGCAATCAGGTTTAGAACGCAGTGTCTATTATTTATAACTAAACAACAATGTGACTATACTCAATAATACGGAAGTACACAGGGAACCAAAAACAAAGTAGAAAAAACTAAAATTTCACAAGAACAAATCGAATCCGACATGAAACAAGTCTCCAAAGTGTGTTCTCAAGCTCACATAAAGATGGTCAAAACCAAACTTAAAACTGTAGTAGTAATCGACATAACGGCCATACCATTCGCCGACGATTTTTTCTGCCCTGGAGCTCCCGCCGGCGTACTGATATCACTGGAGGCTGAGGGACCATCTCCCGAGGGACCCATCCCCGAACCTGACGGAGAGTTTGCTGACGGGGAACCTGACGGCGAAAGAGAAGTAGAGTCTCCCGGAGCCATAGATGGAGACACGGCGGGGGATGATGACTCTGGTGCCATTGGCCCCGGAGGTGATGTCATCGGAGCAGACGACGGAGGAACAATGGAAGAAGATTTAGGTGCCATTGGTGCCGGAGGTGAAGTCATCGGAGCAGAAGACGGAGGAACAGTGGAAGATGATTTAGGTGCCATTGGTGCTGGCGGTGAAGTCATCGGAGCAGAGGATGGGGAAACAGGGGAAGAGGATTTAGGTGGTGCTGGGGGAGAAGTCGAGGATTTAGGTGCCATTGACCCGGGTGGTGAAGTCGTCGGAGAAACAGGGGAACCTGATTTAGGCGCCATTGATCCAGGAGGAGAAGTCGTCGGAGAAACAGGGGAGGAAGATTTAGGCGAATGGGCTCCTCCAGGGGGAGTAGTAGATCCCGGAGGAGAAGTCGTCGGAGAAACAGGGGAGGAAGATTTAGGCGAATGGGCTCCTCCAGGGGGAGTAGTAGATCCCGGAGGAGAACCTCCCGGTGATAGAGTCCTAGGAGAGATGACAACGACAGTAAGCTTTTGTCCCTTCTTACAGTTATCTTCATTGCCACTGATGAAGTAAAAGGGGCCATAGCGATCAAGCGAGATCTCAGAAGCTCCATCGTCTGCTCTCTTTATCGGATTCTTTGTATTACATCCGTCGTAATCAGCCTTGTTCACCTCTAGCACCGAGTCAGCTCCCTTAGCGTAGCTAAAATCTGCAAGAAAATGAAAACGAGTTTCAGACAAAAGTACACTCAAGTGAATGAAGAGTAAGAGAATGAGAGAATGAGAGAGAAAGAGGATGTATACAGAGTGTGTCGTGAACAAGGAAACGGTTTTGTCCAGACCAAGATTGGTAGTTTTCAGATGGGTTTGGAACCCACGCGCCGCTGCCTCCGACATTAAACTTCCGTGCGTCGGAGAAGAGAGGAGAGAGAGAGAGGAGGAGGATGGTGAAGAAGAAAGAAAGGCTTTTCATTTTTAGAAAGGTCATGCTTTCAAAAAGCTACTGGAGAGTTTTTTTTTTTTTTTTAAGAAGATAAGAGACAAATGGGTTTGTGTGTGTGTGTGTATATATAGAGATGATGAAAGTGTTTTTAATGGTGGAGATCATATGAGAGAAGAGGCTAAAAGAGGGAAGTGAAGCTTTTTTCTTGGTTTAAGTCTTTATGATAGAGAGAGGTCCGTTTTATGGGGTAATACGTGTTTAGAAATCGAAACTCGCATCTCTACTCGTTCCCCTCATCAAAAGAAGAGATTTGCTTCTTCGTATCTGCCGACGTGTTTCAATTTATTCTTTTGGGATTTGAAGCCTATACATATGTTTTTTATCCCCGGAAAAAAAGCGTTAAAGAGCCTATTCATTTTTTTTTGTGTGGTGAGAATCGGATTCAATGAATCATATGCCATCTTTCCTTTATATTATATGAGATTACCAATAAGTCTTAAATTACAAATCCATTTGTCGATATACGCATTAGGTTTTGTCTTTCAAAGATTATGCCAACATAAATATTGGTTAAATTTGGGCAAAAGTTTATCTGTGTGTGATGTACGCAGTATGCGATATTAAATTGTTTTACTTGAACCAAACGTTACTATAAATCCAAGTGTATCATTATCTTTCAAGTTTTAATCACATCTACATTAGTCCTTAATCCTTATTGGTCTTCCACGTTGCGAGAGTGGTATAACACTGGTGGTGGTAGTCTAGTAGATCCAAATCCAATCATGCAAACACCTAAAATACAACACTTCTGTTTCATTTTAAATTAGTGGACTGGGCTTTTAGGTACGGGCCAATGTATTTCCTTTCTTTAAAGTTCGTGATAAGAAGAAGACTACAGTCTCCTACTTTTTTTTCTTTGCACTTAGCACAAAAATCACCCTTGGCTCCTGTCGCTTTGGGGACACGTGAGAAGCACATTCATAAGCCGCGTGTTCTTCTTCCGACACTAACTCGATCCTCAAAGTACTTCCATCGGTGTGTAATATAAATGAGAGCGAGAGACTCATATGTTGATACGAGAGTGTAAAAAATGGCGGCGATGTTTTTAGCTAAGAGAGGAGCCATAAACATATACAGAGCTTCTTCATTACACAAGGATTACAACAACAGTGCTCGATCGGTTGCTGATGGCGTCATTACCATCACAAGCTCTCGTTACTTCACATCCGAAGTGCGTTTTTTGTTTATGCATACAAAATCACTAATTTAAGAGTCGCTGAGGTTTTGTCACATAATTCTTCCCAAATTCTGTAGGGAAACAAGGGAAGAGATAATTCAAAGGAAGAGGCGATGGGGACAACCACAGATGGTAAAGCTCCGAATGTGACGTTGAGTCATGCAGCGGATACAGCCAAAGATGGACTGAAACGAGCCACCGATGCAGCCATCAAGAAGAGTGGAAATGCAAGCAAACCGAATAAAGATAATACTGGTCAGGAGAATGTAGCTGTGGGTGAAGATGGAACTGTCAAAGGCCAAAATCAGTCATCAGGATGACAATATATGTTTGCTATTCAGACTTCGTTATAAGATAATCAATTCCTAATGAAATGGATGTTAGTCTGAAACTCTTATGTGAGATTATTTATGTAGAAAACCATGTTATCTTTTTTTTCTCCCCATATGACACTAGTGTGATTGCTATTCAGATTTTTTTCTCCCCAGGGAAAAAAATAAGTACACACCATTCATATATTTTCCCTTTATTTACTACAATGTGTGATTTTTTGTTTTGTTTTTGTTTCAAGATGGTCTAACATTCACACTTTCTTAATCTACCATCTAGCTGCTATTGTTGTAAATAGCAGTCTGCCTCTGTCTTGAGTTTTAAGCTACGCAACACTACATCGCTTGATTTCCAAAACTGCAGATGAATCGCACAACAAAATCCAAAACTCTCGTGGATGCGGGTTATCTTCCTCGAGACGGTTTCTTGGATGGCGTGAGCTTCCTGAATCCAGCATGCAATATCATAACTACAAAGAGACATAGGGAAAGCGTCAGAGATCATCACCGGATATACAAAGCTAAAATTAGACTTGACCATTGCTTAGTTAGTTACCTGAATAACTGATCGCAAGAGCAGAGAAAAGAGCCATTTGGACATTCAAAAACGTCAGAAGAACTGCAGTCGCTGCAAGTAGGAGAACCAAGGAAACAAGTTCAAGTTCATTATACTATCATTTACAGTTTCAGTTACTTGCTATAAGCATTGGACCCAACTTTGAGTCTCCCTATACTACTAAAGTGAGTAGTATACTCTTAGTCCCGGAGAAATAACAGCCCAATCAAAGGAACGGTTTGATCCAAAAAGATTCCAAAAATACATAAGACTATCTTTGAATTCATATCAAAACATTTCAACATTATGTGACTATAAGAAAGTTACGAACTATGAAATGCCACCATAGTCCTATCTACAATTAGCACAACGTTTTCAACATTCTGTGACTATAAACAAGTTGCAGAACAGCAGAACTATGAAATGCCACCATAGTCCTATTTTCAATTAGCAAAAAACAGGAACAAAATCGATCGGAAGAACTCACCACATTGGCCAATACCGATTGAGAATTTCCTCATGGAAGGGTGACGATCAAATTTCCATCTATCACTGCAGAACTTGAACAGCTCCCAAAGTGCTAAGCTTGCTAACAACCCCACCAATGCAAGTGGCATCTGATACCTACAAGCACCAAAAATAATCACTTTAAATTTCCAAACCAATTTCAAGATTCATACTTTAACATAATCCAACAATGTCTAAACTCTAAAGGTTTAGCCTTTATCCAATTAGAGAGCTAAAATCAAGAGTGTATGAATCCATACAGAGCACAAGCGAAGAAGACAATGAAGAGCGTAGCGTAGTTCCTCGCGAATCGTTTGATATTCTCATGGACTCTCATCCTCGCTTGCTGAGAAGACGACGGGAACGAATAGGAGTCGCAATTGCCAAAGAAACCAGTGGTCCACGGAGGCGTATCTCCGGAAAAGTCATCGGCGGAGAGCTTGGAGAAAGGGTTGATAGTCAGAAGAGAAGAGACAGTGACGAGCCGAGACAAGAGAGAAGCGAAGAAACCAGCTGTAATGGAGGAAACGATATCGTCGGAGGCAGAGGAAGTTGCGGCAGCTGAGGATGGTACGGATGCAGAGGAGGAAGCGGCGGCGGATGTGCGATGATCGAGGAGCTCGAGGTAGCCGGAGTCTCGGAGCCAAGACTCGAAAGCAGGATCGGGGACGCTCAGAGAGAGAGGATTAGGAGAGAAAGCCATTGTTGTTGTCGTCGCCCTTTAGATTATCCCTGTAGTCTCTTCTCCTCGGTCTTCCCAAAAACCAATTTACACGAAATTGCAACTACATCCATAACATCTTCATAATTGCTAAATTAGTACACTAAGTGACTAAGATAAATGCTTGTTAATTCAACTCTTTTTAGATTTTTATTGTGTTGTTAGTCAAATTATTTATCTTGTCCATTTTTCCACAAATTGTACATAAACTACTATTATTATTTGTATAACTTATTCAACTCGCATCTTACTCCTATAAAGAAAGTAAATATGTTATTCTATGACTATGAGTTAAGAAGATGTTCAATAAGAAATGCAGTTTGGTTCGGATTAATTTATCGAAATCTAAATAACAGAAAATTATTTATCAAATCCCATTAAAAAGGTAAAATATAAATTTTTATCTCTACCTTTTCAATATGGAAATAAATATATTGAGATCCTAATCACTAGGAATTTTGTCAAATTAAATGATAATAAATAAGTAGTTTCCTAAGAAGTATACAATGTATAAAAGATGATATTGGATACACGTACTAAATAACTAGTGAAATATGTGTATAAAATAATTAATCTATGGAAAACATATGTCTAAAAATGCAAGAACCACAAACTGATTATTAAAATAGTTTACTAATAGTATAAGATATTCTAACTCTGTGTGAAAAAATGATCACAAAAAGAAAGAAATTCAAAAAGGTAATGTTGAAATGAATCTACCTTTGTGTGAATCAATTAAAACTCTATTTTAGCCAAGTACTTATCAACTTTAATTTTAGATTTTATCATCAATGTGTCCAATATTAATGGTATCCGATCCATGACATCATAAATAGATAGGAAGCATGTACTTAAATTTTTGAAGACTTTTTAACTGGGAAACAAATCATCAAAAGTGAAAGTAATATCCAAAAATCAGAAGCATATACGAAAATTTTAATTATTTTCCCTCACAATGCCAAAAAGACAAAGCCTTAAGCTTCTTATAAATCAGAAGAAAGACGAGACCATTCTTCTCATAGCTTCAACTTCTTTTCTAGAACAAAAATGGGGAGACCACGATTGCTTGTAGTGTCGATGTCGCTTCCGGTTACTGCAAAGAGGAGTGGAGAAGAGTCTTGGTCTTTCACGATGAGTCCTGGTGGTCTTGTTAGTGCTCTTCTAGGTAAGAAGATGTACATACAACTTTGGTAGTATATTTATTAATCAATAATATTAAAGACAGGAGAACACTTCTAATATATCATTGATTTGTGGTGATATGATCTCTTAAAGGTTTAAAAGAGTTTGAGACCAAATGGATTGGATGGCCTGGCGTAGATGTTCATGATGAGATTGGGAAAAAGACACTCTCCATTGCCCTAGCTGAAAAGGTAACGTACAGATTTCAAAATTTCGTAACGTATGTACTGTACTCATCATGTTTTCTTACGTACTGGGAATTAGAGTCTGAAACATGCATAGACTTAATTAAATGGTTGCAACCGTTACGTAAAATATACATACGTCAAAGATTGATAAATCTTTGATTGACCCTTGAATCCGATTGTGTGTATTTCATCTGAATAAAAAGTTATAAAGATGGGGGTATTTAATATAGCAATAGTGACCTTTGTTTATCATATGATGATTTAAAGTGTTGTGTATTGGTTTGCGCAGGGATGTATCCCAGTGTATTTGGAAGAAGTGTGTGATCAATACTATAATGGCTACTGCAACAATATTTTGTGGCCGATATTTCATTACATGGGAACGCCACCAGAATATCGTAACGATGCAACCATAACATACCAGTCACAGTATGATGCATACAAGAAAGCGAATCAAATCTTTTTTGATGTCGTAAAAGAGCACTACGAAGATGGAGATGTAGTTTGGTGCCATGATTATCATGTTATGCTTCTTCCTCAGTATCTAAAGGAATACAACAATAAGATGAAAGTTGGGTGGTTTCTCCATACACCATTCCCTTCCTCCGAGATGTACAAAACGTTGCCCTCCCGATCCGAGTTGCTTCGCTCTGTTCTCACTGCTGATTTAGTCGGGTGAGTACAAATATATTTTGTTTTTATAAACATTTTTGGATTTGATTAATTAAAAGGGTAAAGCACTTAATCTCTTACTTGTTGTTTGTTTTTTCGTTTGATAGTTTCCATACCTATGACTTTGCAAGACATTTCGTGAATGCATGCATGTGTATTCTTGGAATTGAAGCAACATCTGAAGGAGTTGTGGATCAGGGCAAAGTCACTCGAGTAGCTGTTGTAATGACCCATCAAGAAAATCTCTTATGATTTGATCATATGTTATGGTTTAATCACCTCATCATGAAACTAATGAATCATTTTATCTTTGTTTGGATTTTAGTTTCCAATTGGGATAGAACCTGAGAGGTTTATAAACACAAGTGCACTCTCTGAGGTCATTCAATACATGAAGAAGTTTAAAAACGATTTTGGTGGCAGAAAGGTAGATATATATATATATATATACTTAAATAATATTTGATGATTAACAATAGAAAAGATCCTCCAACATAGTTGTTTTTTGTTGACAGTTGATATTAGGAGTCGATCGTCTCGATATGATCAAAGGGATCCCACAAAAATATCAGGCATTTGAGAAATTTTTAGAGGAAAATGAAGACTGGCGTGGTAAAGTCATGTTACTTCAGATTGCAGTGCCAACAAGAAATGGTATTGGTGAATGTAAGTTTTTCTCTATCTCTTCTTCTTCTTTTTTAAGTAAAGCTAATATATACGCATCAAGTTTCTAAGGATTGTGTTTGTGTGCTCTATACTCTTATTTTACAGACCAAAAGATCAAAGACCAATGTCATGGACTTGTTGGACGAATCAATGGTCGTTTTGGTTCTATCTCCTCTGTTCCAATAATTCACCTGGTTTGTTATCCCTTTATTTTCTTCTATGCTATATATATACTTATTAGACTAATGAATTCTAATCAAAGGTTTCATCTTTCTATCAGGATTGTTCTATTGACTTTAATCAACTATGCGCACTTTATGCTATCACAGGTAATTGTGATACATGTGATGATTTGATTCCATACTCTATATATGATGAAATATCTAATAGACGCTTGAAAATAAATACTCTTCTGCTAGATAAATCCTAACTCTAAGATCATTAATTTAGATTAGGTCAAATCAATTGTGAAGGTAGATTCCTAACACACAAGTTTATTTTCTTTCTTTTATCTCTGCAGATGTACTACTTGTGACATCTTTGAGGGATGGGATGAACCTTGTGAGTTCTGAATTTATTGCCTGCCAAAAAGCAGAAAAAGGGGTTCTCATTCTAAGTGAGGTAATTAAATAGTTATGTAATGATGTTAATCCTTATGAATATAAAAATGTCAGTAATGTTCATCAAATAGTAATTTAGATTTGTTTGAGGTTCACAGTTTGCAGGTGCTGGACAGTCACTTGGTGCTGGAGCTCTTCTTGTGAATCCTTGGAACATTAAAGAAGTCTCTGCAGCCATTGGAGTAGCTCTAAATATGTCACCTGAAGAAAAGGAGAGAAAACATAAAATCAATTTTCAGTATGTGAAGAGTCATTCTACTCAGCAGTGGGCAGATGATTTCATGAAGTAAGTGGAAAACAAAACATTTCTTCTCTTATTAATCTCAGTTTGGTGTTACTTCTCTTTTATTTTGTATATGATGATGACTCTTACAAATCTTTTTGCAGTAAACTTATTGAAATTACAACTAATGCGAAGCTACGAGCTGGAAATGTCCCATATGAACTTCCAGCACAAGATGTGATTCAACAATATTCAAAGTCTAACAATAGACTGCTAATTCTTGTAAGTGTAACATAAATATCAAGAATTCAAGATCGTCTTACAACTTTTCTTGTCGTCAATTAATCATCTTTGCAACTTTCAAAATGAACAGGGATTCTATGGAACGCTCACTCAGCCAATGAAAAGTCAAGAGAGAAGAGGCGACGGGATGAATCTTGCGCTGCACCCACAGCTAAAAGAAAGACTAAAAGCATTGTGCAATGATCCAAAAACAACAGTAGTTGTTCTGAGTAGAAGTGAGAAAAGCATATTGGATAAGGTAAATGTTGCCCCTCTTCATTTTCAATTTACTTAGCTTATTTTTTTCCAATGTGTTCTGACATTGTAACCAAAAAAAACAGAACTTCGGAGAATATAACATGTGGCTGGCTGCGGAAAATGGAATGTTTCTAAGGCATACAAGTGGGGAGTGGGTGACAAAAATACCAGAAAACATGAACCTGGAATGGATTGATGGTGTCAAGGTTAGTACATATATCTCAGAACACAAGATTTGATAATTATAACTTTACACTACTCAATCTTTTGTGGTTGATTTGTTTACAGCATGTTTTCAAGTACTTCACTGAACGAACTCCAGGATCATTTTTCGAAACAAGCGAGGCTTCGCTTGTATGGAATTACGAATATGCTGGTGGGTGATTACATGGATCTACATATTTACATTTCTTTGGCTTGCATATAACTGCCACTTCTAAATTAGTTTCCAACACTTATATATATATCTTTGTTTCCTTGATCTTTCTTTTGTTTGTAGATACTGAATTTGGGAAAGCTCAAGCAAGAGACATGTTACAACACTTGTGGGCAGGACCAATCTCTAATGCATCAGTGGATGTTGTCCGAGGAGGCCAGTCTGTGGAAGTCCATGCTGTTGGTGTAACAAAGGTAACTAAATACTCTGTTTCTATATCCTCCATACCCAAAAAAGATTCTCATTTTTCTCATAATGAGTTTTTTTCTTTCTCTATTACTTTAGGGAAGTGCAATGGAGCGCATTCTAGGAGAAATAGTGCACAATAAGTCAATCACTACACCAATTGATTATGTTTTGTGCATGGGCTGTTTCTTGGGAAAAGTAAGCTTCTTTTAGTAATAATTATGTACCACAATATTATCATAAATTAAAACTATCCATGCAACTGATACAAGGGTTGATTTATATATGTTACAGGACGAAGACATTTACACCTTCTTGGAGCCCGAGTTAACCAAGAAAACTAAGTCGTTTCCTTCTTCAGGTAGTAACTCCCCCAAGAAGGTCTCATCTACCATCGTTGACCTCAAGGGAGAGAACTACTTCTCCGTAGCTATTGGACAAACGTACACAAAGGCTCGCTATTTCCTTCACTCATCTGACGACGTTGTGCAATTGATTAGCAAGCTTTGCACACACAACAACAATGCTTGACTCATCTTCACTATATCTTTGTATCGAGAGATGTTTGGCTAAATCTGTACCATTGAATATTTGATTTGCAATTTTGGCACTTAACAAACTCATTTGCCATACTCTCTCTTTTTTTTTTTTTTTCTTAAGTTTCTTTTCTGTCTCTTTTTCTATTTCTTGTTTTGTCTCTCTCTCTTCCCTCTGTTCTTTAATGGATTGGAAACTATTTCCTTAATAATTTTTTATTGTGTTGGAAAACTAAAAATAATGGTAATTGCTAGCCATCTCTTATCCATGGGTAAGCAATTTCCCATAGTCTCAATAATTTATTGGCTAGCCATGAGAATGTGAAGGAGGGAAGAAGGGTTGCACCAGTAATTATTGGATATTCCTGCAATCACTGATAATTATATAGTAGTCCATGTAATCATTCTTCACTTTTATCTCTGCAACAAGTGGGACAATATTAGAAGAGAAAGCTTTTTGTTGCATGGAGTAGCCTTTAGATATCTAATTGGTTATAGCACGTACGTAGTGCCAAACTGATCGATAGTCCAGTTATAGTGTCGTTCTTAACAAAACATAAGCTATAAGCTATATAAAAGAGGGAACGTATCTTTTTTCATAATGAGATTTTACTAGAGGCGGACACAACACAATGTACATGAGAATTGACAATAGAGTAGAGATGACAAATTACAAGGTGGGGAACACTAGCAACTTTCTCATACACATGATTTTGATTTGGAAATGAAAATCAAAGGATCACGAGAGGGGCCTCATCGGTTTTGGCAGGTGTGGTCTCTTTTGTTGATGGCTCAGTCTCAGCAGGAGCTTTCTCTTCTGCCTTCACAGTTTCTGGAGTTGGCTCAGCCTTGGTTGCCTCAGACTCAGAGGAGTCCTCTTTTGTCTCACCTTCCTTCTTTGTCTCTTCACTTGACTCTTCCTTCTTATCCTGTGATTCAACAAATCAGCAACATCAGTTTCAACTTAATATGTGGTTGTTCAATCAAGAATTTTTACTGAATTCTGTCTTATAGGTAAAATTTCATGTTTTTCAATTCACAAGTCTTTAACAAATCTTCTAAGATCCTTTTACAAAAAAATTCTTGAAACACAAAATGATAAAATCTACAAACCAGAGTTAAGGTGGCATCTGTCTCAGTCGTGGCATTCTTGGACTCAACAACAGCATTTTCTGTCGGGACGGAGCCTTCCACGATGTCAGATTCCTTAGGTTTGCTCGCACATCCCCCCATGGTATTTGATTGAAAGAAGAAACAAATTACAATGGGAAGAGCTGTGGAGGCAAAACAAAAGAATGAAATATAAAACTCCCCGAGACAAAGAGATTGCTATGAAGAGATATATAGGAGGGATGGTATGGATATTAAGCTATTTCAGGCCAAGTTTGGTTAATTTCAGATTCACGAGTCATCACAACTTCGATTCTCTGTCACAACCTTTTTATCCGGAGAACAACTTAAAACTCCACCATTCTTCTATATCCGGGGGACAATGGTTTTCTTTTTTTTTTTTCCGCTGGAAAATCCTGACATTTCATGGATACACAAGCTCCTCCTGATTTATTAGACTTCAATATTACCATCAAACTGAATACAGAACGAGTTGCGGATATCAGTTTTGGGTCTGAGTTCTTACCAATGAATGCAATGGGAAATAAAGATGAATAAAAAAACAGAAGAATAATGTTTAGAACCAATCCAACAGGAAACCTCTTCTCAGATAAAAAACGATATTCAGATTTGTTTTCTATATGCAAAGTGATGATATTCTAGCCCTTCAAACAGAGAAGAAGGTTACTATCCCATATTTGAAAGATGAAAATTGGCTTCCAGTGTTCTCAGGCCCAAAGAATTGTATCATCATCATCATCATCATCATCATCACCATCCCTGGTTTGGCTGGCTGCCTAACGCGGATCCTTGGTGCGATCCTGAAGAGAAAATCGTGGTTCACCGGTGTGACCTGAATTCTCTGTGTCAAAAGATGTTGAGCCTGATCGGTTATTAGAGCCTTCTGATATATGTTTCCCACCCGAGTCTTCCACGTCTGTTTCATCTATTTCTTCTGTTACTTGGTGATCACTGCTTGGACGATTGATGACAAGGCTTTTATACATTGTTAAAGCTTGAGCAATCATGCTAGCAGGATTTGAAGCACTACTCGGAAGCAACATTGTTGTACCCTAAAACCCCCAGAAAAACAAAAAAAAACAAGAACATTAAATAAGCCCTAGCTATGCCTATGCCAAGAGATTCGAAAGGATTGTTGTGATATATTTATTTACCTCCTTAGCAATGTTACCGAAGGCTTGTATGTATTGCTCTGCAACTCTCAAACTCGCTGCCTGCAAAAATGTACAGTGATAAAGTATGAGATCATATTTTGGACACCGAAAGTAAGAACCTTAAGCCCAGTAATCTTAGTGCTATAGCTTAAAATCCCCTAACTTTGGCAAGTTCAACAAGACAGAGAAAGCTTCATCTGGATTAAATAAAGACATACACATCTAGCAATATGACTAAATACTATGAAGGAAAGCTAGTTCGTTAAAATCTAAAATATGAACACCATTCCCCTGTTTAATCCCAATTACTCACCTCTACTCCCCCAGTTTCCTTGAGGGACTGAGATAACATGACAAGGCCTCTTGCAGTTGCTTGTGCTCTAGCTAGTATTGCTTCTGCCTCACCTGTTGAACATCATACGAGATAATATAAGTAAAAAAAAAACAGTGGGAAATAGCAACCATATCATGCATTGGCAGCAAATAAAACAGTTCCTCATGTACCAATCATTCATCGTGTATAGAGAAAGAATAAGCAAATGGAATAATTTTTTTTTTTTAACGGAACTAACTAACAGTTGACATTACATGCTACTCTGATGTGTTCTCTTTCTCAATCATAATGGCTTACTAACCTTGTGCTCGATTCACCTGGTCCATCTTTGCTGCTTCAGATGCCAAGATTACAGAACTTTTCTTACCATCAGCAATGTTGATATGGGATTGCCTTTCTCCTGTTAAATATAGTAAAGCAATGATTAGAACCATGCTAAGCAGGCCTCGAAGATGAGTTTTCAAAGACAACACAGTAAGGTTTACCTTCAGACTCAAGGATCTGGGCTCTCTTTTTACGCTCAGCTTCAGCTTGCATTTCCATAGCAGCTCTCACTCCATGAGGGGGCATAATATCCCCTGGAAATACATGAATTAGAAAAATAGGCAGAGAAAGATATGTAGTTATCACCAGAAAAAGAAAAAGAAAAACACAAACAACTTACTTATCTCATAACGAAGGCACTGAAGACCCCAGTCTCTTGCAGCAACATTGATGGCTTCCTGCAAAAATGTATATCCATCTCAAAAATCTATCAAATGTTTTCTTCTTCAATGGATATACTTCCTCTAACCAACAAGTTTGCATGTAATTTGGAAAAGAGGACATCCAACAAATACAGCATGACTAAATCCGCCAGCTGAATCTAAATCCATAAACCCAACTTGTGGAATACAAACAGATTTCCAGACGTAACTACTTTCCCCAACTAAACAGCTCAAGCTGCAATGTTCAGTCGGGAGTAACACCAACAACAATAACCAAGCTAACGTGACTTTGACTTTAAAATTGAACAAGTAGCAGATTCTAAATTCTTTGTAATCTAGTGGATCTTCACTACAGTCCTAAAACTTGAGAGAAAGATAAAGAAGGTTAGAGAACAAACCACTATCTTCTCGTTGAGAGTGTCTCGTTCCTCAAAGGTCTTATCAAGCGTGATCTTACCAAGCTCACTACGCATTGTGGTCTGAGCCAGCTGTACAACAGCATATATAGGACTCTCAACGCCATAAGAAGCTAACTTAGGATCCACAATCTGCAAAAATCCCAAATCGATAAGAAGAAAGCAGTAAAGAAGGAACTCAAAACAAAAATATAACAAAATTGACAGAGAAAATGGATTAAGAAAAGAAAAGAAGATGACCTTAACGTAGAGAACACCATCGATGTGGATACTAACGTTGTCTTTAGTAATCGCAGTCTGATTCGGAATCGGGATTGCTTCTTCCTTGAGAGAATGAACATAAGCAATACGATCCACGAACGGAATGAGGAAATGAATCCCCGACGGCAACGTCTTAGCGTATTTACCGAATCGCTCAATCACAAACGCCTTCCTCTCCGGAACTATCCGGATTCCCCAGTTCACCGGCGGCGTTAATTGAAAACTAAACCAAACGAACATCCATAAAATTCAACCGAAGTTTCAATCAAATGAATCCTAAGGTTCTCTAGTCGACATCGTTCGAAATTTCACACAAGCGTAAACGAAATGGTACCTGTTGGAAGGATAGCCGGCGGAGGTGAAGTGGCGAACAGTTGATGCGGCGGCGGAGAAAAGCGGAGGAGGAGAGGTAACGGAAGATTGGCGGAGGTAAGCAACGGACCTCAAAGCAGTGTAACCGACGGAGCTTTTACGAACGAGGTGGTTCATCTTTTTGTTGTAGGAATCAGAAAAATAGTGGCAAAAATGGAAAAACCCCAAACAAAACCTCTCTTAAAGGCGACTGTCACTATTCAGGTGCTGTTTCTTCGCCGGATCTTGAAGCCTTCACGCAAATATGCGTGGAGAGGAGGCAAAAAAATATCTGGTTTGGGCTTCGATCGGAAGTTTATTGCTATTGGGCTTTTCTCTATCTAGCCCACTAAGACTCCTGTAAGATCCATCCACTATCTTGGTTTTTTTTTTTTTTTTTGGTTGGTCTTGGTTGTTGTTATTTTAAAGGACTTATTGTGGATCGAAAAATTATTCGAAAATGGTTATGGTTTCTTTTAAGTTTTTATAAAGCATGAATTCAGATGCATTGAAAAAGCAAAGTTGAATGGGTTTCACATGGAGTGTGTTGTGAGCTACTAGAGCTAGCCATCAAGATCCGGCGCCGTTCAACTTTTAGATGCCGACGTACGTCGAGAAATCATAAAATGGCGAATGAGGAAGCCCCCATCTCACCTTTATAAAGTGTACCTCTCTCATTCTTTATGTATCCACGTCGACGCCATGCATCAATTGACCTATTATGATAAAGTTTAGGTTCCCTTTGGATCACGTTGCGTGTGCATGATCTGATGACTCCAAAGTCCAAACCGTGTGTTGATTGACCGACCTGAGATATATACACCATTATGAAGTCTTTTAGATATATAGTAGATTTTTTTTCTTTTCTTTTTTGACATTATCTTTTAGATATATTAGATAAAGTACAGAAGAAGAACTATGCAATTTGATGACAACAAAAAAAAAAAAAATGCAATTTAAAAACAAGAGAAAACTATATACATATGCAGATATATAAAAAGAAATGAAGAAATTAATTAATTAACAATGATGAGAAAATATAAAAGTCCCTTTTGTCCAATCTTTTCTCATAATAATAAAAAAATCAACTCTTTTGCTTAGATTTCAAAAGATTCAATTCAAGTTTTCTTTTGGTGGGATAAAGAAAAAGATGAACATGTACACATGGGATCCAAAGTCTAAAGAAAGACACATATTTTTGTGAAAGCTATGTAACAAAGAGAAAAGTGGTGACACACTTTATACTAAATCCAAGTCATTAGATCTCAAAAAGCTTATAACATGACGATCTCAAAACATGCACCTCATCTCTTTTGCATACAACCCAGTCACTGTCGTCAATGTGTATATTATATACGTGTATATGCACACACTTAAAGTTCGTGAATATACTATATATATATAGATGGTGTGGATAGTTTGAGTTAGAAATCAGAGATTGTTCAAAATACATATATAGTTATAATGAGTGATCTTCAAATCGTGCCGGTGTACAACAAGGTGGAAGCACAGTATGTAGAAATGATGGTGCCTTTGTATTCTTACGGCTGCGAGAAGAAAGTGAAGAGGGCTCTTTCTCATCTCAAAGGTACGTACGTATATCAATAGTTTTTAATATATGGTTATAAATGATTTCATGTAACTTAATAATAATAGTTAATAAGCTTTATATTATAACGAATGAATAATCAGGAATATATTCGGTGAAAGTAGACTACTACAATCAGAAGGTGACGGTGTGGGGGATTTGTAACAAGCTTGATGTGTTAGCGACGGTGAAAAAGAAGCGAAAAGAAGCTCGGTTTTGGAATATTGCAGAGGACAAGAATGATGATGATCAAGAGAGTGTTGATGATGGCATCGCCGTCAAAGACGAAGACGCTACGATTACGAAAACTTCATCAGAAAAGTCATCGGCGTTTTATACGTATTCCACGTCCCCTTCGAGATTCAGTATAAGACCTCCTTTGTCACTCATTAGAACTTCTTCCTTCACTTGGAAAGCCGTGAAGAAGGTCTTCACTAGATCCCTCTCCTTTTGAATCACGTCTTATATATATGTGATCCTAATAATGCTCCAAGAAATCACTTGATCACTCTCTCGTTGAATCTCTTCTAATATAGTACAAAAGTTTCTAGTTAATGGTCACCGCTTTGTTTGTCTATATATTTCAAAGAGTTATATTTTCTCTGGTAAAATCTTTCTTGAGACACGTGTAATCAGTTGTATGACGCCTATAAACTCTGAGAGTTAGTTAAGATCTTGGATCCGGAACAACAAAATGTTGGCCGCCTAGTGAAAAAAAGGGTCCAAATGATGAACTAATATATCCACTCTCTTGATGACAAAAACTCCAAAGGTTTCGTCTTTTAACACAGTGTGTGTCTGTGTGTATGTATCTGTGACTGTCTGCATGTTGCTCTCTATGACTCTATCTATCATGTCAGGACTCCTGTGTATCAGTTTCTGTTAGCTTGTTTCTGTTTATGTTGTGTAAACTTTAGCGAGATGGCTGTCTTTTTGTTAAAATGTGAATCAGTCAGATATATATAGATCACAGTTTCAAGGGACGATGAGATCTTGAAAAGGGGAAAGCAAAGACCAAACACCTTATATTGAACTGGAACTATACTATTAAAGATTTGAGACAAATCAACCAAGGAATGTTCACTTGCAATAGAGATTGTAGTATAATCATCACAGTTTCCTCTATTTCTGGCTGCTGCTGCTTGTACTTTTCTTTTTCAGTAAATTTCCAAACTTCCGGAGCAAAGGTTTCTTCTTTTTCTGTTGTTGTTCCTTTGAGAGGAGACTTCCAGCATCTTCTGTGTGTTCTCCTGAGGACAAGCCATTACTTAACTGCTCCAAGTTTTCACTGCCTTCTGCTTTCGATTCTACTTCCTTTTCAGAAAAGCCATGCTCTGTGTCTCTTTCTGAAGAAGCTTCTCTCTTTTCTAAATGGTAGCCTTCGCCTTCCATGAAGGGTTTATCTTTGTCTCCTCTTCCTACTGCTTCAACTTTTTGAGCTAACCAATGGTTTGCGGTGTCATGTTTCAAATGTCTATCAATGGCTTCCATTGGACTTTTTTGTAATTTTTCTTCTCTGGTTCTGTGATCAGAAGGATTGGTATCAGTAATCTCTTCTCCGCACCTGGGACCATGTTCATCTGAAAGTTCTACAGCTTTCGGAAGTAAGTCATGATTTTTTTCGATGTCACTGAGCTTGCCGTTCTCATCTGGTTTCTCTTGTGTGGAAGAAGCTTTTTCTAGCAACTTTGATAACTCTTCGATCTTCTTAAGCGCAGAAGCCTCCCTGGCTTTCAGCTCATTGTTATCGTGAATTACAGTCTGCAACTTAGTTTCTTTCTCAAGTAGACTCTCTTTCATCTTTAACAAATTCTCTATCTTCTTTGACGCTGAAGCTTCCTGCACCTTAAGCTCCTGATTTTCTTGATTAGTTCTTTGAAATTCGTTTCCCTTATCAAGCCAAGTCTGCTCGAGATGTAACAAGTTATCAATTTTCTTTAAAGATGATGCCTCCTTGGCCTTAAGCTCCTCGTTTTCTTGAAAAACACCCTGCAACTCAATCTCTTTATCAAGTAAACTCTGTTTAAGATGTGTCAACTCTCCAATATTCTGAAGTGATGAGGCAACTTGGGCCTTGAGCTTCTCATTCTCAAAAACTGCAGTCTTCAGCTCGTTTTCTTTATCAACCAAATTTTGTTTAAGATCGGACAACTCCTCTTTTGTCTTGAGTGAAGAAGCCTCTTTAGATTTGAGCTCCTCATTTTCACAAACAACAACTTGTATCTCTCTCTCTTTCGCGAGCAAGCTTTTATTTAGATTTGATAGCTCTTCAATCTTCTTTTCAGCTAGACCGTCCTTGGCTTTAAGGTCTTCAATCTCAAGGACCATATCATGCAGCTCTTTAACAAGAAGATTTTCTTGCAGCTTCGCTAACTGTTCAATGTTCTTAAGATAGTCAACTTCCCTTTCTCTTAGCTCTTCATTTTCTTGAGTAGACCTCTTGAGATAAATTTCTGTATCAGCAAAGATTTTATTTACCTTTGATAACTCCTCAATCTTCTTATGATAAGAAGACTCCTTCTCTTTTAGCTCTTCATTTTCCTGAACAACGGTCTGCAATTTGGCTTCTTTCTCTACTAATTTTTCATTCAACAATGACAGCTCTTTGATCTGCTTGATATATTCAGCCTCCCTTTCTTTGAGCACCTCAATTTCGTGAATACTACTCTGCAATTTGGTTTCTTTATCAACCAATCTCTCATTCACGGCTGACAACTCTTCAATCTTCTTCAGACAAGCAAGCTCCCTTCTTCTAAGCTCCTCAGCTTCTTGAGCAATGTTCAACAGTTTTCTTTCTTTTTCAACCAAGCTTTCTTTCGCAGCTGACAACTCTTCAATCTTCTCGAGATAATCAATCTCCTTAACTCTGAGTTCTTCCGCTTCTTGAATAACGCTCAGCAGTTTTGTTTCTTTATCAACCAAGCTTTCATTCACCTTTGACAGCTCATCAATTTTTTCAAGAGAAGAAACCTCTATTTCTCTGAGTTTTCTGCTTTCTGCAGCAGCGTTCTTTAGCTTTACTTCTTTCTCCAACAAGCTTTCTGTAAGTTTCAGGCTTTCAGCTTTCGCTTCTCCAACTCTTTCCTGCAGATCCTTAACCTCCTCCTCAAATTCTTTAAGATAAAGTTTTATTTTGGCTTCTTCGTCTTTAGCTGCACACACCTCAATTTCCTTAAGATTAAGCAAATTCATCACCTTGCTAAGTTCTTCCTGCACAGAGTGATTTTCCTCTTCTGATTTCTTCACACAAACCATCAAATGAAGTTCTCTTTGTTCCCACTCAGCCTTAGAATTGACTAACTCATTCTGAGTGTTTTCCAAACTACTTTTCATGCTATCAATATCATTTCTTGCATCCTCAAGCATTTTTCCATACTTTTCATTCCTATCTTTCTCAGCCAACTTCAAACTTATAATCTGGACTCCACAACGTTCGAGCTCCGCTTGACATGTTAATAGCTTCTCCTTTGCTTCCCTTGCTTCAAAAGATACTTGTTGCAAATCCAAATTTAAGCTTTCCATAGATTTCTTTCTATTCTCTTCTTCCTTCTTACAGATTTCCAACTCTGTCGAAAGTTCTGTCTTTTCGTTTAATAGGTTCTGTATATGTGATGTTGCAGTCTTTTCATTCTCCAAAGCCCTAACCTTTTCCTCTTGGGTGGTTGTAAGGTCAGATTTTATGGACTTAACAAGCTTTTCAAGCTTAGAAATTTCTTGGTTTAAACTGCAAACCTGGCGTTGGGATTCCTCAAGATCTTTTTCCTGTCTTCCAATCGTTTTCACCAGCGACTCAACCTTTTCTTTTAACGCAGCATTAGCCAAATCTGCCTCATAAAGTGCCTGGATGTTTTCCTCCAGCTGCTTCATAGCTGAATCTAAAGATTCTGAAGCAGATGTCTTCAACTTATTTGATTCTTTGACTTGTTTTTCACGTTCATCAACCTCGCTCATCAACTCTGCCGCTAAGTTATTAGTACAGGATTCAACCATTTTAGCAGCTTCAAGATCAACGTGGAGCTGTTCGATGGACTCTTCTTGATCCTTGAGCTTATTTTCGATGATGCTAAGTTTCTCAAGTTTCCCTCTCAACATCTCAATTTCAGATTTCAGTTTAGAGACAACCTCCTCGCCTTCAATAGCTTTCTTTTGTTCATCTGAACCAACCAATGCTTTTAAGCGGCTTAATTCGGAAGAAAGAGCCTCCACCTTCTCAGCCTGATTTTCAGCAATCTTCGTTGCTTCCTCAGCATGGCTAAGAGCCTTATTTTTGGCATCTGCAGTCATAGCCAGTTCTTGTTTAATCCTGTGGAGCTCTTCTGTGGTAGTGAGAAGAGCTGAGATGTCCAAAGCATGCTGGCTTCTAACAGACTCAACTTCTTTCTTCCAAGAGATTTCTTTTTTGTGAACCTCTTCAATTCCCGCCTGTTCTAGTTCAACCGCTCGGAATTTCTCAATCTCAGAACTCTCCTCAGCACGCTTCTGAGCTGCCAATGCCCCTTGGAGTTTCTCACTGGCTTCTTTAGTCAATTTCTCAGATTCTTTAAGATCATCAAGAGCTTTAGCTTTATCTTTCATTAGCCTTTCTATCTGCTCATTAGCTTTCCTCAAATCCTCCTGAATTTGATTCAGTTGAGCCAGTAGCTCAGTTCCCTTCCCTAACCGTGATTGTGACTTCTGAAATGCCATGATCAATAAAAAGTTTTTCAAAGTTATAAAAAAAAAAATTCAGAACAAGAGAAGCTTCAAGCTATTCAAATGGATGGAGTTAGTTTTTTACTCGCCTCAGGCGGAGTAGGAACCCTTGCAGGCCTACGATCAGAAACAGGCCTCGAGTTAACAGATTGCGGTGAACGGTCAAGTGAAAAACGAGTGCTGTGCACCGGAGATGGCGAGTTGCCATCTGATTTAGTCCCTTTTGGTTTACTAACTCTTGGTGTTGGCGGCGACGGTTTGCTACGAGGAGTCTCCATTAAACCAGTTCTGCATCATAACAAAGAGAAAGCACAATGTCACAGTCACACACCATCAAACAAAAAAGGAAACAATCAGACCATCATCTCCTTTTTTATCTGAATCTATGGATCTAACTCCATCATACACAATAAAAAAAAAAAAACTTTCCACTTTCATTATAGTTTCCCATCTCAATAAGCGTCTAAAATGAATATAAGTAGTTCAAAGGTATCCAATTACAAATTGTTTCACAGAACAAACACTGTTGCAAGTGACCAAAACGTAATGGGACAAGTAAACAAAAAATACGATTCTACTGCAGAATTCTCTTTAGAAAGTGTTGCAAGTGCCCAAAACGTAAAGATAGAGACTTTAAAAGGACAGATTGAAGTGATACCAACTTCTGCAAAATCCAAACCAAACTCAGACTGAAGTATGTAACAAAAAAAAAACAGATGACTGAATATATCCAGAAGAAAAAACAAAGTAGCCGCAGAGAAAGTGACCCACATAGAGAAATCTAACTACAATTCCGACAAAAAAATAAACAGAAGACAGCGTCTCAGATTCAATTGTCTTGCAAGTTTGTTTTTATTTTTTCTGGATAAATACTGTCTAGAAGGAAGAAAAATCCTCACTTGGTTCTGGAGGCCATTGTTGCCGGAGAAGAGCGACTTCAAAAGAAACCCACAAGAAGAATAAGAAAGGTAAGAAAAAGGGGCTAAAATGGCGGCATTGTTGCTGTGGGAGAGACTTAACAACAGAGACCAAAGATCGATTCTGGTGGTGAATTGTTGTAATTTCTTCACTCTGAGTTGGATTGCTTCTCAACAAAGTCTTCAACTTTTTACCACAATCATTCTTTTCAATTTTCATATAAATAAATGCAAGAAAAACGAAACAAAAAAGAGACTATCAAAATTAAAATTAAAAAAATGTATTCAGAGTGGTCACCCTCGTTCTCTCTCTCTCCCTCTCGTCTTTTTCATTGCTCTTTCCCGGTTTAATTTTTTCAATTTCAATTTAGATAAAAGGAAAAAAAAAAACAAACTAAAATTATGAATAACAAAAAAAAAGTAGAAATTTACGTGGGGGGGGGGGGGGGGGGGGGGGGGGGGGGTTCCCATAAAAAGAACATCATCATATGATATCGTGATAAAGTTCTTTGCATTTGCATTTGCCCTACATCCAAGGGAATGATGAATTATATAAAGAAAGTGTATGTTGTGTTATAGTTATTTAGGAGGACCAACAAAAATATATGAATTGGGACATTTGACAAGGAACTCTCTCGTGGACTGCATGTGCCTTTTCAATCATATCTATATATTTACAATAATTCAACTCTTTTTCATTCTCAAAACCACACATTTTTGTTTCCCTATTTTTGAAATATTTCAAACTATATTAAATTTGAGAAATATTTGTACTGTGTGAAAAGCTGGTATATTATATATATGAATATGATATGGTTTTGGTGGCACAGCACACGAATGATGAAGTGAGTAACAATTAAACTAAAAGAAAGTCCTACCTTACAACATTCATTCTATTTTTGGAACTTAGATCTCACGTCAAACTTCCTCCTTCTTCAAATTTATGATTTCTGTCACTTGGATGAGATTTATCTTTCCCATGTAATCAATTTGTTGATTTGATCGAGACTCGTGGATTTTTTTTTTTTACTACTCTCGAGTCTAGACTCTAGACTCGTTCATGGAAGCATTTTATTTATCTTTTGTTTTTTGGAATTTGATCCTATCGAATTTAATCACTAATAAATATCTATACTATTAAAAGGGAAGCATTTTTTTTATAAGTGTAGCCAAACAGAATTTAAAAGAAAAATTATATTTTATGTAATCCTAAACCTGAAACCAAACATAATTAATGACAGCAGAATAAATTATTTTAATAACAAATAATTCAGGATCCCATTAAAAAAGAAAACAATATAATATCAAATTTGTAACAAACATCCCTTATGATGCAACTTTAGGAATCCATACAATCTCTTATTTAATAATTTAGGAAATCCTATAAAATTATTCAAACTATATAAAAGAAACCGCTAACAATATTTAAGCCACTCACAATTAGTGTTAACCATAACTAATATAAAAACTAAATACTGTGTAATATTTAAAAAATCTTTTTCAATCTAATTTTTTTTAATTGAGCCACTTAATTAATAAAATTCTCTAGCGTAAAAAAAAGGAAATTAGAAAAAAAATCTAAACCCCCCTACAATTACTATTATCCGTAACTAATATAACAAAACAATAAAAAAAACTTCATACCATTTACCATGCTTTAAAATAGGTACAAAGATTTTGTGTTTTTATAAAAAAATCGATTTAATATCATAGATATTAATCATTAAGTTAAAAATCTCAAATCCTAATCATTTCCAAAACTAATATTATGAAAATAATTCAAACCAGATTTTCAGCAGCTTTAATTTCAGATGTGTAGACAAAAAAATATATATTAAAAATAAACAACATAAAGAAACCATGATAATTTCAGATTCTTTATTTTCTTTTGTTTCTACTCTATTTGTTTGTTCTACTAAACGGAAAAGATAAATTCAATACTACATATAATTAGTGCATAATTCATAATATAACTACTAGACTAGATGGAGACATTAAAACTGAGGAAACAAAAAGGTGGATATTTGGATAGTTAAGTTCAATTTTAATTTTTAAATATTAGATAACTGGTATGATACAGGAAATTGAGATTTACATAGCTTAATTTAATTTCAACTTTCTTTGTTACTGCAAATATTGGTACATGAAATAATAAGTACGGAAAGGAAACGAGTAATTTAGAAAATTAAAACCATTATCTAAACTATTCCTAATAAAATATGGAGTAACGAGAATTTTGTGTAACGTGAATTCAAGCAGAGTAAATGTGGAACTACTATTTATTAATATAAACTACAAGAAATAACGGGTACGGGGAGAAAACAATAATTCGGAAAATAAAAATCATTATCTAAACTTTTCCTAAAAAAATTGGAGAAAAAAATTTAGGGTAATACGAATTCAAGCAAGACATATGCGGACATACCATTAATGTAGATTATGTTGAATGGAACTTTTGTGGGGTTAAAATTATTTTAATCTGTTGCAAAGCATGCATAGCGGACGATTTTGACCCGCCTGACAAATATATTTGGGCCATCAAGGCCGAGAAGTTATAAAGTTTATTTCTTTGTCTTTATCCGGTTCAGTAGTCTACGGGTTTAATAGAAATTTAGCTGATTACTAAACTGGTTCACACTCAATCCGGGTCCGCTTTGATCAAATGTTGATCCAAAATTTATTGTAAAGCGATAAGTACTTCAAATATTCACCAATTTGATAAAAGCAAACCAATATATGTTTATGTTATAAATATCATACCAAATAAAAATATCTTCAAATAAGTCTTGATTTTTTACCTATTTCCTATTTGTTGGAATAAAATATACGATCTCAAATGGATAAATTATAATTAAAAGTTTAAAACCATGGTTCAGAGATGGAAAAACATGAGATATCTAGAAAGGGACAAGACGAGATGGGGTTCATGTTCCGACATAAACAAATCACTTTTATATTACTATTTTTTTAATGTAGTTATCGTTACTGGGAAAAAAATCCAAATCCTATCGTTTCTTTTGTCTATACCGAATTAAAAACAAACAAATATTGAACATGTACAAGTTCGGATTACGAATTTTAATAACATTTATAATAATTTCGTTTATAAACATAACACTGCATGTACGTAATATATTGCAAACATGATAGTAAACTTAATTTTTGAAATCAATCCCGCACGTATGTGCGGGTCCGGATCTAGTGACCATTTAAGTGTTAAACATACAAATTTGTCGATACAAATATGTAATGCGAGATTAAACTCAAGGTTTGAATTCTTAAAACAATAGATTGGGTCGTTGGTATAATGGGCCATAACGGAGTAGCAAAAGGCCCATTTATACCTCAAAATATAACATTAGTAGTCCCACATCGTTTGCTCTCAAGAACAAAGATGCGTTTATATAACGTTGGATTCAGCTAAGCGATTGTCCCTTCGGGGACATCCGATAAAATTGGAACGATACAGAGAAGATTAGCATGGCCCCTGCGCAAGGATGACACGCACAAATCGAGAAATGGTCCAAATTTTTTTTTTCCTCAAACCAATCTTTTCTGACTTATATGTCAACTTGTTTTTTTTTTTTTTTTTCCCAGATCGATGATCAATTTTTTTGTCAATCTCTTCTGACTTATATGTCAACATGTTCAACAGCCGATTTCACAGCCGAGCAGAGAGGTATGAGCCTTTGGAGACACAGAATAACCCTTCAGGTAGACAACGAGCGTCCTTATTGGAGGGAGAGGAGGTCATAGTGGTAGGAAGGGTTAAAGACGATAATGTGGGTCTTGTGTAATTGCAATGTAGTCCCATTTGAGGTATAAATGGGCCTTTTTAAGATTCTGGATGCACTAGAGGGCGTCCTCGTGGTTAATAAGTTTCATCACTCGTTCTGCTACAATCATGCTACTGTATGAATAAAATATCCATGTTCCACGTAACAACAGCTTATAAGCAGTCAGTCCAACTTTGTATTTACGGTTGTCATCGATATGACCATCCTTAGAACCTGTTTAAGATATTGGTATTGCGTGAAAGAGTTCCTGAATGTCAAATTAGTGAACTCTCCTCTGCACGCTGCTGAGCTCAAAAATTGACCAAGATTGTGTCTTTAAATCAAGCCGCAGGCTTTGTTATAGCACTGTTAAGGCTAGAAAATATTCCCATGGAATTACATGTTGGAATTCCCAATAAACTCATTACTAGTTTATGCAAGAATATTATTCTATCAGACTTTGTTTATATATACTAAAATGTTACATACAAAGATTACAAGTCAATTGCAAAAGGCACTACAACATGAAAATCAAAGAATGAATCATAAAGCTAAAAATCACAAGCTAGAAATTTGATCAAGACCCAATATCTGTTCGAACACCTGAACCGTTGAGACGGTAGGCATGTGATCGAGCCAGCTCAACCGCGTCCTGAACCCTAAGCCTGGTTCCTTGTTGACCCACCACAGTCGCTGCAATTGTAGCCGCCATATCTCCCATTCCTTTCAAGTCAGATACTCCTCTCAAGATACCGTATAAGATCCCTGAAGCGTATGCATCTCCAGCACCACATGTGTCAACTGGCACGCATGGGGAAGGAGGAATGTATATGGCCTCTCCTTTTACTCCAATGTATGATCCGTTGATTCCATCCGTCACCGAAACAAATGGAACAAAGTGGCTCATGTACCTTGTCGCTGATATTGGGCTTTCCTCTGCGGAAAAGTGACAAAACGCTCTTGCTTCATCGCTATTTGCAAATACAATATCTGCATAGTTCCCCACAATGTCCCTGAATCAACACAAAACCATCAACATTTGCATTTTTCTTTTCTCGAAAAACGAAAAAAGATGGAGACAATGAAACCAACAAAAGCAAACAACTTAGATAACAATGGAGATTAGACAACAGAATTCCCCATTTAGTTTCAAGTTTTGTTTCTTCAGATTCAAAAATTTGCGGACAGAAGAATCAAAGATTATATGACTAATCAAGCTACAAAGATAATCACTCCCTTTTTACAATTTTCAACTGGTCCTATGATGGACTGTAACTCTGTAAGATGTCTGTTTGAATTGTTAATTCCGATATGATGTCTGTTTGAGTGAAACCACTAATGAAAAACCTAATATGTATATTAAAAAATGACATTAAATAGACGCAAGAATGGATTAAGAAAAAGAACAGTAACTCACCAGAAATCATCATAATGCCTCTCTATGCAAGACACATCTGACGCTGTCACAGCAACAAGTGCCCCATTTCTGTGGGCTTCTTCGCATGCTTTTGTTATGGTCCTTATAGTATCAGGAAGCTCAAACAAATAGCCTTCCACAACAAAGACATTTGTCTTGGATATCAAACTAGCCAAACAAGAATCATAGTTAACGACAGAGGATGTTCCCTGAAATTATACATATTAGGTTTTTCATTAGTGGTTTCACTCAAACAGACATCTTATCGGAATTAGCAATTCTACTACTATTCAATTTGGTTGCTTCATGCAGGCTATTGATCCTACCACTTAATTCATGAAAAATTCTTGTAGATCACCTACTTTAAAAGTTAACTTTCCTCTACTCTTTGCAAAAGCAAAAAACGAAATCCTTATATTTTGAACATTAATACATTGCAATAGCAGTTTAGAGTGATCATAAATCCTACCTGATATGCAAGCATAGTACGTTGTGCATCAGGAGTTGTAAGAACTATCACTGTTCCGGTTGTTCCATCCTTAATTGGAGCAGAAAGAAAATTGACATTTGCTCGACGTAGTTTAGTCCTACAGAACATAAGAAGTACTCCCCTTGTGAGTAAACCAAACAAAATGACGGAAGAAGCAAATCATAGAAAACCATTTATAACCTATCATCAGTCATCTAGAGGCAAAATTTGATGGGGCATTTTAGAATACATAGATCAACCCCAATCCGCAGCTAAAAAACTAAATTTTTGTGAGGTGTTGATCATCAGTAAATGTAATGATAGTCTAGTTTGAAGCCTTAGAAACTACTCTAGCATAAAACCAATCGGATACTAGGACGAAGAATACAGATATTTTCACACCATTTGCAAGCTAAAGACATACACAATCAGCCAAAAAAAGAAGAAGAGGGTCATCATATAAGTAAAAGAAAGTGTAGTACCCGTAAAAGCTCCCGAGAGGGTCACCTCCAATACTGCCAGCCATTGCCACATTCAAAGGCCGGTCACCAATGGATTGAGAACCTAATCTTGCAAGAGCAACAAGAGTGTTGGACAATGACCCTCCAGCTGCTGCCTTATAGCTGCAACCATCCATTGCTTGTAATAATTTACCCCTCTCCTCATGATTAATTAGTTTCCTTGTTCCCTTTTCTAAACCTAGTTTCTCTAGAAATTCATCATCCACAACTCCAGAGAAATCTACCTAAAACATTTAAAACACACCATCAGCGACAATATTATTTGTTTTCCCCATTCAGTTTTCTAATGGAGCAAGCAAGTAAGTATCTGAGGATTCAAGCAAGGGTAATATGAAGCTAGAGATTCTCAATCATAGAGACAATTGAGCTTCAATGGCAATCGAATAAAAAACATTTTGAGAGTAATTTGGCTTGAATGATTCATAGGAACAAAAGAAAAGAAAAATACTGACCATGGCTTGGCCGAGACCCAAAACATCCCATCTCTCAGGCGAAGCAGAGGAACCATTAGCATGGCCTAGTATCAATTCGTCGTCATCTTCGTCGTGATTTCCAATCCTCTCGATATCACCTTCGTCCATATCATCCAATTCACCGCCGGCGGCGCCATTGGTACAAAGCATGAGACACAATTTCCTCTTATCCGCCATGGAATCAATCCTCAAGTTCCCCGAGCCTCCGAAAAACGAGGTCGTGGTTGTGGTTCGTGAGGGACCTTTGGGTTGATATAAAGAGTAAAGAGGGGAGAGAGAGGATGAGGCATTATTAGAAGCGGTAATGGTGGAGAGAGTAAAAGAAACAGAGGCAGAGACAGAAACTGGAGAGAGGAGCGAGAGGGCCATGGATATTAAGAATTTTTAGGTATTTGGGGTCGTCGTAGGTATAATATAAAAGAGAGAGAGGGATGAAGAGAAAGAAGAAAGCTCACATCTCCATCCAAAGCGAGAGGAGGAAGAAAGACCAGCAAAACGTGAGAGACTCCCTCTGAGAGGATAAAGTTTACTCTCCCATTTTCTCTTATTTATATATATTTTTATCAATAAAAAACATAAACTTATCCTATTAGGATTAAAAAGTAAAACTCTATTTTTATATAAATGTCTGATTTTGCGACTATTCAAACCCAGACTTCAAAATAAGCATGCGGACAATTCTTTTTTTAATTACCTTTTTAAAATAATTAAGTATTCTATTATTAATTTTTCCAAGTGGACTATTATTTTAGGCTATTCTTCTTCAAGTGACAATCTTAATTTGATTCGGTCATTGGTTACAATCTTATGCCCAATTTACACTTTCTAATTCCGTTTATAAAAATTTTACATTTGTACTAATAATCTTAATCTTACATATATATATGGTTGCTATTGCTAATGCTAAGACTTTATGTAAGAGTGCTGTTCGTCAATCAAACCTGTCTTTATAATATGTGACTTACCCTTTGTCACTACTTCCTCCAAAACATCAAATTATATGAATCATTGAATTACAATTTTTTCTTCACTAATTTCATTTTTAATTGTCATTACTAAGGCACGAAACTATAGTTGATGGTGGTTTAGTTAGTTACCATTTTAATGGAGAATAGAACAAGGAAAAGCAGGAAACTAATTCCGCGGCAAACTCTTCAACCACTATTTTCCTTTATACACCAAACGCTTAGAAAGAGAGAAGAGATAAAAGACCCCAACAAAAACAGAATCAAGACAATTCATAAACGAAAGCTGAAGCTAGAAAGAACCTGAAAATCACCTCTATCTCCAACGATCTTATCTTAGGACATAGATTCATCTTCTCGAAAAAGGAAAAAGAACCAGAAAATAATAGAAAACAAAACGAAAAGAAGAGACGCAAGTATGCACAATGCCTAACCTTTCCACCTACAATATGTTTGGGACCTGTGAGTCCAATCTCTGCTGCAACTCTTTCACCTTCTGCAAGAGCTCTATCTTCTGCTCTTTATAGCTCCTAAGTAGATACTCCTTCCCTTCTATTACCTCTTTCAGCTCACCCACTTCCTTTTTCAACATCTCTACTCTTTCCCCATCCCTTAATCCTTTTTCCTGTGACTCATAGTTGCTTTCGCTGTCCATAAACCCATTCACATGGCCACTCCAAGGTGCAACAGGAGATGTCTTTCCATTGCTACCTGTGCCGCATCCCACGCTGTGATCAGCTATCGCTTTTCTAAGTCTCTGGACTTCTCTTTCCGATTCAAATAGATCTCTGTTCATTGTGTCTAGCTGTGCCTGGAGATGGCTAGAGTGTGCCATCTGCGCATTATACGAGTTTTCCAGCTCCAATATCTGTTCCTGCATTTCCAGTATCATGTCATCACGTCTCTTCAGCTGTTGCCTCAGTTTCTGTATTACTTCTCGTTTGCTGAAGATGTCTGAGCTGGTTTCAGATACGCAAGGAGAATCTGAGCAGGTAGAATGGTGATTGTATGGTTTTGGGGGAAGTTCCAGGCGATCAGGAGAACTTGCCCACATGACTCCATTTTCTTTACTAAATGATGGCGCAGGAACTGTCACAAGAGGCAGTGAAGTGTCAGATGCGGATACCATTTGCTCGTTTGTCATCTCTTTTCCCTCCACATTCTCACTGCCTACAAAAAATAAGAAGAAGCAAAGTCTGATGAGATCCACACATGACTGGCTGCTCTGGACTACATGGATAGAGAATTCAGAAAGTTTCCAGAGAGCCAAAAGAACTCATTTTTGGTTATAATAGTACAAAAATCTTGTAACTATGCTTCAACCATTTCTTGGAAATGACAAATCCTGTAACTATCGTTAGCATACAACCCACTAAAGACAACAATCATTGCCGAAATTCTGCTTCCCTACTTGCCAGCCTCATTGATGCATATAAATGATAACATGCCACAACGAAACAATAAATATTAGGTTCAACAAGTTCTTGGAAGATGAAAAATCTTATAACTATTTTAAGAATTTCACAACTTCAAATTGGAATTCCTAGTTGCCAATTCGTTCATGCACATTAATATATGTTCTGTAATTGGCCTTCAAAGACACCAGTAGGCAAAAACTAGAACTCTGTAGCAACATCTACACCTCATTTAAACTAGATTTTCCTATTTCTCACACATCTTTTTCACATCACGGTTGATGAAAGGAAACCAGTAAGAGATGACACAAGGCCAAGACACTAGCATATAGTGACTTAAACAAATATGTATGGGAAAATCCATATGAAAATATAAAAACAGAAAGCTACAAAGTCACACCTGGAATGGAGCGAAAGCAACAATAATCATTGTTGTGCCCACAGGAAGACGTGTTAGAATGCAAGCAACAGCTTGAAGATTTTGGCCTCTCAGATGTCCCATTGGCTGCACAACAAACTTTTATTAAGAGACAAAAACTACAATCAGATAAAAAAACATGTTACGCAACATAGCAGCAAAGTAAGCACCTTTTAACTTAGCAGAGCCATTCAATTGAGGTTTCCAATCAAGTGACTGCTTTAGCTTGTACCCAAATCGAATGGACAATGTGCTCAGCAAGGCACCCCCTGCAATTAGTATCCAATTTGGTCCTTCACCAAAAAATTTCTCAGCTCGCTGATGCTTGGGAATACCATTTCTTCGTGTACTCATTGTAAGAGTAAGTCAAAATGTCTCTATCATCCAAACATAACCTACATTGACCGGATGCAAGAATAAATCATGATCAACAATCAGAATGAATAGGGGAAATTTCATCAAGTCAACTCAATAAAAACCACCGGAATAAATATTTAAAATCACTACATGCTAAAAACCGAGGAAAGGTTCCAGAAATAAAATATACAAAGATATTGGGATGAAAGGAATCACGATTAGAGCATTACCTCAAACACAATCAAGCAGAGAAGACAACAAAACAAAACATGAAACCAGAGTAACACTAAAAAGGAGAAAATGGGTTGGAAATTCCAGTTCATAGCTATACACCATCAGTAAGGTTTTCATTCACAGCTAACAATTTTGCTTCAGAAATGTGAAACAGGATTCTTCATTTCTCTTAGTCAAACAAACAGTCTCAGGTGAGAAAGTATAATGAATCGACTGGTAGCAGACTCTCAACTCTAAAATAAAATGCAACCTCAAAAAGTAAAGTCTCATCTAGAGAGACAAAGAGATGATACTTGGCTTGAACATGAAGCAAATAGAAATAGAAAAGCAACCTTAGTTTAGAATCGCTATCTCAGCCCTTAATGAAGACAAGAATCGAAATGAAAAGGAGAAACATGAATACACAATCCGAGAGAACTACTCAAAATGGATTTTTGCGCTGAAAAGTTCAAGTGAGAGTGAGTGAAGCCCACAAAAAAAGGGGAGAGTACAGAGAAGTATAATCGCAATACAAACCTCATAGAAAACTTTGAAAAAATGAGGGCTCCATAATTTCACTTTATAGACAGAGAAAAGCTTCTCCTGCTTGACTTTTTTAAGTGTTGGCTGTGTGTGTATATGTCTCAGCGCCACAATCGGAAATTGCTGAATAGAGAAATAAGATTCCGAGAAGAATCGTTGAGTCTCCGACGATGGGATATGGTGTAACTTGCCTGGTAAAACCCTCGAGGGAGAGAGAAGCTAAGTGGAGGAGGGAGGGGAAGAGGTTGAAGAGACGGCGCCTCACAGCTCCTTCGTTTTTTTTCTTTTCTCTGTTAATTTTATTAAAATAAAATAAAAAACGAAAAATCCCCCGCACGCGTCAACCACGTCCCATGGATGACGCTCACGGTGGTTGTGAGAGACTCATAGAAATTCAGCTCTCAATTTTCTTTATTTTCTGTTTAATCATTCCAAATAAGGAAATCTACATTTGTATAAGAAATTTTGATACATGTGTAATTTGCACTTTATACATCTTCTTCTATTGATTATCAATTTTATCTATCTTTGATATCTATACGTCTCTTAGTGGAACACAATTAATAACTTACCAGCTGGCTGGATCGATCTATATGTGACATTTTTTCCCTTTGTCTTCTTCACTATGTGTCTATGTAGACACTACAATTTAATAACATTAATTTGTCCTTCCCTAACGAATTCTACCTTATGAATTTGATAAATTAAAATATTTAACAAGTAACCAACTTTCTTGTTAAAGAGCAACCAACTTCCAACTGAAACTCCACAATATGACCAGCTTATATGCCTTGAGACACGAATTTGTATTTGAGTTTTCAGATTTCCAGTATTCACTTCACCAGCAGAAACAGAAAAAAACAAAAAACAAAGGATTAATCAGAGGTGACAACCCAAAAAAGGATCCAGACATTCAAAGCCGAAGCATTAAAACAACCAAAACAATCTGTAGTCAGAAGAGAGGTTTCCTCGGAGAGTTCATATATCCTTTCTTTTTTTTTTCTCGAGATAAGAAGAGAGAGTAGTTATAAGAATGCACAATGCCTAACCTTTCCACCTACAAAATGCTTGGGAGCTGTGAGTCCAATCTCTGCTGCAACTCTTTCACCTTCTGCAATAGCTCTATCTTCTGCTCTTTATAGCTCCTAAGTAGATACTCCTTCCCTTCTATTACCTCTTTCAGCTCACCCACTTCCTTTTTCAACATCTCTATTCTTTCTCCATCCTTGGATCCTTTTTCTGGTGGTGACTCATAGCTGTTTTCACTTCCCATAAACCCGTTCACATCACCACTCCAACCATTGCTACCTGCTTGTCCCACACAGTGATCAGCGATTGCCTTTCTCAGTCTCTGAACTTCTCTCTCTGATTCAAAAAGATCCCTGTTCGTTGTGTCTAGCTGTGTTTGTAGATGGCTAGAGTCTCCCATCTGCGCGTTAAGCGAGTTTTGCAACTCCAGAATCTGTTCTTGCATTTCAACTATCATGTCGTCACGTCTCTTCAGCTGTTGCCTCAGTTTCTGTATTACTTCTCGCTTGCTGAAGATGTCTGAGCCGGATTCAGATACACAAGGAGAATCTGAGCAGGTTGACTGGTGATGGTATGGTTTCATGGGAACTTCCAGGTGATCAGGAGTAGATCCCCACATGACTCCATTCTCTTTGCTATATGTTGGACTAGGAACTGTCACAAGAGGCAACGTGGTACTGGACACCGCAATATGCTCATTTGTAGCATGATTACCGTCCCCATTCTCAGTTCCTGCATTAAGAAAAGAAGCCAACTTTCAGAACACCCACACAAAACTTTTCTGGAACGAAATTCAGTTCCTGAGAGTAACAATTCTGAGATACTACAACCCATCATATGGGGATACTTCCTCCATAGTTGCCAGCTCATTGATGCAAGTAGCTACTTAAAGTATGATTCGTGATTGAGCTACAATGACATCACTATGTAAGAAACTAAAGGCTACAAACTTGTAAGAACCATGTCCAAACTAATTTACAAAACATTCTCAAAAATATCTTAGCAAACCCAGCAAGAGACTATGTAGAGTCAAGATAAAGTAAAAGAAAATGCAGCTGGTAGGAATTACCAACTCACAAACTCTCACCGGAAGTGGAGTGGAAGCAAAAATCATTATTCCTATCACAGGGAGACGCATTAGAATGCAAACAGCATCCTAGAGATCTTCCTCTGTCAGATGTTCCACTGGCTGCAAAACAACAAGTCAACCACCCTCCAAATAAGATTAGTTTTTTTTTCAAACGAATACATTGGTAGGACATGTAAAAGCAGTAAAACCTATAAGTACGTTTTAATCCACCATTGGAGTGAGGTTTCGAGTCAACGGACTGCTTTAATTTGTAGCCAAAGCGAATAGACAATGTACTCAACAAGGCACCCCCAGCAATAAGGATCCAGTTAGGGCCTTCACCGCGAAAACTCTCAACCCGCTGGTTCCTAGAAATGCCATTTCTTCGTGTAGTCATTGTCAGAGAAAATCAAGTGTCTCTATCATCCAAGCTTTAACACAAAATCAACAGCTTCCCGTTTAGAAATCAGCTAATGTTCACCTAAAAAAAAAAAAAAATCACCAAAATGTAGTAAAACACTCGAAAGGAAGAAGCCAGAGTCTCAAATTTGGTCACAGGAAAAAATCGAAACACCAAAAGTGAAGATAGACAAAAAATCGGAACAGAAACCTCATCAGAAAGGGTAAACACTGCAGGGCCGGTTCTCCGAGAAATTAGGGTTTCTGCGTGAAAGCAATCAAGTAGATCGAGACTAAGCAAAAAGCAAAAGTTTACGGAACAATTATGGTCAAAAAAGGGAAAACGTAGAAGAAGCTTACCACCAGGCTGTTTTAGAGAGACAGCGCGGCGCTGAGCCAACAAAGTGACAAACAACTCAAAGGCCGTTGAAGCCTCTCTTTTTCTTTCACCCGCCGTGAAGCGTTCCAACAAAAATAATTGCTTTCTGTACTTTTACTTATCGTAGATATTTTATTTGTCTACTGTAATTAGATATTTTATTTTGAAATAGAGGCCTTTAACTTGAATTACAAATTGATTAGTTCTTCAGCTGTTTTGCTGTGGCAAAATATTGATTTTTCCCTACAACCGATTGATTAATTAATTAGCAGTCAGCTGAATGATTTTATGTAATGATCTATGAGGATCAAGATTAAGACAAAACGAGGAATATATATATTGGTAACTCTTGGCGGCAGTGACTGGTGTTGCGTAGTTGGCTCTTCCCTAGAGAACCAACGTCATTTTATCCTGCACTGATGTTATCTCTTTCTCACCTTTCTGTGGATATTTTTTATATTTTTTATAAACAGATATCAGTATTGAGAATTCTATTCCTGGAATACAATGTGGTTTGATCAAAAGCGTCACTGCGTCGACATATGCATTATAATATATATATAAACAGAAGCAGATATATTTTGAACCTAACACTTACCAGCTTTCTCTCTACCACCACAATAATATCCTCACACAACGAACCAACAACAAAAGAAGTCCTCTCAATTAATGCCACATGAAATCATTGTGGCGACTAGACTACTCTTTTTCTTTTTTTCTTTTCCTCCTCCTTGAAAGTACGTACACTGCAAAAGAAAATTTACATGATATATAATATAAGCATGCATAAAAAATATGTAATGAATGCTAATCCCCCAAACTCAAGTTACAAGTAACCATTAGGATTTGCCGGTACTCTCTATATAACTCTCATTCTCTTTACAACTAATCAGCTAATCACAGACACACACACCTGAGGAAGAAAGAAAAACAACTCAAGACTAATCCTTTCAGCTCAAAAACTGTACATATGTCAATGACTCAACTACTTTAATCTACATCAAAATTCAATCAAACACTGAATGGAAGGGAACTTACAGATGCTTGCTCTTAGTCAATTGGGTGCTTATCAATTTGACGAGATGTGTAGTGCGCAGAAAGCAAAAGCAGAGAAAGAAAAGCGCTCGCCACGAATATTGCATCAAACCATCGATGATAAAAATCAAATTGAATATCTCCGCCTAATACATCTGTTATTATCCCTCTGTACCAACAAAAAAGCTTTCAGTAATATAATCTACTTTTCCATCTTTAGATCAGAAGAAACATGTACATAACGACACATACAGCAATTAGTTTATTATTCATTTTAGTTAAGAGCAGGTACCTGTACTCATTTCTCAAGCTTTTTCTTATAAGAAGAATGGAAGACAAAAAGTACATTCCCATGATTTCGGATAGGAAAAGCACAACATTGCTTGAAGAACCACTCCCTACCCTTGACACTGCAAAGAAGAACTGTAAAATGTATATTGTTAGTTATGTTTCAGTAAAATGTAAAATCACCATACTACTGCCAATCAAGTAGCCATCAATTTGTTTTATATTCAGGTTAAAAATTAATTGAGTAGATCCGTAATGCTACTGCAACAAATACTCAGTTAAATTACTCTACATCTGCAATTGAGATATATGTTCATGTGCTTTGCTCAAACAACTACAACTTTCTCAAGGAAAGTTTGCTGGTGCAAAAAAAGTGACAGACTCTGTCTATTTAAACATGTTAAAGGCTGGGTAATAGTTTCCCGTAGACACTAAAAAGCTTCAAAATACGTGGAAATCACAAAAGATTGTATAAAGACAAATGGAAGAAATTTTAAACGTTAAAATTAGAACGCACCTTCATCAGATTCGTCAAGAATCCCCTCACTGATATCACGATCAACATCCCAATAAACAACAGGGAAATATACTGAAAATGATAGAGAAAGATACAGAGTCAGACCTACGTTTACAAGATCCTGGGAAACCAATAGACTCATAAGGTAATTGAAGAACCATATAGGCATTTTCAAGATTAAAGTCATCAAAAACTCAGTCAAGCACACCTGTGAGAGCAATGCAGCATCTACTCCTATATCAAAGAACTGCAAGAATATACTGATCATCATCGTGACAGGATCTTTTGTGCCTGCCTGTAAATAATCTGATTACTATTCCATGTAGTAAATAAGTAAACAAATGATGATAACAGATGCAACCATTCATCATAAAGGGTATAAAAACATGAGAATACCTCCTTGAAAACGACACTTTGAAGAGACTGCAGATAAAACAAAGGGTATAACAGAGATGTTAGAAACACTGGTCCACAGTTACAAATGTCAAACACAGAACAAGAGATATTGGCGATATTTTCTTCTAATAAAACAATTACTGTCCTGAGAACAGCTACAAAGTTCACATCCCAGAAACACACACAATGAAATGGGATCCACAAATTTTAGATCTATCCATCTACTGGGATCTTTGAAAATATGTAAGCAACTCTGCATCAAATCTCTATTAAATAAATTAACACTAACCACAAAAATCCATAATCCATTGTTTCATTCATGTGGACGAATTTAATATAGCCTTGGAATATGAGAATACATAGAGTAAGAAGAACTGAAGGCTATCACTTCACATAAAGCACAAAAAAATTACCTTTAACATCTTATACACACAGTAAATGGAACACGCATAGCCAAGTAAGTTCTGCACATGACCCTTCCAAGTTCGAGAAAAAGCAGCAGCATCCTGCAAACGAAATGAAGCTAGATAAATGCTTATAGAATGTGTATGTTACAAAGTAACAAGACCTACAGGTAATAAACTAAGAAATAGATAATTTAGTCGAAGATGCCAATGAGTAGAAATCTGCAGATAACTTAAACTAATGGCACAGTGCTAAAGGGGGACCTTTGCTTGGCGGAGTTCATAAATTTCCAAGAATAGCTGCTTTGAAAGCTCTTCTAGACCTTCAACCTCCGCCTCCATTAGTTTGATATCTGTAAAAGAAACACATCAATGATTCGAGGAGATATCAACAAACGGTAACTAATATGCTGAGCTAATATCTCATATTATTATGTACACTATAAAATTCTAAGGAAAATACATGATCCTATTCTGACCTTTAACCTGATAATAGAGGGAAACTGTAACAGCCCAACCTATTCTCTATCGAAACGTCAAAAAATTTCAGCTGACAGAAGCAAGATGAAAATTTTATCTATCAAATAAATTTAGATGGTTTCTTTCAAATAAAGGAAAACATAATGGCATCAAAAATAGTGCACATATAAAATCACTCCTAGGAAGATAATGTTGTGCAGATACAACTGCATCTGAAACTAAATTATATAAACTGACCTTGCTCCTTTTGGTCATCTTGAACCGACCGCACAACAGTCCCGACAAATCTTCTAAAGAAAGACCTACCTTTTTGATTCTGAAAGCCAAAAGCACTAAATGATTACTTCCTAAGCTCATTTTAGAATTAGCAGCAAGAGAAAAGCATAATTATGAAATATCATTTATCAGTCTATGTGGAAAATTGTTTTAATGGCATTTCGACTGATGCATAAAAAAATAAGTGTTATGATAACAAAAATCATTTCAGAGCCTGAAGAGCATTTTACCATAGAGTAGCGAAATACACAGATTTGATAAGAATCCTAACCCAAATGCAGAATGTTAAATAATATGAAACTTTAAATTACAATCACGTACTAAAATAGAAGAAGGAAACATACCTCTTCTGATACTTGAATTCGTTCCACCTCCACTTGACATAAAATAATTTTCTTCTTCTTAGCTATGCAAGTATCAATTGATTGCATCAGCTGCCTTTCCAGCGATTTTATTTCAGATTCTTCAATCTCCCTGTATGTTTCCAGAGATACAGAAAACATGACAACGCTGTTAGATAAAAAAAAAATAAAAAAATTCCCAATCCAGCTGCTCTTCAATCAGTGTAGAACCATTTACAACACAGAAGATGAAACGCTATTCATAGCTTAGCTACTTCAAATTAAAATCCACAAAACCATTTGCGTCATTAAAGAATGAGTGTTTACGTAACATTTTCTGTCCACATCAACCCGGTATCTTTTTATTTCTTATTTTTTGCTATCATTTCCAAATTAAAGTGGCAGTTACCTAATTATATCGTTCTATTTTTTCACTCCAGTTTATGGTGCCATCAGAGAAAAATGCTCTATAGATTAGCTGAAACAAACTAAGCAGCAAAACCATTACAGATTTAAGCAGAAGCTAGAAGAAAATATTGGAGCAATGATAAAGGGAAGTACCTAATGAAGAGAGATATATAACTGTAAGGCAAATTTACAGCTCCAAAACCCGATAAGACAGCCATGAGGGTCACACCAATAACCCCAATTCTGCTGACCAGTTGAGGCATTGAAAAAAAACCTGTCAAAAACTCAAAATAAAAGGGTGTTTGTTTAAGGTAAGTAGTCCAACAGGCGGTGACAAGATCTTAAGCATCCAAAAAAAAAAAAGAACCGAGAGGATTTGTATATAGAAAAGCTACTGTTGTGCAAAAATAGACACAAGCCTAAAGGAGGCAAGATGATTGATTCTATGAAATTCTTCTGAAGACATTTTCTACAGTCAGGCAATCATATTCAGTGTCAACATGCTCAGATACTCCTTTCAAGTTATAGCAACATTATTCCTACTACACATATTCAGAAGTACACTTCGTTCATAAATATGTTAATAAGATCTAACTGAAACTTAAGATCAACTTTCTTCTTGCCTACACAGTGTTGAAGGGTAAGACAGGGTGTACAAACTCAAAGAGTTACCTTTGTCTGAGGGCATAGGAAAATGAATTCCCATCCGCCAGAAAGCATAAAGGAACGCAGTCAAAAATAAAAAGGCCCCAACAGCAGCACGTTCCCTTCTAACACCTGAAACGTGGTGATATGATATTTAATCGAAAAAACGAAAGAAGGAAGGAGCAATTCCATAAGGCAATGCTTATAAATATTCTTCCATATCAATCCAAATTGAAACTCGTGAATGATGAGAAAATAAGGAAATGAAATTTACGCCAGTGTCAATTACCAGGCCCCATACTATTTCTTAAAGAAAAACTGATGAAGCAAAATACAGTCCATCATATGCAAAAAATGAGCATATAGTAATGTAATATACAACTTTAGGAATTGCTAGGACACTTGAAATGACACAGAATAGAAGAACATCAATACTTTGGCATGAGGAAAATGCTTACCAGTATTGCGAAGCATCAAATAGCAATGATAATACGGTAACATGAAAACAAGGAGCACTATCAAACAAAAGAGATCCACCTTCCAGTTTACCATCCTTGCCCTGCAAAGCAAAATGAATCTCAATAGAAACTTCCAAGGCTTGAGCTATTTTCTGGGTGATAGAGAAAAAGAGATATAGGTCTCATGATTTGTCTCAGATATAATTGCAGAACTAAATAATAAAATTGTCAAAGCTCATTGCACAAATTCACAACCCTTTCACACCAAATGATAAAATTAGTCAATGATGTTACACATTATCCAGCATTATAAGTTTTCACATCACTCAATGGTATATGTATTTCTCATTCATCTGGGAGTAGCAGCTAAACAGTAGTAGTTGCAAGAAAAAAATTCTTAGGTCAGCAAAACGTAAGGGAAAATTCAGCTGCGGAACAATCGATAAGAGAAAACAAAGTTGCAACTGGAAAGCGTACTCTCTAGATAAGACAGGGATGATCTCGAAGAGAACGAGCTGTAAGAGGTTGCAAGAGAAGGCGAAGACGACGCTGAAAATGATTTGAACCAAGGCCCGTTTCTCTTCGTACTCCTTGTAAAGCCTCCGGTTGAGAAACCAAAGACCAGCCGATCCTAGGAGACACAGAGATCCCATCACCAGTATCCCCTCGAAGATCGCCCATCCGTAACCCATCTCTCTCTCTCTCTCTCTCTAACAAGGAACAAGTGAGGAAAATTTGGTTTCTGTTTCATTTTTCCCCATTTCAAAGCTTGATCCATTAAACCACGCTAAACCGGATCTCCGTACCAAATTTAGTGTTTTGGTATGTGACAGAGAGAGAGATATCTCAATCATCACCACGCCCCGTTCCCGCCAAAACCTAAGGATTCTTAGCCACTGCATCTTTCTTGTGAACTTCCATTAACGCTTACACTTTTGTGTTTTGTTGTCAGCATCTAATCCTTGGACTTTGCTTGCTACTTAGTTGATTTTCTTGATTTATTTTGTGGGAAATTGGAAAAACTCAAGGCATTAGCAGAGATAGCAGCCCACTATCCGAAACTCACTTCTTTCGCACTCTGTTCCAACTTGCTAGTATAACAAATAAGATATGTTTGCTGCCAAAAACAGCAATGATGCATAGATGTACGTATGTATACTCCTTTAAATATTATCAAGGCCAAAAAATACAATATTGTCAATGTCACAATACAAAATACAAACACAATTTGCGAACTTTTTAAAAACTATAAATAAATGGAGAAAATCAAATAAACAATGAAGACAAAACTCTGAAGAAAGGAACACATGACAAAGCCAAGATAGGAAAACACTCGCTACCCGCAATTGCTAAACTGGATATATTAAAAACAAGATTTGACACTCAAATGAACAAAGAATAGATTTCAAAAAGAAAAACAAAACCAAAAACCCAGAAGACAGTTTTAGCTTCTGAGATATAAATTTATCACGTGCGAAGATCAACTAGTAGAAGCAAACGCAGCAAGAGCGTTAGCTTGCGAAGGCGGTAGGCCAGCTATGATTGGCTGCAGCTGATTTCCATAAACCTGGATCAGGTGGGAGAAAGTGCTGCCTACAATCGCTTTCACTTCTACTTTTTCGACTGGTGACTCCAGTACTTGTCCAAATATTTTAATCAGGTCCGGAATATGAGGGAGGATCTGATTTTGTATCCAAGCAAAATAATTCACCAAATGCACCCTATGTAATATTATGCCAAAGTCGAAATTATGCATAGGAAAAGTTACCTGTGGGTTGGATGCCAAAACTAGCGAATATATACAGCTGTAAACAGCCATGGACTCCTCTTGATCTTCCTTTAGAGGTAGACCTCTTAAGAACACTGGAAGTACCTGGATTGTATAACTTAGGGATGAGTACAGTGTTTCCATAAAGGTTCAGGACGTACACAAAAGATAGACGAAACTGGCCAATCCACCAAGATCATACCTGATTTAGCGGGACTAGTTGAGGATGAACAACAATCATCCTTGCGGTAGCACCTGCTGCATTATCCCTTACAGCAAGGTCTGGTTCTGAATCCCCAAAAAGAGGGGAAAGTCTTCGTAGAACATCATCAATATATCTGCTACTGAGTCAAGGGAAGACAAATGTGGCATGGACTGACAACTCTCATGTTCTCCCAAAACCACAAGAGAAAACCAGGAGAAACAGAAGGACAATAGAAGGATGAGCATAGAAATCAATGTGAGTAGAGTTAAATCTTTTTTTTTTTTTTTTTTTTTTGTCGGCGAGTAGAGTTAAATCATGTAACACGAAAAGGATACTTAATGGCAGCTTCACCCCCGTTTTTGCAAAGCTCTCCAACACAGAAAGCTGCATTTCTTCTATTGGTTGCTTCTGGTGACCCCAATTCTTTGAGAACCAAGGGCATTAACCTCTGCAAGAAAATACTCCCAATGATTGGTTGAGTACAGCTCAAACACCAATCATAGAAAACATAAAATGATAAAACTTACATCAACATAGGCAGAGATTGGAGGACCCATGTCTTGAGCAACTTCAGCAAGACTAGCAACTACCATTGTCCTATCCTGTGGGGGACGTGAAGCTTTCTACAGACACACGAAGTGGACCAGTCAGTATCTAAATTTCAGTGCAAGAAGTAATGTTAACGAATACTGTAATCACTAACACCCACCGCAAATTTCATCAACGGCTCAAAGAATTTGGCAAAGACAGGTTCAAAATGAGAACCCATACACTTTGCTAAGGCAGGAAGGAGGTCAGAAACTGCATCCATGAGGACCTCATCATGTCCGGTATCATCATCATCAACATCACTCTCATCTTCTAACTGCTGGCAAGCTGCTTTTTCCGTCAGCAGTAGCAGCGTCGCATCAACAAGGGGTGATAAATCTAGAAACCATTTTCAGCATAGGATACAAGAGTAAGATCATTTGAATATCCTGAATTACATCAAACTGACTCCAACAAGTTTATACACCCACAATTTTGAATGGCTACGAAACCATAATCCTTCATGATATCTGCTACGCTCATGCAAGCCTGAGCGACAACCTCCTTGTCGTCATCTTCAGTCATAGTTTTGATATAATTATTCATAATTGTATCTGCAATGGAGAAAAACTGTCGTAACTTCTTCTCGTCATTCTTGTTGTTAATGATAAAAAATGATGTGTATTATGCGTTACCAAGAATTTCATTTGCCTTCCCAGCTCCATCCTACATAAGAACAAAACATTCAGAATACCATGGCTGGAAATTATAAAGGAACGGGGAGGGGAGGAGAGAGTGGGAAAAAGATAGATATATGCATGAGCAAGTCTCTTACATTATGAGTCTGGAAGATAGCATGCGCTGCAGCCAATATATCTGCAATTCCAACAGATAAAAGAGTTATAAGTTTGGAGACTCGAAATAGAATGACGAGCTGTAATGCCCCCAGCATTATCAAGTCTAACCCATAGATTAGGTAAGCTTTTAAATACTAAGAGATCCGCAGAACTTCATATATCTAATACGACTTAAGTGAGCATGAAATTGTAAAGGAAGAGGGCCTAGACAGTTGACCACATATCAAACAAAGGCGGCAAGAAGGAAATTTGGCACATCGATCATATACCCAGCTGTCAGAAATTGTTAATCATCAGGCCAGTTTACCTTAAGTTGGGATGAAGCTATGTACCTATCAAACAACGTTTACTAATTTCTGTGCCTAGGAAAATTAATCTAACCCTCGCTCGGACGAGTCCCCAAGGGTTATGGAAGAGGTCATATGTGTCAGCACAGTTCCGGCCCAGTTAAAATAATGTCAATCAATGGATCAAGATGTCAAATAATCAATAGATAGAAAACTCACGTTTCAAACCAGTGACTGCTTGAAGCCGAACATCTTCATGAAAATATGCAGAATGTTTGTCCATAATTTTCAATGATTCCTCGAGGTAGCTTATAAGTGAGTTAAGGAGGCATGAAAAAGAGTTCTAGTAAAAAGACAAAAGAAAATAGTTAAGGGAAATTTAAAGGATACGGTGCAAAAGAAGTTTTAGTGTGCAGTGCAAACAGGCCAAGAGCTTGAGTCGCAGCTGCCTTTTCATCCAAAACTCCTGTTCGAACACTAATGTTCCGAACTCTGGGCTCATCATGAGCATCATCATCAGAGGATACTCCACCAAAATCATTGACATGTTCATCATCTGACTCATCAATGTCTACTGCAGATCCATCATCCAGATTGCAAGAAGCTAATACTAATGGCATAACGCGAGGTAAATACTGCGAAAAAATATTTTTTTCTGTTTACTCTAAACTTAATCACTGAATCCAAAGCTGTTATAAAGTCCATATGAAAGAAAATGCATGCACACCTGCGCAAAACTGTCCTCCAATATTTCAGCTACGTTGCTGAAGAAACCATGAGTATATTCTCGCAACTCACTGAACTCCAATTCAAATCCCTGGTATATTGTGATTGTGAGCTCTTTCTTCCACAAAATAACATATTCAGTTCAAAGAAAGAGAATATGATAAGGCCATTACTGATATTGCAGCATCAATGAAAGGTGGCAAAATGGCCTCCATCTCTTTTCTCCCAACAGACATTGCGACAATCCCTACAAGCTCAGTAGACCTTGCACGGGCACGAAGATCCTCGTCCTTGGTGAGCACCATGAAAAACTTCATCAACTCTAGAACCCTCTCAGCATACGGATTGAATGCTTGCTCTGCAGCAGCAGCAACCGACCCAATTGCAGACTGCAAGCAAGTAGCACACAGCTTACATAAAATTTTCAGAAACCAGTTCAAAAGAAACTCTTGCAAAGATTTTCAGTGTACCATGCATGTCTCTTGTAAATTACGCGGGCTACTTTCGAGGGCAGCCATAAGCTTCTGCATTAAATGATCAAGTAAAGGAACAATTTCCTCTCCCATGTTCTCACAGAATGCCGCTAAGGCGTAGTGTGACTTTTCCTGTAGACAATTACGAAAAATGTTACTAATAAACTACGGTTACATGTTATCATGGCAGCAGTGCATTTTCACAAACAACACAGACTACGCTCAGTTCGCTGCTCTAAACTTTTACCTTCACCTCCTCAGATGTATCATCAATTGCATTTAATAGGCATGGAAGAATTATCTGATAATGTGAAAGGATTTCGGGCTGAAGATGCTCGGCAAATTGGCCTATTGCAAATGATGCAGCCCCTCGAACCATTTGCTCAGGGTCTCTTAAAGCTCCTAAGACTATATTAAGAACAGGGTCCAGCTTCCCTTTCATCAGATCAAAGCAACCCTCTGATATAACACCTAGAGCTGTTACAGAAGCTTCCCGAAACTTCAGATTTGTACTTTGACTATGCATGGAAGCAAATTCCAAAACAGGGAGGAAGACATGCTTTGGCAGGTTCATTGCAAGTGTGTCAATAACTTCAGCAGCTGCACGATCAGGAGCAAGATCATCATCGTCCTCTTGATCAGATGACTCAGCTAGTAAAGGGCACATAACTTGCAAAACTGGTATGACTAGCTTATGTTTTTTAAGGGAATTATGTTTGTACTTTGCCAACCATGAAACTATTTGGATTGCCTGGTAAATAAATGGAGTGAGGCATCAGGAGTCATAACATCACAATTCGAACCTATTTCAAGTAAACAGAGTGATTCATCTAACCTGGTGACGGGTACTACTTTCCAGGTTTTGATTACAGGAAACTTCAAGAGAGAACTGCACAATTGATTTGACAGAATCTCCAAGTAGAGGAGCAGGAGATTCAATCAGCTCATCAAAAATTTCAAAAGCAAGAATAGCAACATCCTCCTCTCCAGATGCAATACATTTCCTTGATACATTCAATATGCTGGGAATGAACTCTCGGAATTTGACCTGATAGAAATGGCATAAGCAAATATGTTAAATCAGTCTCTAAACTAAAAAAATTTCCCAGACAAAATAGAAATTCAAAAGTTACACATCCTACAGAAACCCATTAGATACTATTAGACGTTTAAACATGTCTATAACATAAACAAGAAAGAGAAAGTCACTAGATTTACCACTTCATCCCCATCGTTTGTAAATTCCAGAAAAGAACCCACCGCCCTAATAAAATTACAGAAGAGTGTAAAGAGTAGAGATAAAGATCCAAGAGAAGAGCAAACATAAATATATTCCAGTGAAAAACAAATTACTTGAGAGCAGCAACTCTGACTCGACTACTGTTTTCATCCTGCATACACTTGAGTAGAAGAGCCTGCAAGTCAGCAAAGTAAGGCCTAAATGTGTTCCCAATCGTTTCTGTCAAAGAGCTGAAAAGGATCAATGCTACCTACAAGCAACAACAAAATAAATATACGTAAGTGAACAAAAACGCATCAAATCGATCAACCATAAAATAAATGACACAGTGAGAATTTCACAAGAAAGTTACTTCACGATGGTCTTCTTGAGCACTCTGACTACACTGGAAGAGAAAGGTTAATAAGTCAGGCCACTCTCCAGCCGGAACAGCGTACTTGGCTACTACACTCACAACATTAGCACTCGCACGTCTCACCGGCGGACTAATAAATTCAATGAAAACACAAAAACGTCAAATCCGAATTGAAACAAGAGAAGAAAAATATAGAGTGAGAGAAAGAGAGAGAGGAACCTGTTCTCGACGGTGATACTCTCGATTAAGGACTGCTTAACATGCTGTTTGAGCTGAGGAGAAAGCTTGGCCCAATGTCCGGTGATTCTTTTGCGGAGGAGAACGGCGGCGAGCTGGCGGACGTTGGGGGTTTTTGCAGTGCGGAGATGCTGAATGAGAGCAGGAACAACTTGAGGGTCTTTGGCAAGACGCTTGATCTGATCCTCAGCTTGACGACGAGCATCATTGTCCGGCATAAGGAATTGGATCAACAGAAGCTCGAGAGATTGCGCCATGACTTGATCGATTGATGAACTCCCCAAGCAGACAGAGGCTGCTCGAATTGTGGGAGTAGAGAGACACACTACAGCGAATAGGGTTTTTCTTTTTTTTTTTGCCCTTTTCTATTAATACGCTTTAAGGGTTTTTGCTTTGCGAGATTAAATAGTTATTTATCTAGTTTTCTATTGGTTCGTATCTCATTGTTTTTGGTGGTAAACTTTAATTATGAGTTTGACCAAAGTTGTTGGCGCCTTATCGTTCAACCAAAGTTAACAATTGACTTGTGTGTTTCAGTGTTTGTTGAAATTATAATGTGAATGCTTTAAGTGTTTGCTTCGTTGTATAATCTTTACATGGCACTCATACGCTATGGAACTGGTCATTCGTATATCACTTGTAAAGAAACAATTGTAATGTGCTGAACAAATATGTCTTTCATATCAGAAAAGCTGAAGAATATTGAACAAGGTGTAACGTTTTTATCGTCTGCAACCCAAAAACGCTGAAACAGCAACGAATGATTAACTTATATGTATGAGTTACAGATCTCTCTTTAAACGAGAACGACAAGCCTATAAATTATGAGACCTATATGATTTTGTGTGTTTTTCTATAGCTGAGGATATTTTACATCTCAATGTCTTCGAGTTCTGGTAAAGGAAACCTGAGAAGAGCTGCAATTCCAGTTAGCTGTGCCAATTCTGCAAGTTCATCAAAACTTGTTAATAACTGTTTGCCACACAAAAAAACAATAATCAAAATCACAATTAACTTAGATTAAGAAAGAAGGGTTAAAGAAGCAAACACTAACGTTCCCCTGACACATGCATCGCCGAAAATATAAAAGCTTCTCCTCCCGAACCTTTCACCGACTCCACCAAATTCACATACTTCTTCCTTGTTTTCACGTCAGAATTCCTGGACCAAAATTACATATTTATACATCACACGTGCCTTTGTAACTACAGTACAAAAGCCGCATTAAAGTTGGTATTCCTTTCCATTACTAAACCTGAAAAGCTCGTCCGTAATGAGAAGTGTTTGGATTGCCATTCGTTCATGAGCAACTTCCACATGTTTTGGTCCATAACATGCCCGATCTGGATCCTAGATTCCAAAGCAAAACAATATTAAGACACATTGAGATTCTTAATGAAAATCTTTCCGATCAGTGCAAATTAGAAAACGAAAGAAACTGACATTTGAAAGCATGGTGTGGAAATCGTTGAGAGCTTTGACCTGCAATAGGCAAATCCACATCAGGCAGGTGGGTATATTTCAAGAGCACAATGCACAAAACAGTGAACACACATATAAAATAGAAGAAGCTTCTTCCATCCAGTTCTATCCACCATTCAGTTTACAAGAACTTTATCCACCAATATCTAATCTATTAGACTGGCCTCTGAGAGTGTCTTTCTTAGACCAAGAAAATACCAAATGACTCTTATGGATCACTACCACATAGTATGTGAATCCTAATGCTTTCCGGTGACCTAACTATAAAAGCTTTCCTTGTAATATGGCTACAGAACAGAATAACTAGATTACTACGGAATAGCACTTCCTATACAGGGGACACATTCTATAAAAGAAAAATGATGCAATGTTTGGTCTCACACGAATTCAAAATAAGAAACAACATAATATTAAATCAAAAAGATGATAATAATAAACCTTTTAAGCTAACCAAGATTTCAATGAGCAACTAACAATGATAATATCTCAGCTATATTGACATTATTTTACCTCTTTTGCTGCTTTTGTATCTTTGATCATATTCATCACGTTGGGAGCATGCAGAACCTCTCCCAGGCTATGTCTGTGCACCAAAACAATGTTAGAAATCGAAGAAAAATAGCATGAGCAGAATAACAAGCTGTTTAGAGAAGTGGCCAAGTAAAAGAAATACAAACAAGTAGAGGTGACTTGTTAAGACTAATAGAAACCGCAAACATGAATCAAAACATAAATGTAACCTGGTCAATTTGAAAAGTGTTATACAAACACAAAAAAGTTGGAATTTTCTGCCTCACCCTTAAGTTTTTAGCATTTTATATCATTTGAGACTGAGCTTTCAATGGTAATTCAGTGGCAGAACATTATTTTGATGAGTTAGTAAGCTGTTCTACAGAAACACTACCTATATCCAGAGTTTGTGTGCACCAGAATTATACGTGATTTGTTCTCAATAATAGGTCTCAACTGTCTTCTTTCTGCTTCCAACAACAAGTGGCGATGAAACTGATCCTGAAGGTAAGAAACAATCAAATGTTCATGTGTGTCATATATGCACATAACTTAAAATTTGTCACACACACATATATCTGAAAAACTGTATCCCTTGTAAATGTGTTCATCAGGTATAAGCTTGTTCAGCTGGAATTTGAACAATAATTAACCATGTAAATTTAGAATTAGTCTTAAGAGGCAGACAAACCTTTGTAAAACCGGGACTTGCAATCACTGCACAACGAACGACACTGAAGTCAACATGTTTCACAAAAGCCTGTGATATTGCAATAACTTTTAGTATATGTGTAACTCTGGTTTACTTTCTATTTGGTATGTGTTAGAAAACATAAACATTCTGAGAACGAACACAAACCTGCAGAACATTCTCGAAGAATTTCTTCAAAGCCTACAGAAAAACCAAAAACAAAAATTGGAAGGGATGATATGTAAAAGGAATTCCAGTAACCATAGTTTGGGCACATATATGTCGAAAAAGTGAAGGAACATACAGATTCGTAACCAGCAATTGCAGGTCCATGCTTCCTAGGGATGGATGTTTCTATTCGTGCACGGCTACTTGTCACACTGCCAAAGAAAACAATTAAGTAAACAACAACAGAAACGGATGGTTAAATTTAACCCCTCGCATACTTTGTTCAAACAAAACTACCCAAGCGGGAAAAAAAAAAAAAGGAAATACATGCCGACAATACACAAACTACAGTAGTAACAAATTTAACATCTAATGGATCTTCTAAACTGCAATCATTACCTTCTGCCGACAAGGAATATCTGTCCCAGTCCTTCTTGCATAAGAACTACAGCTAGATCAGCACTGGCAGCAGGATCTGTGCAAAAGATAAGTTTAAAAAAAAAATGAACCCGGAATACGAAATGGGAGATAACATGAGATCAAAACACATGGCATACCGGAAATACTAGCTATTTCAAATGAACAAAACCCATTATGGGTCATACATAAAGCCTGTAAATGATTGTGTTAAGACAACTAGGCAAGTACTTATGTGAAAGGGTTCAGATATACGCCTTTTTAGATAGATAAACAAAGGTCTTAGAGACTTTGACATTTTTTAAGACATGCATTTTCGTCTAAACAGCCACGTAACGAGGAATTAAATGAAAAAGACTTGCAGGCCCAAGAGCATAAGATAAATTGGAGACAGAAGGAGAAGTCTGGAATATTGCACATAAAAGCTTGTAAACTAATAACTTAAAATTCAATGTCTACCCTAGACCACACGGAGATAGATTTGGATAATTTGCCAACAATCGATATAGACACCATAGCAGTTTTGTGATAGCAAAAATTAGGAGGTCGAATCATTGGAACATCATACCTGAGGCCTGCTTAAGTGTATCAAGAGCCATTGAGTCCCAAAGTTCCTGCAAAATTGGCCATGTACACACTACCGATTACAAATGAAGTTGTCACAAAAAGAGGAAAATATATTATCTTCCAAATGGTATATCACACTATACGAGTGTGCAGTGCGTTGTTCATATAATAGAAACCAGATTGCAAGACACATTCTGTCACACTTACAAGGTAGAAATAGCACAGAACTTCTGGAGGATTAAATTAGTAAAAATAGGACATTTACCTTTCTCAATACAAAAGGCCGTTTCAGCTCAAGCTCCAGAGTATGGAATGCACCAATCTGTGATACAACACAAGCTTCAGAACCGAAATAAAAATTATAGGGTAAGAGTCAGCCTCACATCTACCTTTACGTGATCATTCTCCAGGATATTCTTCCCACGAATGCGCAAAACAGCAGCGTCTTTGTCATAGTCCACCTCCTAATTGAATAATAGAGAATTGAAGAGAATCAGACCATGAAATTAAACAAAGATATCTTCCACTGTCAAGAGTACCACAATCAAAAGACCAAAGACAACCCAAAAAAGCAACATATGTGCGCAATATTGATTTTATAACGCAAATGAATGTAAGGCAATATAGTTTATTGCGATTTTTTAAGCATGACGTTGAAAAATTTGCATACCAATCCATTAAAATCATACCTCAACTTGTACTTCCAGCTTCAGTTTAACACGTTCAGAGTCTCTTCCCCCACCGGGTATCTCTCTCTGAACTTTTCTGATAGCAGACAAATAAAACCGTAACTACTAACTTCTTGGATGATACTATATCAGTTAACCAAACACCAAATCCCTTTACTCCTTATGGATTTTCATTAAAATCGTACAAATCAACGAACTTTGAATGTGATACATGATTATAAACATACCATAGACCATGAAAGCAAGAAAGGCATCGAAAACTGAAAGAAGAACGTACCTAAAAGTGACAGCCATTACACTATCACCGATGGCAATCAGGTTATAAGCATACCATAGATCATCAGAGTCCTCCGCCGCCATCTACCATCAATTTAAGTCAGCAAAGCATTTGAATTGAAGTTGTAAACTAGATATTGTAACATAAGAGAAAAGAAAAAAAATCCCAGATGACGAAGGAATCAATCAAACCTTAACGCTTCCGGGTCCATTACGAACAAAATCCCTTCGAACGATCTTCATCTGTCGGGGCTTTTAAAGGTATGTCCACTAGCAGAGTCTAGAGATACATAGAGACAGAGAGATTAACACTGGTCTCGAAAAGGTTCAATTTTTAAGTTGTCGGGTCAACAGAAATTGTATCAGACTCGAGCAGATATGAATAAGAGAGGATCCCGAAGCACCGGGATTGGTAAAATCAAAGCAGCAATACGATGAGGTAAGAGGCATAAATCACAAACCTGTATACGGATACAGGCCTCAGCTCAGGCTAAGGCTCCGGTTCAGGCTCAGACTTGGGGAGAGCTTGTATTAGTCGTTTTCGAATTGAAAATTTGTGAGGGGCGAGTGGTCGTAAGCTGCAGAGAGATTCAATCCGAAGACACGCACTTTCGATTTCGAAGATTCGTTTCACAGCTTTTCAATAAGAATTCAAGCTCTTGTTCTTAATGTAATATTTAACAAATAAATTAATCAAATACAAATAGAAATAGGAAATCCATATCAAGAATAAAAAGGAAAAATAGAAATAGAAAAAATCATATATATTTGGAAAAAGTGTCGGAAATAAATATATAATTGAAAAAAATAATACTAGTTTATATAAGAGAACATATATATATTATATAAGAGAACATATATATATATATGACATAAATAAAATTTTGATTCACCAATTACAATAATATATGTTGAGTTTTCTGAAAAAATTATAAAATTTTAATATTTATAAACAATTATGTCTATCACTAGATTGCCCAAATTTATGATCTATGCTATATTTATGATTCCATAGGACATGCATGTTCATATTTATCTCCTTTTACCTTTGGGGATACAATTGACACAGATTAAACAAATGCAAATTTTTAAACGATCTCTCTACTCTAAGATCTTTTGTGATGCATCGAAAATTGTTTATTGTAAACTCATTTTGAAAACCTTAATATTGTACTCCATATTTGGTTACGCCGTACTCCACTAGATGTGTGTACTCGTATCGAAGACTAGGCCAAACATATACGATAATTAACAAATGATTTCATTCAGATTGTTACAATCGAGTACAACTCATTATCGAAATTAAATACAAAGAATTGTCTTAACTTATATGATTACATACATATTCATTAAATTAATGTTGGCTGGCTGATATAACATCAGCCAAGTTGTGAACACGTCAAGCTTGATACAATCCTCATCAATTTTATAACCGAAACTCTTTTGTTTCCTTGCTTTTTTTATACCAAATGGTACTCTCTATTTTATTAATAATCTTATATTATTTCCATAGAGTATTATTTCCATAGAGTATTAGTTCAATCTAAATTGATAACCCAATTATATGTGCCAATAAAGTGTAAATAGAGCTCCAACCATAGACTAGTAAGAATTCTTAAACCCATGTCCTTGTTTGTATTATGAGAAGTGCAACAAAACCCCAACTAATTCGTGGTATCCAAACAAAACATATACTGTAGTTCATAGATTCGCCGGATGTAATCGTAGTTTTCGAAAATAATAATAATGATATCGACAACTTGTGCAAGATAACTCCACAAACTAGATTCGTAAAGTGGGCTTTATTCCGACAGAGCTCCTTTGTTTATCTTCATAATCACAATCATTGTTTGCAAATGGAATTAGAAAACTAAGTTCAAACTGAATAACCAAACTTGTAAGTTGTAATCAGTCCACAATGATGACTTTGTATTTTCAAGTTTGACGGGGAGAAAAAACAAAGTTGGCAAGTTTACTGTGAGACCAGCATATATAGGATTTAGTGAAATATTAAAATATCTAAAAAAAATCCTTATCATTTTGACAAAACACACGTAAGTACTAATTACTAATAAAATAAAGCCAGCTCAAATTAAACAAAAGTAAAATTAGTACAATTACTACTAGTCTTCTACTTCTTGATCTTCACCTCGAGAAGTAGACAAGAAATGTAACTAATAAGCTCTCGATAAGCTTTTATCAAAAAAAAAAAAAAGTTCTCGATAAGGACAGCTAAACGCTAATGTGTAGCTGTGTGCGCGTAGGACGCGGTTATTTTTATTACAAAAACATATTAAAATAAGGACGAGACCGTGTCACTGTCCGAGAGAGAGATATATGAAGAGCTAAAAAGAGGTCTTCATTTTTCACAAGCAAGCAACACCAAACCAAATTCGCATCTCTCAGAAAATATCTTAGAGACTTCTAGATCCTTCTTCTTCTTCTCCTCCTCCTCCTGCAATACCTCTCAGTTGAATCTTTCACACAACCATGATCTCCGTAGTAATCATCGCCGAGCTATTGGTAGAATACACAGCCGCTCTCGCGAAACTCACCGCCGGGATCTTTCCACCGAGACGACAAGGGGAAAGCAACGTCTTACGGATCGCTGGTTTCTCTCTTCCTTGTCCTTCTCCGTCGAGTAGTACTAGTAGTGCTACTAGATCCTCGCCGATCCCGGACTTCTCTTCTCATCTCGTTGATTTCTGATCATCTAATCCAAGATTACACGGACGGCTGAGATTTTTCCACGTCTCTCTCTCTTCCTATGGAGAGAGTTTTGAATCGTTTTTTAGAGCTTTTGTAAATCTGTATATCGGAAAAATTAATAGAGATTATTAATTTTGATTAACTCTTGATTTTTGTTCCTTAATTGGCACTCGGGGTTAAATTTTGATTAACTTAATGATGATGGTTGAATATTATTGAAACGATGGCTCATTTGACGATTAATGGTCTTGTTAACGTCAGTAATTTTTTAAAAATGGGATATACAAAGTCGCTAATGACGTAATCAAGTTGATTATAATTTATATATTTTTCACTCTGAATGTTCAACTTACCGATTTGGTTCCTTGAAGAGTTTTGATCCTTTTGGGACGATTGAAAACGATATTAATATGATTTTTATAAACATTGGAAGATGATAGCTAGACTAGAGGAGGACAAACGCGATTTTGCGAGCATGATGACGCACATACGAAAGTGAAAGTGGGTAACTACTGTTACTAGTTACTACTACTACGTACGTCTCAAAGAAAAGAATGTTCCCAATTCACAAGATCATAAAGAAAAGTTAAGATGAATTAGTTTTTACAAAACATTAGATATGTTTTATGTTGCTAAAATGAGTGGTGTAGTTCAATCATACCAAGCATAAATCATAAGACCGGTAATGATGAATTTTCAATAATTGAGTTTTGTTTTGATAGAACTATAAAAAGAGAGATGCATGTTCTTGTCCACCGGAATTAAATTCTCGTGTTCAAATGGAAATGATGTATCTCTCTCTACATAAAAAACGGAATCCGAAAATAGATAATGGAAGAAGATGAGACGAAAACCAGGTTGGTAAGACGTAGGATGGGCACATGAATGGCCCCAGTGTACCCTTATCCGAAGGTGACCTTTAGCTTTCAGCAATTAAACAAATACATTATGACTAGGACACCAAATTTTGTTTACATTAGCAAATTGCAAAATTACCGTTTCAACTCTTAACTCGTAATAACTCTTAAACAACACTGATATTAATGTTTTCGAACGTTCTATAGTATTGTTGTACTCCGTACGTAACGTAACATGATCAGTTCTTGAAATTATTTACTATGTACTTGTCTAGGTGATTTATAATTTCGTCAAATGTACATGTTGTGGTGGTTATTTATTTTATGTATCATGACAAATGATGTATCTGTTAGATAATAATATTAGTAAACAAAATCCATTAGATTAATTGATGATCAGATTCAGAAGATTAGAGGCACAGGTAATGCTAATGTGAACTGCGCGTAAGAGGCGCTTCATTATATTATAAAAGTGAAACAAAATATTAAAGTACGAAACACGAGTCCGAGTAAACGACGACGACGACGTCAGAAGAGAAAAGAAACCAAACGAAACGATCTAGTCTTACTCCTACAGTCCTACCTATATATAAAGAAGATACGAGATCTCTCTCTCTCTCACAAGTCATAACAACAGAATACAGCCATTTCTTGTCTGAAAAAGACTCTCAAGAGAGACTTCTTCTTCTTCTTCTAGATCATCATTTTGGTCGTTAAAATGATCTCTGTCGTAACCATTGCTGAGATACTAGTGGAGTACACGACGGCTCTAGCCAAACTCACCGCCGTGATTCTTCCGAGAGATGGAAACTTCGTTCGGATTGGTGGTTTCTCTTTGTATTGTCCTCCTTCATCCTCACCGCTTCCCGATTTCTCCTCTCATCTTGTCAATTTCTGATTACTGGCTCTTGTCGAATTTAATTTTAACTATTTACTTGGTTGATATTATTTATTTTTGGCACCCTATTTTTTTATTTTCTTATAAAAAATTGAAGAGTGTGACAGCTGAGGATTCTTTTTTTTTTTGTTCTTTCTTCATTTTGGATATTTGTAAAACTATATAGAATTATAATAATAGAAATCATTATTATATGATGATTAATCATTTATTCCATTCTATATAATATATCCATCCATTTCGAAAAAATTTCACGGCTAGTGATGACGATGAATTAGAAATGTTCCTTTCATTTTTCTTTTTACTTGTACGAGGATGACGATCATCGTAGTTGTGTTTTTTTGGTAGTGTATATTGTCACTTGGCATTATCGTCGGAAAAGCAGGAATGTTTAGCTAGCAAAATAATTTAATCAGAAAAGAAACAAATCTGACCTAAATGGATATTTGATCTCTCTCTTATCAAATGATAGGAAATATATATTTAAATAAAATATTATATTCCACAAATATTTTATATGAAATGAATTGTCGACAAAAACAAGAACAAAAAAAAAAAAAAACTACACAATGTATAACTACAAAAACCCTATGTCGACGTATACGGAGTACATAGTTTTATTATAGTGGGCGGGGGGAAGTAAAGGAACAGGTATGGTACTACTGGGGTATCATGGACTTCGTAAGTAACAACTCACGTTTGTCTTCTTCCCGATCACTTTCAAATCACTTATTTTATCCGCAGTGCGTGACACGCGGCTTCGGTATTTAAAAAGCTAAGTAAAAAAAATGCATGAAAGAGCCTTCAGATACGTGTACAAAGTATCTTCTCGACCACTGGACCTCTCTTAAAACTATTGGCCTATATAAAGACCGCGAGGTGTGTCTCTAGATTCCTACCAACCACCATTCAATTTCTAAGAGATAACAAACTCTTAAGAAACTTCTAGACCAAAGTAATATATATCTCTTCTTCCCTTCAGGCGTGATATCATGATATCTGTTGTAATCATAACTGAGTTACTTGTGGAGTACACTACGGCTCTAGCTAAACTCACCGCCGGGGTTCTTCCGAGGCGGCAAGGTGATGATGTACACGTCGTACGGATTGGTCGTTTCTCTCTTCATTGTCCTCCTAGATCCTCACCTATCCCAGACTACTCTTCTCATCTTGTTGATTTCTGATCTCCTCTCTTGCAACATTTCATCTCAGTTTTGTTTCACTTTCATTTTTCACCGAAGAAGAATCTTTTTCTTTCTCTAGTTCTTTTTTTGTTTTTGTTTTTGTCTTTGAATGGCTCTGAGCTTTGTAAAATTGTATCGAATTATATAAGAGAGGTTTTTATGATTTTGATTAACTCTGGCTTGTTTGATGTAAGACGCATTTGTCTGTTTATGTTTTGATAACTCACTTTTTAAAACCATCAAGTGTATAGGCAGGAATCACTGTGAATGAATTGATCCAACTCATACCGGTCCAAGCTGACCAATTGAATGCTTGAAAATTGAATAGTTAATGTTTTAAAACATAATGATAATGACACTCAAATTTTTGTTTATTATTCAAAACTTCGTTAGTATTAAAATATAATTATAAGTTTATAGCTAAGACATTTTCTTTATTTATTCAAAAACCAAATAGTAAAAGTTTGTTTAAACGATATACTTCAAAATGTGACTATGAATTACCACTAAAAAATTTGGAGTATTCTCTGATTAGTATAATTTCCAAAAATAAAACTTAAGGATTTTGATCGAGTTGGATATAAGCAATTTTGATTAGAAGTCAGGCCTTTCGTCAGTTTGATTTTATTTTCCCCTGATGGACCAATTTATATTCTTCAGCCTTTTAAAAGGTGGTTTCCCTACTATCTTTAAGATTGACATATGTGGTAATTCAAACCGTTGTTAATATGCGGTAGGACATATGAGCAATATAATCGTTTTCTTTAATAATTGAAAACAATCAACGACAGCGGGCGGCCTAATTAATTTTTTCTCACCGAATGAATAAATGTGGGTTACATGATGTAGAAAGTGATGGCGACATAGGAGATATAATTGAATCGGAAAAGAAAGTTTTAGGTGGATGAATAGGGCAGTCCAAAGCAAAGTGTATGGATTTTGTGAGACCAAAAACTACTACGGAGACGTGTCTCGCTATGTTGGACTCGAAGACTTGTGGTTGTGGTGTGTTCCTTCCACCCTTTTCTGACTTTGCAATCATGGAACCAAGACAAATTAGTTTACTCGTTTAACACAATTCCAAGTTGTCTTTCTCATAGTACGTACTGTAGTAATTTAGATTCTAATCCTGTCCATCTTTTTATCCTCATCCTCGCATAGTTCTTTTTTCTTTATACTAATTTACAAGAAGATTATTAATAGTATAATTATGACTATGAACTTAATTTCGTTCCTTCAACCTTTACAACAAAACGACAAGGAGTGGCTAGGTGTGAACAAAACAAAACAAACAGCAGGAGAAAGTAATCGTTCCTTCACACGCGATTTGGCCGCGGTTAAGAAATTAGCTAAAACGTGTCATGATGTCCACCACCTCCTTATCACTCTTTGCGGTCTTTGCCTACCAATCAAATTCACATTATACTACTAATTTAATTAACTTTTAATTAGTTTAGTAACATTGAACACTCAATTAATTACACATTTACAACTCATCTCCACTTATTCGAAAGACACTACTCACACACTGACTCAGAACACAACTACTCCTGTGGTGTATTTTCGAATTATGTTGTCGTCTCATCAGTTCACTACAACTTGTTACAGCTTTTATTGTCCACTGCAGTATTCATATTTCTTCATTGGACCAATTTTGATCATGTAGAGTAAACAAGCCGGAAACATCTCTCAACTTCCACCAATATAATTTGCATTTATCGTCCGTACCGGACATACACTACTTTAACGATTTTAAACAATATCCAATGTTTGGTGCCCCAAAAGAACAACATCATATTCAATTACTAGTTCATTTCTGAGTTGTTGGGGATTCTTCTAGAAACAAGAAACAGCTGAGATCATGTATCATAAACACAAAAGCAGTGTGACATAGAAGAATCTAATCTATAGTTCACCTAACTAACTGGCCTTCTTCATGACAAGTGTCTAACTTTTGTAAGAAACTTGCAAGTTTCAATGTGTTGATGGGCAGATACTAAGTCTTTGACTAACTGATATGCCAAGTCGGAATATAAGCATCAATTACAAGAAACTCAATGACAGATTTTACAAAAAAAAAAGGTCTCATTTGGTTTGTTCAGTAAGCATAACACAAGAGTACCCCCCCCCCCCTACTTTTATTCATCAAATGTCAAACCCCCCATGAGAACTGAGAAGGTTCTCTTTCTCTCTCTACTTGTTGGTGGTTGCACGGTGAACACCACGGTTCCGGAACAACTCTCGCAACGGCTTCCACTTACTGTTCTCTAATGCCTCACAGTGCGGTGTCAAAGTAGCAGTCCAATGTGCACAAGGCGCAGCCAAATCGCAGACATAACAGTAGCACTACACACATTGAAAACACAGATATTAGACAACCTTGTTTCACATTCAAAACCATTGAAACCTTAGAGAGTTAAGATCATTAAACAAATCCATCCGTTGTCTCAGAACCCAAACAACATCTAAAATGGACCAATTTTCAATTACCTTATTACAATGGGATTTGTGTTGGCTTGATCCAAAGGGGAATTTCAAACAGAGATGCCTTGGATGTGGGAAATCCCTACAAGCCACCTAAAAATCCCCAAATCAAATCGACAAGGAGAGACATAAAACCCCAAAATCAGCATTTTTGTTGAAAGGCTCAAACTTTAAAGAAAAATTAAAGCACCCAGAAGAATCCTTGCAATAAAAACCTGTCCTTTCTCATGGATGATCGCCACATCTTCATCAGATTCAGTGCTATCAGAGCGATTTTTTGCATCAAATGCATCGTTTGGATCGAAATCGAGGATGAAGCAGTCCTCTTTCTCATCGAACGTCTTCATATCCTGTCTCTTCTTAAGACAAAAGATACCACTAAGAGGTGTCCCGTCGTCTTCTACCTCCTTGCTAAGTTTCTTCCTGCTCTTGCTCTTTGTTTTCTTCTTTGTCACCCACGGATCTGATGTAATAATCTCCACAGCATCTCTTCGCTTTGTCACCATTTTTTCTTCTTCCCTTTCTTCGACTGTAAAGTTTCAATCTTTTGTTTTTCTCTTGAAAGAGCTTCTCGATATTGCAAATGACCGTTGTGCCTACACCAAGCAGAGGCGGAAGGGTTTTGATCTTATTTTCGAATTTAATATTTTACTTTATTTTGAACAAATCCGCAATTAAGAGATTAGGGTTTAGAGTTTTCAACTGGGTAAGGCTTTACAATATCAATATGGGCTAAGAATGGTAAACCCAACTATTGGCCCAAAGAGCTGTTGACTCAGCCAACATGGTTCATCCGCCAGATCCCCGATTAATCGTGTGGCCAGATGGTTTCTTTGGTGAAAGATAATCAATATCGGAAAACCAAATGTTCCTTTGTTCTTCTTTTACTTACACCACACTATGCAAACTTTATTGAGAAACAAATGCGCTTACTATGTACAAGAAACCAGAAAACAGACGAAATTTTTAATACGGAGTTCTACTCAATCTGGACATCGATGACTTTGCGGTCGACTTTGGTTTTAGGGATAGTGATAAACAGGACTCCGTTTTTTAGCTCAGCTTTGATCTTGTCTTTCTCACAGTTGTCTGGAAGCTGAAGCCGTGTTCCGTAAGAGCTAACGCTTCTTCCCGACCAAGATTCATTATCATCTTCCTTCTTTTGCTCTCCTTTGATAACAAGGACGTTATCTTCAACAGAGATTTTTACGTCTTCTTTGGAGAGACCAGGCATGTCAAAACGCATCTTGATCTCATGTTCCTCCTCTTTGATGTCCCATGGTGCACGAATCTCTGACACTCCACTTCCTCCTCTGTTTCTTCCTGAGACAGGCATAGCGTCTTCGAACATCCTGTCCATGGTGTCCAGCATTTGCCGCATTGTCCTCATTGGTGATAAAGGTTCCAACAGTCCTGTCGTTGTCATAAAAAATGAAAAGACACAGCATTGTTTGAGTAAAAAAAAGCAGAGGAAAAGGTTTCAGAGTTATGCAAGACAAGACTTTTGTTAGTTTAAGTTTAACGTACCGAAAGGAGAAACATCCATGGCTAAACGTTGCTGAGGTCGTTTTTGTACGCTAGATCCTTCATTCCCTTTGTGTTGTCCTTGGTGAACAACATCAACCGAGTTTTCTCTTTGGTCTTGAGCTCTGATCCGACTAGGCATCCTCGGTGGGAAGGCTACAGAGAGCGGGAAAGTGATTTTGGATGAGACAGAGGGTGATGGAGCGAGAGGCGAACGTAGAGCCGATGAAAATGAGAGTGTGGAGGCCATTTGTATTGAGTATGAGCTAAAAGATTACACTGATCTAAGAAAATAGAAGAAATTTAGTTGTGATGTTTTTTTTTTGATTTGGATGTTTGGTCTGAGTTTGTTTGAGGTACTAGTATGAGTATTGGAGAGTGTATATATAGGTGGTGACTAGGTGAGGTGAAAAGAAGATGAGAAGACGCAAAGTGACAAAGGAGACATCTTGAAGGTTGAAGATTTGATACGAAGTTTCTCGAGTTGTTTTGATTCCTATCTTTTTTCGTTTACCTTTTGTTGTGTGTTCGTTTTATCATGTTTCTCATCTATCTGTGATGCTAATATAAAAACAAAATTAGTAAGAAACACTCTGGATTCTACAAGAATAAACTATGATTTTAGAATTAGTTTCTGAATATGTAGATAAGTAGATTAAATCAAATTATCTAGAAAAGAAAAATCAAACAACTCATCAATCTATGAGAAAATAAACAAAATACCATATAGTACTACTGGAGAAATTATAATATCTAGGACATTCTATGCTGATCTAATAACTAATAATAAACCCAAAAAAAAAAGCAACAACAGTACCTATAAGCTGACACAGTAGTAAGCATAAAATCTAGATACGCTGGCTGCACAAACAGTACTTATTAAAGTGGGATGTAGAACATTCTGATTTTACAAGGCCTGTTAAAGGCCCTTCTTGACACAATTCTACTTTTACGAGCTTACGACGGTGCAACTGAGGCTATTTTGGTAATTTCGACTTCTCTTTTCCTCGATCCCCAAGTATTCGAGAAGGGAAAAAAGCTCTGTCGTCGTCCACAAGAACAACAAATCTTATTCCGTCTTCTCCAAACATATCATCCGTTTTCATCTGGGAGCCCTAATTCTCTGGGTTTATTAATCCATTTAAGACTCATCTGTGATTGAAAGGTTGGATTTTTGGAAGAGACATGGGTGGCTCGTCGGAGACAAAGATCTTACAAGAACTTATACTTTACGCGGCCAGCGCTGCTTTCAGCTGCTTGGTTCTGTTTGCGGGTCTTCGTCATCTCGATCCTAATCGTGAAGCTTCTAAAAAAGCTCTCGAGCATAAGAAGGAAATCTCCAAGCGTTTGGGTCGTCCTCTGATTCAGACCAATCCATACGAGGTAATCTCCTATGAATTTAATCAAACTTGAATTCTCCACGGGTTCCTAGTTGGGATTTATGGGGTTTTTGGATTGCCAACTTGCAACGTTTTGAGCTCAACATTCAAAATCGTGTTGAATTCACTCTGTTCGACATTTAAATTTTGGAGTTCAAATTGGTTCTGCACATATGAGCTGGACGAAATGGTCACTTGTTACTAATTTTGTAAATCAGGATGTGATAGCATGTGATGTGATAAACCCGGACCACATTGATGTGGAGTTTGGTTCTATCGGAGGATTGGAGGCCATCAAGCATTCTTTGTATGAGCTTGTGATTTTGCCGTTGAAGAGACCTGAGCTTTTTGCTTATGGGAAGCTTTTAGGGCCTCAAAAGGGTGTCTTGCTCTATGGACCTCCTGGTACTGGAAAGACTATGCTTGCTAAGGCTATTGCCAAAGAATCAGGAGCTGTTTTCATTAATGTTAGGGTCTCAAATCTCATGAGCAAGTGGTTTGGTGATGCTCAGAAGCTTGGTAAGTGCATATGCTTTTTCTTCTTTTGGTGGCAAGATAACTCAGTTTGAGCTCGTTATGTTTTCTTTTTGGGCTTCACATTTTGCAACTTTTGGTTGGCAATTCTTTTTTTTTTTTTTTTTTTGGGTTATTATCCTGATGTTACCTTTTTCTATGTTCTCTTCCGTTATTTCAGTTGCTGCCGTGTTTAGCTTGGCGTACAAACTCCAACCAGCTATCATTTTTATTGACGAGGTTGACAGCTTTCTTGGTCAGCGGCGTTCAACAGATCATGAAGCAATGTCCAACATGAAGACTGAGTTTATGGCTCTATGGGATGGATTTTCTACTGATCGTAAGTTGAATCCTTCACCTTTTGGCTTACTTTCCCATACAGACTGTTGCAATCTAGAATTTTTTCTACATGGAAATGGTTTTCTTAGCGATATACTGGTTGCCTTGTAGCGAATGCGAGGGTGATGGTTCTTGCTGCAACTAACAGACCGTCAGAGCTTGATGAAGCAATACTGAGGCGTCTTCCTCAATCCTTTGAAATTGGAATGCCTGATCGTCGTGAGAGGGCTGAGATATTGAAAGTGACTCTGAAAGGAGAGAGGGTGGAACCTGATATTGACTATGATCACGTAGCTCGCTTATGCGAAGGCTATACCGGGTCAGACATTTTTGAGCTCTGCAAAAAAGCAGCTTATTTCCCTATCAGAGAAATACTAGAGGCAGAGAGAAAGGGGACACCATGTTTGGTAAGTTTTAAAGAAAAACATGGTCCAAGGAATGTTCGATATTGCCTCTATCATATTGTATAGTACTGATGTTTTGAGTTTTCCACATTTGCAGGACCCTAGGCCATTATCACAGTTGGATTTGGAGAAGGTTCTTGCAACGTCAAAGAAGACACAAGTTGCAGCAGGCGAGTACTCGTTGAGCTCACAGTCCTCAGCTTGGAGAGGCTCAGGGGAACCAGATGAGGTTCAGGCAGCAATAAGTGGAATCTCAAAGCTTCTAGTTTCACAGATCTTTAACCTTCAGTCAGATTCTCAGGATTCAAAGCAGCGGAATCCCGAAGAAGACTCCCGATGAGATTCCGGATCACTTTTATAGACGTTCTGGGGTTTTCATTGGAAGTTTAGGATTTGTCACATTTCAGTTGACTCTGTTAAACTTCTTTCTTTCTTTTTTTTTGATGGTAGGATCAGTTGATTACGTTTGACTGTATTAAAAGAAAAAGGCTCTGATCTTCTGCTTTGGCCAATGTTCATAATTTGTCTAATGTTCTCACCTTAAATGTGTTAACTTTTTCTTCACTTCCCATGGTCGTTAGTGAAAGCTTGAATATTAAGAAATTAAAAAGTTACATCTATCAAGATACAAATTTGATACTGTTCAGCAGCCATAGTGCCAGACCCGAATCTCAAAAATCTCAGCTTTGAACTTGTGAGTGCCATCTGGGCTTTGATTGGTTTTAGGTTTTGACTGGGCTTGTTTACTGAACCAAATATAAAGTTCTTCCTTTTCTATTTGCCAAATTCGTTTTTCTTTTCCTAATAACTTTTCTTGCCTTTTCCGTCGATCTAAGCTTCTCCAATCCAACAACAATCAGATTTGGTTGATTCAATTATTACGCTCTTAATTTCACCTTGCAAGGTAACTGGTCTCGCAATTGCTTCTAGTTCTGGGTTTCTATTGATTTCTATGATTCACTGAAGCATTATATCTGATCCAGATTTTTCTTAGCTTTCATTAGATTACTTTGTTTCATAAATTGGGAACTAGGGTTCGTTTACTTTCTCCTTGCTGAATCGTGAACTCGAGTTCTGTGAATCAGCTCTAGCTTTAAACCGATCGCATTTAGTGTAATGAAATCGAAAATGCCACTTTTTTTTTTTGGTAATCTTCCTTTTGTCGAATTGAACAGGTCATTGTGATTGAGATCTTAGTCTTCTGACAATGGTAAGTCTGCTCTTACTATGAGTTTGATGCATCCAACACACATGCTTGCATAGTAGAATTGCTTATAGCTTTTTGTTGTTCAATATCACAGAATTACCTTCTTGGAGCCTTCAAGCCCGCCTGTAACATTTCCATCACTTTCTCTGATGGCAAAAATCGAAAGCAGGTATCTATTATACTTCATACTTAAGATCGAGTCAGGTTTTGGAGTTTTCGTTGTCTCCTCTTTAGTCTCTATTGTTTCCTTAGGTTCCCATGAAGAATGAAAATGGTCAAACTGCTCTGGTGCCACTTTTCCATAGTCAAGACACTATTTCTGGCAAGGTACTTGGTTTCTTGCTTTAGATGAATTTCAGCTGTTCCAGTTATGAATTTTGAGATGCTTTGAAGTAATTTTTCTTTAAACGTCTTTATTAGGTTTGCATTGACCCATATCAAGGGAAAAAGGTGGAGCATAATGGTGTAAAAGTTGAGCTTCTTGGTCAAATAGGTGTGCTAGTACCCTCGAATGATTAGTTATTTGGTTTCTAACTTGTATCGATATATGCTTATGGATGGCATTTGCGTGTTCTCTACAGAAATGTACTTTGACAGAGGAAACTTCTATGACTTCACTTCCTTGGGTGAGTAAAACTCAGGTTTCCTTTTCCTTTTAAACAGTTTCAAGGGAAAATCTTTGGAGTTTTTCAGTATCATGAGTGATTCTGATGGTTGATTAACATGGATTATGACATGGATGTACTTCCACGTGCATCGTATTTATATCTTTGATTGAGCTAATTGTGATTCTTTTCTGTACCTTATTCAGTTCGTGAACTGGATGTTCCTGGAGAAATATATGAAAGAAAGACATACCCTTTTGAATTTCCAACTGTCGAGATGCCATATGAGACATACAATGGTGTGAATGTGCGGCTAAGGTATAGCATATAAATCTTTTATCATAGGGTTAATACACTTGTGTTCTGAGTTCCTCTATTCAGTCTCAAATACAATCTACTGCTTTCTTTTTGGTGCTTCAGATATGTCCTTAAAGTAACCGTCACTCGTGGCTATGCTGGTAGCATCTTGGAATACCAAGAGCTTGTGGTTAGTTTATTCCCTTTTGCTGTTTGTCAATGTTCCAATATAGTAAATTGGGTTATGGCTCATAATATTCCATTGAACAGCACCAGAAATATATAATCATGACATTGTTGATTTTGTTTGAAATAGGTCCGGAACTACTCTCCACTTCCTGACATTAATAACAGCATCAAGGTGCGTTCTGATAGTGATAGGATCTAAGTTTGAAACCTTATACAAAAAGATATAGGAAGTAAAAAATCTCAAAACTCAATCAAAATCGTTCTTAGTTTCTAGGATCTAATTGACATCTTACTTATTCATATCAATAGGTTTCTTAAACTCATACAAGATTATGGCTTCATTAGCACCATTTGAGGCTTAGTTCCATTATTTAAACTTATTCTACAGATGGAAGTTGGAATTGAGGATTGCCTGCACATCGAGTTTGAGTATAATAAAAGCAAGTAAGACAAAATTCCTTTCATGATTAAGTATTTCGCTGACTGATAAAAAAATAACGATGGATCCTCCCTGCCTCTGGATGCAGGTATCACCTAAAAGATGTTATCCTTGGAAAAATTTATTTTCTTCTGGTAAGAATCAAGATGAAGAATATGGATCTTGAGATCAGACGGCGGGAATCAACAGGTGCAGGTGCTAATACTCATGTTGAGACGGAAACACTTGCAAAATTCGAATTGATGGATGGAACTCCAGTTAGAGGTATATATATTCCCAAAATTTGAAATCTGATTTTTTGGTGAACTCTTAAGTAATTGAATAATTGAGTGAAGATTTGCATTACAGGTGAATCAATACCAGTAAGACTGTTTTTGGCACCATACGATCTTACACCAACGCATCGCAACATTAACAACAAATTCAGCGTCAAGTATTATCTGAATCTTGTACTGGTAGATGAAGAGGATCGCCGATACTTCAAGCAGCAAGAAATAACGTTGTACAGGTTGAAGGAAGACACATCATCTTGATGACAATAACAGCAGTAAGGATTCTCAGTTTATCACTATCCTGATGAGACCTTTTGTAAAGCCTTAGACTTTGTGTACTCAGATTGTTATTTGGGTTGGGAGTTAGAATGAAGTTTTAACAGTACTTGTTTAGTTTGTTCATCAATCAAGTTCCTTTTCTCTGGATTCTGGTTGACTTTGCTGAATTTTTATGGTAGTTCTGAAGTTTTACAAATCTTAAAAAACACACTCTGAAAAGCCAAATCTCTAAATGCCACTACCTGAAATGGACAGATATACAAAACTGGATAACTCTAGAGTGACGAAGCTGATTAGTCTTCTTCAATTGCTTCAACAGGAAGACCTTCCTTGCTCCATGTGTATATTCCACCTTCAAGGTGAAATACGTTCTTATAGCCGTTGAGGACCAGAAGATAAGCAGCTATGAGAGACCTGCAAGAACCTTAATCAAATGAGCATCACAAATGCTTTCCTTCACAAAAAGCTGTAGACTTTTGATATATTACCTTGATTGTTGGCCTTCAGGGAGATTCTGAGTCGGCTTCATTGTCCCCGCGGATGAACAGGCTACTATGATCTTTGCCTCTTTGTCAAGCTTAGCTTCTACACCTGCAACATTGTCAAAAGAAAAACATTCAGCTGCTGGTTCCAACTTCCAACAGCATAATGTAAAAACAGTCCAAAGCTTTGATCTCGTTTCGGTGCATACTTTGAATAAACTCTGGATTCTCTTCTGTGCCAGAGAAGATACCGAAGAAAGCAAATCCAAGACGGCGAGCTATGTCCCATGCTGTCCATTCCCTAATTAGTCTGTACATCTCCACATTGATAGCTCCCGGAGGATGACCCTTCATATAACCAAACAACAACCATCTCACTAACACGAATTTGCCATTAGTCTACAAAGGATCATGACATAAAAAAAGAGCATATTGTATCACTCACCGCCTTGTACTCTGCCTCTGGTCTAACATCAAGAATGACAAAGTTGTTCTCTTTTTGTAACCGTAGAGCTTCCTTCACGTCCACACTTCTCACCTACAACAAGAACAACTAGAAGCTAAGCTATGGTTCACATTGTAGAATACAAATCAAGAGAGCCAATATATATATCACTGATAGTTACCCTTTTCTCCAAAAGAAGCTCTCTCTTCTGTTTCCAATCGACTTCAGCTAATCCCTCCAAGAGACACAACCAAGAAGAAGGAACAAGGGGGTTAATATAATATCTAACCGACCAAACCAAAAACATATTCAGAAAAGAGATACACGAGAAGCTCTCACTCTACAAGAGTACAAGGTGTATGTATGAGTATACCGTACCTGCTGGTTTCGCAGGTTTCGTAGAAGCGCAACGAATCTTGAGCGTTCTTTGCACTGATGAACAACCCATAGCTGCTGATCTTACTCCGACGGAGAAAAGAGTGTTTCCTGTGGACTTGAGACGTAAAGCCTGCGATGAAGATGGGTAAGGCGTGGCGATTGAAGTGACTGAAGCCATCTCTGGAGATCAAAGCTTCTTCTCTTTAAATTTTTTTTTTTTTTTTTTAAAGATATTTCGTTGAAAATGAGAGAATTTAATTGCACGATAATGGAAGAGAGATGAAAGTACAGTTTTTTTTTTTTTTCTTCTCTTTGTTAGGAAAAAATCTGAACGTGTGGTGCATGTTTTGTTTTTCTGATTTTCATCGTCGATTCCTATCTTTTAAAATCAAGCTGATAAAAAAAAAGATTGTTGCAACATAATCTTCCCTTATCTTCTTCTTTTTAACCAAAAATATAATAAAACAAAATATTTTTCTTTATCGTTATTTTTTGGTTGCTAAAATATGTTTTCATTGTGCCATTCTTGAGTTTTTTATTTATTGGATCGCTTAGAGTGAACATGACCTGTACAAAATAATAAACTGGTTCCAAAATGAGAAACCAAAGGCAGGTAAAGGACATGACTCTCTCATTCTCATATAGTTTATCCAAAAAGGATGCATAGTAGCTACATATGAATTAAGTCACACTCACTGGTTACACTTTGAGCAATGAGATGCACTCCTCTGTTTTGCTTTGCTGATGTTTTCTCGAGCATAAATTTCCACTCCACAATGCCTCCCAAAACCTTAAGTATTTCCGTAGACGTACTCCCACTTGAAGGCTGGCCAAGCTTGAGGTCTTTTTGGACATGACCTGTAACAGTAGCATCTTCAATAGCAAACATGACCAAAATCTTTTAGTATATCTTTACATCTTAAAAAATGTTTCTACATATCTTGATGACATGTTTCCAACTGGGAGAGGCTGAAAAACATGGCACCGTCTGAAAGTTTGTGAATTATATATATATATATATTGATCACATGATTAAGCAGTAGTATTATATAATGTGTTTGTTCCCTTCGACCGAGAGAACTCTGTCTTGTATATTATTACTCAATTATTGTAGCTACATACTGTTTTCAATTATAATCAGATACCGGAAAAAGGAAAACAATCAAAACAACCTGAAGCTAAAGCTTTTTCCCTTTCTACCTTTCCACCATTAAGACTTGTGTTCTTGCTTCCAAAACACTACTAGTGTTCTTTTAATGGAACTCTCAAGCACTATCAATCCCTTAGCACTCGTTCTTCTTCTCTTTGTTGTTCCCAAGATATGGCAAGCTTGTTTGGTCCTCGTTTGGCGGCCATTGATGCTGTCAAGAAGATTCAAGAAACAAGGAATCTCAGGCCCTAAGTACGAAATCTTGTACGGGAACCTCAGTGAGATGAAGAAGATGAGAAAAGAAGCTAACCTCAGGGTTCTGGATACCAAGTCCAACGATATCTTCCCTCGTGTGTTTCCTCACTATCACCAGTGGATGTCTCAGTACGGTAACCTTTCTGTCCAATCTCCAAATTGTTTTGTTTCCATCTTCTTTTCCTAGATGAGGATTGCTTAACAAACACACACAAGTTGTCTTTGCTATTTTAGGAGAGACATTTCTATACTGGAATGGAACAAAACCGACATTATACATCTCGGAGCCTGAACTAGCGAAGCAGATCTTGTCGAGCAAGTTCGGTTTCACTATTATACCAGTGAAAAGACCCGAGGTGTTCATACTTTTCGGTAAAGGACTTTCCTTTATCGAGGGTGATGATTGGGCTCGCCATAGACGAATCTTGAACCCTGCTTTCTCCATGGACCGTCTCAAGGTTTTTTATTTATTTTATTCTTTGTTTACTTTCCCAGCTAGGCTTTGAACAAAAATCTAGTTTATTTGCTTGGTGTAAAATTGTCAGGCCTTGACGAAACCGATGGTGGAATGCACCTTGAGGATTTTCCAAGAGTGGAGAAAACAGAGTAATGGTGAAGTGGTTATGAAAGTGGATTTGGAGAAAGAGTTCCATAGATTGACCGCAGACATTATAGCGACCACTGCGTTTGGAAGCAGTTACGCGGAAGGTATCGAGTTGTGTAGATCACAGACAGAGCTTGAGAAATATTATATTACTTCCCTCACTAAAGTCTTCATCCCCGGAACTCAGTAAGGATACAACAGTCACTTCTCTGATACTTTCAATCAGTTCGTTTAGACAAAGCTAGTTTAAGATTTGTTGTCTCTTTGTGTTCCAAGATACCTTCCTACGCCTACCAACCTCAAACTATGGGAGCTTGATAAGAAAGTGAAGAACTCGATCAAGAGAATCATAGATTCAAGGTCAAAATGTGAGACCTATGGGGACGATCTTCTGGGGGTCATGTTGCAAGCTGCAAAATCTAACGAGCATGGGAGGAAGATGAGGATTGATGAGATCATAGACGAATGCAAGAATTTCTATTATTCAGGACAAGGAACTACTTCGATTTTGTTGATATGGACTATGATGTTACTGAGTTTGCACCAAGATTGGCAAGAGAAACTCAGAGAAGAGGTTTTCAATGAATGTGGTAAAGATAATATCCCAGATTCAGACACCATCTCAAAGCTCAAACTGGTAAGGTTCATTTTCAATGAGTTACTCGCGCTTGAAGACTAGGGGTTTCTTGTGATTGGGGAAGCCTATCTATCTTGCAGATGAACATGGTGTTAATGGAGTCGCTTCGTCTGTACGGACCCGTGATTAAAATGTTCCGTGAGGCAACACAAGATATGAAAATAGGACACTTGGAGATCCCAAAGGGCACGAGCATTATCGTCCCGTTTCTGAAGTTGCACACCGACAAGGCCATATGGGGAGAAGACGCCGAACAATTCAAACCTTTGCGATTCGAAAACGGCATTTCTCAAGCCGCCATTTACCCGAACGCTTTCCTCGCGTTCTCAACAGGACCAAGAGCTTGCATTGCCAAAAACTTTGCCATGATCGAAGCCAAGACCGTGGTCACTATGATCCTTCAGCGGTTCCGACTTAGCCTCTCCCCAGAGTATAAGCACACGCCAGTTGATAACTTCAATCTCTTTCCCCAATACGGCCTACCCGTGATGCTTCAGCCTCTCGATAGTAGTTCTCAACGGTGAGGAAGAGAACAAAACAACATCTCAAAGGGTTTGGTCAAGTTATGTGCTGTCATTGGCCTTAACCACAAATAAATGTTAAGATGACATACTTTTAGGCCTTGATCACAAATAAATGTTAAGATGACATACACTAGATAAAGTGAAAAATTTAAATTCAAAGTGATTTCATCGTCGATTCCTATCTTCTGAATCAAATGGTATAAAGTTCCTAGACCATAATCTTCTCTCATCTTGCTCCATTCTTAAGTTTTGATTGGTTCGGTTTGATTTGATCAACTTGGTTTTTGAGTAAATGTAATTCAATAATTAATTTGTGCCAACCTATACAGCAAATACAGAACCTAGTGGATTAAAACCAAATCACTCGTTGAAAATTTCGAGTCATCTTCTGTCCCACTTCCACTAATGAGTAAATGACTCTGTGATTAATCAACAAATTAGCGTACAACTAAATCTACGGCTTAAGAAGACGCATCAGCCTCACTCCTTCACCGTATGGGGTCCTCTGAGTGTTTGTCCCTCCACCGACACTCTCTTTACCGTCGATCACTCCAAATCACCGTCACGATCCTGCCACGTCTAGCTTCTTTTATCCTCTACACGGTGGACTACGTACTCTCACGCTGCTTCAGATTGTTCATTGCGACTTTCGAATGTTATTAACCATAAAGTAATGGCATTTACGCGTCGTCAGTGAGAGTGTGGAGTATAAAACAAGCTGAAGCTGAAGAAGCTGTGGGAGATAGATTATATATATACAGATAGATACTCTCACATTGATAGTTTCTTCATAAAAAAAAAAAAATCAATCCTTTCGTCTTTGTCTGGATCGAACGATAATGGAGGTGTTCTACTACTTGGTGTTTGGGGTTTTGGGCCTCGTCGTCGCGGCGTTGGAGCTTAGCAAAAACAACAAGGATCGTGTCAACACTTCTTCAGCTTTCAATTCTTTCAAGAACAATTATCTCATCGTCTATTCGCTCATGATGGGTACGATGCTCTTCTCTTCTTGTATCTTCCCGTTTGCCTGATAATGTCTGCAAAAGCATCTATAATGCATTTTTCGATCCGATCTGGGTGTTTGGAAGATGTTAATTTTGTGGGTGGGGTGGGGAATTTAAATCCTCTTTTGTTCTCTTGCCAAGTATTGTCTTTTATAGAGAGTTTCATATCACATCGGAACTTTAGGATTTTCAATTTCTACACAGATTAGAGAGAATTTAGAAGAAAATGTTACTTCACTACTATGAGTGCGACATTAGTAACTAAAGTTTCAAGCTTTACAACATAAACGCGGTTGCTGACTGTTTGTTTTGTGTGATTGCAGCGGGTGATTGGCTGCAGGGTCCATATGTATACTATCTTTATAGTACTTATGGATTTGGTAAAGGGGACATTGGACAGCTTTTCATTGCTGGTTTTGGTTCCTCTATGTTGTTTGGTACAATCGTTGGATCTCTAGCCGACAAACGGTGAACTTTCTCTCTGATGCTTTTATGTTTTAAATAAATGTGAAATCTTAGCTCTTTTAGTAATTTTGCATAATGGTGTATCCTGTATCAGGGGTCGTAAGAGGGCATGTGTTACCTATTGTATCACCTACATATTGAGCTGCATCACCAAGCATTCTCCTCAATATAAAGTTTTGATGGTAGGCCGTGTGTTGGGAGGCATCGCTACTTCCCTTCTGTTTTCATCATTTGAATCATGGCTAGTTGCTGAGCACAATAAGGTAAAGCAAGGTCTATGCTTTCTTAATCTTTTTAGCTGCCATTGTTATGTATAAACTTAGTGGTTTTATGTGTGACGTATGCAGAGGGGATTTGAGCAGCAATGGCTGTCTGTAACATTTTCAAAGGCAGTGTTTTTTGGCAATGGTCTTGTTGCAATTATCGCTGGATTGTTTGGGAACTTGCTTGTGGATACCTTTTCTCTCGGGCCTGTTGCCCCATTTGACGCTGCTGCATGCTTTCTTGCTATTGGAATGGCTGTCATTCTATCAACATGGACAGAAAACTATGGAGATCCTTCAGACAACAAGGACTTGCTTACCCAGTTCAGAGGTGCTGCAGTGGCCATTGCCTCTGGTGAGTAGAATTTTTTTGTTGCGCTTTCTAGATTTTGCTTCTCTGTCTGTGTCTTGTTTCTCATTTTCCTCGTTGAGTCTTGAAAATGATGATGATAAAATACTTTTTATCTTTTATCAGATGAAAAGATAGCACTGTTGGGTGCTATCCAGTCGCTCTTTGAAGGATCTATGTATACTTTTGTATTCCTTTGGACTCCTGCTCTAAGCCCGAATGAAGAGGAGATTCCCCATGGTTTTATTTTTGCAACATTTATGCTGGCTTCCATGTTAGGTAGTTCCCTTGCATCTCGTCTGTTGGCTCGTTCAACTCCCAAAGTAGAGAGCTACATGCAGATTGTTTTCCTAGTTTCCGGTGCTGCACTATTGCTTCCAATATTAATGACTGTAAGTTTTAAAAAAGCTTCTGATGAATTCTACTTTGCGTGCTTTGGTGCCGACTCTACTTTATTCTGTGAGTAATTAATTGTTTGCAATCGGATGTGTGACTCAGTTGTTCATAGCACCTTCCAAGGTGAAAGGTGGAGGAATCTCTTTCTCGGGTTGCTTTCAGCTGCTTGGGTTCTGTATATTTGAGGCGTGTGTAGGACTATTTTGGCCATCCATTATGAAGATGAGATCCCAATACATCCCTGAAGAAGCCAGAAGCACAATAATGAACTTTTTCCGCATTCCTCTGAATATCTTTGTCTGCGTTGTATTATACAATGTAAGTCCCCCAACATTCTTTGTCTGCACTATAGTAGCTGGAATTTCTTGTCCCTGTGTTGCGTTACTGACTAGTTTTATGTGTTCTGAAGGTAAATGCATTCCCTATCACAGTCATGTTTGGAATGTGCTCGATTTTCCTCTTTGTTGCAAGTCTCCTGCAAAGGCGGCTCATGATGATTGTTGACAAGCCAAGTATGTTGTCTCTATTTCCATTTGGATTGGGACTATTGAATTGCTCTAGCACACTTTCAGCTTACAATCATTATAACATCTCTATGTTTTTGCAGAAACAAATGACTGGACACCCATTGAAGAAAGAAACACAGAAGAAGATCCCCTCAACATATAATGAATAAACTATACATACGCACATTCTGGATTCAATAATGGAGACAGATAGAAGATGAGGACTTTAAGGTATATGGTATAGAGCACGCAACAATGCGTACAAAGAGATCATAGCGTTATAAGACTCGATGCAGTAGTTGGATTGTTTAATTTTATTGCTGTATTTTTGTTGATGTTACATTTAAAGACAAGTATAAGTTTTATGCAATCAATGTGTTATTCTTTCTCTCTATGCAAGGCCCTGTTTCTACCATATTGTTAAAGCTCTGTTTTGCTATTTCCCTTTGACAAATTACATCCTCACATAATAGTCAGCTTTTAAGAGGCGTAATAATCTCCTAAAGCATAAAATCAGTCTATAGAATCACTTACATTTCGTCTGTCATAGAACAGGATAGTACCTAGTTTAAAACTATCACAAACATATAGTTCTTGGAGAGTAAAGACCTCTCTGTGAGTTGCAATTATCAGTTTCCTGTGTTTTCTGTACAAACCACTTGTTACATGCTTTTGTATCATGAGCTAGAAGACGGGACAGCCTTTGATGACAACGCCTTTAGCGGTTGGACAGGAAGCAAGGGGACATGTATCACGGTCGCCAGAATTTCCCCACCAATTCACTTCAATGCCTTTCCGTCCGAGTGCTAGAAACAAAAGTATGGTCATAAAAGCAGAGCCAGCATCTAAACCACCTGACAACACATAGTTATACTTCGTCCACCACTCTCTCCTGTACTTGAAAATGAAGTGGCCAAAGATGAAAGCAACAATGAGCCAGCTGGTGAAGTTAACGGCTGTTGCAGGTGGCATCATTGCGGTGGCTCCTACAAGGACAGGAATATGAATCTTGGAGATCCATGTCTGAGACGGGAACATCTTTGTGGCTAGCCAAACCAAAAGTGGAGCTATGGCTCCTACGAGGAAGAACCAGTTGACACTTGAGTATTCTCCAAGATCTCCAAACATCCTACGTGGTCCCACTAGCCCCCAAATCACAGAGGCGTCAAAGAAGACACGGTCCATAGGACAAGTCCATTGGCTGTCTGAAGGAAGCAAGGCTGTGTCACAGAGATGAGGAATCTCTTCCATTAACCACCAGGCAGTTCCTGTGTACACCACAACCGCCACAAGTGTCCCAACCACCTGCATTTGTTACATTTTGATTAGTTATGTTAATTTATTTATTGGCATCTATCTCAAAACCAATTGATAACATACCTGAGCCATGAACATGGATCTAGGCGGGATCTTCATGTAATGGCCGAGCTTGAAGTCGGAAATGAAAGTTAGCGCCTGAGTCATACTAATGTATCCATAGACCTTGAAACACATGTTGGCAACAGGACGTTCCGGGTAGATATATCCGATAACATACTCGGTTATGATGTTCAAACCCGGTGCCTGATTAGTAGTGGCGGCTATGACACCAATCAAAGGAGTGAAAGTGATGGCAATGGCACAAGCAAGTAACACTCCCCACCAAGGAAGTTGCACTGTGGCGTTGTAGTGCACGGAGATGAACATGATGAGCGCAATATTCAGTATAAGGATGACCAAAAACCACCACAACGGAACCTCTCTGTAGTTTTTCTTCATGATTCTCGTGTGTATATCCATTTTCTTGTTCTTCTGAAACGCCCCTCTGGTCTGTTTCCACAAGTCACTTTAAATATATAAAGATTAGTCTGAGTTTCCGACAATGATCGATCAGTTTTACCAGGTTATCAAACATAATTAAATATATATATACCTTCCATTGAAGACTAGGACATGGACAATGGTGGCAGACAATGTAGCAAACCCGAGACCATAAGTAACAGCAAAGAAGGTGCTCATGTTGATGGAGCCGGTCCTAGAGTAAACCAGGCGGTCTAGATGGAACTTGTTATCAATAATGCTCAAAACATCATAGCGTGAGCCATTAGCCATGAAGAGCTGGCTAGAGAAGATAGGGAAGGTCTTGGCATCATAAATGTTAAGCCAGTAACAAACAGGTGTGACGATATACATGACCAGCACGAAACCGATGGCTACATTGACGGAAGCGAACAAAGGACTAGCTAAAGGGCTTCCAAGATAAGCACTAATGGTGACCCAATCAAAACCAATGGATCCAATACCAAGACCATGTTCACCTGAACCGAGTTGGTTTACTAAAATTGATTTGGGATTAAACCAACAGACCCATGAGATTGATGTTAACATGGTGAATAGATAACCGGGAAAGATGTAGTAAGCGAAGCTAGCTACAAGGACGATTAAGAAGAATTGGGTTCGACTCATGCCTCCTCTTGCTTTCTTCTCTTTCTCGTGCAAAGCACCAAAGAGAGAGACTTGAACGAGATTGCTTGGCCACCACATTTCACCAGGCTCGACTAAATGTTTCCTGAAGAGACCAGCCCAACCAAATCCAAGGATCTAGACACAAGAAACGATTTCAAGATTCAAGAATTTGCAAAGGACTTGAAAACAAGAAACAGAGCATGAAGTGAAGTGAAACCTGAGTTGTGATCATAACGAGAAAGGCTGGGAGGAAAGGAAGAGAGCGTTTGTAGTAAAGCTTAATAGCACTGAGTATGTGAGTGGCGTAAACCGAGCCGGCGCCGGAATTTGCAAAGATGGTTATGAGAACATGTTCCTTGACGTTGAAGGCACCTGGATTCAAGGTGAACTGAAACCTCGAACCTTCCAAGAAACTCCTTGTCGGAAGCACCCTAGCCATGAGATGTCCGAGCGGCACGACGGCGATCTGAGCAGAGATTCCGGTGATGCTCAACGGCATCGTTCTGTACCAGAAAAACTGGTTGATGAAAGAGAGAACAATGCACGCGCCTATACCAAGAACCCACATCCGGAATGTGAGAACCGGTAGAGTCGAATCGTCGGTCTTTGGTACAGTGAGCTCCACCTCCGGTACAACGCACCGGTCATCATCATTCTCCACAACCACCGTGAACTCTGGTGCTATCTCACCCATCGTTTTCTTCTAGTAAGAGAACTGTGTTCCGATCTTTAAGGGGATGAGTCTTTTTTATATATATGTGAGAATGAGATCTTGATTGATTAATTCGCAATTATTGAATGCGATGTATATATCCATTAAGGAAACTCTGTATTTTCCCACTAAAAACTTTTTGTTTATTTTCTCACTCACATGTTATTCTTGAAAAAATATAGTATTATACATATAGACATTATTATATAATGTGTGAAAATTATGCAAAAGAAAAGAGAATAAATCAGAGTGGAAAACGACAAGTGATGGGTCAAGTGTAGGAAGGAAAAAAACAGCTAAGACGATGAATACATACAAGTTTTGTAAATTTAAAAATTAAATAATAGGAAGCCAACAAAAGAAAATACAAAAAGAGTCAGATATGCATGCAAGTCTGAAAAATAAAACAATATATATAGTACAAACAAATTCCATGGGGGTAAAATAAAATAAAAATATTTGGTTTTCACTATAAAATATAAAGTATAAAATAAAAATAATGCATCTGGTTTAATGGGTAACGTAGTTCACGGCACAAATGTGGTGAATATTAAATATCCACTATTTATAATTGTCATATCAAAGGGGTTTAAATTCGCATATTGATACAACAACGGTTCGATCACTAAAACTATTAATTAGACTGTGTTCTAATTAATGGTGATCGGTGCCACTCCTCCAGGCTCCAGCCTCCAGCTGTGTGTTTATTAACTATAGCGACCACGCACAGGCGCACCAAAAAACCTTGTAGCCTTTTTTGAAACAAACATTTACATGACTGATCTAAACAAAGTTATCTTCAAACCTTGTTTAGACCTTTTTAACTAAATTTTTTCTTTTATATATAAAAGTTGCTTTATAGCACCAACCATGCAATTATTGTACTAATTACAGCTTCATCTACTTAAACGATCAGATCTTTTTTTTTTTTTTTTGAATAGGAACGGTGATCATATACACAAAATTTAGGAATCTTTCTTGTTTGATTTTTGATGATACATTAGCAAAATACATAGGATAATTCATTTCAAGAAATTGGCAATGAAAGCTATAAGCTTATGGTCAACTTTGGTTTGTGATCGCAATCTATAACAATAAGACCTTAAGTGCATCGGTTGTGATATCAAATTTAGACCAAAGACTTTTGAGTCGTTCAGTATTGAGAATTCGTCGTCTTATAATGTATCGGGAATACAAAAGAAAATGACAACTAGTACTGTACTGTGGGACGTGTGTTTAATTTGTTTATAGAATTCAAGTTGCAGCTAATTAAAATCATGCGCCACTTCATATTTTTGCAGCCACGCAGGTCCACTTACCTTCTAGCTACGGACCCTATCTAGTCATCTACATCGAAACTGTCAAAGACTAAGTAAGGGCAAAAGATGGATGAATTATTACAAGGTTGCGAGATCAAAACCCCCTTTTTATTAACAATCCAAAAATAGTCTATATACCCTGATGAAAGTCTAAAGTTCTAAGATGGATCCAAGAACATGCAGAAACTATACATATACATATGGCTTAGGTTATCCATTAGACGTGACTTTAAATAAGTATGTCGATGTTTTGATAAGAAGTGTCGTTTTATGATACGTAGGGACACCACAAATGTGAAAATTAGGACTTTGAATAAATAAACCATAAAGGGATAATGGCCAAGTACGACTTTGAATAAATAAACCATCGGTTGTGATATCAAATTTAGACCAAAGAGCATAAGTTGTCATTTGTTTGTGATTAGATTCAAAAAGATGTTCCATGCTCGTAGAAATGATGACGATTGCGACTTGGGACAATGGACAAGTACGATCTAGTCATTGCATAATGCATACAGACCAAACAATAACTCTGTGTACACGGTTAACTAAACAAATATATTCCAACTAATAATTCAAACAATATAAGCTGATAAAAGTAACTTTAAACCCTAATTTTTTGAATGAACAAGCATAATTAAACCCTAAAACCAGCCTATGTACGTACGTATACATAATTCACACAATCAAGTCTATGGTTGGCAACTTTTATAGAACATGAATATGTAAATGTTGGATCACAAGAAGTAAATGTGCTTTTCTTTTCATGCTTTTTAAAGGGGGTGATACGAACACGGGGCTACACCTCGTTATTTTAATTAACGTGACCACTATTTAGCTGGAAATCACTAGTAGGCGACTTTAAAGTAGGCTCCAAAAATCTAAAGCTAGACACCAGACAAAAGCTTTTCTATATTGTTTTGTATTTATGATACTATTTTTAAAAATATCAGCATACGTTTCTGAATTGAATACTTCGAAGTTCTAAAGAGTACATATATACAAAGATAAGAAAATGAAACTAGGAAGATTTGGAGCCGAAAGAGATATGTCTGGTCCATTAAATGAAGCACCGACCTGAAATTAATTGTGTATACCACTACAAATTAACTGCGAGTTGAATATATGTGGTGACATGGGAACCAATGATGTGATGCACTCTTGCCAAATTTCACTTAAGATAACGTTATTTTAAACAGAGAAAGAAAAAAAAAAACGAAAGAAGTTTAGCTTATTGTACATGTGAATGAATGCAACACCGATGCGTGCGTGTGCACTGTGCAAGCCTGAAGTCTCTGTCAGTGTAATTGAGAATGGTCCAACCAAGTTTCAGGCTATCAGCGTTTCACAGTTCGTCACCGCTAAACAAAGACCTCACGTATGGATGGATGATGGGCCTAGGCCTATCAATATATCAAATTTTTAATATTTATAGAGGAGATTCCATTTGATACATCTAAATGGGCCTTTTGTTTATTTATACACCAATAAATGGCCCAACAGCTCAAAAGCACAAACATTGGCAATGGGCAATGCCAGGCAATAATGCAAGAAGAGCTTGCGGGTCAACGCACTGTATATTATATTCCACAAGAACTAAACGATAAGAACAAAATCATCCAGTCTTACAAACTCTCTCCTATTTGATTTCTCTCTATCCATCGGACCAATGGCAGAAAACAAAACGCTTCCCACTTACTTCTGCAGAAACTGCGAGAATCCATTAGCTCTCGGTGAAGATATCATCTCCAAGAAATTCGTGGTAACTAACTCCAAAATTCATTTTTTTTTTCATTACTTATCCACAAGTTTAGAGATAATCGATTGTCCTCATAAGTCATAATCTAAACTGGTAACAAATAAAAAAAAAGAGTAACTTTGGAATATGGAAATAGGGAGCATCGGGGGCAGCGTTTATGTTTTCGCACGCGATGAACGTAGTGGTTGGACCGAAGATTGGGAGGAAACTGATAACCGGGTCGTACGTGGTGGCAGATGTGATGTGTAGTAAGTGTGGTGGGACGGTGGGATGGAAGTATGTGGAGACCTTCGATCTTAGACAGAGGTATAAAGAAGGCATGTTTGTGCTCGAGAAGCTCAAGTTGACCAAGAGATATTGATACAAAACTAGTCAATAAGAAACAGAATCCTCCTCTTGTTAATTCATTCTAAAGATACATGTAAACCAAACTTTGACGATTGTATGTATACACATACCTGAGATGTGTCTCGGCACTATATCTTATCTACAAATTTTCTTTTACCTTTTGTTTTGTTTTGTTTTGTATAAATGTTATCATTAGTATATTGCCAATGGTTACCGACATTTGATTTTCTATACAATGTGTAATTTAGTGGAGTTTGGTTGTAACTTGCAAAAAGATTATAATCCAAATCAAACCAAACCGAACAATGTATAAATTACAGATACAACATTGTACATATATTAATAGAAGTTACAAACAAAATATATCTATAGTCTATCTGATTTTTTGGATATTTGTACATGTATTATGAGTAGATCAAAATCGAATAATTAATTCATGGTAGTAGAAGCCTATAGAACTAATTATTTTTAAAATTATTTAAAATATTAAGAACTTTAATTAAATAGTTTAATCAAAAAAGTACAAACATTATTCGTAATTTTTTAAAAATACGAAGAGACAAATTAATTAGCTGCACATTTCCATTTTTGTGTCATCACTGTTGCTATATTTGTTTCTCTTCTCAAATCCCCCGAAGTCATAAAGCAAAACACCGAGAAAGGAGAGAAGTCACAAGACAGTCGCTGCACGGCATATTAATATGATCAGAAGAGTCTAATAAAAAGATCAAAACTTTCATCCAACTCCCAACCTAATCCTCCACTCAATTTTCTTGCTTCCTTGTTCGATCCATCCGTTAAACCAACCCTTGTAAGATTAATTTCCCTCTATCTAGTTTCACATCAAGCTCAAAATCGAATCTTTTTCTCCATTTCCGTTGTTTAAAAGCTGAGTCGTTTAGCTTCTGCGTAATTTCCTCTCCGGGAATATCTCATTTCGTTTCCCCTTACCCTACCAATATATATATTTATTGTGTATATAATCTGTGGTCTCTTGTCCCACACTTATTTGTTTATTGAAAAATTGAGGTAATATCGTGTTGAAAGTAGAATCTCTAATCTTGCACGCTAACATCTGCTCACTGTTCTTATCCTCTATTTTTATTTTTCAGACATTCAAGTTTGGGGGCTTTGGTGAATTTTACAGATTTTATAGAAAAAGGTTTCTCTTTTAATTCTCTTGTCTTTTGAAGGTCCCCTAATCTTCTTGTTTGTTTCCATGTGGGTACTGATGGTTTATTTTGTTTTGTGGTGAAAAAGGTGAGAACTTGCTGCTTGGTTTGTTTTGGAGCAAAATTGATCACGCCCTGTAAGTGTTTGATCAAATGGCTCACTCGATTGGTCCAAGACTGTATAGTTGCTGCAACTGCAGAAACCATGTAGGACTTCACGATGATATCATCTCTAAGGCTTTTCAGGTGATTCAGCTTCATCATCTCTTTCTTTGCCCTTTTGTAATCATATTGATTTGATATCGAGAATTAAGTGGAGAATCACACTAAGACTAGCTGCTGCTGAGAATTACCCTGTCTTTCGGATTTTAGGAAAGCGTTTGACTTTATTTGTCTTTCCTACGCAAACGATCCATGCTACTGATCAAGCATCAATTGGTCTTAGAGTCAAATCAAAACTTGAAAATTAATCCTTGGAACATATGCCTCTTCAAAGTAGTAGCCTTTGGACTCATCTTGTTATAAACAAAGACTAGTGTTTCTTTGAATATGTTTGTTGTTGTTTATGGAATCAATTCAAAAGCTTATGTTAGATAGACACTCCAGGCATTTGTGTTTCTTTATTGTGAATACCAAATTCTTAATCACTGACCTGCATTACCAGGGAAGAACTGGGCGAGCTTTCCTGTTCTCCCACGCAATGAACATAGTAGTAGGGACGAAAGAGGACCGGCATCTTCTAACGGGTCTCCACACCGTGGCTGATATATCTTGTGCTGACTGTAACGAACCATTGGGTTGGAAGTACGAGCGAGCATATGAGACCTCACAAAAGTACAAGGAGGGCAAGTTCATATTCGAAAAGGCTAAGATTGTCAAGGAAGATTGGTAGCTGAGGAACACGTTTGAATTCATTATTGGATTGGCTCAAAAACTGTACATAGATAAAATTTGGCCTTGTCAGTTCCCATCTTGAGGGATTTCACAAGTCATCATCAGCCATTTTTCGAGTTCTTCTTCATTGTCGTGATAATTATGTCAGTCTCTTGTGTTCAAACTTTGGATTTGTGCGTACAAGGTTTCTCTGTCAATAAAGATGTTAATAGTTTCTCTTGCGTTTAGCTCAGTGGTCAGTGCCCTCCTTTGTAAGTGTAAATGATATGGATTCATAAGACTTATCTTTGAGTTGCTTGAAAAATAACCATGAGGGGAAAAGGAATGCGTGCCGTTTTCTCATCAGACAACGTGCTGTTTTACGTTTATCAGAGCCAAGTGGTGGGCATTTTGGCGCAATGTCTACAAAATTGATTACCAGAGGGAAGAGAGAGAGAAGGAGAGAGGATGTATCTCAAGAAGCCGATATGGAACGATGGCGTGTCAGCGACGCCGGAGAATCCGTCTGGGTCGGAAACCGGTGAGGAATCAGATGCGGCGGCGATGGTAGTTGAAGAGCTGGTGACTTCGCTCAACACACAGAGACTTTACAGGGAGCTGACACTATCTCTCCGAACCGGTTTACGCGATGCCTGCGCTGAATTCTCCTTCCTTCGCATCCGCGGCCTTCGATCTCTACTCAAAACTCTCCGAACTGTCGCGGATTCAGATTCCATCATTCGCCTGTTCTCTCATACCCAAACCATTTCCGATCTCCAATGTCTGATTATCTCTAATTTCTCTCATTGGCCTTCCCAAATCGATATTGTATAATGTGTTCTCTGATGAATGAGGTTTCGTGATTTCGCAGTGGTTCCGGTGCTTTTCCGACATTCATTGAAAGATGCTGAGGATGATAGAGTGACGAGCTTGGATCATATATTCAGCGTGGAGCCGATGAAGATAACGAGTCCTTCTACGGACGCTGAGGTTGCTGTTGCACTTAGGGTTCTCGAAGGTTGTTGCCTTCTTCATCCTCAGAGTACTGTTCTGGCTCATAAGCACGGTGCAGTCCGCGTAAGACTCTACTTTGTTACTTATTACTACTATAGTGGAACATGTGACGAACATTGGTCCTATGCCATTGCCTGACCAGATGCATAAAGAAAGAAACTAGAATCCTGCATTTAATGTTTTAGAATAATCACTTCCCACACTGATTTGGCGAAAGAGGGAGAGTCTTTTGACCATATTCCACTCTTTATGATTTAGAATTTTAGATCAGATTGAACCAGTGGGAAGTTTCTTAGTTGTCTGGGTGATAAATGTTTCAGGTAATGATGAATGTATTGTCAACCCGAGGAGTACTTGAGCAAGGGGCCTGCTTGGATGCCTTAATTTCAGTATTGCTGGATTCCTCAGCAAATCAGGTGGTAAGTATTCAGTCCCTTTTAGTAACAAATTTTGTAACTGGGAACTAAATAGAGAGCTGGTTGTTTGCAATTTTTCTGTCAGTGGTAGAACTCGGTTTTTTCTCTTATCAAGTTTTGAGTCTCAGGCAGATACACACTTTGTAATTAAGGCTTCTATGAATATTAATGGAACAAACTGGCCTTCACTTGCTTTTTTATGCGAACGTTTTTCATTTCTCCTTTCTTGATGTTGGGGCCAGGATTTTGGAGCCTGCAATGGCATTGAGGAGGTTGCCATGCTCATGCGAGACAAACAAGCTGATGAAACCCTCAGGTATTAACAAGAGTTTCTTTTCATTTTTTTCTTTAGCCCTTCTGTTTTGTAGGTTGTGGCATTTCGCATTAGGCTACATTGCAGTATATACACTACAAATTTCTGTCAACAAAGAATTTTTTTCTGTAGTCTCTTCTGATTCAATGTGTTCAGTAAGATTTCAGATCGGCTTCCTTGTCAAATTCTTAGAATAGCCTTTGCATTGTCTAGCTAAAACCTTGTCATCTCATGTATCATCAAGAGTTCCAACTCTAAGGTCATTGGTCATACATCAACGATATCATCCACTATCTATGGTCCTGGTTTAGGCTTTTGGTCATGTTTTGTTGTTACTGATTCACAGATTAAGATGTGGAGAGTTCTTACTACTGTTAGTTGGGCATGTGAATGGGAAGGATCGTTCTCCCATTGCGAGCGTAAATGAAGACATCAGGCGCCTTTTGGGTGAAAAATCCGCTTCTTTAATATGGGCGGCGAGTCAATTCGGTTCAACAGGAGATCCTGAACAAAGAATCACTGCTCTTCACATCCAAGCTGGTAGAGTGCTTGAGTCTCTAGACTTGTACTAATTGTCAAACTACCTTTGATTTTTTTCCTGTTTTTACATACACGAAGTTGTTATTATGTGTAAGACTATCCAAAATGAAAATATAGTCCTTCTGCAAAATATCGGATAAGCATTCCACGAAATCGAGTTCTTGATTGATGTTCCACTTTCGATCCGTTAAATCAATCATAAATTCATAAGTATTCGACACCAAAACAAGAAGGATTTATTTTATGGTAAGACGGGTTGTCATATGGACGCAAAACGTAAGAAGAAGACAAATCCTCCATTTAAGCAACTGTATTCTCTTGTCATGTTTCCATTTCATCTCCAAGTCTTTGCTGCTCTCGTTGTTTTTAGAACGATGCATCTAACAAGTTTCTCTTTAATATGTCCTTACTGTGCAAATATACAACCGTTCATAGCATCTATAATCTATTGATGTCATAAGCAAATGATCATTTTATGATAATAAACAATGCGTAATCGTTGACCCATGAGTCCATGACCAGTCAGTTGAAATAAATGAGAAAAAAAAAAAACTATTTGTGGGTCTCAAAAATCTCGCCGGCTTGGAAAAAAAAAAAAAAACTCGCCGGCCCATATTTTTCTTCTAGTCGTTTGTGTTGTTTTAAATGAAGCCATAGATTTTGACGAAATTCCCTTTTTTTTTTGTTTTTGTCTTTTCTGTTGTGAGAACGTCATAGATCTAACTCCAGAAGAAGAAGATGAGTGATGAAACGGCGTCGTCTCCGTCTCCGTCTCCGGCGAGGAAGAAGGAGAATTTGGGATGGATGGAGTGGATGAGAGGATGGAGCAGTGTTTTCGGGGAGATTCTCTTCCAGAGGATAACGGCGTCTCATTTGGAGAACCCTCTACCTCTGCCTTCCGTCAACGACCTCACTTGCGTTGTTACTGGCTCCACCAGCGGCATTGGTCGCGAGACCGCTAGGTTTTTTCTCTCTTCCTCGACTAACTGCTCTGATTCACTTCCAATTGAGATTGATTTCGTTTAGATTGGGGCTTGCTGGTAACCACGACGAAGTTTGCTTTTGTTTGTGACTCGAATTGATGTAAACTTTCCTAAGCTTGTTTAGCTCTTTTGCTTATTTGTTCGTAGACAGCTTGCAGAAGCTGGTGCTCATGTTGTGATGGCCGTGAGGAACACTAAGGCAGCTCAGGAGCTGATACTGCAATGGCAGAACGAGTGGTCTGGTAAAGGTCTCCCGCTTAATATCGAGGTAACCTTACAATTTGTTCTTATTTTGGTGATATACTTATTGAAGCTGTATAGCTGGGACTGGAAATAATGAAGAACGTGTATTGACATATGTAAAGTGTTTTTTTTGTACTATAGAAACTTCAAACAATATGTGTTTCTAGTTAGACTGTGGCTAAGCCAATTTCTTGTATGTTAGTTAGAGACTTCAAGTATTGGTTTGTAGCACTTTAGATTAAGCTGATGATGATACTCTGTTTGATTTTTGTCAAGGCAATGGAAATTGATCTTCTATCACTTGATTCTGTCGTGAGATTTGCTGATGCTTGGAACGCCCGGTTAGGACCTTTGCATGTTCTGATTAACAATGCCGGCATGTTTGCTATGGGAGGTTTGTCTTACGCCCGTTTAGCTATAAAACATTGAGTTTTCCTGTGTCTTTTTGATCATCGCGTTGTTATGCTAAGAAGAGCTCAATAACATAGCAAGTCTTCTATTATTCTAGTTTATGGAACTCTGTCTGATGGGTTTCTTTTAAGATGAATAGTCGTCAGATGGCTACACTCTATAGCAGTGTATGTTGAGGAAAAAACCAACTAAAATGCTAAGCTCTCTAAGTTTTGCAGAGGCGCAAAAATTCTCTGAGGATGGATACGAGCAACACATGCAAGTGAATCATTTAGCTCCAGCGCTACTTTCAGTTCTCCTTTTGCCATCTCTGATCCGAGGCTCTCCTAGCCGAATCATCAATGTGAATTCCGTTGTAAGTTTTATGATCTTTGACACAGCAGACTATATAAGTCTCTGTTCTCTTTGGTATGAGTAATTTGTTGAAAGGGTCTGATTCGTTTGTATATTCTCGAACTTGACAAGCTCTGGTCTTTTCAATTGATTGTCGAATATATAGATGAATAACATAGTTCTCTCTACATATCATATCAACAGAGTTGTGGTATAGAGTTAACAAACAAACCCAAGCTTGTTGAAAAAAATTTCAACATAAAATATATTACCATGACCGAACTCTATCACCTGCAATATGTCACTACTCATTTCAGTGAAACTCTCTGGCATTGCTGTGTGTATGAAAACTGAAAAAGTTTACATTTATTGTCATTTGACTTTGGGTATTGATTTTTCATGAAAGATAATGGGATGTGGGATTTGCTTTTGTAGATGCATTGTGTCGGATTTGTTGACCCGGATGACATGAATGTTGTTTCTGGTAGACGCAAGTACTCAAGCCTTATAGGATACTCAAGCAGCAAGCTTGCCCAGGTGAGCTTACAGTAATGGTATTTATTTTTTTCTTCTTCAGCAGGTTTTTTTTTTGTGTCGAAATAGCTTATGTTCAGAAACTGGTTAGCTAAGTCTCTGGAACCCTTCATCTTCCAGATTATGTTCAGTAGCATTCTTTTCAAGAAGCTGCCGCTTGAAACAGGAGTTAGCGTCTTATGTCTATCCCCTGGTGTTGTCCTAACAAATGTTGTGAGTATTACTGTATTAGCTTCACTCCATTTAGTTACAAATGTAGGATTACTCTGTTTTCTCGTAACTTCATTGCATCAAAATTTCCAATTTGTTTCCAAATTTTGTAGGCCAGGGATCTACCCAGGTTTCTTCAAGCTCTTTACGCCATCATACCATATTTTATATTTTCACCCCAAGAAGGTTGTAGAAGTTCTCTATTCTCGGCCACAGACCCTCAGATTCCAGAATACTGGGAAACACTAAAAAACGATGATTGGCCTGTTTGCCCGTTCATCTCTCAAGATTGCCGCCCTGCAAATCCTTCTGAAGAAGCACACAACACAGAAACAGCGCAAAGAGTGTGGGAAAAGACGTTAGAGCTGGTGGGTCTTCCTCTAGATGCAGTTGAGAAGCTCATAGAAGGGGAAAACATCCAATGCCGTTATGGAGCACAACATGAATAGTCTTTGAAACAATTCCACAGGTGAAGTGACCCCTTACAGATGGGTAAGTAATTGAGGAAAAATACATTCTTGTGTTGATTTACTATACAGTGGGGAATGAATCCCCCAGGGATGTGGTTTGCTTGAGAATGTTTGATTGTTGGATAAAAGTCAAGCTTTAGCTACCATTCCATGGCTTTACTTACAAGTCTTGTTCAAGTGTTTGGTTAGTGAGTCTTTGAGTTATTAAGATGTTCAGTAGTATGGTGGCCTGGGTTGGTGGGTAGTTTCTTGTTTGAGTAGAGGGTATTTCCGTAAAATCCCCCCCTAGTTTGTGCAGTCACATTTGCTCATATATTTATATCTCTCATATTACTCTCATGGACAAAGTCACAAAAAGTGATGAAAATCTCCTTCCACTTTCTAATGTTTCTTGCTTAAATGAGTATTCCATGTAAATGATTCACTCACTAAAATGGGTGGGTTGGTTTGGGTTTCTCTTCATGAGATGCTCATTTGAGCAAGCAATGTTCGGAAGTGGGAAGTATTTAATATCATGTACGACTTTTTTCTATTGTTATAAACATTGAGAAGAAGGAAAAGAAAAAAAAAAAAGAGGTGGGTTTCATTGTCATATGCCCACTTCACGTGAATCTAATGCGTTCGAGATTGTGGTCTACATTATTTGCTTATGGATACATATCAATTTACGTGTCGTATGATTCAAGCCTTTAATCATCCCCACGCCATGCACGTCTTCTAGATTTTATTTTCTACCACGATTCCACCACAACATTTAACACTGTTGTAAATTCAAATATTTTTACGTGTTATTGTGGAAAATTATTTGTTTTTGATGGTTAGAGAGTCTTAGTGGAGAAAAAAATGAAGGGTACAACACGTTCACTTCTTCCTCAATTTAGACCCATATGTGATCTGTCGTCTCGTCGCCAAGTTTTTCTTTCTTCTTTTTTGTGTGACTGTCGTCTTTTAAACTTCATTGAATTCAATTTAAAAAAAAGTCTCAACGCCCCAAATGAAAAAGGAACTTCTCTTTTATTAGTTTGGTGACTGAATCGGTGAAATAAAAACCACAACACAAGTTTGGTCCTTTTTGTCTCTCCAGATCCCTAGACCCTAGGATTCCTTCTTCTTCGTCCTCCTCGTGACTCTGTTTTGAATTTTTTCTTTAGGGTTTTAGTTGTCGGCGTTGGTTTTTTTAGCGAGAATTTGATTTCGGGTTTTGGAAATTATGGGTGATTGGGCTCAGCTTGCTCAGTCTGTGATCTTAGGTTTGATCTTCTCTTACCTTCTGGCCAAGCTGATCTCGATCGTTGTTACGTTTAAAGAAGACAATCTCTCGCTTACTCGTCACCCGGAGGAGCCTCAATTGGAGATTAAACCGGTAGGGGTTGACTCGCGACGTCTCGAATTATCTAGTGGCGGCGGTGGTGAGGCGGATTCGCTTGTGGCGGAGCAAGGTAGCTCTAGAAGTGACAGCGTTGCTGGGGACGACAGCGAGGAAGACGATGATTGGGAAGGCGTCGAGAGCACGGAACTCGATGAGGCTTTCAGCGCCGCCACTCTTTTCGTGACTACCGCCGCTTCAGATCGGCTTTCGCAGAAGGTGCCTAGCGATGTGCAGCAGCAGCTTTACGGATTGTATAAAATTGCTACGGAAGGGCCGTGTACTGCTCCTCAGCCTTCAGCTCTCAAGATGACTGCTCGTGCCAAGTGGTATCTCTCACTGCTTTGTCCATTAGCTTCCATATATAAATGTTTCTGGGATTTTTTTTCAACAGTTTGAGATTGATTTGAGGCAGAATTGATTGGGACTTGCCATGATGATCTTCTTCTATATCAGGCAAGCATGGCAGAAGCTGGGGGCTATGCCTCCTGAAGAAGCGATGGAAAAGTATATTGAGATTGTCACTCGGCTTTATCCAACTTGGTTAGACGGTGGCGTGGTAGGAAATCTTGTTTTCTCTCTTTTTATTTTCATTTTATTGCTTCTTTTCTTTTTCCTCTGGATTGTTGTTCATGTGATCTTCTATATACAGAAAGCTGGAAATGGGGGTGGGGATGATGCAGCCTCCAACTCAAGAGAAACCATGGGACCAGTTTTTAGCTCATTGGTTTACGAAGAGGAAACTGAAAATGAGTTGTAAGGTTCTCTTCTTATATTATTATTATTATTATGTGTTTTACTTCCTTTTCCTTGATTTCTATATTTGGTTGCTGAATGTCTAGATAAGATATAGATATCGTTTCACATATGGAAATTCAAATTTCCATAAACTCAGTGATTTTGTATCATTATCGTCTCATGCTAGCTGCAACAATTTTGTGTTGGTGGATAGGTGACAATTGTCTCTTGGAACTTTGAGCTGTTCGTTTTTTTTTTCAGGCTGTTTGAATGGAACACTAATCATCTGCTCACTGATTCTTTGCATTTTTTTTTTTGTTTTATCAATCAGGAAGATTGATGCTATCCATGCATTTGCTAGAGAAGGAGAAGTCGATAATTTGCTGAAAAGCATTGAGAGTGGCATTCCTGTAAATGCAAGGGGTTAGTTCTCTGTTTGTATACTCTGTTTCTCGGAAGTTTATTCTCGTGATGTTGGATTGCTTTCTAATTTTCTGTAAACTGCAGACAGTGAAGGTCGCACACCATTGCATTGGGCTATTGACCGTGGCCACCTCAACATCGCCGAAGTTCTGGTCGATAAGAACGCCGACGTGAATGCTAAGGTGACGAAAAAGAGAAATTCCTACCCAGTCATTATCTGCAATAAGTAACAGCTTCTATATTCTTGGTTATTGTGTTGAACAGGACAATGAAGGCCAAACCCCTTTGCATTATGCTGTTGTATGCGACAGAGAAGCCATCGCTGAGTTTCTGGTGAAGAAGAAAGCCAATACAGCGGCTAAAGATGAGGATGGAAACTCCCCGTTGGATCTCTGTGAATCAGACTGGCCCTGGATCCGAGATACTGCAAAGCAGACAGACTAAACAAATACTAACTACGTCTTCTCTAATTCCGCAATGTATATGATCAAGTGACTTAGTAAGAAGCTTTCCTTTGCGTTAAAACTTTTATCTCATCATCGCCTACCAAATCGTCTCTACACTAAATCACTTGGATGTTTCGAAGTCTTTGGTTCTTTAATTTCTTCTTCCTTTGCAAAAATCTTTTGTTCCTTCAGGCTTTGTAACATTGTAACCGGTTTTATTGGTTTGCTATATATACACACCTATATATATATAGAGGGAGAGTCATTGGATTCTCAACAAGCGAATAACCGACTTTGGCGGCAAAAAAACGGTTGATAGAACATAAATTAATGATTTATCGATGAGCCCAATAAAGCAAAAAGAAAACAAAATTAGCAATCTTCGTTCCCTTTTCATCTTTTCTCTATAGAACCCCACCTTGGGCTACCGGAAAATGGCCAAGGTGGTGGTTTACGGCGTTCTAACCGCCACCTTCATTGTCCTCATTCTCCTCCTTGCTCCGGAAAAGCAAAACCAGACTGAATATATTGAGGGTCTTATAAGCCGCCGCATCGGGCGCAGGCTTGAAATGCCTGTGTTTGACCCTCTGGTAACCCGGATTGAGAGGCTGTCTCATGAGAAGGAAGCTCATACAAATACCGTGGAGGCTGCCAAGGAGGACAAAGATGATATGTTTGAGGAGTATTTTGTACAAGAGAGAAAGCTTAACACGACAATGAGGATCAAGTTCTTGTTTCCTCTGCTTGACGCATCACCAAGAGATGGGTTTGTGAGCTTGAAAGAGCTTCAGACATGGATGATGCAGCAGACAGAGGACAATATGGGTTACAGAACCGCCAAAGAGCTCGATCTACAAGATAAGGACAAAGATGGTGTCATAACCTTTGAAGAGTACCTGCCTCAATTCTCTAAGCAAGACATTGGTAATTAATATTAATTAACTTGTATTTATTCCTTCCGAGATCTTTCATGTTAATTATGCAAAGAACAATGCTGAAATGGATACAGAGAAAAACGAGAAGGGTCACGGTGAAGCTGGTTGGTGGATGGAGCAATTCAAGAATTCCGATTTTGACCATAATGGCTCTCTCGACATTGAAGAGTTCAACAAGTAACTCAATTAATGTTTTCAAAAATCTCTTTTCATATATAAAATATTTCAGAAACAAATAAATAACTTTGCATATGCAGCTTCTTGCACCCTGAAGACAGCAGAAACGGAGATACTCAAAGATGGGTTCTAAGGGAGCGAATGACGTAAGTTTTTGGTGATATAATGGTTTCAACTGATGGATGTAAGTTAAACTAAGGAAAATACATCGTACGTGCGTGTTGTTTGATATAAAAATATAAATAGGGGCATGGACACGAACGGTGATGGGAAGCTAGAGTACAAAGAGTTTGTCGTGAACGCATACGAAATGTACAAAGAGTTCGCAAAGTTCGAGAAAGAGGAGGATGAGAATGTGCCAACGGCTCAGCTTCTGTTCGCAGAACTGGACAGGGACAAAGACAGGTTCCTCGTGGCCGATGAGCTTCGACCCATCTTGCAATATCTTCAACCTGGTGAAATGAGCTACGCCAAATACTACTCTACTTTCCTTTGTCACGAGGTCAGTCTCTGTCAACCTAAATCTTAATCTTTAAGCCTTATCCTCATAACTTTGATTTTTTTTAAAGAATGTATATATATATATATATATATATGTATGTATGTATGTATGTGATTTGATTAAATCGACTATAAGAATATCGGTAAGTAAAATAAAAGACATTCGTAATGTGAACTCGACTATGTCTAAGTTGATGTGTATATTGCTTAAATTTCTAGCGTCCAATATTTATTGTGTTTTCGTTTTTGTAGGCGGACGAGGATAAAGATGGTAAACTATCACTTGAAGAGATGTTGCACCACGAAGATGTGTTTTACAAGGCAGTTCATCACGAAGACTTGGACGAAGAAGACTATTTTGATCATGATGAACTCTAATTTTTGTGTATTTTTCCTCCTTCAAATTGTAATCACAATTTTTTCGTTTAATTGACCTCTTAATTCGTCTCGTCTAGATTGGTAATGTTAGCTAGGCTACGAGATTACGTGCATAAAGTCCGCCGTGGTTACGTAGATAAATGACTTTTGAAGTGTGCACATTTTGCTACATGCCGTTCTTTATGTTTCTTTTGTATCCTTTTGCCGCGGAGTTTTGTTTACAATCTCCATTGTTGATATCTTACCTTTCTTAAGTCTTCATATCACTATGTATGTCATAATTGTTGTTGTTGTAAGCTGCATTTCTCTGTATGTAATTGCAGTTTCAACGCTTCTGAAAGGGTGGATACAGACGATTTAAAGGTTTCTGTTTCTGAGGTATCTTCATATCTCCATTTCTATGGGAAGACTAGAGAGTTAGACATAGTTACATGTTTTATATACACTAATGAAAGAGAGGAATGTTCAATTCACTTAAGATAGATACGAAGACATCCATATGCCAACAGTAACTAAACCGATAGTCGCTGCAGCCTGAACCAGTTCAACCACCACGTTTTGTCGCTGCGCAGGGAGTTTCTTCCACTCTGTTCTTCTGTTATTGCAAAAATCAAAACATGTTAAAGAGTATATGAACTCAATAATAGATTGTGAAAATAGAGGTTTCATGTACAAGTGGAAAAGTTGTTTGATTGAACCCCTACCCAAGATCAGCTATGATGATGCTAATGTTGTCCTGAGATCGCCGTTCCTGAAACGTGGGAAGATAGCCAACAAACTGTCAGTTTTGGGTGCCTATTTATAGATAGCCTGAGGAGAGTTTTTCGTTATTTACCAGAGCTTCTTGCGCAAGAGATTCACAAGCAAGCTGTTACAAATGCACATTCCGGAAAGTAGTTCAGCCTTAGAGCCATACATGTGTTATAGAAACTAATTGATAACACGACTAATAAAAAACACTCGCCTGCACATTTCCATGTTTCCGAAGCTGATCCCTTACGTAACTAACTACATCTGAACTGCATCAGTGAAACATTGATCACTGTAAGCTCTATACTTCTCCCTGATAAAAGCATAAGACTGGATGGGCAAAGGGGGATAAGAAAAAGGAAACCTTTTCATGTAGTCCCATAATCCATCAGAAGCTAAAACAATGAATTCCACATCCGATGTAAGAGGTACTTGGAAGATATCTGGAGTTGCGACGACCATGTCTCCCTTAAAATCGATTCTGCCAATTTATTTAATAGACAAAATCAAGACAGAAATCCATGAACATGTAATAGAGGAGACATGCAAAAATAGAAATAGCTTTTGCAGTACCTTGAAACAAACTTTTCGGTCCATCTTCCTTCATCAACACCTTTCTTTAACATCCTGTGTATATAAACCTTTATGAGCAATGATGCAACACAAAAAAAAAAAAAAAGAAGAAGAAGAAGATCAATTGTAAAAAGAGAAAGAACCCAACTCATCCTTCTTTGTCTTGAACCGGATGTCACCAAAAGCACGGGATACAGCTATGTCTCCACAAATCCTTCCATTGACAATCTAATTGAATGAAGAGCCAGACATCCATGTTAAAGCCAAATCCTCACAAGCAAAGTCAGTGATAAATTGAGAAGTTTCAAACAAGAAGACACACCCAGCCACCTGCTTCTTTAATCCTTTTCATTTCCTGAATAGCTGCCTTACTGCTTCCGTATGGTCGATGATAATCAGTCAATTCCTCGATTTGTCCAGATCGAGATAAAACCTATTTTAATACATCGACAAGACTTCATACATGACCAAGTTACAATGCTTCATAGATAAAAAAAAAACTGGACAACTAGTTAATAAGAAGGCATACTGCGCACGAATCACCAATATGTGCAATGAAGGAAACATCATTTCTGATGAACATTACAGTGGCTGTTGAACCTGATTCGTCTTCTTCCTCACTGTTTGCTTCTAGCCTGGTGGAAACGTACGGTTATTTACTTCACTTCACCCAAACCATAAAAATTCATTCAATCCCTAAGAAAATAAGCTAAAAAATATTTCACCATTTTAGCAAATTACGATCCACGCTTTCAAAGGCCTTGATCAAAGCTTCCTTGATTGCCGCGAAATCACCTCCATTTAACAACGATCCAGCTTGCAATGCTCCGACACACTCTTTATACAGCTCTTCCCTATCATGATCACCATCATTAACTTCTGAACCCTAGAAAACAGAGAGCTTGCATGAGAGGAGTTACCTAAGGAATTTGACAGAGGACGATCCAGCGTGGCCGTCGAAAACCGCGGCGTATGAGAAGTTATCAAGAGCATCGGAACGGATGACGATGTCGTCCTCCATCTCTTCTCGTACTCCTTGAACGCTAGAGTAACCCCATCGAACCGGCGTCACGCCCGCCAGAGACGACGGCGCGTCGATCGCAATAGCGGAGCAACGGTGATGGCGACCATAAGTGGGATAGACGATAAGACCACCGCCAGCATCCGCGGTTGGAGAGCTGTAGGGGTGGAGGAGAGTGTTGGAGTGGAAGCGATAAAGATGCGGCCTCAGAAGCGCCATGACTCAGTGAGTCAGGCAAAGCGAGTTAAGAAGAAGAAGAGCAAAAAATCAAAGAGCGTCTTTACCGGTTAGTGGCCGTGGATTTTCGTAGAACCAAAAAATAAAATAAAAATATCTGAGGGGATAAGAGAATCAACCGCGGGCCTCTTAACTGACTTAACGGTTCCACACTTTTGAAATATGGGCTAAGGCCCGAAGCAGTATCGATCACCTTTTATAGGCCCCTTTTCTTTTTAGGAAAGTAATATATAACTGTTGTAACATGCAAAATGATACTTGTAGTTTAGTTAATTGCAAAAATTTGATAATCAAATGTTTTTTTTTTTTTTTCAACCCTTGATGCTCTGTAATCTTACACCCCAACTAAGCTATTGTTGCCGTCGGTCGCTCATACGTGTTATTAGTGTTAATGCATAATGCTATTGTCTTCATTCCCTTTAGATGCTTTCTATTCTTTTACCTTTGTAGTAATTTACAGTACGTTGTACTGTTTCTATGAATCTAAAGAAGTAATGTAATGTATAAGGTTCAAGGTTTAATATTGGTGAAAAGCGAAACTGTAGTAATTAATTATATTATCATGTCTGTTAAATTAATTATGTGGTACATATACAGAGGGATATTAATTAATTCATAGTTTAACTAGAGAATTAATTAAAAAAAAAAAAAAAATCGAAGAGATTCAGCTTAAATATTGGAAGAACTCATCCTTGGTAGATTCTCTTCTCTATTACGCCTCCATGGAATCAGTACTTGCTTAAATCCTTGGTAAACTCTTGCCTGCATTTTTTTGTATATTATGTAATCAAAATAAGCCTAAAATATGATAATTCATTCACAACCCAAAAGAAGAACATAAATAGATAAATAGAAGTTATAGAACCACATGCTAAATTAGGAGTAGTAACCAAAGACTTATAAAGTCTGAACTTAAAAAAGGACATTTATTGCAAATACCAAAAACGTTGAAAATTTGTTGCGAATAGAGAGTAGTCATTAGTTGCCAAAAAAAAAAAAAAGAGTGTAGTCATTAAATATAGTTTGAAATCTTTTTAGTAAGAATGTAATTAGACAACTAAAAACGAGATTTTATAACAAGAAAAAGTGATCATGAGTTGAAACATATATGTGTTTCCAAAACTTACCAAGAATTGCGATTTGGACTGAGAAAGATTCAAGAGACTTCCTTTTCTTTTAACCCTACTGATCTTCACCGTCGTGCCGCCGCCGTCGCCATCGCAGCAACGCCCATTCGTGGAACGTGAAAAGTCCAGTCTGCCCTCAGAGTCTCTTTCGCTTCTCTTTATCACCGATAAAGACCGGCGAGGTATATCGTAAGGACCATGGAGAACTGTGGTCGGAGATGGCTCATTCTCAGCTGGAAAAAACAGCCTCGGCGGAAGCTCAAGACACCTTACGACTCCTCCTCCTCCTCCTCCGACGTTCTGCTTAGAAGCCGGCGGTTTGTTCTCATCGGAGACGCGAGGCTTTCCGGGAGCTTCCTCCCAAAGAAACGGAACCGATCCGGCGATGTTCACAGGCGGTGTGGCTAGGCCAGGAGTCTCACATGCTCTGGTAAGTGGAATAGAGAATAGAGGAAGCTTAGGAGTCGCACAGAACCGTTCTTGATCATCAAATTCGAATTCCATCACTTTCTTTGACGTTATATGAAACGGGTTTGGGATTTAAATAGAGGAAAAAAAAGTGACTTTAATTTCTTCTTTCGTTTGATTATATGAACACAGAAAGAAAGGAAACCGAAAACAAAGAAAACGAGAGAGGATGAATAATGTGAGGAAGTGTATAAATTAGTATTTGATGAAGTGTAGTATATAGTATAGAAAGAAATAAATATAACGCTCCTCTTGTGTTGTGGCGCTTCTTATTCACGAGAGATATATCCCAAAGAAGAGAAGAAGAGCAAAAAGAAAATAAAAAATAGATACGATTACAAAGCGGCGTGGTCCTACGTTACGAGTTTTTTTTTTAACGTTGGGTCCTTTCAAATTTCATGTCGAGACTTTATTGCTAAAAATATTTATTATATATGGGATTACTATAAAAATTAAAAGAAACCAAGGCTGCGATAGTAGTGGTACTGTTAACAATAAATGTTAAGCTTATATGTTGTGAAGCAGTCTTGTTCGTCGACAAGAAAAAAAATATCTTATTCTCTCAATTATTCAAGTTTGTATAATGTTTTAAAAGTAAAGCGAGGTGGGCTATGGTAGTGTTTCCTCAGATATGTGAGTTGTGGATTGTAGTTGATCGTCGTATATAAGGGTTGGAATAAAATAACACTTACTAGAAGTGAGATGTGTGAGCAGTTTGGAAGATTAAAGTGGGGTTTTTTTTTTTATCCATCACCCTCAAAGTGTAAATAGATCATAATTATGAGTAACATACACTGAACTTGGAATGCGAAAAAAAAAACAGTGGCTATAAATGGTTACCATGGTCATAGTAAACGAATCCATCAGCGAATAGACTGTTGCGGACAGTATCGAACTTTTTGGTGAAAGCAAAGAATGTGATGCGTTGAAAGTCAAAGGCTGCTCTTCATGTCGTTGCATGAAATGTGTATGAGTATGCATGAGAATGGTGAAAATGATATAGGCATTGAAAATTAAAAGAGCGGTAAACTCAAACAGATTTAGAGGATTTTAGGCTGATCATGTTATCCTTGTGATCCCCCATTCAAGTTTTGATATTTTATCAAACCAAGCTTTGATATTTCATGCGTCTATAAACTATATAGTCCATGCATGGCCTGGTAAAAGATCTATGTAAATAAATTTAGGTTATGTATCCATGCATGGCCTAAATCCTAATTTAGCTGCGGATTTTGAGTTGCATATATGTATTTGTTGAATGGATTATCTATCATACTGATGATGTGTAACGTGCTCCTTATAATAGTGTGACCAAGAGCTTGATATATTTGAAGAGACTAATTAATAATATATATTTTTTATTCAATAAATATATTTTGTGCAAGAAATTAAAAGGTAAAGATTAAGATAATCAATTGAATATGAAGGAATAATCAGTTACAAACTTCAACTAAACCTAAACCAAAAGGAATTATTACTGCCCATACATCTTTAGTAATATGAGCTTTGGTAAGTGAAATTGACCGGCGGGGGGATGGTGTGTGATTTCTTTCAAGTTTTGGATTTCTTGTTTAGTTTGGACACGTAAAAAACTTCTTTTTTTTGTTTGAGTTGGTGTATCTGCAAATTAAAAAAAAAAACAACGAAAAGTAGTAATTTTTTTGGTATTTGTAAACCAGTATGATGAGGTTTTAAAAGGTCTTGACGTTGGTAATATGTTTCACTGTTGCTTACGCGGCTTTACCGCAATGGACGACGCTCTTACAAAAGATTTGGTCATGTTGAACACGCCACTCCAGCATGAGATGATCGCCACCCAAACTTTTAATTACATATATTATAGTATATATTAGTCATTAGATGTTAAAAATATTTAGCTGTAAAACTAATTAAGCACTACTTTTAGTATTGTTAACCAGATATAGTATAACAATGATATTATGTAAACTATAGTTCTACAAATTCACACTTTTTACAGTACCAATTATGATTTTTTTTTTTCTTACATAGATAATTCACAGTTCACATGGTTCCATTCCATGCGAGCAGAGCATAGCGACCGATCACTGTATACAACTATCTGCCCAAATAGGGCCCAACTATTTCTTAACGCAAGGCCCGTATCCTACTTTATACGTTTGACCCAATTTATGTAAGTTCCGTAATCTCTACAATAAGGTGCTACATTACACATTCCAAGTTTTTGTATCCCAAATTCAAAAATCATACAGTACGTTAGGAATCATATATACTCAAACAATAGTATATGGAAAGTTTCGATTATTACAATCTACAGTATATTTCTGATTCTGATCGGTCTATCACAACAATAGCTAGCTTGTTGTCAAAACGATGACCAGAAAAATGGAATCCAAAGAGAAAAAGTTTCATCTTATATTATCCTCCTTTAGTCCAAATTGAAGAGTAAATCATTGAGGTGGTTTTCTTTGGACCATTAATAAACAAGTGACCGATCTTTTCATACTCTTTCTTCCCCCACTCGCAAGTCGCAAAACGCGACAAATATGAAATATACATGCGAAGAAGTTTGTATGCGGTTTTATTCAACGATATATATAAGACAGAAAATATCATGTGTTCGAGTATTCTCGTTATCTATTTTACTATCTTTTAAGAATCTATGCAAATCTTGTTGGCCTCAAAAGCTACATTTGGTTAAATACATTACACTGAAGAGTAGCCGGAAGTGTTCCTCTTCAACTGAATTGTAGTATCTTGAGAGGCAACATCAATTGTACCATTGAGAAAACCAGTGTACCAAGAAGCAGAGAGCTTTGGAGACCTCTTGCGACTAGGATCGCTGAAATTCACATAGTACATTCCAAAGCTGGTCGTATACGCACTCAGTAACTCATACATATCAACCATCGACCATACAAAGTAACCTCTCATGTCCGATCCATTCCTGATCAGTCAAGAGATTTTTCACAAACAGAGAGTCAAATAAAACCAATCAATCCTAATATAGTAGTAATATAAGGTTTAAAATATGTATAAGGAGAATCATACTTGATGGCCTTGAGCACAGCACCAATGTAAGCTTGAATGTATTCTATTCTTCGTGTGTCTTGTAGCATCAACGAATCGTGTTCCATCGGCATGCCTTTTCAATTGAAATTTGAAGAATCTTAAAAAACAAGAAAAGTGATTTCAAGCAGACAAAAGAGAATCAAGTGTTGTACCATTTTCAAGAATGTAGATTGGAGGATTGTTATAGCTATCTTTTATAGACTTAAGAACACCTTCAAGGCCCCATGGAGTAGCTTCCCACTTCAACAAAAACAATTGATCTTAGGAAAAATCAAACAAGAGCGGCCTTTAGTACAAGATTTATATGTATACTACATATTCGGACGGACCTTACCAGAAAAAATGAAGAATTCGCAGTGGCTGTCCAAAGAAGAATAAGTATTGGTTAAAAGAGTTGAGGAGATTTTTTTATATTATATTGATGATTAAAGAGATTAAGCTTTTACTGATCATATATACGCCCATGTCTTTATAGAAGCCTTCGTCCTCCATGGGAAAGATAGAAGGAGAGGGTCGGTTTGTGACGAGGAATGTCGTGTAGTGGATAATTCCTATGAAGTCAGATGATCCTTTAACTTGCTCTGACTCTTCCTTTGAGAAAACTGGTAGTCTTGATCCCACTGTTCTCTTCATTTCATCTGGATAGTCTCCATATACCAAAGGCTTCAACATCCTGAGAATTTTATCAATTTAGTCTTGAGATCTTGTCTTCAAGTTATTGAAACAAAGAAATTAGAGAAAGCTTATTTATTTTCTCACCAGCCATAGAAGAAAGCTTTAGCTCTTTGAGTTGCGATTTCATCATCCTTGGAGTTTGTATAAGGAGATAACCCGAATGTATATATACTTAGCCCTATGGATCCTCTCTGTTTGCTCTGCACCATCATATGAACTATGAGCATACAAAAGTTGAGGTTCGGGTTTTAAGAGTTGATAAGATAGATGTATATGTGTATACCTTGTACTTTAGTCTATACAATTTCGAAGCAGAGGCATGAGCTAACAAAATGTTATGGCCAACAATGTATGGTTCTGTAGAAGAATTTCCCTTAGAACATGCATTAGGAGAACAACGTCCAGGCGGCGTGATTCCTTGGCCATAAGAACCAATGGCGAATATAGTAGCTTCGTTTATTGTAGTCCATAACTTCACATCCTCCCCAAACTCTCTGAAGCATACATCTGCATAAGCAGTGAAGTCTTCTCTGCAATATATATAGAAAACAAACAAATATTTATCTATTTAATTACAATTCATATTAAAACGTGAATTAGCTAGATGAGAATCTTTTTTTATATATATCTATTACATGATTTTGCCGTTGAGCCATCCTCCGTACTCATCTTCAAGAGACTGAGGATGATCATAGTGGTAAATCGTAACGTGTGGTTCGATTCCTGTTAATTAGTAGTTTGCCAAAACTTGAGTTAGAAGCTAGCTATAATTTGGCTATATATAGTTTGGTAGTAATAATGACAAAACCTCACCATGAGTTTTTAGTTCTTTGATGAGGTTCTTGTAAAACAATAGGCCTTTTGGGTTAATGAGTCCTCTTCCATCTAGGAAACCATTAAAGAAAGAGGTCAGAAACACAACATCGTTATTCGTTACAATTGCAAGAAGAAAAAAAAAGAAACAGGGAAGAGGCGTTACTAGGAATTAGTCTAGACCAGGAGATAGAGAATCTGAATGATTCTAAACCCATCTCTGCCATCAGCTTAACATCTTCCTGCCAAAGTAACAAACAACAACATCGAATTAGAAAAAACAGAGAGAGCTAGAGACTTACTATAACTTGTTTGAAAAAGTAAACGGCAAAAGAATGAGAGAAAAGAAAAAAAGAAAAACCTTGTATTTATGATACCCATCAGATGTTATATCTCCATTACCTCTATTGGCTGCAAGTATCGAACAAGAGTGACTCAGAAAATGGAACCAAATATGATATGAACATACTTGTTAGGTGAACAACTTAGGGTATTAACTAATTACACAAAAAGATATGTTCCTCCTAGGAATATATGTTCAATATATTATGAGTCTGAATTCGGAACCGTAAGATGTATGTATAATAAAAATAAAAATAAACTAACAAGAGTGTGCGAAAGTATCCCAGATGCTAGGAGTTCTTCCATCTTCATTAACAGCTCCTTCCCACTATTTTCCAACATTAGAAGATTCTCAACAACATTAGAAGATTAAAAACAATAAAGCAATGAAGAAGAGAGAAACGAAGCAGAGAGAGAGAGAGACTTGAACCTGATAAGCAGAAGAGGCGGCTCCGAAGAGGAAATCATCTGGAAAATTGCTTCTGGTAAAGGAATCAACGTAGCTTGTTGTCGTCAAGACGATGACCAGAGATACCAAAAACAGAGATAAAGGTTTCATCTTTTTTATTTATTTTTGCTTCTGTGGTCTGAGTGAGTGAGAGAGAGTTGTGAAGTAGAAAGTTTTTGTTTGTATTAAATAATGTAATAAAGGAAGTTTAGTCGTTGTCTTGACCGTTACGAAGCGACTACCGAGTGCTGTGTGACCCATCTCTTTTCTATAATTGTATATATACAGTGTTTCCTTCAAATTCTTGTTTTTTCCTATTTAAAGTATGATTTTTGGAAAAGAATTTAAATGGTTGGTTGAGAATTTTTCTTACCCTTTTATTGTGAACTGTTTATGCTAAAGTCATTATAATTTGCGAGCCAAAATGCTCATGTTAGTTGATTTTTCACATTTGACAAATATTTAACTTTTTTTTTTTTTTTTTTTAACTTTAAAGTTAGATATATTTTTTTATATGGACTTTGGAAGAGAAGAATGAGTAGAGAGAGTCATATCGAATGAGGTTTTTCATAATAGTATAGATGTAATAAAACCAAACCAGGATCATTTTGGTTAAATACATTTACGATGAAGAATAGCTTGAGATGTTTCTCTTCAACTGAATAGTAGTATCTTGAGAGGCAACGTCGATTGTACCATTGAGAAAACCAGTGTACCAAGAAGCAGAAAGCTTTGAGGACCTCTTGCGACTAGGATCGCTAAAATTCACATAGTACAGTCCGAAGGTGGTCGTATATCCACTCAATAAGTCAAACATATCAACCATCGACCATACAAAGTAACCTCTTGTGGCCGATCCGTTCCTGTTCAGTCAAATTATTTGTCACAAACAAATAGAATCAAGTAAAGATGAGTGCTAAAAGATGCACAAGGAGAATCATACTTGATGCAAGGGTCCCTTTGTTGAAATCGGATTTTCCTCCCCCTTATGTTGTTATTTGTAGTCATCAGTTAGTCCAAAAAACAAAAACAAAAATTATTTTGGTTCTTGTCTGCGACAGTTGAGTATTGATTTTTTTTCTACATGTGACAACCGACAGACAAGTATAACACAGTATGTGAGTGATTGTGAAGAAGAGTAGTTGCCGACAACTCAACATATTACTATAGTAAAAACATTCATATCACTTTTTTGACATATAAATTTTACTTTATATAAATTTTACTTTGAAGATATTTTTTGGGTACCATTTCATCATCACAAACGTGTAAAACCAGAGGCAACTTCTTAACCCCTGAAAACAACACCCTCGGATTTTGAAAAAAAAAAAAAAAAACATGAAAGCATAAACTTGATAATAGAGGATTTTGATATCATGTGTGTGTAGTTATTTACCCTTGGATGCATTGAAACCCTTGACAAACCCAAAGCCAGATTCCAAACAGAACAACACAGATGCATAGATCAAACATCAACACAACCCACACATGTTTCTTCCACATCTGCTTTGCCTTTTGTCTATGATGATCATGATAGACCAACCCATTTCTCACTCCCTTACCTCCTCCTCCTCCTCCTCCTCCTAGATCCATCTTCTTCTCGTTCCAGTTCCCTTCACTTTTCGCATCCGCCTGCGATCTCTTCTTGTTCTTCAACACCCTCAACGGCTTACCTAATAGCGGCATCAACGCACCACCGCCTTTTCGTCCTCTCGATGAATCCAAACTCGGATTATTCTTGCTCTCCCTCGTTATACTCCTAGGCGATCCAACCAAACCCAACTCCAATTCCAAATCCTTATTCTTATTACAACCCTTAGTGATCTCTGCGAAGACTGGATCGAGCTTCGATTGGAGACAGTGTTGAGTCGGATTAACCAACGAATCCGCCGTAGATCCGTCTTCCATCAGAGACTCCGTAGCTGATCTCAATCGATCGAAAAGCCAGAGAGACTCCGATTTCGCCACGACCTCGTCTAAGATGGCGAAATACGAAAACAAACCATCGATGATCAAAGAGTAAGTTCTCTTACGGACTGTGTGAGAGACCATCGAATGGTGAGGAGGCACGTTCTCAATGCATCTCAAAGCTAGATCTTCGATTCCTGCCTCTTCCTTTGGAGCGAACTCCGCGAGAATCACTGTTCCTTTCGCAATGCACGAGTAGAACAACATACGTGGATTCGAAATCATTTCCCAATCGATCGGAATGACGACAAACACAAATTTTCCAAAACTTCGATTCCAATCCAACAGTTTTAAAGACAGATACAGATATCAAAATCTAAATCGGACGAAGAGCAGAGATTTGAGTGATTCTCTCGGCTTTACCTCTCTAGAGATCCATCTTCTAGATTGCGAGATTTTCCAGGAAAATGGTGGAAGAAGATCTCCATTATTGGCCAAACCCAAAAAGATGAACGCAACAAAAAAAAAAGAAAAACCAGAAATTTACCGGAAATATATTTAAGAAAAATAAAATAACGATTAATAACCTCGCAATGGTCGATATTTGCAATAGTATCCCCAGCTTTTATAATGACACGTGGAATAGTTCGTTCAGCCATCGTCCATCACAGAGCTGAACTGCCGCCACGTGTTGTTAGGAATAACAAATTATTGGTTACGTCCGTGACGATTGGTTAATTCGATTTTGGCCTAAAAATACCACCACACACTAAAACCAACATTATTGGCAGGCTCTTAGAATCAAAACAGATTATCTTAACACAATATTTTGTATTTTATACATTGCAAACTCCAAGTTAATTTCATATCATATAATTTGAGACTCTTTCGTTACTTCTGAGTTGTGTTTCTAAGGTTTATGTCTTGTCTACAAAGAAAAGTTAGATTATTTAAAATGAAAAACTGAAATTCAAAATACTATGCTAATCATGTTGTTATTAGTCAACTGTAATAAACATTCACTAAGTCATAAACAATGAAGATTAAAAAGTCGTCAGATCATAATGTGTATTTAAGGATATAATTAGAACTCGGTCATTATTTAGCCTTTCCGTGGCTCTTTTATTTAATCGTTGTTCAATGGACGATTTTATAAAACGCATGTAAGATATATATTAAAATAATTATAGGGCTGTAAATAGATAAGTCTTCTCTGGTTCTCTCTTTGAGATCACCATTCACACCAGTTGGTTCTATGGAATCCACCATTCCCAAACGCGCAGAGCTTGACGATGATGTTCAATATGGTACGTTTCTAATCATTTTTCTGTTTTAATGTTAATTAGGCTATTGGGTTTGACAATAGAACTGTAGTGTTAATAACTTGTTAGAACATCAAGAAGCAAGAAATTAGTATCGTATCTTCTCTTTTAGCTCTGGGGATAAATTTTTGTGAAAAATAGAGATTTGTATTAATTATTCTTGAGAGGCTTGAATCCGTTTAGTTATTCTGTTGTACTTAGTTGGGATTTAATTAAGAGAAACAAACATTAATATGTAACTCATAAAAATGAACATGAAGGGAGCTCGAATCGTGCATCTAGTCCCCAGAAGGCAATGGAAGAGATACACAAGCAAAAGACTCATAATCTCTATTGCCCTAAGTGTACTCTTAACATCACCAAAACTGCTCAACTGTTGGAAAAAACAGATGAGTCTTCTCCCGACAACCAAAAATCTTTCGTGCGTTGGATCCCTCTCGTCATCTCCTTCAAGTTCTTTTCAAATTCTCACACAGGTATACATACGTACATATGCATATTGTTGTGTGATGATGAAAAGACTTTGTTTCTCTCTGAATGCTGAGTGTCCGGCTGGTTTTTATCTTATAGGTCCAGTCGAAAGAACCTTATCGAATCCTAATAAAAGTGGTATGTCTCTCTACACATATCGCTTTATAATAGATACGCTTTTTTCACTGAACTCTTCTTGCTTATAAAATCTCTTTGATATCTAATCCTAATCAATGCATGCATTGTGGTAAGACTTATGAGTGTATATCATATTCCTTTACGATTTTACACTTTTTTTTTTTTTCTTCTTGAGTTAATAATTTCCGTTTTGATTTCCCTTTTCCTATTTGGGGGACCAGTCGAGAAAAAGTCTTCTAATCCTAATTCCAATGGTATGTGCACACATACATATTGGTTTATGGTTGGAGGCATTTTATATTTCGAACTACATTATATACTAAATTGATCTTATATATTTATATTTTCTATCTATAGGACCTGACACCAACGTCTCATCTAATCCTGACTCCGATGGTATGTCTTATGTGTACGTACGTTATGATGATCATGCCTGTTTTTAACTTTAAACTCCGGCTTTAGTAATCGATTTCCTATTATAGGACCAGTCGACAACTCATCAAAGCCTTATTCCAGTGGTATGTGTATATAGACATATTGGTTATGATTGGAGATATTTTATTTGAACTTATGCTTAAATGATCGCTTATAGGACCAATCGACAACATGATCTCATCTAATCCTAACTCCAAAGGTATGTCTTATATTACATGTACATTGCTAATGATGGAGACATATTTTTTTTTGAACACCTACTTAATTAATTGATTTCCTATTTTAGGACCAATCGAAAACAACTCACCTGATCTTCATTCCAGTGGTATGTGTACTCTCATATACGCATATACACCTTTATTATGCATATATATACACTAGTTTCTTTGAACTCATGCTTAAATGATAGATCTTCTGTATGTAGGATCAGTCAAAAACTACAACTACTCATCACTCAGCGGTTTAGGTATACATTGCCTTACCATGAAAACACCTTACTTTATAGCTAGCTTCACATGCTTAAATGACAGTTCCTAATTTGTAGGGACAATCGAGAACAACTACTCTATTAATCCTATTTCCTTCTTTCGTGTCCTTGTTCTTGAACGATACGTAGCTCATTTCTTGGAACGATTGCCTACTTTATGTCGGAATTCAATAATTCGTAGAGAGGAAAAGAATGCCAACGATAATAGTGCAGATCATCAAAGCTCAACGAGCACGGAAGGTCTAATGGATGCTTCGTTATTTCACTAATATTCAATACTGTTACACAATATCTAAAAACAAAAGATAAGATATAATACCATTGTTCTCGTCTATGTGCAGAAGAATCTGAGAAACATAAACATGAAAATACTCATGGTGGTGGATGGGTATATCATTCTTATCAAATTCCCAACAACAACAACGACAACAAGACAGCCAAATGATTATCTTTTTCCCCAATGCTTAACTTTTTTTTTTACTGAAAATCGTAGTTAATAGAGGAGGACGCATGTGATGACATCTTGTACTGGAAATGTTTTATTTCTTAAACTAATCAAAACAAATTACATCTTAAGTTACTCTAAACTAAACTAAATTTGCACCTATAATTAAACATAAAACAAAGACGTAAATTGAGAGAAAAAAAAAACGTCATTACCAACAAAAAGGAAAAAAGTACTCCAATAAACAAAGACTACATAATTCCACGACCAACTTCGGTCATTTGATTAAAGATAAATCACCCCAACCTTAGACAGACTGTAAGTAATTAAATGTTTAATATAATTAAGAGGTCAACATCTCATATGCATCTTATTTAATACTCCTTAAAACTGAACTTGTTTGATCCGGCATATAAAAAATAAATTAAACAAAAAAAATTATAGCACTTTTAACGAAAATTATAGAATTTTATTCGATTATTTTTTATATACAGTTCATATTAGGTCTTCTCATTTTCCAAATTTTTATTTAATACTTTATATGTTAACCAAAATAAAAACACTTAAATTCGAAATATTATGTTGTTAGCCAACTGACTCAACTCTAACACTCCGCAAGTCATAACTCGTAAACAATGAAGACAATGGAAGAAGTCATAAACAATGAGTAAACCAAAAAGTCACAAAACAATGAAGATGAAATAAAGGGTTATAACATAAGACCAACAAAATTCAGGGTCAATTAATATTTACGTGTGATTAAAGAAAGACCAGCAACTAGTTGACAATTTTCTTGAAATATACCAATTTCCTCTATATTTTTTTTAATCTTTCACATGTTGTTAAAACTAAATATATAAATTTCATTTGTTTTTAAACTTTAACTCGCGTTTTATGTTGATCACTTGATCCTAATCTAATTCAGGTACAAAACTTTATTGTCAAGGTTACACCTTACAAGTAATAAGTACGAAATATTGACAATAACGGCTAAACCTATATTTTGAATGTCCTACTCATAAAATAGTATTTTAAAGACCTATATAGAATTTCACACATTTTTAGAATAGTTTTATGAATTATTATCTACATACATGGATCATATCAACACAGATAGGGAAGAATTTGATTCTTTTTCTTTATCACTTATTCCGAGAAACTTGAATGTACATGCGGATTCGCTGGCACGATGAGTTCGTGTTAGTCCGCACCTAGTCAAGTATGTAAACAACTGCCCCTTGAATTGGCTCGATTGAGCTAATACAAGTCTATTTGATGTCAAAAAAAAAAAAAAAATCTTAACCTAAGCAATCTTAACCGTTGGATGACATAAAACCAAGTCGGTCCAAAGTTTTACGGAAGACAAAAATTAATCTAATTCGAAAAATCACGATCCTAAAATAAATTCATATCGATATAAAAACTTCGAAACTAGAGCCACTTAGATATAAAAAATATGCCGACAACAAAAACAAAGATATAAAAAATATATTTAAAAACAACCACAAACAGATTTAAAACCCAAAAATGAAAATAGAAGTCATAATCCATATTCCCCAATGAGTAGTCGTATACAGGTATCCTAGAGGTATAAACAATAAAGAATGAAGAAAAAAAATTGCGACTTTTGCACCCTTGACTTATACATGGTCAATTAATATTGCGTATAATAATATAAACAAAAGACCAACACAATTGCAATAATCCATTTCTTCTGATTATTGGATGTGACTTTTCTATAAAGTAACCTGAATCTTATGATATAAACTGCATCGCGTCTCATTAGATGAGAATTTATAGAACAATTCTCATAAATTTCAAATATCAAGATGGATAACTTTTATGCGTACTTTTTTTTAACAAAAAAAGAATCTTTACAATATATATATAAAATGATCAAAAGAGAGAAATATATTCAAAAAAATATCAATTTTAAAATTTAATTTTGTTTATCTCGTGTTTTAGGCATTTCCTAATTAATCTTAGCTAGGCATAAGGATTAATATACGTTCATGGTCTAACTTAGAAGTCCGAAGCTGGACCCTTGACAATAACGAATAATTAAACCTACATATCTAAATGTCCTTTCTTGATGAGTATTATAATATCACACCTTTTGAACAAATGTATGTCATTATTATCACAACATTCTTGAAGAGTATTTTCAATGACATTAGGCATCCTAATTTAATTCTAAACTGTCGAAAATAACAAAAAAAAAATACCTTTTATATATACAGATATTCTTATAAATGTTAAATTTAGTGTTTTACAAAAGATAATGTTTTTTGTACTTTTTTTTTTTTTGTCATCGATAATGTTTTTTTGTACATCTACATGACCTTTAGTATAAGCTTATGAAATATCAAATGTGTATCCTTCAATTCGTGCATTATTTTAAGAAAAACCCTCAGTCATTTGTTATTATTATTATTATTATTATTTTGGTGATTTTTTCTAGGCATGACCACGGTTACGGTTAATGTGGTTATGGTTAATTAACCACCGGTTAACGGTTATAATTTTTTTAACCATAACCTTAATCATTATATATACGGTTAAGACGGTTACGGTTATATACGGTTACGGTTAATTACGGTTACGGTTAAATACGGTTACGGTTATTTGATGATTATTATAATATTAATATTGGAGATAAAATTTTATGAAATATTATTTATTTTACAAGTAAAAAATATATCTTATTTCAATTATTTATACTGAATTAGTTAAATCTGGGTATTGTATACAGTTATAATATAATTTATTTAAAAAATTTAAATATGCGGTTAATCGAGCGTTTAACCGTACGGTTAACCGACGATTAATTACGGTTAATTATGGTTACGGTTAATTAACGGTTACGGTTATTATTATTTTTCAACCGTAACTAATTTACTTTTACGGTTAACGGTTACAATTTTTAACCGTTTTATACGGTTACGGTCCGGTTACGGTTGATAAACGGTCCGGTTATGGTTAAAAATACGGTTAAGGTTAGCTTTTGGTCATGCCTAGTTTTTTCTAGTTTCTATGATTGACGTCACGATAAATTAAAGAAAGAACACGACCATGAAAAATCACATGTTGAAAGATTAATACAGCACCTCAGAAAAAAAGAAAAAAAAAAAAAGAAATCGTCGTCGTCGTAGAAGGCATATAAATAAGCGTCGTCTGGTTCTCTCTTTGTCATCATCAGTTCATCTTTCCTCTACAATGGATTCACCCAATCCCTATGACGATGTCGTTGATTCCACCCCGAGTTCGAGTTCTGATCATGCCGGCGGCGACGATGGCAATCCCACCTTAGTGGATGGTCCCAGCAAATCTACTGCGTCAGAAGCAGGTATAATTGCAAGGAAACTAAAGTCCAACAACGTTGGCTCAAACATTATCTGAACCGGATTTATAACCGTAAAAACATTTTGGATTCTTATGCTCTGATGTTGTTGTTTAAACATTGGTTCTTTTTTGAAAGTTTTATTTCGACCACTATTTTTTTCTTTGAAGACGTTATAATAACAAAACAAAATCATGCATTTGTTATTAAGCTAGCTTACCCAACGTTCATATCATATTTTGCATGGAGCATGGTGGTAGAGCTGATATTTTACGTTAATGACTTGTGTGTGATTCGGTTTGGTAAAAGAGTTTCATTTCGTTCCTGATTTAGTACTGTATATTTTTTTAGAGCTACATTGTAATTTGTTTAATTTAGAAGAGATTTATTTGATTCCTGATTTGCGCATTTATATACCTGTTCATATGAAAACAAAAGCCAAAGTCTAATTAAGAAATCATTTACAGCGAGATTTTAGCTACAGTTTTATGTTACTTATACTGTATATTAAATATCATAAGTTAAGTTGGATGCATTTTATATTAAAAAAAAGGCTATAGTTTCAAAATCATCAAGCACATGTTTAAAGACAAAATTTGTATTTTCTCGAGTCCAATATTGTTGTTGTAACGAACGTAGGAACTGAGGGAGAAGGCAACAACCATACTGAATCTGAATCTGTACCTGCCACGGGGATTAGTCCAGATGAGGCTTTGAATGTGATTAAGAATCAACAGAGCCATACTCTCTACTGTCCTAGATGTACAACTAACATCACCAAAGTCGCTAAACTCTATCCAAATAATCAAGAGCCTGATCGGTATAGAACCCGGCATTACGTACTGTGTTTTCCCCTCGTTATCTCATTCCCCTCCAAGCTCCCTACCTTTCATTTCTCATGGTCTTTTCTCGCAGGTAAACCATATATACACATACATATTTTTACTCTTATATTTTTTTTTGATCTACATGACTAATGCCATCATTGCTTACAGGACCATGGAAGAAACTAAAGAGTACACTTGACCTGAAGTGGTTTTCAAATTTCAATCTCACTTTTCTGCCTCTACAGTACCTCGTGGCTGCGGTTCTACTATTGCTATCAGTCATTGTCCTGCGGTCCTCGGTAGGGACGGATATTCCTTCGCCACCGCCAGGGCCGCCTTCTCCTTCGCCATGGACGGATATTGCTTCGTCACCACCTCCAGGGCCGCCTTCTCCTTCGCCACAGCCAGGACCACCTTCTCCTTCGCCATGGGGAGGGACTGATACTCCTTCGCCACCGCCAGGGCCACCTTCTCCTTCGCCACAGCCAGGACCACCTTCTCCTTTGCCACAGCCAGGGCCGCATCTGTATGAAAAAATACTCTGGATCATATACTTTCCAAGTATCAAGTACCTTTCCGTATCCTCGTTGTTGTTCCTAGCCATTCTGGCACTCTTCTGGTCTTCCATTTTGCACATCATCGGTAACCTGATAGCAGAAATGAAAAGATGTAGGAACAATGTGATTTCTTTACTTCCTCTTCCCCTTTTCCCTTTGGCATAACTTTACCGAAAGACTTATTAATAGCACTCTCATTATATCTTGCAGGGAGCGTAAGAGATATTACACGACTTATTAATAATATTGTTAAACAAATTCCAACCCCTTTTAGGGGAGCGAATCATGCTAAAGGTATTTTTCACATGCCTTATTTTTTCTAGTTGATTGAAATAAAGATGAAAAAAAAGTAATCTTATCATAAGATTAAGAGGAGATACTACCATCTTTCCCTGACTCTTCATATTACCTCTGCCTCGATTGTCTGTTTCCGTATTGAAATGATGACTCCAACCTTTTTGTTTCCAATATTTCATTTTATTCATTTTTAGTTTCGCCTCCCAACCCGGTGAATGATACCCCTCCGACTTCGGGTCCAGTGGATGCTATCTCTCCGGCTCCAGGTTCAGTTCCAACTCTGGATCCAGACGTCATCCTTCTTACGTTTCTTTCAAAGCCGCTCGACTCTCTTTTCATTATTTTGCACTCCTGTTTTGCAGAAGGAGGCATTACACCATCCACCAGTGTTCATAACAGTAAAACTACAGAGATATCCCCCGGACCTGAAAAGAATAACAAAGGTGTTGGTGAGATTCTGTCCAATATAGCCATTCCAAGCTGCATATCTACCTTTCTGGTGCCTAAACCGTCTCAACCCGACATCCCAGTGGGTGGTTTAGGGACAGATCAGACCGTGATCCCTCCACCCCCAACGACGCGGGTACCACGTCTAGAGGTCTTGTGGAATTATATAGTGGTTCCATGGGAGCTAGACATCTTGAAGAGTATTGTGTACGGAGGTCTGGTCGAGTCAATCACAAGTCTCGGTGTCGTATCTTCCGCTGCCGCTTCCGGAGCTTCAACTCGTATGTACACATGAACATACAAACACGACAATTGAGTTTCTTCATATCAATTCACATTAATATTGTCTTTTCTTGCAGTCAACGTTATCGCTTTGGGAGTAGCCAATTTATTCAGTGGCCTTTTTCTCATGGCTTACAATGTAAGTCGTTTTGTTTCCTCTCTTTTTTTTTAGGTTTTTAGTAGAATATTTTTTAGAAAACAGAGCACCTACCCTGTTTGCTCGTGAGAAACCGAGCACGAAGCACCTACTCTCATTTTTCTTTAAACACTTGTGAGTAATAAAACCTTTTCATTCGATTTACACTAACAAAGAGGAGATATATATATATATATATATATTTTGGCATGCAGCTGCGTGACATCCTAAGGAATGAAGATGATTATAAGAAATGGCTGGGGAAAAAAAGGAAACCCATCCTCCATTGCGCCGTTGCTGGGCTTTCCTTCATATTCTTCGGTGTGATCCCTCCTTTATTCTATGGCCTCACTTTCAAACAAACAGACAAGGGACACTACAAAGCTGCGGTTGTTCTTGTTGCGTCTCTGGTCTGCGTCGTCCTTCTCTCCTTTGGCAAAGCTTGCGCTTTCAACTTAAGCAGATTCTGGACCGTGGTTGATTACTCCGGAATGGCGATTGGGGCCTCTGCGCTTTCATTCATCTTCAGCCATTTCCTCGGCGATGTGTGTGAAAAGTTAGGCCTTAATGAGCTTGCCGATGATTACCGAAAAGTGTGACTTCAAGATTCTATTAAATAACAAAGCTCTAGCTACCAAAAGACTTGTTCTTTAACTGCTTTCTTTCTTTATTTCACTTTAACAGAGTTCACCGTCGTCCTTTAGTTGTTAATTTGTTTTGTACACGAACTCGTTCTGTTTCTACTATGTAAGCAAAAAGGTTCGATTTTATCAAGATTTATCAGTTTATCTACGTTCTTTAATCTTGTATAAGTCCAACCAACTGATAAATCTTAAATTCGTAACCCACCACGATCCGACTCCTACTCCAAGCTCTGCCGGGGACGGTGTTATTAATTCCAATATGGACAGAGAATCATTCCTTTCTATCTCAACCAAAATATTTTCAAAATATTATGTTAATGTTAATAGTCAACTTTAATATTCCCCACGCAAACAAATATTTTAGAGTCATGAAGACAAAAAATAAAGTGGGAAGTTACGATATAAGATTTACACTGTATATCGGAGAAAATGTAGGGGAAAATTCTCGTATATTTCCGATTGGGTTTTTTTTTTATGGCTATACGGCCTATACCTATATGACATGTTTTATTTTAGGTGAAATTGGTAGGAAATATCCCTCCAATTTCCAACAAAAATCTATATTGTTGAAAGTTTTCAGATAATAAGCAAGTTGTGGACTTATAAATAAGCGCCCTCTGCTTCTCTCTTTGATATGATCAATTCTTCACCTTCTACCATGGCCACAACCACTTCTCAGCGTTCGGATTCTGCTGCCGGCGATGATGCCAATTCACCATTGGATGGAGAGCTAACGGACAGTTCAGTAGTCGATGATCGACCCACAAAATCTCCAAATTGCAAGACACAGGTAATTACAAAAATATATATATATAAAATCAAATCATGTATATATAAAATCAAATCATGGCTAGCTCCGACATTATATCATAGATTCATAGGGAAGTGAACATATATAAAATCAAATCATGTATATATGTTATATAGCCTATACCCAATGTTCATATCGCATTTTGCATGCAGCATGGCATTAGCACTGGAGCTTATACTTTACGTTAGCATATATATAGATTGCACTTAGTCTTCTGGAAACATATCGGGATGATAGTTCAAAACCTCTTACCAAGAGAGCTAGACATTTTGAAGAGTATTGTATACGGAGGTCTAATCGATTCCATCGCAAGCCTCGGTGTCGTATCTTCCGCTGCCGCTTCCGGAGCTTCAATTGGTAAGAGCACATGCACGAACATATAAACACGACCTTGAGTTTCTTCATACGTCTGAATTCTAAGTTTCCAACTAATAATATATTTGCTTGCTGTTAACGTTATCGCTTTAGGCTAGCCAATTTATTCAGTGGCCTTTTTCTCATCATTCACAGCGTACGTCGTTTTGTTTCTTCTCTTCCTTTTTTTTTTTCATCCACAATGTTTACTTATTAAACAGAGCACGAACTCTGTTTTCATCTATCTACTCTGTTTTTACAGAGCACCTACTCTGTTTCAATATGTCTCTCGAAACAATTGATTTAAAACATTCATACTTACGAACGATGATATTTTTGGCAGCTATACGGACTCATAATGTTTGAAAGACCATCTCTCAGTTCGAGCAAAGACCATAATATCACATATCTAAAGGATAGACAACTGTACGAGGATCGCTGGGAAACTTTAAAAAGGTCAAGCTCCACTGCTTTGTTGTTGTGGTTTCCTTCATTTTCTTCGGTGTCATTCCTCCTCTATTCTACGGCCTCTCTTTCAAAAGAACCGATAAGGGACATTACCAAGCCGCGGTTGTTCTCACCGCATCTCTGTTCTGCGTCATCTCTCTATCCTTTGCCAAAGCTTCTGCCTTCAAAATGGAAAAACTGAGGACCGTGGCTGAATACACCCGAATGGCGATTGGAGCGTCTGCGGTTTCTTTCATCGCCAGTCAACTCGTCAGTGATCTGCTGAAAAAGTATGGCTTTGATGAGATCGAATAAACAAGTTCGATTAAACAAAGAACATAGTTCTCCATCTTCCTTTCTGTTAAGCTTTTAAATTTGTGTTGTACAAGAACTTGTTTTGTTTCTATGTAAGCAAAAAGGTTTAGTTGTTATCAGTTTGTTCTTAACTCTGTTCTTAAAAAAAAAGGCAAGTTGGTTAGGACTTAGGATTAATAATAAGGAACGTGGAACCCGTGAAATTAAAATATTCAGATAAAGAGAGTAACCATAAATTGTAATAACATGGTTCTGAATCTCATCGTTGTTTGTCTACGATGGAACCCACCACGAATCACACTCCATCTCCAAGCTTCGCCGGCGACGGTGTATGTACCAATGAATTGACCAACCTGTCCCTAGTCTCACCACTCGAAAAGGACGATGGCGTTGACTTAAGCCAGGAACAAGGTCTGAGAAGTACATGTACTCCTGATTAGTTACCAATAGTTCATAATTATTTGGTCTTTTCAAGTTAGGTACTACCAAAAGAAAAAATTATATAAAGTACTACTAGTCTACTAATCCCATCTTTTTCCGAATGCTCAAATCAAACTTTTACCCATAGGATCGGAGTCAAATGAAGCTACTGACACTGAGAATGGTTCAAGTCCTGTAGACAAGAACCAATACGCTGAAACTGAAGATGTAGTTAGAGCAAAAGATTTACAGACAGAACCTGTATCACTGGATGATGATGTGGAGACTGTGATCAAGAACCAACATAAGTATTACTTTTACTGCCCTTGCTGCGGTGAAGATATCACCAAAACAGTCAAGCTCGTGAAGATATCAGATCCCCAACCCACGAAAGACCATGAGACTGAGAATAAAGCTATTGACAGTGACACTGAGAATGATTCAAGATCCCAAGACAAGAAGACAAAGATTCCATCATGGTTCCCAGTTTTTCTTCGGCAGCTGTTTCCTTCTGTCTATGGTCCCAACAAAGATAAAGGTACCCGTTCTTTTCCCTGTCTCCTTTCTATTTTGTTGTATGGACAGTTGTGATTGACTGTTGTTTCTTGTCAATTCCAGACGAGAAAGGGGTCGATTCAAAATCACCAGGAACTTTCGACGATCTTGATATCAGTGGCGAGGAACCGTGCATTGATGTCAGTAACGAGAAAGACGGACCGAGCTTTCCGAAGTGGTATGTCGATGCTTTTGCTTGGTCGTTCCTCTGTATTATTATAGCTCTCTCTGTCCTTTCGACTTCTCCACCGCCTTTCATTCAGCCACATCTGCAATTGCCTTCTATACCATCATTGTGGCTGCCTACAGAAGTGCCTTCAGCTTCTATACTTATGTTAATCCCCACGTTTGCTGTGTTGCTTCTCCTCATTATTTTAGTGAGGTCCCGTTTCAGTCCGAGATATCATAAGGAGAAAGGTATTTTCTATTTCTCCTCCCTCTTTGGTATTTATCACTTCAATGTTTAAAGGAGGCAATCTGCTCTTTCAACACTTTGATGTTACGATTTTCTGAACTATCAACTATGCCAGGCGATAAAAGGACTGATTCCAAGTCTACTGATATCACTACCGAAGAACCAGCAAAAACCCAATATCACGATGACCAAGCTGAAAATCCTGAGCAAGATTTTGACAAGCAAACAGGTCTGCTCTGAATTCTGATTCTAAGATCAATCTTAATCAAGTTTGGTTCCTAACAAAGATTTTTGATCATGCTAGACAACCAAAAAAATCACCTAACTCCAATATATCCTTCACCACTGGAGCAACCTTCCAAGCAAATTTTGAATAAGGAAACTCAAGCAGAACCTGGGTTGCAACCAAAGATTCAAGACGGTACTAAACTTGAAATCCTGAAAAGTATTGTGTATGGAGGTCTTACAGAATCCATCACAAGTCTTTGTACCGTAACATCTGCAGCCGCATCAGGTGCTTCAACTCGTAAGTGATCCCAAATCTCTTTGAGGCATTTCGTCGAACACCTTTGAACGCCTAAACCAATGTTAATGCCTTTCCTTGTAATTCAGTGAACGTTTTGGCCTTGGGAGTGGCCAATTTGTCAAGCGGTCTTCTTCTCACCGTTCACAGCGTAAGTGATCATTCTGAATACAACGAAAACATTCGTATTGAACTGAACAAAGACTCTATCTTTTTGCAGCTTCAAGACTTAATAAACGAAAAACCGAGAAAACGAACCAACACTGACCATGCGGAAACAGATCAAGGAGAAGGAGAAGATCGGTACGAGGAAGTACTCGGAAGAAGAGAGTATTCGAGACTTCACAGAGTGATCGCAATCTCTTCTTTCATCATCTTCGGCTTGATCCCACCTATAGTATACGGCTTCTCGTTCCGAAGAAAAATGGAAAAGAGACAAGAGTACAAGGTTTTAGCAGTATACGCAGTGTCTCTGCTCTGCGTCGTCCTGCTCTCAATTGCGAAAGCTTACGCATCGAAGAGACGGGATTATCTAAAGACTCTGGTTCGGTACACGACGATGGCGACGACGGCGTCGGGAGTCTCTCAGTTTGTGGGATACTTGGTTAGTCATTGGCTTGAGAAAAGCGGGTTTTATGATGATTCTCCAGTAGATACTACTACTCAACGAGTTTGAAGACTTGTGTTCTCTTCTTCTTCGTCTTCACTTCATAGTGTCCTTTCCGTACCTTCCTCGTTACCAAATTTGTTTTCCTTAAAATTTAAAGAAATTATTTTATTTTGACATTGATTTTTTTTTTTTTTTAAGTTTCGACGTTTATGGAAAAAATTGGAAAAGACAAAATAACATTTGTTGGTAGGATGGAACTTTATAAAAAAAAAAAAAATTATATATATAAATTGCAACAAACAATTAAAAATAAAAATAAAGGTAATATTAATAAATAGCCAAATTATGGACCTGAATTAAGAAACTAGCCATATAACTATTTTTTTATTATTAATAATTGGTGTAGTGAAATTTCTCCTAGTAAAATATATAAATTATTTATTTTGGTTCATAATCATATATGATAAAAACTTGTTTCGCTAAAACACAAAATCGGTTCATATGGTGTTTAAATTTTTTTGTACGTGTTGACTGTTGATCATTATATAATAGTGGGGATTACAATCATTGAACATGGGAAATGCATATAGGATTCTGAGAGCTAAAAGGAAAACGTGGGTTTATGAATAGAATCCTTTGGTCGATCGGCCTACTAAAAAGATGCGGAACTTATCGGGTTGATTGGTTGCCAAATGCCCAAATATATGGATGTTGGTTTCATATATAGATAGATAGTGGAAAACAGTTTGTACATCGGTTTGTGATATTTTTGTTCACTCAGATCGTGAATGAGTTGTGGGGATGCATATTGAAAATAACTTCTATGCTACTTATATATAGACCATGTCTATGCCTGACTGTTATCGCGTATTATAGAGTAAATCATGATGTTCAAAACTACACATTGAACACACTCTTTCGAAGAATCATGATAAAAAAAAAGTACTGGCAACATGATTCCATACTCAAATTATCTGTACACACATGCCTTGAAGAGCACGTAGTGTCACATATTCGTAGGCATATTACGAACACAAAGAACTGTAAGTATGATTTCACTTGTAACTATGTACGCTGTACATCTATAATTACATGGTCTTTGTTTTTCATATTATTTGGTACTATCATCCGTAAAAAAACATAACCATAAGAACTGTTGTTGTTGGCAAGTGAAAACGTAACATTTTTATTTTGTTTTCATCAATTTGAAAAGAAACTGATGACATTAAACCACACGTACGTTGTTGATCGATTCTTCTATAATACTCGTATGAAAACAGCTGGAGCATATGAATATATAAAATCCATTAATTATTCATGTGAACTCAGGGGTGAAGGTTCACATTATGAATCATCGACTCATCATCTTGACTTCTTGAACGAGTGGGGTCGATAATATAATAAAATTCAACCTACACATCTTACACGATTCACACAAAACATATAAGTAAGTTTAATCAAAGGGGTTGAGTTTGAACACAAACATACAAATAATGTGGTGTCACTATCAACCATGTTCGTAACGTGTGTTTTTGGGTTGTTTCTTTTTTAGGTGGTAATATAGATTGATAGTAGTTAAGACTTTAGGAATCGATAGGGAGATTTGGTCCAATATAATATTATATATCTCCATCTATTCCTTTTCTTCTTTTTTCTTGCGTCACTATTTGGTATTACTATACTAATCACTTCGAAAATTCGTATTTCTCGTCGCAACTTTTTTTGTTTGTTTGTCGTTACACAGTTCTCGTGATAAAACTTGAAGAAAAACAATGGATAGACTAATGGCGATGGTGATTGATCAATCATCATCGAGAAATATCATGTTCGTTACCACAAAAGATGAGTGTATACTACACTACATATAATATGGTCCCAATATTAATAGAGAAGGCCGTGTATATTTGACAATATTTTGAGACAAGTATCAATGTTAGAATGGTATTATGCCATCGGAAGTGTTGCATGCTAAATTATTTCGGAATGTTTATATCTATATATTCCAGATACGACTTTTTTTTTTGTTAATTTGTTGTTGAGACTTTCGTATTACGACAAAGATAAGTACAAGTTGGTGAACTAATAAGTAATGCATTGTTAATGATGATAATATCTGTCGTATATATATATAATATGTGTTTGATCTTTTGATAATTCCCTTCTTTTGGTCAACTAAGATTTTTGGAGTAGCTAAGTCTAGGTCATTATTTATTAATGATAAAATCAAAGAGATAACGATTTAGTTGGGACGTGAGGTCGTCGTGATGATATAAATGCAAGGGCCAGGCAATATTCATCACTCTCTCTCTCTCGTCTGTCACGGTCCATGTGACAATAAATCCCTAAAAATAAGGGTGGAAAATATCTTCCAACTAATTTGTCTTACTGTTGGGATGATTAAACATGGGATTTATGTATACTATAGTGTATTAACTTGTTAATAAACAAGTCGGTAAACATGAATTCATAATTTGTTATGAAAAAATACTGATGAAATAAGTTAGGCAAATTTTTTGTTTTTTGGATTATTGAGTGACTGAAGCAAGTTATATAAAAAACATAAATCTAATATTTTGTTGTGAATTTACTGTTTAGTAGGTGAAACTTTTATTAAAAAAAAAATCAATTTTGAGGAAACATTTATCAATAGTGCTAACAAAATACTCAAATACTAATATACAGTTATACACCAAGTACTGGCGAAGAAAAAGTTTTAAAACACGTGAAAAGCCTTTGGCTTAAATAATGAAGAACAAGTACAAAGTGGCCAAGTAAAAAACAAACACATCACCATCATTTAATTATTGTTTATACATTCATAAGCAGAAATTAAGATTTATAATGTCAGACCGATCCCATCAAATGGACCTTTTCTCTGCATAGCTAATCTCTCTCTCTCTCTTTTCTTCTCTTTATCCTTTCTTTGGCCATTCTTGTCTTCCACATTCTCCTCTCTCTCTCTTTCTCTTTCTGATGGGATCTGCCGCCGAACTCACGGAGCCCACCACCGGGACAGAGAAGCATCATCCCGTACATGTGGAAGCAGATGAAGTTGAAGTTGAAGACGAACAAATTGTTGATTTGGAGAGGAAAACATTTCGTCATGTAAAAGGACTTGATACTAGTGTAGACAGTGCTACTTTCACCACCAACACCAACACCAACACCAGCACCAGCTCCAGCTCCTCGTCTTCTAGCTTTTCCGGTGATGTTACTGAGGAGACCCCCGATTTTCGCGTCAACGGCGACGACGGAGACCATACCGGACTTGCAAATTTGGAACAGGAAAATGGAAATGGAATTCACGAGGAGCATAACAACGGAAACAATTGCATCGTCTTCCTCGACGAAGAACATGGTTAGTTACTAATCTCCGACTATTTCTTTTTTTTTTGAGCTGGTTCTAACGTCTCTTTGCATCCAATCAAATCAATTATGTGCTGTTGTTTCCTTATTAATTGTGAAATAAAATTAAGGTAAATTATTCAAATTTTCAAAACATGGTTTTGGATATTATTATTTGTGTATTATTAGACATTAGTGTAGTAATCCTGCAATTATCATCAGGCAATTTGGGGTTTTAGGTCTGAATTTTAGTCAACGTAGTACGTTGCCCTGTGGTCATGTTTTGTTGTTTGTATATGAAGGAATTTGGAAATGTCGCCACTGCGATTGGACCTACAAAGACGGATCTTTGTTGTGTTTTGAGACCAAAGGTCAGTCCAGTGTCAGGTTTTCTTTGGAGGAACAGTTTCTAGCTGCGAATTTTCATGACCTCACTTTAAAGATTAGTTGTCTCTTCTGGAAATGTGTTGTCTGTTTAAACATTAAGTTCAGATTGATTGTTGTTTGGTTGGAGATGTCATTATATATATTCATATAGTTGAGTTTCTTGTTAATTCTTGTTTGATGTTCTTTTGTTAGGTTCTGAGTCAGCTGTTGCAGAAACTGATGCTCTCGAGTCCCAATCTGCTGACCACTTGAATGGGGAGAAGAAGCTGTTAGGATCTGAAAACGGTTCAGCTTCTGAGGACAACAAAAGATCTCGTGAAATTGAAGAAGTAGAAGATGGTGATGTCTCTAAAGACCGGGATGCTGTTGATCAACCCGCTGGTAATGTGATAGAGGAGGAAGTGGACATCGAAGATGTTGAAGATTATGATGTGGAGAATGTGCTGGATAAGCAAGAAACACATGACTTGTTCTGTCCAAACTGTGATTCTTGCATCACCAAAAGGGTGGTCCTCAAAAGAAGGAAACGGAAGATCCGTCATGAGCTGGGAGATTCAAAGCGTGTGAGAGGGCCTCATTCGAATGACCCTATTCTTCATTCGGAAGACAATTTGCCATCTCTTGAAAGTGGTGAAAACTCCGAACATGAATCATTCATCTTCAAGTGCTTGTCATGTTTCACCATATTTAGTCCCAAAGGTACACTAGACTGCAACAGTTTCTTTGTTCCTTGAAAACTGCCCATCCTTTCTTGTATTCAAAGCATGCTTTCCTTTTTCTGGGAAAAATTTGCAGGGGTGGCTCCGAAGCCAATTCCTCTCCATGAAGGTGTTGAAGGGTTAAATACTCAGTCAAACCCTCAAGAGAAAGCTACAGGCGACTCCAATTGGTTCAGTTCAATATTTGGCTTTAACCAAAAAGGATTAGCTGTTCAGAAAGGTATTTTTTTGGTTCTTTTGTCAGTGTCATCAATCGATTCATGTGTATGACATTCTATTATTTTGGTGCTTGAAAAAAGTGATTTTAGAATGCTTAACTTCAGTGGTTACTTCGGTGTCTATTAAAATTTAAATGTATCTCTTTTGTGTTGTCAGGTGGGGTATTGCCTAGTAGTGTTCCGGCAGCTGATCTGCGGCGTGATAACCTGACAGTCTATACTGCAAATAAGCCATCACAAGCCCCAGCTCTTGCTCAGGGTGATGCAACCACTTCAATTCAAGGTAGGGACATTCTCTTATAATGACAATTACTGAACAAAAATAATAAATTACCTTAAGTAGATCCGGATATGAAGGAGAAAATAAGGTAAAATGTCTAATACATTACAGGAAATATGGTCATTATAAGTAGGTGTATGAATCTTTAAATGTCACTTAAAATGTTCCAACAACCCTTGGTTCTTAAGTATTCTTTCGAAAACATTGTTGTGCAGATGGATCAGAGATCAGTGCTTCTCAAAATATAAAGCCTATTGACAGCCCTACAGTTCCAGGTACATATATGCAACGTCACTCTTAGAAAGTGGAACCCATGTTCATGTCTTGTAGTTTTAGTTTTTAACGGAGGGCGTTGAGAGGCAACTTTAATAATTAGAAAACGTGACATCCATCCTTCTTCTCTTATTTAGCTTTTGCATATCTCGTTTGACTTTTAGAAACTACAGCATTATTTTTTTCATATGATGGCAGTTACGAACTCACACGATACAAGCAAAGTTGTCAACAATGGAGCAACTGGTGAAGATAGGCCAAATTTTCTGGCTCCTTTGGCTGAGGAGCAAACACAGCAAAAGATTGACAATGATGATTTTGGTACAGCAGACGGGAACCACACGTCAGGCAAAGGACGTCTCTCCCCAATTCAACCATCTCATGGCATGAGTATATTAAACACGGTGACTAATGGACCAGACGGATTTAGAGTAGAAACTACATTTCATGAAGAAGGTGTCCCTCATCTGTTTGAAGGAAAAGACACTTCTGACACAAGAAAACCAGATTTAGGTCCTACCAAAGTGACAGGTAATCTTATTCTCTATATAATGCCGTGAGTAAATTATATTCATAGCTTCAATGCCAAATACAATAAAACAAAACCGGATTCTGTCTCTCCTTTGTTTAAAGATTAAGTTCTTAATGTACGGTTTTGTGTAGTTATTCTCATTCATACCTTGCTAACTTTCTGCTTCTGCTTAGGTGTGATGGACACGGGTGACAGAGGAGTTAGTACCATTCCAGCAAATCCTGAAATTGATATTTCACCAGGGAATTTGCTGGAAGAAGGGTCTCTAAGGGAACCATTAATGAGACGAGGATTTGTTGAAGGACGTAAACTGGAAATCTTAAAAAGCATTGTCTACGGAGGTCTAATAGAAGCCATTACAAGCCTTGGTGTTATTTCATCTGCCGCTGGTTCTGGTGCTACAATGTGTAAGTACCGCTTAGTCGTACTATCCGTTTCCATTTGTGAAACAGAAAAATATATTTTCGATGCTGGAAAATCCTAACATGTGTATGTTGTGGTTGCAGTAAGCATATTGGTCTTGGGGCTTGCAAACTTGTTTGGCGGGCTTATTCTCATTATTCATAATGTGAGTGATCAATAAACCTTTTGTAATCTGATGCATGAACTTGGTAATGAATCGCATCAACCTGCAATTTCAAGAAACTTACAAAGAAACTTCTATTGCAGCTCCAAGAGCTTAGAGAGGAGGAACCCATAAGAACAACAACAGAGGAAAACCAGACTAATGGTAGAGAAGAAGAAGAAGGTCGGTATAAGCGACTCCTTGGACGAAGAGAAAATTTCACACTTCACGCATCAGTCGCGATCTTATCCTTCATAATCGTCGGGTTACTCCCTCCTGTAGTGTACTATTTCTCATTCAGCGAAAAACACAACAGAAACTACAAAGTAGTATCAGTTTTCGGGGCATCTCTATTCTGCATTGTCTTGATTGCCATAGCCAAAGCTCATGTGAAGTACCCAAGAGGCAGCTACCTGAAGAGCATTCTATATTACGCGTCAATCGCTGCATCGGTGTCGGGGATTTCTTACGTAGTTGGTAACTTCTTGGAGCAGTTACTTGAGACGCATGGATGGTCTGATGGATCGGAAACACATGTGGCACAGATGATGCTTTCATCGCTTATGGGAAGAAAAGCCGGCTCCGGCTTCGGATATTCATCATCGTGCTGACTACTGAAACCGAATTTTGTCTTGGAAGATGATCCAACTGTTGGTGTTTGAATAAGTCAATCGTTTAACAAGTCTTAGCTTGTTTTTAGGAGTTATTTGAGTTCTGTTTTTTGGAGTCTGTTTCGTTTTTCAGTTTCAGAAGTTCACTCCTTAGTTTTCGAGTGAACGTTGTAAGGCTATTATAAAAGCCAATTTCAGTTTATCAAATAAGATACGAATCATTCAGAGAATTGTGTTAGCTCTATTTCCTTTTTCTGGTATCAGAGCAAATACAAATTGTGTGTGTTTGAGAGGAAAAACACTACGATGGGAGATTCGGGAAATTTCACCTCACCAGCTGTTCCTAAATTTGATGGAGATTACGATCACTGGAGCTTACTCATGGAGAATCTCCTCAGATCCAAGGAGTACTGGTGCATCATCAATCCAGGATTCGAAGATCTCAGCAACATTGAAAATCCCAATCCAGCACAGCAAAAGGCACTCGATGAAGCAACTCTCAAAGATCTCAAAGCAAAAAATTATCTGTTCCAGTCAATCGATAAAACCACTTTGAAGACAATCACGCAGAAGGAGACGGCTAAGCAGTTGTGGGATTCAATGAGGGTTAAGCATCAAGGCAGTGCTAGAGTGAAGAGGGCCCAGTTGCAGAGGTTGAGGAAGACATTCGAAACACTGGTGATGAAAAATGGAGAAAGTGTGAAAAGTTACTTTGCAAGAGTCATGGAGACTACCAATGACATGAGAAACTGTGGTGAGAGCATCAACGACGTCAAAATTGTTGAGAAGATCCTCCGGAGTCTCACAGACAATTTTAACTATGTCGTGTGTTCAATTGAGGAATCTAAGGATTCTGATCGCCTCACAGTGGACGAGTTGCAGGCGTCTTTGCAGATCCATGAACAGAAAGTGATTGAGAAGAGAGAGAGAGGTGAAGAACAAGTCATGCAAGTGGAGAACGATCCAAGGAGTGGTCGTGGAAGAGGAAACTGGAGAGGTAGCGGCTCGAGAGGACGAGGGAGAGGCAGATCGTATGTAAACAGATCAGTTATCAAGTGTTTCCGGTGTGAAAAAATGGGTCATTACCAATTCGAGTGCACGAGCTCTGAGAAGGGAGCAAACTTTGTGGAGTTTGATGAAGAGGAAGAGCTACTTCTCATGGCACATGCAGAGATAAGAAGTATGGAAGATCAAGGTATGTGGTTTCTTGACTCCGGATGTTCAAACCATATGACTGGGGAGAAGTCATGGTTCATTGAGCTAGATGAAGGTTTTAGACACTCTGTCAGGCTGGGAAATGGATCGAAATTAGGCGTTGAGGGTAAAGGGAACATCCGAATCAGTGTGGAGGGGATCTTACAGGTGGTGACTGATGTCTACTATGTTCCAAATCTCACCAACAATCTGCTGAGCATCGGACAACTGCAAGAGAAGAAACTAGCAATCATCATTGAAGATAATGTATGCAGAATCTATCATGCTCAGAGAGGATTGATTGTGGAATCAAATATGACCAGAAATCGTATGTTTTTGGTGAATGCTGTGAAGAAACCGGTCACTACAAACTGTCTCAAGATAGAAGGAGAAGACTTGGGAACTCTCTGGCATAAGAGATTTGGACACTTGAACAACGTTTCTATTCAAGTGATGCAGAGAAAAGAGATGGTGAAGGGTCTGCCAATCATCAATGATGATAACAAGGTGTGTACTGTATGCAACGTAGGCAAGCAACAACGTGGAAAATTTCCCAAGAAAAGCAAATGGAGAGCATCGGAGCGGCTGGAGCTAATTCATGCAGACCTCTGTGGGCCAATCACTCCAATCTCTCAAGGTGGTAAACACTACTTACTGGTTCTTGTTGATGATTTTTCTCGGAAAACATGGATATATTTTCTTGTTGATAAAGCAGAAACTTTTGAAACTTTCAAAGTATTCAAAAGTTCAGTGGAGAAAGAATCCAAAACTGTCATCCGAGGGCTGCGCACAGACAGAGGTGGTGAGTTCACTTCAGAAACCTTCAACAAGTTCTGCAGTAATAATGGTATCAAGCGACAGTTGACAGCCGCATACACTCCGAAGCAGAACGGAGTAGCAGAGAGAAGAAATAGAACAATCATGAACATGGTTCGGTGTTTGTTGTTTGAGAAAGATATGCCGAGATTCTTTTGGGCAGAAGCAGCTAAGTGGACTGCTCACGTGTTGAATCGCAGCTTCACTAAGTCAGTCAAAGACATGGTACCTGAAGAACGATGGTCGGGAATCAAACCAAAGGTTGACTATTTCAGAATTTTTGGGTCTGTGGGTCATGTTCACATTCCCGAACAGAGGCGTATAAAGCTTGATGATCGCAGCCATAGATGCATTCTGCTTGGAGTAAGTGATGAGTCCAAAGCCTACCGCTTATACAACCCGGTTACAAAGAAAATTACAGTTAGCAGAGACGTCATATTCGAAGAAGATGCAAAATGGGACTGGGATCTAAGCACCACAGAGCAAAGCGTTCTTGTTTGGGGAGAAGATGGAGAAGATGATGATGGTGATATCGGGGAAGACACTGATATAGAGGAGAATGATGATGTTGAGCAAGCTGTTGATGTCACTGAAACTGCAGAAGAACAAGGCGAGGTTGCAGTGGAGACATCTGAAACTGGAGAAAGCTCAAAAAGAGTGAGAAAAGAACCAGCCTGGATGAGCGACTTTGTGAGTGGTGAGGAGATAGGAGAAGAAGAAGAGGAAGAAGAAGATATGGTACAGTTTGCTTTGTATATCTCCAACGATGATCCAGTGCATTATTATGATGCTGCAAAAGAAGAGAAATGGAAGAATGCTATGGAAGTGGAGATTCAATCTATTGAAAAAAATGCTACTTGGGAACTTGTAGATTTACCACCACAAGCAAAGAAGATCGGTGTAAAATGGGTCTACAAGACGAAGTTGAATGAAGAGGGAAAAGTAGAAAAGTGCAAGGCCAGGCTAGTTGCAAAAGGATACTCACAAAGGGAAGGCATAGACTACACTGAGGTTTATGCTCCTGTTGCAAGGTGGGACACCATTAGAAGTCTCTTGGCAGTTGCAGCTCAACAGGGATGGAGCGTTTACCAACTAGACGTGAAGAGTGCTTTTCTGTATGGAGAGCTAAAAGAGGAAGTTTATGTTGATCAGCCTGAAGGGTTTGTCAGAGTAGGGGAGGAAGAAAAAGTTTATCGGTTGAAGAAAGCTCTCTACGGTTTAAAGCAAGCACCAAGAGCCTGGTTCAGCAGAATTGAGAGCTACTTCAAGAGGGAAGGATTTCAGAAAAGTAGATATGATCACACTCTGTTTCTTAAGAAATCTGAGAATAAGATGCTGGTGGTGAGTCTTTATGTGGATGACTTATTGTTCACAGGAAATGATGAGTCGATGTGTGCTGAGTTTAAGTCATCAATGAAAAAGGAGTTTGAGATGAGAGACATGGGGAAAATGAAGTTCTTTCTTGGAGTAGAAGTTCATCAAGGTGAAGATGGTATACATATTTGTCAAAAAAAGTATGCTAAAGAGGTGCTGGAGAGGTTCAAAATGGAGAATTGTAACTCTGTGAAGATTCCGATTGTTCCAGGCACTGAACTTGTGATTGAAGGCAATCAAGGAGCTAACGCAACACTCTACAAACAGCTTGTTGGCTGCCTAATGTACCTTACGGTAACTCGTCCTGATTTAATGTTTGTGGTCTGCTTGCTTTCACGTTTTCTAGCTGATCCCAAGGTAGAACACATGGTGGTTGCTAAGCGAGTGTTAAGGTATTTAAGTGGGACACTTGATTTTGGAGTTCTTTACAAGAGGTCGTCGGTTCTGAACTTGCTGGGATTCACAGACAGTGACTATGCGAGAGATCGAAATAGGAGAAGGAGCACTTCAGGGTATGTTTTCTTACTTAATGGTGCAGCGATATGTTGGAGTTCACGCAAACAAGACATTGTTACTCTTTCTTCTACGGAAGCAGAGTACGTTGCAGCAACGTCTTCGGCGTGTCATTCAGTTTGGTTGAAGGGAATGTTGCAGGAACTGGGTGTTGAAAATTGTGAGTGTGTTGACATCATGTGCGACAATAAGTCTACAATAAGGCTGTCCAAGAATCCGGTTATGCATAGGAGAACGAAGCACATTGATGTAAGGTTTCATTATCTTCGTGATTTGGTTAATGAGGGAGCTATGAGGCTGTTGTTCTGTGGAACAAATGATCAAGTTGCTGACATCATGACCAAGCCAATCAAGCAGGATCAATTCGAGAAGCTTAGGGAGATGCTTGGAGTTCGACGTCTGGGAGAATTAAACTGATGCTTAATCGCATTTCAGTTTAAGGGAAGGAATATGTTGGTGTTTGAATAAGTCAATCGTTTAACAAGTCTTAGCTTGTTTTTAGGAGTTGTTTGAGTTCTGTTTTTTGGAGTCTGTTTCAGAAGTTCACTCCTTAGTTTTCGAGTGAACGTTGTAAGGCTATTATAAAAGCCAATTTCAGTTTATCAAATAAGATACGAATCATTCAGAGAATTGTGTTAGCTCTATTTCCTTTACCAACCTTCCTTTTCCATTCTTGACGCCAAAATCTTTGTTGTGAGTGGTAAAAGTCGTTTCCATTTGTAGAAATCAATAAATGACGACCGTTGCCCTGTTTTGTTAACTTTTTGCATTAAATTTTAAAAATGGAAAAAAAGAAGGTTCTACCGAGAATTGAACTCGGGTTACTGGATTCAGAGTCCAATGTCCTAACCGCTAGACCATAGAACCATTTGGTTACAGTTCTAATATTACACTAAATATACCAAACAGATTATGTGGCGTTGCCGTAAAAGTACGGTACCGTTGTGAAAGGACATATCGGTTACGTACGAAGTTGGTTTGAACCAATCTCTAATGGGCAGTGGCTATAGCCGATTGGTTGTGTTAAATACGATATTTTCCTTTTGAAGAAAAAGAAATGGGCAGATAGTGTTATAACCGTCGGATTCAAATTCGAATTAAAGGGAGCCTTATCATCTGAACGGCTCAGATTTGATCTCTCTTCTTTTCTCTCTCTCTCTCTCAGTTCCAGAGATCAAAGAGGCCAAAGAAGAAAACAAAATCATCGCTTTTTGCAGAAACGGTGACGGTAGAGAGAGACAGAGAGAGAGAGAGATAGAGGGAGGGTTACAGTCAGGGGGCTATTTGATTTCCCTTGAAATTTTTCAGATTTTTTTCCTTCTTTCATCCATTTCTATCCCCTTTTTTCTCTCTTTCTCGTGTGTTTTTTTCCCAGATTTGTCTTACGAATCCATTCTGAAAGATACCCAAAAGTGGTAGGGAAGCAAAGTACTGTTCTTTTTTCGCTTTTTCGACAAAATCGGCGGTGAAAGAAAGGAATTTTTCATTTTCCGAGATTCTTGAAAAAATTGAGAAGAGGAAGAGGCATAGACCTAAAATTTTGGTTTGAATTTAGGGCTTTCTTTATTTGGGGGGTAATGGAGACAGATAGTATGGAGTGTGTTTCATCTACGGGAAATGAGATCCATCAGAACAGTAATGGCCACCAATCTTACCAATTCTCTTCCACCAAGACTCACGCCGCTGCCGCCGTTGTTACCAATATTGTTGGCCCGACTGCAACTGCTCCGGCTACTAGCGTCTATGAGCTTCTTGAGTGCCCTGTCTGTACTTATTCTATGTACCCTCCTATCCATCAGGTGAATTACTCACTCTTTCGGTTGTTTGATTCCTCATCTTTGGTTTCTGGATCGGATATTGATTTTGCGCTTTGAGAAACTGTGGCTGGTGTACCTCTGCTTTGGAGCTAATGATACGATTTAGCTTTATGTGTTTTATGTTTGGTAATTGAATTGTGTTACTTCTCTGCGTATATGTTGTATAGCATTTTGGAATCCAGAGCATTAGTGTAATGTAGATTGTATCCTAGTATTGAGCTAAATTTGGAAGTTCTTCTGCTGTTGCTGTTGCAGTGCCATAATGGACACACGTTGTGCTCGACCTGTAAAGTGAGGGTGCATAACCGGTGTCCCACTTGTAGACAAGAACTTGGAGATATTAGATGTTTAGCTCTTGAGAAAGTAGCCGAGTCCCTTGAGCTGCCTTGCAAGTATTACAATCTTGGATGCCCTGAGATATTTCCTTATTACAGCAAACTAAAGCACGAGTCCCTCTGTAACTTCAGACCTTACAGTTGTCCTTATGCTGGTTCAGAGTGTGGTATCGTTGGGGATATCCCTTTTCTTGTAGCCCATCTCAGAGATGATCACAAAGTTGACATGCACGCTGGTTCCACTTTTAATCATCGCTATGTCAAATCCAATCCACGTGAAGTGGAGAATGCCACTTGGATGCTAACCGTGAGCATATCCTTCTTTGACTACGAAACATGGTTCTCTTCAATGGTTAAACTGACAGTTTCTTCTTTTTGTTTCTTATCTGGGTTCAGGTATTCCATTGCTTTGGGCAATACTTCTGCCTCCATTTTGAAGCGTTCCAGCTTGGGATGGGTCCGGTATACATGGCATTTTTGAGATTTATGGGGGACGAGGAAGATGCACGGAGCTACAGCTACAGCTTAGAAGTGGGAGGCAGTGGAAGAAAGCTAACATGGGAAGGAACCCCAAGAAGCATCAGAGACAGCCACAGGAAAGTAAGAGACAGCAACGACGGTCTCATCATCCAAAGGAACATGGCTCTCTTCTTCTCCGGCGGGGACAGGAAAGAGCTTAAACTTAGAGTTACTGGTAAAATCTGGAAAGAGCAGCACAGTCCAGATTCTGGCATTTGCATGCCAAACCTATCTTCTTCCTGATCATTCATTCTTTCTTTTCTTTTCCTTTTTTTTTTTCTCTCCCTTTGAGAAGGAATGTTGTATGATGATGATGATGATGATTCGTTTGCACTCGTCTTCTTTGTTTGTATCTATAACGTTTCATGAATGAATGTTTGACCTTATAGTCTTATTTGTTGAGTGAAAACTTGAATCGGTGTTCAGACTTCAGATGCTCAATTCTGTAGTTTCATCAATACATGGAGGCTGGAGATATGATTAAGTGAGAAAAAAAATGTGATCAAGAGGAAATTTTCAAAACCGCGTGTATAAAAAAAAATCCTTAAAACGTAAAATATATGAATGAGTACTTAAAAAGCTGGAGGTGCGGGGAATCGAACCCCGTGCCTCTCGCATGCGAAGCGAGCGCTCTACCATATGAGCTACACCCCCTGTTTGATTATAAGTCTGTTAAGACTAAAATTTACAACTATTTTGTAAGACTGATTAACCAAAACATATGATCCAGATGTATAATATGAGTCATCATGATTCATGAACACAAAACCAAATATGTAAAAATAAGGTCCAATCAAGACATCATTAGGAGGATGGGTTGATGTATGCATTTTTCTTAAAATCTATCAAAATTTCCTAAAAAGTGTTTCAAAAATTAAATTGAATTCACATTGCTATCAAATTAATAATTGTTAAAGATAAGGTAAAATATGATGTTATTCAATTCATATAAATTTTTAAAGATTTATGATCATGTTAAGATTTCAACAAATCTTTTAAGAAATATTTTAAAACAAATCTTGAGCTTTTAACTGTCTTAGTTTTTTTTAAAAAAAAAATCTAATGTTAGATAATTGCAATGATGCAGATTATTATTATTAACTTAAATGATAAATAGGAAAACAAAGCTGAAATAAGGGAATTTAGTAATTTGAGGAAAAGGAAAACTAAAGAAATTTAGAAATCGAGAGGGAATTGAAGAACTGTTTCTTCTAGAACTTTCCTATTTACTCTTTATTGGGTTTCTCTATAAATACATTCCCAAGCTTTTCTCCATTGACGACACAAAAATCTATTCAACTGCTCTGATTTTTAATTTCTGACTACAGCGAAACCCTATAGCTAAAAGAATCAAACTCAATGGCGATTATCTCTGAGATGGAGGAGGTGAGACCCTCGATGGTGCCGTTTAGTGCAAGCTTTGATCCTTCAAACCCATTAGGGTTTTTGGAGAAAGCTCTCGACTTTATTGGGAAAGAGAGTAATTTTCTGAAGAAAGACACGGCTGAGAAGGAGGTCGCTACTGCTGTTAGGGATGCGAAGGAGAGGTTGAGAGAAGCGGAGAAGAAGAAGTTGGAGAAGGAGAGTGTGAAGCCCACCGTGCCCGTGGAGGTTGAGAAGCCAAAGAAGGAGAGCTTGAAGCCAACGGAGCCTATGGAGGTCGAGAAGGTGGCCAAGAAGGAAAGCTTGACACTTTCGGAGCACATGGAGGTGGAGAAGCCGAAGGAGGAGAAAAAAGAATCGGGTCCCATTGGTAAGCACTTCGATTTGCATTCGTGAATTTGGAAATTGATACTTTGTGTCTGGTTCAAAGTTTGTTTTTTGTTTCCTCGGCTGGCTTGGATTAATCATTGGTTCTGTTTATTGTATTTGGTTGAATTTGCTGTGGTGAATTAGGATAGTGGAATCAGTTTTGACATGACACTTATCTGGCTTGTGAAACTTGTGATTTGTTGATCTTATGATTAGTATATTGGATAAAGTTTAAATTTTTAAAGCTTTAACAACTTTAGTCTCCCTCTCTTGTTACAAACTAACTTCGTATCTCCGTTTTGGTGCAGTTCCTAACAAAGGCAATGGGCTTGATTTTGAGAATTACACATGGGGACAGAGTCTCCAAGAGGTCACGATTAACATTCCAGTACCACTAGGCACCAAAGCACGGTCTGTGACCTGTGAAATCAAGAAGAACCGTCTCAAAGTTGGCCTCAAAGGGCAAGATCCGATCATTGATGGAGAATTCTTCCATACTGTCAAGCCTGACGACTGCTTCTGGAATATTGAGGATCAAAAGATGATATCAGTGCTCTTGACAAAGCAAGACCAGATGGAGTGGTGGAAATATTGTGTGAAAGGAGAACCTGAGATAGACACTCAGAAAGTTGAACCAGAGAGCAGCAAATTGGGTGATCTTGACCCTGAAACTCGTGCATCTGTTGAGAAGATGATGGTAAGTTGATCAGTTTCTTTTTCTCCTCGATGAGTTATATGTGTTAGATTTTATTTTGCAAGACTGACACCTATTTCTTTTGTTCTTTTGTATAGTTTGATCAAAGGCAAAAGCAGATGGGACTCCCAACGAGTGATGAGATAGAGAAGAAAGATATGCTCAAGAAGTTCATGGCTCAGAATCCTGGGATGGACTTCTCTAATGCAAAGTTTCACTGATGTTGATTTAACTCTTTCTTTTTCTTAAGCCAGCTTCGTATTCAAACTAAATCACATCTTATTATGGCTTTAAGAAGAAATCTGCCCTTATTGCTTATTTTGAAGACAGTTGTTGATTCGTTAAATATATATTTAAGGCTTCTTCTGGTTTTTGCTTAATTATGTGTTGAATAACTATGAATCTAGAAGTCAAGAAAAGTATTCTTCTTCAGGACCAGAAGTGAACGTGGTTTTGTTGCTTTACTTACAATGTCTCTAATAAACTGATACATTAAACAAGATCATAATTGGTTTGGTTAAATATATTATATAAATCAAATCAAATGTACATCTCTAATTAAGATCCACCATTATGAGGGTTAGTATATACTTCAGTTTGGTAGAGCAAAAATGTTGTTTTCATGCATGTTGAACGGTAGAATCTCCGGTGAGGTTTAGCTGGTGGGTGGAATATTCTTGTTGTGACGGAATTATCGCTGTTTTTAGTGTAAGTTGGATTTGATGAACATGGTCATGTGGTCCTTGTCCCACAGGCCACAAGACATAGTAGTTCTCAATTAGACAACAACAGTAGTAGGCTAGTAGCAGTAGAGGACACATTTTTAAACCAGATTATAATCTAGAGTTAGGTCTTTGATGTGCTATTCTTTAGTAAATTATATCCATCTACAACGATACCCTTACCATATATTGTGCTGCTGTAGTAGTGTAATATCAAAACGTTGTGGATGGTTTTATAGCATGAAAGCTTTTCAGAACAACTTACATTTTTTACGGATATATTCTTCTTGCCATTACTTTTATAGCATTATAACTCTATTAGTATATTGTTTCACACATATGCTAAATTCAAGTAATTTTTCGTAAGTCCATCCATGAGAAAGAGTGTTGGAGCTTGGAAGCTACCCAATTAGTTTCGTGCGCGTGTTGAAGTAGCCAGTAGGACACCCTTTCTGATTGGCGCCGCCATGCGCATTGGCAAAATTAAGAACAAAGATATCCAATCAAATGAGGCATCACAAAAGCCAAAAAAAGGTTCCACGATCTATAGTTTTACTTTAAATATACAAATTATATAGAGATAACCATTTTGATAAGAAATGTCAATGTTGGAGAGAAAAAAACAATGCATTCATGACCCAACATATATATTGGGGGCTCAGACTATATATATAGAATGCCAAAATACAAAAAAAAATAAAAAAAATAAATGAAGTCCACTTGCATATACTGTCAACAATATATAATAGAGTTTCAAGAATAATAAAAATGCAAACACAGAGAAATAAACCATAGCCGAAATGAAAAATATTCGGTACCTAAATCAAATGTCCCATTCTATATTTTGCTCACAGAAAATAAATGGTCATCAAATTTGGACCACCCATGGATTTACGTCAATTCTCATTTCCATATTCATGCAACAACACTACACACACCATTGTTGGTCCCCGACCTTTGTGTTTATTTCATATGATTTCTCGTGTTACAAGTTAGAAACTGTAAGTAAATCCAAAAAAAAATGTTGAGACGAGATCGTGAACATGAATCTCAGAAACACACAAACCAATCATAGATGAAATATGAGTCCAAGTACAAGAACATAAGAAAACATAATTCGATGAAAGTGATAAAGATTAAAACATAAAAGATATATAAAGACGAACAAATAAATTAAAAAACAATAAAGATGAATGCATTTTTTTAAATAATCTGAATGAGAGTTATTTACTTCTTGGCCATATCGTCCTCTCTATCAATGTATTATTATATGACTTGATGTTTCATAGAATCCATCGTCCTTAAACTTTTATAATTACGACGAATCACAAATTCATTTATAACTTTAAATATACAACATATATGGTCCAACCCTGTAGAAAAAAAAAACGTGTTTTGAACGTTAAGTTAGATAGATATACGAATCTATAGTGAACAAACTTTAAAACTAAACCATTCTCACTTGTGAAATCTAGCTACTCATTAGCATCATCCACCAAAAAACAAATTATACTTTTACGTACGGAACCCTCATTCTGAAAACTTTCACATGCCAGTTTTGTCATATCCTCGAAGCTCATATTTATTGGACATCACGGGACCTCACTTCCTGGCCATAAAAGCTTATAAAGCAGATCAGAGAATTGATTTTGATAATACGAATTTGGTTAACAAAGTACAACCAGATTGTATATTCTATGAACGAATTAATTGTTTTCCATTATTTATGGATTCATCATGCATGCATCATCAGTAGACCCACACTAAACATGTGCTTGCCTGTGTAGTGTCTACACTCTACAGTCACCTACCACTTGCTTAACGCTAAACATTGCTACTAACTAGTCTACTATTACTACTACTACTACTAGTTTAATTCTTGAACTGATTATCTTACAAAAGTGAAACTGTTTTGTCTTCTAATCCCAACAAATTTTGTTCTTATATACTGATCAACCACTGCTTTGTTACAACCACTTACACAGCTTGAAAGGAACGTTACATGAAATAACTGTTACGATTCATGAACCCCTTTTCTATACATACGATACGATGTGTGTCGTTTAAATTTCGAAACTGCACAAGTTAACAAATGTTAACGAGTGATTCCTTTAGAGAGATGATCACAAGAAAAAAAAAAACTACAATATTTAAAGTTGTGCATACAGCCTAAGAAATATCTACATATATTGAAACAGTGGGGGGTTACATTTTGTTATATTCTTTATTGATTTATTTTTGCCTCATTCATGCTAAACATTAATTTCTATGGCAATATTAAAAGAAAGTAAATCTATAAATGGGATTCAGTGCTCCAATAATTTACACATAGAAAAAAATCATAATCAGCCTCTCCACATCACAATAGGCAAGAGGAGGGGCCAAAGTACAGAACTTTCCCTCAGGGTATGCTCCAAATTCCCAACTTGGCCTCTCTTTTTCATTCTTTTGGGGTTTTATTGTTCACTCTCCTCTGCTTATTACTCATTTCTACTTTCAGGAAATTGAAACTTCCAATCAAAGAGCAAAGGAGGATAAAGAACGGAGCAATGTATGCAGAAACTGGGTTAACTTACCAATTCATGCAGAGTTCTTCTCCTGAGATTCACCAGTTTGAAGACCTCTTCGATTCCTACAAGCTCTCTGATGAAATGGTTTGTCTTCTACTTCGATTTTTGACTTCAGTTCCTTTTTTTTTTCTTCATGTCACTGCATTTGATTTTGAAATTGAACTTCTGTCTTTGGGGTTTCTTGTCTTCTGATATGCTTGATCTTTGCTAAAATCAAGTTAAAGTTTCTCCCTTTGGTTGGCTAATGAAGAAAATTTGGAGTGTGAAGTAGATTGAGAACACTAATTGTGGATGTTAAGGCTAAAGTTTTACTCTTTTAAGTTTTTCTTTTTTTTTTGAGAATTTTGTGGTAACTGATGCGATCTTTTTTGCTGAGCTCACTTCTATGTTGGCTTCTAAAAATTGAGTCTTTCTGGGCTGATGAAAAGATGGAATCTTCTTCTGCTGATGTTTGATAGAACCAAAGAAAAAAGAAACTCAAACTTTCATTTTTTAGTTTGAGAAAAAGGAAATTTAAAGAAGATCTTTTTATGGGGTTTGTGATAATGGAGATCACACTTTCTCTTTATACAAAGCTAGAGTTAGAACTATAGGAGCTTTATCTTACACTATTGACAGCAAAATTTTGTGTATCAGGATCCGTGTTCTTTAAGACTTCTGTTTTGTTTTTGTCTTTTACATGTTCTGATGTCGATTCATTGCCTCATTTTCTTACAATCGTTCTCCACTACAACTGTAACAAAGAAGAAAGATTCCTTTTCCTCTTACCCTTTTTAAACGATTTCAACCCTAAAGATATGTATGTGTTTGTTTAAAAAACCAAAGAAAACTCATTGTTTCTTAGTCTAGTTTGGAGTTGTGATCTTGTAGTTTGTGCTTTGTGGTTTTCGTTCTCTCTTGTTCTGTTTTGCTTATTCTTCTTATGTTTGTTGTGTATTCTTCTTATGATTGTTGTGAAACAGAACAATCTTGTCGAGGCCTGTGAGTATGATTTTGGAGAAGAGAGTGACCTATTCAAAGCCCCTGAGCCGATCATCGAAGAACCAATGCTAGCTGTTGATCCTCTCTCTCAAGACCTTGTTGAACTTGGCGATCTCGGGTCGTTGCAGAGTGACCAACAACTTATAGACAAGGCTTTCTACGAGTGTGAGCAGGACCTTCTGGTGAAATCAGCCATGGAGTCTCCACTTTCCGAGGTGTTAGACATCAAGAACATCTCTTTAGTTGCAAAAATGGACGATGTTGTGAAGAGTACTAGCGTAGTCGTCTCTGATGTCGTAATTCCGAAGAGCGTGAGCTCGGGGAACCTGAGCTCAATGGATGTGGCACAGCACGAGGATGCAGTAATTCAGAGCTTGCCCCATTTCCCTCCAGGTGATTATGGGATGAGAAGAGCCTATAGTGAAAGCGATATTCAGGTTCGAACTGAAATTATTTACAGATACTCTTTTGAACAGTTATTTCAAACTATATACAAGTGTTTGCAAGAATTTGGGCTGTGCTATTTCTTATCGAATCATCGATATTTCAGAGAAACTTGTGACCTTTTGCAGACCCATATGAATATAGATATGATGGATGGTGGCAAAAGATCTCCTGTATATGATAATCACTTGTGGTTCTTTTGCTATATGACAGACACTGGGAACTAAAAATGCGGGTCCTGTTCAGTCTCAGTTGGATCGAATTATCATAAGTTGCACCTCTGAGGACCGCCGTGAGAAGCTTTCACGATACAGGAACAAGAAAAGCAGGCGAAATTTCGGACGTAAAATCAAGGTAAAGCCCTCGAAAATGCTTCAAGGTTTAGGATATATATATATCTCGATTCCGTTTTGTTGGAAGCTGAGTTGTTGGTTGTGTCGGTATGGTGGCAGTATGCTTGCAGGAAGGCTCTTGCAGACAGTCAACCAAGGATCCGAGGAAGGTTTGCAAAAACAGAGGAGATGCAGAAATGAGGATTAGTTAGGTCCTAATGATGAGCCAGAAGAATAGTTGGATGCAGTGTTAAAAATATAATCCCGCCCACCCACCCACCTCTCGTATCTGTATATATGGGTTTGCCTGAATAAGCCTGAGGAGTAAGGGGATTAGGAAGAAAAAACAAGTTGAAGTAGTTGCTCAAGTGATATATGCTTATATATCTATGTTAGATCTTGTAATATTCGCCCGCCGTCTCTAAATATACCTATGGTTTCACCGTCCGTATACATTAATATTAGTTTCGTAACAGTTGACAGTAAAGACGCTTTTGACATTTGATGAATGATTGTGAATGTTGAATGTACAGGGATATATATCACCACCATTCGAAAAGTATTAAAATGTGAGCCAAACCCCAAAACAAATAAACCTATTTATCTGTTACCAGGTTAATGATTATCAAAGGATTGAGAATGTTTAAATTTATATCAGAGCACGAAACCGAAGTTAATAGCATAGATAAGATGCTTTAAGGTTCACTCCAAATTAACCTTAAATTACCAATTTCATTTCCATTGAGATAATCTCGTAAACCTTGTTTACTAATGGTAACTGGTAAGTAAGCAAATCAACCCCTAAAACGAAGATGATTGGGGTTTGTTATTTTTCTTTTTCGAGGGAAAAAAACACAGAGAGATGGTTGTCGGTTTGTTCTAAACCGGAAATACACCAGAAAAGTTGTATTATTACGTAAATACCCTTGTAAGAGTTGTGAAAAAAAATTGGTGGGAAAGTTTTCAATATTTGGTTTCCATTATGTAGCTGTTTCTTCCATCAACCTCACTCACCACCACCACACCGGTGCATAACTAAGCAGAGCAGAGAACAAATATCTATAACGAACGATACGAGTGTTTAAAGTAGCGTTTCATGGACTGAAGAATTTGGTTATTTCTTCGAATTATGTTGGTAGTAGAGAAGAGTAGTTGTAATAATGAAATGAAAAAAACAAAACGTAAGAAGCTAACACTGTCGTAGCTGTACTTTGTATGTTCCATTTACAGCTTCCAAAGATCTTGTAACCTCGCTTTAAAATAAATAAAAACCCATATAGCAATCGGATGTTGATACTAACAAAACAAGAAGTGAACGATTAATAAAGAAAAACACGAACTTTGAATTGGTTCCGAGAAAACAAAGAAACGAGGAAGAAGAAGAAAAAAAGCGTGGGGGGGATGCTGCGCAGGTTAGCTTAATTAAGGAGAGTATAATGTGCACATACATACATACATAACACATTCATTCACGCTATTCAGAAGGTGACGCCGATCAAAACGACCCACTTCTTCTGCGTCTTCTCTCTCTTCATCTCTGTCACGCCCCCCTCTTTCTCTCTCTCTCTAAAAATTCTCTTCTTCCTTTTTTTTTCTCTTCTTACACAGAACAAATCGAAATTTGCCGAATTCGATTTTAAAAAAAGAAACAATCTCTTCACAACATTTCTCCATGTTTTATCATTCAAATCATAAGAAAGGACGCATTTTTATAAAATAAAAAATTGGGTTTTTTGTTTTTCTGGATATAGAGCGAGAGAAGTTAGGAACAGATCTCTCTCTCTCTCTCTCTCTTTCACTTTCTCTTTTCTCTTTCTGCTCATTCGTGCCAAACGTCTCTCTTCTTCCATAAGGAAAAAACATAAATTTTGTAGCTTTCCTTGTTTGATACGACTGGTATGCGATTTTCAGTTCTGGGTCAGACAAGACGGAGGACTTCTCTTTGTCTTTGAGCATCGGAATTGGGGTCACGTTTAGGGTTTGCGAGCGATTTTGGAATTCGGAGTGGTTTTTTAGTTGATTGGAACACTAGTTTTGTATGCTACTCTGATTGGGTTTTGATTTTTTTGTTCGTCTTCTTCTTCTCAGAAGAGATATGATTATCAAACGGAAATTTAAAACCCAGATACCGAGTTTGAAACGCTGCAAACTCGGTAACTCTGCGACTGAGTCCAGGAAGAAGAGAAAGACCAACTCCGGAGCTTACTACTACCCTCTCAATCTTCTCGGAGAAATCGCCGCCGGGATTGTTCCAGCAAGTGGACGGAATGGGTTCTCTGCTTCGTGCTGCACTGGTGTTTCCACGAAACCTGTTGAGGTAGAAGAGTCAATGCCCAAGAGAATATCAGATTCCGGCGCTGTGCGGGATCCTCCTCCCTCGGCGGAAGTCTCTCGCCCACCGCTTGTTCGGACATCTAGGGGAAGGATTCAGGTGCTTCCTTCTCGATTCAATGATTCGGTGCTCGAGAATTGGAGGAAAGATAGCAAAAGTGATTGTGATTTGGAGGAAGAGGTTGAATGCAGAATTGAGAAAGTTAGTCATCAGGGTTCTAAAGTTGGTAATTTGAAAAACAAGCAACTTGACAAGAGCCGTAAGTATAGTGCATTGTATAGAGAAACAACGTTTCACGAGCTACGTGGTGAGGCTCGTACTAGTCGTGTTGACAGACCCAGGGAAGATGAGAAGATTATGAAGAAAGAAGGTTCTTATGGGCCAGAGAACTTCTATTCAGGAGACTTGGTTTGGGCTAAATCTGGGAAAAAGGAACCGTTTTGGCCGGCTATTGTTATCGATCCAATGACTCAGGCACCCGAGCTTGTTTTGCGTTCTTGTATACCCGATGCAGCCTGTGTTGTCTTCTTTGGTCACTCTGGGAACGAGAATGAAAGGGTACGGAGGGAAAAATTGCTTTCCAAATGTGGATGCCTTTGTTTTGAGTTTTCTATTTCTGACTGTTGTTTAATGTAATATAGGACTATGCATGGGTGAGGAGAGGGTTGATCTTCCCTTTTGTGGATTATGTTGCCAGGTGGGTCTCTTGAATTATCAGAAGAAAAATTCTTAAATGTGGATTAGTACTTAATAGATATTTTATTCAGGTTCCAAGAACAGTCTGAACTGCAAGGGTGCAACCCAGGAGATTTTCAGATGGCACTGGAGGAAGCATTTTTGGCAGATCAGGGATTCACGGAGAAATTGATGCATGACATTCACTTGGCTGCTGGTAACCCGACTTTTGACGATTCTTTCTACAGATGGATTCAAGAAACTGCGGTCTCAAATCAGGATCTCGATAACAATACTCCAAGCCAGGCAAGTTTCTTTGTCTGTGAGTTCATTGTGCAGGGGGTTCCTTTTCAGTGTAACATGTGCGTTGGTTAGTTTTGTTTTTGTTCCCAAAACAACACAAGGCTGCTCACATTTTAATTTCATGCCAATTGGTCCATTTTTATATGGCTTTCTATCTTATATCCTTTTGTGGAAATCTCCTACCATTTGTTCAACGTATCTATGTTTTGCAGAGGCTGTTAAAAAAATACGGAAATCCCCTGGAATGTGTAGGATGTGGAACGATCATTTCTTTTGAGATGGCAAAAAAAATGAAAGCTCTGGTTCCTGGAGATCAGTTGTTGTGTAAACCATGTTCAAGGGTATGTGGGATCCCTTGTTCTGTGACTATGCTTAGTTTAGTTTTAAGTGGTGGGGAAGTGGTTGCATACGTGTATGCCTAATTTGGTTGTTGTTGCAGTTGACAAAATCAAAACACATTTGTGGTATATGCAAGAAGACAAGGAATCATTTGGACCGTCAAACCTGGGTAAGAAATTAAAAAACAGTAGGTTCTATAGTGGTCTAGCTTCAGGTTTTGGTTGCTTTCTGTTCTGAATTTTTGATATCTGTGTGGTAAATTAGATGCGCTGTCATGGTTGTAAAGTTTGGGTACACGCAGAGTGTGACCATATATCAGATAAGCATTTAAAGGTATGTTAATTTTCAATTTCATCAATGTTATCATGTTCTCATCTGTTTGCATGTGTTGATATCAAGCTCATTTTATGGTCTGAAGGATTTGGGGGAAACAGATTACTACTGTCCTACTTGCAGAGCTAAATTTAACTTTGAGCTATCAGATTCGGAAAAACAAAACTCAAAGTCAAAGTAGGCCTCGTTTTCTTAATTTTTGTTATTGCTTTCGCAACAACTGCATTTTGATTGCCAAATGTCTAAACTGGGAGTTTTCTGGTACAGACTTAGCAAAGGCGATGATCAGATGGTTCTTCCTGACAAGGTTACTGTTGTATGCGCTGGAGTAGAAGGAATTTACTTCCCGAGGCTTCATTTGTAAGCAGATACCATTTGATATTTTCCTTACATCCCTTCACTTCTCGCCTTGGGTTTGCTTTAAAACTTATTCAAAGCAAGAACCTTTAGAGATTGCAATTTAATTTTCCTAGAATTTCAGGTTTCTTTGCTGAATGAATTTTAGAGTCGTCTTACTCCATGTTGTTTTTATACAGAGTCGTATGTAAGTGTGGCTCCTGTGGACCTAAAAGGAAAGCACTTAGCGAATGGGAAAGGCATACCGGATCAAAAGCAAAAAATTGGAAGACCAGTGTGAAAGTCAAAAGCTCGAAGTTGGCACTAGAAGAATGGGTTTGTACAGTTACTCTTGTGGTTTCTCTCAGAGATATTGGCTTCTTACTTCTGAGTTGTATCTGACTTACTTAAAAGTAAACTGACATATATCTGCTAAACCATTCCCTTACTCCGCAGATGATGAAATTAGCAGAGTTACATGCTAATGCTACAGCAGCTAAAGTTCCTAAACGACCGTCCATAAAGCAGAGAAAACAGAGATTACTTTCTTTTTTATCAGGTATAAAAGGAAATGGGATCCTGTATCATGTTGCAAAGTTTCAAGAGTTTGTGTAATGCTTTTGTTGGCTTTTCCTTTCTTCTGACAGAGACATATGAGCCGGTCAATGCAAAGTGGACAACAGAACGATGTGCAGTTTGCAGATGGGTTGAAGATTGGGACTACAACAAGATTATTATCTGCAACAGGTACTGTTTAATCTTTATTTACTCTAAGTCTTTTTGAAAACCTTTACTTCATCCACCTGAGTAAGTCATAAATGGTAAATGGGACTTGCCTTTAGGATCATATCTTTGTGTCCGATCTTTGCTTCACATGGGCTGTGTAAGATAGGAATTTTTTTTGCTAATAACTATGAATAAGATATTCAGCCAGAGGTTTCCATTTAAACTTTCATGTACTACCCTTTTGGCAAACAGAAGATGGTTATTATTTTATGGAATACTGAAATGCGACTTCTGAAACATCGCCTGTTATCAATGTTAATCAGCAACTTAAGACGTTAAGTTCTTTCTTTCTTTCTTTCTCTTGTCAGATGCCAAATAGCAGTGCATCAGGAATGCTATGGCGCTAGACATGTTCGTGATTTCACCTCATGGGTCTGTAAAGCATGCGAGAAACCAGATATTAAGCGGGAGTGCTGCCTCTGCCCTGTAAAAGGTTTGCCTTTTGATTTTGTGACACTAAGATAATTCTTTCTTTCTTGTGGACCTATTTTTTTACATAGTATTAGCTTCAGCATCTGAGTTAGAAAGGCTACAACTAGTTAAAAGTCTCCTTCTCTATAAGTGATGGCTTTCCTGATGAGACTTTTACATATTTCCGACAAAGATGACTTCATAAGTTTATTCAACTATTATTTCCCTTACAAGATATAGGCTTTATCAAAACATATGGCTTCGCTACCTGCTACCTGTTAAATGTATTTATGGCTCGACATTGTTTTCACTGATTATAGGAGGCGCACTGAAGCCAACTGATGTGGAAACGTTGTGGGTTCATGTGACATGTGCTTGGTTTCAGCCTGAAGTATGTTTTGCGAGTGAAGAAAAAATGGAACCAGCTGTTGGGATATTGAGTATTCCATCAAGTAATTTTGTGAAGGTTAGGTTTAATGTTAACTTGCTGTGTTTAATTTCGAATGCACTCAAAAGTACTCTGTTCACATATACATGTGACCATGTGCGCAAAGCTAAAATTGCAAGAACCTTCTGTGTTTTGATGGATTTCAGATATGTGTAATATGCAAACAAATACATGGCTCGTGTACTCAGTGTTGCAAGTGTTCCACCTATTATCACGCCATGTGTGCCTCTCGAGCTGGTTATAGAATGGAGGTATGCTCATTGTATATGGAACAATCTTTGCTGAAGTCATTGGTTGTGTTTGTTTCTGATAGACTATGTGTTTTGCCTCTTCAACTTTTTAAGAACTTCAGCGTTCGGTTTTCCTTTGCAATCTTTTGTTTTGCCTTTTTTAAGTAGGCATATTTCCATGCATTATGTATGTAGTTGCACTGCTTGGAGAAAAATGGTCGACAGATGACAAAGATGGTGTCCTATTGTGCTTATCACAGGTAAATTTCCCAATTCTCTTCTTCAACGAGCTTTGGTATTACGATGTCAGGTTCTGAATTTATCTTTTGTCTTTTTCTTTGGTGTGTAGGGCTCCAAACCCAGATAATGTGCTAATGATACAAACCCCTTCAGGGGTCTTCTCTGCAAAAAGCCTTGTCCAAAACAAGAAGAGAGGGGGTTCCCGTCTTATTTCATCGGTCAGAGAAGACGATGAAGAGTCACCCACAGAGGATACAGTTACATGTGATCCATTTTCTGCTGCTCGCTGTCGAGTATTCAAAAGAAAGATCAATAGCAAGAAGGTATTATTTGGGGTCTTGTCCACAAAAAGTCTGTATGTTCCATTACGCATCCTTTGTATGCTAGGCTGATCCTGGTTTTTGTAGAGGAGTGAAGAAGAAGCACTCCCTCACCACACAAAGGGACCACACCATCATCCATCAGCAGCAATACAAACTCTAAATGCATTAAGGGTATGAAAATTTCCATGCAGGGATTCTACTCCTTTTTCAAACTATTAGTTCGGATCTGACAGTTTTGGGTTATATTACGTGTAGCATGTGCCGGAAGAACCCAAATCGTTTTCTTCTTTCAGGGAACGACTTCACCACTTGCAGGCGAGCATTCTCTGATGTTTGAAAACAATTGCAATGTTCAGGTTTTGTTCTTCTGGTATTGTCAAATCTAACAAGTAATATTTCACGCAACAGAGGACAGAAATGGATCGGGTCTGCTTTGGGCGATCTGGGATACATGGATGGGGTCTTTTCGCAAGAAGAAATATCCAAGAAGGAGAAATGGTTTGTAGGCTCACCCATGTGTAATATTGGGATTCGTCTAGTTGAGATGAGAGTGAGTGTTGACTGTTGAGAGATGCTATTATATTTCAGGTTCTTGAATACAGAGGGGAACAGGTGAGAGGAAGCATTGCAGACTTGAGAGAAGCACGGTATCGCAGAGTAGGGAAGGATTGCTATGTGAGTGGAAACAGTTTCGTTAATATCTCCACAAATGGTCTCTTTCTATCTATTCTAATCAAGGGAATTTTTTTTTTTTGCAGCTGTTCAAGATCAGTGAGGAAGTAGTGGTTGATGCTACAGATAAAGGGAATATAGCTCGGCTCATCAACCACTCGGTAAGCAGCATGGGATAGACTTTTGACGTTTTATATTAGATTTATAGACTGTTGAAGCCTAAAATCAAGATACGTGTGGTGCAGTGTACCCCAAATTGCTATGCAAGGATTATGAGCGTAGGAGATGAGGAAAGCAGGATTGTCCTCATCGCCAAGACCAATGTAGCTGTGGAAGAGGAGCTAACGTACACTAGTAGCATATTCTATACACTATTATTTCAATCTAAAGCTTATGATTGTCATAGTTTAAGAAATGGTGTGTTGTTTTGGGCAGGTATGATTACTTATTTGATCCAGACGAGCCAGAGGAATTCAAGGTGCCATGCTTATGTAAAGCCCCCAACTGCAGGAAATTCATGAATTAACTTCAAACGCTACAACACCGAGAAGAAGAAGAAGCCAAGAAGACTCTCTTTTCCCTCTATATATATATATATATATCTTCTTATAATTTTAAAAGAGGGATACAAATTAGAAAATGTCCCAAGTTAGTTATTACTAAAATTGCCACTGAATTAAGCTAAAAGATATCATCTAATGGAAAGTGAGAAGGTTAGTTTAGGATTTATCAAAAATTCATTTAAATCACCCGATCAAACTACAACTAACTAGATCCGTGCGTATACATTCGTATCTCTTAATTACTGGATCTATAGTTTATTCGGTTTGATTTGTAACATCGTTCGGTTTACATTTTTGTTTACAGAATTATTTTCAATTATCTTAATTGATGAGATGTTATCCTTTACATAATGTGGGTTTAAAATATCTTCAGTGAGAATACATATTACACAGTATGTATGGAAAGTATGCCATAATTACTTAAAAGGAATGATGTTTAATATTCCATTAATTAAGAAAACATGGTACATTAATTACAAATTATTTGCTCAAGATTTAAATCTGTTAATTTACTTGGTGAGAATACATATTACACGGTATATATGGATAGTTCTTGAATAAAGACGGAAATGAGCTGATCTTGTAGTATCTTGAATAAAGAATTTTTTGAGTGCACATACCTTATCGATTTTAATAACAAAATTAAAGCTAATAGTCATCAAATGTTTAGAATCAGTCATAAATGCATATCAATAGTAAAATGCAAGAGCAAAATTGAATGCGCCTCCTATAAATCGGAACCTTCTACTACTCCTTTTTAGATACATCTGAGTCCTAAAGCCCCAAAAGAAAAAAAAAGAAAAAAAAAAACACACGCACACACAGTCACACGTATACATTGATAAAGCAAAACGATGAATTGTCTCTGGTGCTTTTTGATTGTCATTGCATTGTGCCTTGGATCCAGCAACGCGATCTGGGATAAAAACACCGTGCATTTCAAGAATTCTCTTGCTCCAAAAAACACTCTCAAGATCAGTTGTGTGTCGGACGAAGACATCCTAGGCTTTCATTCCTTAAGCCCTGGGCAAACCTACGATATTAGTTTCCATGATAGTGTTTTGGGGACTCAAATCATTTGTGATTTATGGCAAGGTCCTAATTACAGATTTCATGCAAATTTTAAGGCATATCAAGGTAAACAAATCATAGTCCGTTATGGTCTTAATGTTTTCTGGGATGCTAGAGAAGATGGCATATACCATGCTGAGGGTAAAGAAACTCCCAAATTATTGTACAAGTGGATTGTAACAGTCTAGAATTATTTATTCCCTCAAATGAAGTTGGATTCATATCATTTTTTATTTTATTTTTATTTTTAATGTTCTTGTAAGGGTTTTACTTATTAAAGATAAATTTTACTATTGCAATCTCATTCATTGAGTATGCACACCCTCCATATATTTGTTGATTTTATCTTTTTATGTATATATAAAGGAATACAAATATGTAGTTTTTTGTCTAAAAAAGAATTTAGTTTTATTTAAAATAGAGAATGGTATTTTTCAAAAGAAAAAAGATGGCTGACTACACCAACTATAGAGGAATACATGATCACACATGCCAATTATCATATTGTATACTTAACTACACGAATTAGATGTATTGCATGGCCACATGCATCAACTATACAACGTCATGTAGTAAACACCATAGACATAAAATTCTGGTACACCGGTCAACTGACTCTGGCATTAACTCCGGCGTTGACCGTTTTTGACCCAAAAAAACACCATTTCTTTTTTGGGGTTTTGTTTTTTCTTTCTTGGTCGAAGACGACGCACCCATGAAATATTTCATGCAAATGTTATCCTTTAATTATGAGCCACCTATTCGGACTTCTTTATATGTTCTTTTTTCTCTTTTTTTTCTCAAAATGATGTTGTGATATAGTTTCAAAACTCTTCATCTAATGATTGTGACTAAATGAGTTTTTTTTCTTTCTTTTTTAGTGCCATTAGAAAAAGAAAATGGATGAAGATAAACACATTTAGTCGGTACACAAAAATGAAATGAAGTGTACATGGTGGAATGATCGACACGTGGATTTGCCACTCTTAAGGCCTCTTCACCAACCAAATTATGTATATTTTCCATTTGCAAAAGAATCACAAAACTTGTGGAGCCCTGCAAAATTCTAAATATTCTCATTCAATGGCCTTCCCTTCGCTAAGAAGACGACACGTATACGTACTTGCTGACGAAAACAAGACCCGGCTCTGTTCCTTTTCTACTATTGCCAACGTGCTAATTATTTATTGGTTGGAATATTTGATTGGTTAACCAGACCGAAGGCGACATCTCGGTTTGCTCGGTTTGTTTTTAGGCGTGTCGAACCTTCCAAAACGCCGCGTTGAGAGAGCTTTAGGGTTTCTTCTCCTGTGTGGCTACCCACTCAAGTCTCCAGTGTTGCTCCTTTGTGGCTCTGGTTTGCCCTATTCTCCCCCACCCCCTCCTCTTTTTTTCTTTTTTTCCCTCTTCTCCAAGGAATCTGGAAATAAAAATTAAACCCTTTCTTTTTCCTTAATCCTTGAAAAATTAGAAATTTTCCTGTTCCAAAAACCAATAGATTCAAATCGGAGTTTTTGATCTCTGCTTCTACTATATACCGAGAATTCGGGAATATACAGAAGAAGCTCAATGGTTGAGGCAGAGCGCTCGGAGAATATTTGGGTTGCTTCTGAAATGTCGTCTTCGTCGTCGTCTCCGGCGGCAATAGAAAGCCGTGATTTTTCGATCATTGATTCGCCTGTTGGAATAAGAGATGATGTGAAAGGATTTGGTATAGCTCCTCAGCCTCAGCTGGACAAGGTTTTGTCGAAGAACGATCTCGGATTCACGGAAAGGGTTTTCTCGGCCGCCGGAGCTGCGGTTTTGTCCGCCGTTACTTTAAATCCTCTCGACGTTGTCAAGGTAGGAGCTTTTTCAGCTGTTGGTGTTAATTCGTTAATTCGCCGGTGAAATTATATGTTTCTTATACCGGCGAGGGATTTAATGTTTTCACTGTGCTTTGTTTATCAGACTCGATTGCAAGCTCAAGCCGCCGGAATATCCTACTCTCACCCTCTAAGTAACTCCATTGGACGCATGGCATATTTTGGACCAAACATGGTATGCGTCTGAATGATTTCTGTTTGTGGGAGACTTGTTTTAAAGGTTGATACTTTTTACATTTTCACTGTCCAGTTGTGTAATCTTTTCATTTTTGGGTTCAGATGTTTGCAGACTTGAGATGTTCTCCTTCATGTGCACGCGCTGGTGTTCAAGGTACTGTTTCTATTTGCCCGCCGGATTGTTTCCAGTACAAAGGAACATTTGATGTCTTCACCAAGATCATACGACAGGTGAGCATGTGGAACACATTTTATTCATCTAGTTGAAAGTCTCATAGTGTTAAGAAGATGATACTATTAGCTATTTGAGGTTTTCTTTTTGGTATGTGGCATTTTTTTTTATCTAGAATCTTCCTAGTTCTCTATATCCTAACGCAAGGACTGATGCAGGAGGGCCTGGCACGCCTGTGGAGAGGGACTAACGCTGGTCTTGCTGTAGCTGTGCCCATGGTATGCTCTTTTGTTTATATTTGCGGGATTTGTTTGTTTGGATAGACTATGGATTAGTGAAATCTCAAATTTTTGCACAGGTTGGGATATATCTCCCATTCTATGATATGTTTCGCAACCGACTGGAGGAATTCTCTCGGGAGAAAGCTCCTTCTATGACATGGTGTATGCCTGTTGTGGCAGGGTCCTTAGCGCGGTCACTAGCTTGTACAGTATGCTATCCTATTGACCTTGCAAGAACGCGCATGCAGGTATTGGCTTGCACTTCATCTGTGTGTAGTCTTGTAACTCTAGCATGTGTTATACTTCTCAACGAGATCTTTCTTTTGTTGGATGTAGTCTTTCCTTCTGCATCTCGCTATAAGTATTCTATATACTGTTTTCTCTTTGTAGGCATTCAAAGAAGCAAAAAGCGGTATGAAGCCTCCGGGAGTTCTAAAAACTCTAGTTGGTGTAGTCTCTGAAGTCAGGGCAGCCAATAACTTTGAAAGTAGTTGTAAGTTACTTCTTCTTTCATCCTCAAGCCACAGAAATAACAATATTTGATATAGTGAAGTCATAATTTCCAATGCATGTATAATCAACTATAGTTTCCTGTCTCTTAGGCATACCGCTTAATTAGCAATCACAACCCAAGATGCATGCGTGTATTGACCCCAAGAACCATGGCTTTGTTTTGTTTAGTCTTTGATATACATTTTCCCCATGACAGTGCACAACTATCGTGTTCTCTATAGAGGCTTGGGTGCACAGCTTGCCCGTGATGTTCCATTCTCAGCAATCTTGTGGGGGACCCTCGAGGCAGTAAGATCTTTGACATGATTTAAACATTCTACAATGTAGAGAGATGTTTGTAAGGCAGTTTAAGCCGAATATATAACCCAAGTAAGTAAATAGGTTTGACCTTCCCCTTTGGTACAGATGAGAAGAAGGCTTCATGGAGTTGTGGGCGATGATCCAAATCTTCTTGGTGTTTTCGGTGCAAACTTTTCTACTGGTTTCGTTGCTGGAAGTATCGCTGCTGCTGCTACTTGTCCTCTTGACGTTGCGAGAACAAGAAGACAGATAGAGGTTTGTTTGCTGTGCATTCATATTCTCCAGAAACTTGTCTGTTTACTTTAAGACCAATTCTTAAGTTTCTCCCTTCCATTAATTCAGAAGGATCCTGGGAGGGCATTGATAATGACAACGCGACAGACACTAATAGAGGTTTGGAGGTATGTGTCTATGCATATTTGAAAGATTCCATTTTTCTTTAATCTGTTAAAAGCTGTGTGTTCTGTATTGAAAGAAGACATAACAACAATTACATACACACAGGGATGGAGGGATGAGAGGACTCTTCACGGGAATGGGTCCACGAGTGGCACGTGCAGGACCATCGGTAGGGATAGTGGTATCCTTCTACGAAGTGGTGAAGTACGTTCTGCATCACCATGCTTCATCATGACCCAACAAAGTCACTAATCACCTACACATGAATGTGGATATACGGCTTTAGGTTGTAGCTGTTTTGTTTTAATAACTTAACCGAATAAGTTAAACAGGCTCAGTTCTCGAGAAACCTGTGTTTCATCCTTTTATGAGCCGAAATTTTGTCCAGTTATTAAATTACCGGCTGTCTAATCTGGTTTTTTGTCGGTTCGATCTTTGCATGCATCAACGAAAGTTATGTCAGAACAACTTTACTCAACAAAGGCTTCTTTTGCAATAGTATCAATTAGATGATAAGAGTTTATTATGATAGCTGGTAGTCAATACTTGTGAGATGCGACGAACACTGAGAGGCCCATGAGTCGATCCGTTCGTGTTAGCTCCAGCATTTTGGAATATACCTCCGTAATGAAACCACCTGTCATAATGAACTACAATCAAACTAGGGATAGGGTGATCAAACCTACTCTTGGCTTGAGGCATTCTCCAACAAGCTCATAAAAATTGCAATGTTTGTCCAAAATTTTATTATTGATGGTTCTAACATGATTTGGTTTAAACACATTATCTAGAGAAATCATGTAAATTTTAGTTGCATTATTTTGATATTTGGTATTTTATTAAATTAAAAATTTTCATATGGGAAGCAAAAAAAAAGAATCCAATTTATGGACAGGAAAAAAAAAACATTTGGAAGAACAGAGAAAAAGGACAGAAGATCTTGGCTTCTAAATATTGTGACCACTTTATGTCGTTAACATAACTTCTTCTGGGTGCTCAACTGCCCCCAACACAAACCTGGCGCCACAAAGACCTTCCTCTCTTTCCCTTAATTTGTTCTATTTTTCCTCTAAATTCTTCACTAATTCACTGAATCAAAAGATTTCACTAATCGTTCAACAGAAACAAGACAAGAACATGTACATAATAAAAAAAAAAAAAAGTGATTATGAAATATTGCCTTCCCCACTCGTTAGGTCGTCGTCTTACCACGAGAGCCTTCTCAAATATATAAAAAAAATACGACGCTACTATTACACGATTAAATCATCATCACTAGACGTGTAAAACGTCATTCATATTGTCCAGATTTAGTGATGAATATAAGTCTTGGTTTGTCGAAAAATAATGTCTGATTTTTCCACGTAAAAATGCTTTGACGGTGTCATCAACTTTTTCTCCGACACTGACCCTATTTTGTATCCTCTAATAGATTTCTTCTACTTTTCTTTTATATAACTAGTCCTTCTGAACCCGACAAACCTTTATGAAACAATATACATAGGTGACTTTTATTGTCAACATTAAAATAGGAGAGACTTCTAATATACTTTCTTTGATGCATAATATAAACTAGAACATGATTACATTACATGTATATGTGACCCCCGAAAATAGTTGAGGCTAAAAAAAGAAAACACTAGTAGGAAAAGAAATAGTTAACGCATCTCAAATCAGTAACAACATGTTGACTTGAGTTAATCATGATGTTCTGAATTTTGAACTTTCGGTAGCGACATAAAATGCTGCAAACCACTTAGGGACTCGATAAAGATTTGCATCCGTTACGCGCAACCACAGTGAACGCATTTCTGGATTTTGATTTGATTCACCCTTCATATAAATTGACATCTGACGACAATTACTTTGTAATAGAGAAAAGTGTGTAACCTTTAAAATTTGAACAAAACAAACCATTAAGCTTTAGTATGTCAAACCTTTTCTATGTGGCCACTTTGTAAATGAAGATTGTGTTTTTTATTTATTATTATTAGAAGAGAAACACCTGGCCTATGTAACTAACTGTTCTAGTTTAAAACACAAAAAAGTGACTAATTAGTTTATTTGGCACACACACGAAAAAATGGTGGCCACCAAATGTATATCGTATGAGATCAAACATAGTAATGATATATGGTACAAGTCAACATGTGGAGAGGTGCTAGGAGATTAATAATTTCTAAACACACTAGTGCAACAATTCGTACTCATTATATTCAATTCCCTTACCTAGTAAGTTGTAAAATTTATAATTATCTCTTATGGTTTTGGGACATAATTATTTGCACCTTTTGCTTCTCCCTTGTGATGTTCGGCATTTGTTATGATTTGGTTGCCAAGGCATATATATTCTCGGATTTATAGGATCTGAATCAAAACTTTTCAAAGGTTTAAAACAAAATTTTAATCATTGAATGAAACCGAAATATGTAAGATCCGGGGCAAATATTTCGTACCTATAAATGGAATTATAAGCCATTCTCGTCGGGTAATATTGAGAATGTACCGTTAGTTTCACATAAGGAAATTTTACCCTTTTTGGTCCATAGAAAAAAAAATATATATATATATATATAACCAGAAAGTGATGAAATTATTCAAAATCTAATTGATTGAGAATCAGTCAACGATGATTTTAAGAAAGAACAAAAAATCATAATATTTAGTAAAACAAGTATATTTTAGTCAAAGTTTTATTCTTAGGAAATTCATATCAGAAAAGGATAGTTTCCAATTTCTTGATTTATTTCTCAAATAGTATAAGTTACCGCCAGCGTCAGAAGACACACAAAGACAAACACTTTTTTTTTTTTAATAAGTAGTAATATAGGAAAGGCAAAAAGAGCACCGACTGACTTAGACACTGACCCAAAAGCCACTTGCTCCACCGGTCACTACCGTGATTTGCGCCTCCTCGTGTGGTCTCCTCCCAAAGAGAATTTTAGTTTCGCTTTTTATTTTATAATCCTACTCTCTCATTTTACACACACAAGAAAAAAACAGTATAACACCATAAACACGTTCGTGCAACCCAAAGATATTGACAAGAACAACCAAATTTAAATTTAATTAATTACTTATTCATCCCCAATATTTTCTCAAAACTGTTCTACAAGCCGACGACGAAATTAAATTACTTCTCAACAAAATAACTAAACACAAAGGAAAAAAACAAAATCTTATCAAAACTCCAGACAAAATTTGACTCACACGAGCGATATTTGCAACCGAACCGGTGGGTTTTTGGTTATGGGGAAAAGAATATCACACAAGTAAAAGATCGGATAACAAAGAATCGTCAAGATCGTTGAACATTGAACCAATCTCTTTGATATCGGACGAGTAGCTTTCTCCTGAGGTGTTGCTATCGAACAGCACAAGATCGTTGAAGAAATCGTTCTCTGAGGATTGGATAGGAGACATAGGTTGATCGAAGATGGAGATGTCTGGTAGTGACTCATTGAAGTAGCTGTCGAGAAATGGGATGTCCAATGGAAACGAATCATCAGTGTTGTTATTAGTAGTAGTACCTTCTCCAAGATGCCAGCTTATTGGTTCTTGTTCTGGTTCAAGAAACTCTTGCTTAACCGGTTTGACACGATCATTGATTGTCTCCTCGGAGACATATGTTTGGTAGTTGAGAACCGATGTCGGAGACGATATATGTTGAGTGTCGTCCATTGATTCTGATGTCGAAACCGATATGTTGCTCTCCGGTTCAGGTTCCGGTTGTGGTTCTGGTGGTACGGCGAAGTTGGTTAGAGCAGCGGGGCCACGAAGTTTGATAGCAGCGTTGTCGTAGACGATGGCAGCTTCCTCGGCCGTAGCAAAAGTACCGAGCCAGATTCTCCGGCGTTGTTCCGGGTCACGAATCTCCGCCGCCCATTTTCCCCAAGGTCGCTGTCTTACGCCGCGGTACTTCTTCTGGGTTTGAACCGGAGGAGGATCAGCGGTGACCCTTTCGCGGTCCTTGGTGGGAGAAGAAGCGGAGACGTCGGAGGAGGCAGGCTCGACTATGATCTCGTTGATGAGTCTCTTGACACGTCTCCTAGGGAAGAGAAAGTCCTCGTCGTCGCTGGAGGAATCAGTGGCGTCACGGTCAATAAGACAGACCCGAACCAACCTGGCCGAGTCACGACGACCACCACTCGCCGCCGTCTTGTCAGCACAAGACTTTTTAGTGTACTTTCTGATAACAGTCTTGTGCTCTGTGTACTTCACTGGTCTAAAATCCATATATTCATCCATCATCACTCCTTTCTTCACCTTATTGTTTTTTTTATAAATATATTCACCAAGTTTAAGTTTGGAGAGAAAAATAAAAGAAACAGAGATTCTGGTGAAAAATCTTGAGAGAGATTTGTAGAAGAAAGTAAAGAGAGAGAGAGAGAATGTGAGAGAGGTAAGTTTAAAGTGAAGATTCACAAGTCACTGTTAAATCCTACTTTATAGGATCTTTGGAGGGGGCTTTAGCCATAATTGGTATATATATTAATCACAAAAAGAAACAAATATTTTGAATATTATTAGCCTTTTTATTTACTTATTTCTTTTCTTGAATATCTTTTTCTTAAATTTGAACACACACACACAAAAGAATATCTTTCTTAATTAATTAAAAGAGGAGCTGTATGTTTTAATTGTGAATATTCAAAAAAAATTACTTTTTTTTAATCAAAAATACTTTTAGAAAAATAAATATATTCACATTGTAAACAAAAACAACTTTCACATTTTATCAAAACGACACCAGAAATGTTATAACGTCTGTTTTTTTTTTTTGAAACGGGCATGTTTTCGGTAGACATAATTATTGGGTAACTATAATAACGAAATATTATTTATATTTAATATTATTAGCTGGTATATATATATATATTTCAATTTATTTTTTCTCTTGGTTTGGGCTTTAAACATTCTCAAAATCATCTCTTCCAAGTGAATTATTAGCCACATATTTGATACACTAAGATTTTATCATACGGGACGCCGCATTCATGTAAACAAATCAAATACCGACACGTGTACAAACTGAGATATTTTTCCCTTCTTTTTAAAGATGACTAAAATTTAAGTGCTGAGTCAGCGCGTGGCTTCTAGTCTCTCGAACTACGCGATGCATATCACGTGACCCCAAGATACTCGGTCCCGGTCTCTCCTTTTTTTTTTTTTTTCTTTTTTTACTGTTTCCATATTTTTTTGTTTCAAAAATATCTTTACTACTACTACTAATTTAAAATTTAAAATACTAGTTTCTTTTTTTGAATACCATAAGTTTCCTTATAAATATATATTAATTCTAATTCTATATGATAATTATAATGACTTTTACTTAGGTTTGACCGACATATGAATTGTAGGCGAGACTTCATTGAGCTGTTTTAGTCCATTGCATTCATTTCTTATGAACAACCTGTCACGTGATATGTTTTCCTAAAGTGCTTATTCAACACTTTAAACAAAATACGAATATATACACTACTGTTTTTAAGCTAAACGCTATATATTTTTATTTTCCAAATGAGTATAGTACTTCTAGTACTACATGTTCAATTCCGACATCTGCAAAAGAAAAAAATGGGAATCATTTTTATTTTCCGGTTGACAAATATATATATATATATATATATATCTCTCTTTCTTTTCTAATATATGATTTTTAATTTTATTTTAACTTTCCCTCTTGTTAAAAACTAGTCTTTTAAAGGAAAAATACTGTTACCAGATTATTCAGTAAAAAAAATCTTTTTATTTATATGAATGAGATTAATAAGTAACGTGGCGGGCAACCTTGGATTTGGCGCTAATTTTTATATTTTCCGGTTTTAATGTTTTTTTCATATTTTTTTTTAAGTTTTGTAATGTTGTGTGACTTGTGTGTGTCGATGGATGTCATATTCTCAAACCGAGTTCTCATTTCTTTTTAGGGTTGGCAAAAGCTCAATATGAAACCAATTAACAAAGAAGTAGAGAATTCGTTTGTTAGGTTAGGTTAGTCCGACGAGCAGCACAGTAATGCTGACTAGTACAAACAATTTAAAACATGATTGAAGTGACGTTAAAATTCTTTGATCAGATTTGGCCACAGACCTTAATAATAATAAATAGTAGAACTTATATTTATAGATTCAACGTCTCAAATCAAATAAGACCCTATTCGTTACCCCATTTTGTATCTCCATTCAGATGATCCATTCAGATGAACTCATCTGGATGTTAAATGAGTAAACGAATAAGAAATAAAAAGATTCATCTAGATGATCCATTTGAATGACTATGTGTTTGTTTCTCCATTTTGCATCTTCATCTAGGTGGGTTTGATTTTAAAAATGACCAAAATACCCATATTTTGATCTAATTTTTCACATTAATATTAATTACACTATAGTAATTTTAATTAATGATAAAAAAATAAACACAAAAAATTATAAATTAATATTTATAATATTTTTGACATTCACAATTTTTATTTCATGAAATATAATTTATAAGATTTAGAAAATGTTATTTTATATTTTTGGCGGTAAAACGTTATTTTGCGTTTTTGGCGGAAAAATAATGTTTATAATTTTTGGCGGAAAAACATAATTTTGCGTTTTTGGCGGGAAAATATGATTTTTTTCCTTTTTGGCGGGAAAACATGATTTTCATTTTAGCGGAAAACATGATTTATTTTTTTTTGGCGGAAAAACGTAATTTTTTTTTGGCGGGAAAACGTGATTTTTTTTTGCGGGAAAACGTGATTTTTCGTTTTTGATGGATTTTTTTTTTTAAACAAATAAATATGAGATATTTGCAAAAATACTTTTTATAATTTTTGTGGAAAATAGGTTATTTGGATAATAAGAGTATATTTGTCATTTGTCATTTTTGGATGAACCATTTTCATCCGGATGATCCAATCAAAGTCATCCACATAATTTTCAAAATTTTGCATAAGATTTTAAAATTCATCCAAATGGATCATCCAGATGATCTGGATGATGTTTATTTTTAGTGTTAAACGAACATCATCTGGATGATTCATGTAAATGGTCCATCTGGATGGAGAAACGAACATGGCCCAACATAAACACTGGATTTTTGATTTTTTTTTAAAAAAACAGGATTTCAGTACTATTTGACACTTTTATGACCAACGTTATTGGCGGGATCTTAAGAAGCTAAGATCCCGCCAATAATGGTACCCATTATTGGTGGTATCTTAAAAAAGTAAGATACCCCAATTTTGCAAAGAAAAAATACCACTATAATGTTGGTCTAAGACATTGTAGTTAATCCCTTTTTTCCATAATTATTTGTACCAATACAATAGCTAAATGAAAACTATATATTTAGTAAAATAATAGTTCAAACAATATATGGCCCTCTTATAATTTGTCATAATTGGTTTTGCAGAGCTTTATAAAAATTTCATCAAAACATCTTGATCATAACTTCCACAAATAACGTTGTAGAGCGAAGAGACCACACAAAACAAAAAAAAAGGTGTGTGAGAGAAGGCGAGAGAGAGAGACATGGAGAATCCTTTGGATTGGCAAAAGACAAACCCCGAGGTTTGGTGCAGTGTTCTTGGCCACTGTCCTCCATTGAGCCAAGTGACCAATCCACGTCTATATATTATATGCATCCGTCCATATCTTTACTACTACTATTAACCCATATTATATAATACGTAACATGTGTATTACTTTAAAACGACATTTAAGTGGGTACATTGAAATTTAGACAAACTGAATCTCTGATTGGACTAGGCTAGTAGGCTTGACCACGTTTTTTTTTTTTTTTCGATATTAATCATAAAAATCAGTAATACCATATGAATGATTATACAACTTCTATTTTGGGAGCGATAACAACTTCTAAAACCAATGGACCAATATATGTATATCTCCAATCCAATAATTATAAGCTTTTGCTATTAAACAAAAAAGAGAGCTTCGGTTCACCACTAACCGGTAACACGTGATTGCGTTAAAGATGTTGTTGAAAGCTAATTAGATGTGTGCATAACGTGTCTATCTACGGTTATGAACGAAGAATCCAAATAGAAATAAACGAGAGACTTGGTGGTAAAGAAAATAAATTTTAAGGATAAAGATCCATTCTAAAAAGAAGAGCCACCACCCCTCTAAATATCAAAACGTTGAAAGCTTTATCACCGTTCGTTATATATACTATAGTTTTGATCTAGTACGTTGGTCTTGGTGCGTAGCTTTAAACTAGTAGTAATTAAGATGAAGGAGCTCGAACTTTGATGGACACAAATAAAGACTAGAGAAGGTCACCGCTTGAGTGATTATTTTCTCAGCCAAATTTACGATAATGTAAAAAAAGGAATCAACATTAACTAACGTGGGAGTTTTGAGTTTTCCCAAGCTAATGTATAATGTCTTGGAGCAAAAGCTATATATGTTCGCTCGCGACTCGTGAGTACTACTCAAGTCATTATCAGTAGACAGCCTTAGTTTCCAAGCAAGAAATGTTGGTCTTTTGAGTATAACTATAAATAGCTTTCCTATTTACTAGATACCTGTTCCACAACACACACGAACTCAAAACTCCTCCTATGTTATATTTAATACATTATTATGTATATGTAAATTATATCAAAAGTACTATATACACACATAATTTTAGGAAAAACCTTTGAAATCTAAAAATATTTTGAAGCAAAGAGCGTCCAAACTTATCTATCATTTGAGCTAACTTCTAACCTCACTAGCATTGTTGTTGGGAAAAACAATTGGAATCGAACAAAAGTAAACAGTACTTAAAGCATTATGTTAAGGATTTGGTTCTAGACAAAATGTCTGGTTTAGAGAGTTTCAAATTCACCGAAACCTTTTTACCGCGCGACTCGTGACTCCTTCTCTCCATTACTCTTGAGTCCGGCTGGGTGTGGCCATTTTGATTTAAATATTTGCTTCAAGACAATTGTTTTGGTTTAATTTATCCTTCATTACAATTTCAGTTGTCTCTTACCAAAGATGTAACTTTAAGATATTAACGTCTTATTATTAATTAGTGATAACTAAAGCACCCAAAATTTTTAACAAAGCTAAATACTACTAGTCTTTAGAACGAAACGTTCCATGCTCAACGTGGTTGTGAGTTATTTTATTAATACATTACTTGGTTTCTAACTTTCTTTATAGTAATAGTTTTCGTGTTTTTGATACATGAAGTATTACCGTTGGTGGGTTGATATAAATATAATTAATCACTTTAAGTGGATTCTATAGTTTTTATTTCTTCTTAATTCTTAATTATATTGATGGTAGATATTCCGTTGGATTATGTAAAAGCCTCGAAATTACTATAGAAAACAATTTCAATTTCAATGGTAATAACTAATAAGACTAAACAAGGCTAGTTAATTCTAAGGGATTCATTATATACACTTTGTCAACTTCGTCTCTTTTGGCGTTGTATTATTTCTAGTTACTACAATGTGTGTATCAGTGTATGTATATATATACCTCATGAAGTCATGAACAAATGCAATGGTATAAAATATTCTTTTTTTTTTTTTTTTTTGGTCATCAGGTATAAAATATTCTTAGAAACGTTACGTTTTACAAAAATATGCGCACGACGTAGTGTCGATCAAAAGAATATTATTAACTATATAGTGAAGTCATACAGTCACAGATTTACACATTAGAACTATTATGAAGTAAAAGACAAAACTTTAACACAAGAGAAAATGTAAAAGACAAAATTAATGAATGCAACTGCAAATGAACCCACACACAAAGACCTTATGTGATGCTGATTTTACATGTGCATCTAGTGGTTCTTTAAATGCCTTATTAGGACTTAGGAGGAAAAATACCATTCGTTTCAAATATATTTTTAACTTAAAAAGGTTTTATCAGTAGTAGTAGTGCTCGAGTAGTGAAAACACACATTTAAAAACATATTCGAATTGGACTTGGAAGCCTCGGTAAACCCAACACATATCAAAATATACAATAGAAGTTTTGGGAGTTTCAAGAAAGATAATGAAACTTTGATTTATAACTCTCAAAACAATACTATAAGGCTAATAGTATAAGCAAGAGAGGACAACTCTGAATTGATTATAGGGACAAGTGGGAGACTAGTACTTTCATTAAACATAATATATATTCATGAAACTTCTTGATGAATCGTTAACAAACCAACGTGAAAATCTAACCTTTAATCTCAACACGTATTAAACCCTAACTGTTGTCTTAAATCTCGTCGAAACTCGTAAGCTGTAAACTCTTATTAACTACACGTAAAGTGGGATCTCTAACTCATGGCCTAAATCTTCTATTTAAAATATTCTTCATCACTGAAACATAACCCTGATTGAGCTAGTACCTTCAAACATAAACATTTGTCAAAAGAGAGCAATATGAGACGCAATGTCATCGACTCATTGTTCATTCTTTATGCCAAAATGTTTCAAGTAGCACTCAATGGCTTAAACCCGTTTGAGCCTATTAGAAAAAGGTGGGTTCTTCCTATCGAATATTTTGAGTATTCTGTCCCATCCCCAACCATTCTCGTATCTTGTTTGAAACTTTAACATCATGGGCAAACCATACACAAAGGCCCATATGAACCATTTAACAAATTAAGGATTCTTATTTTGCCTAAATGGTTCACGTGATAAAAATGAAAGTAGTACTTAAATGTGACTTATGTTTACGGAAATGACTACGAGAGCCCAATTAAGTAGAGGAAAACAGAGACGCATCACACGATAAACAAACAACAGCAAATGGGATGATTTAAGTTATGTAAGTTCCATGGGAATGGAATGAAATGGAGATCATATGATTTCTTAATGATCATGTCTTCACAATTTTTATAAAACAGACAAGTCTATATAGATCATTACATAGAAATAAGAAGAGTTTAATTATTAGGGCCCTTCTTTAAAGACGGTATCTGTGTCAGCCCATGGCGTACTTTTGGGTCCAGGTCCGAGCAGTTGACTCGTACTTGTTCTTGTCTGTCTTGTACATGTGAGCTATCTCAGGGACCAAAGGATCGTCAGGGTTCGGATCCGTTAACAGAGAACAGATCGAGAGTAGCACCTGTTGCATCACACATATCAAATACTCGTTACTACTAAGAGTGCTCATATGAACATCAGTATAACCAAGAGAGCAAAGGCGTGGAACAAAAGGAAACCTTGGAAATCGTGAGGGCAGGACTCCACTGTTCCTTCAAGATGTCGAGACAGATGCTCCCATTGCTGTTAATGTTTGGATGGAACACCTTCGTCCTAAAAGCCACCTACATTTTAACAAACCATACATAGAGCAACGAAATGAAGCCACCGCAGAGAAGAAGAGCAACCATAGGAACAGCTTAGACAGAGTTGAGTATACCTTGGGAGGCTTAAATGGGTAATCCGGAGGGAAATGAATCGTTACGAGAAAAACTCCACCAGAGTAAGGGCTGTCCGATGGACCCATAATCGTGGCCTGCCAATGAAACATGTCTTCCGCAACGGGTCCTGTCCAATATTTGAGAAAAAGTTCAATAACAAACAGGAAAGATCAACCCAAAAATGAAACCAGATCTCTATCAATCAACCAATCAAATCAGTTTGAACCTGTAGACCAATTGTGATTCATTCATAGGAAAAAAAATATCATAAACAACTGATAAATATGCAGCTGAATTACCCAAACAAATCATGGGTAATTAGATCTAAGCTAAGGAGAGATCAATACAAAACCGTTTAACACACACACGAAACAGCTCAAAAGAAGATCAAAACTTAGGATCCATCATCATCATCATCATCATCAGCAAGAGCACGAATATTGGAATAAACTCAGCAAATAATATAATAAAATAAAAAGGGGAACCTGCGCTACATGAAGTAGGAGGATCCTTCTGCAGATCCTTCAATTCCTTCAAAATCCGTTTCGATGCCATATCCAAAAATTCCAAATTGAAGGGTCTCTACTACAATCCCATAAACGAATCCAAGGGTCAGATAAAAGAAGGAAAACACCAGAAATATATATTAACATAAGGAGGAGGAAGAAGATCCAAAATAAAAACCTGGGCGGATTCACAAGTTGTGTCGTCTCGGGCGTTGGTTGGTTCTACGAATTTGGGAGAAGAAGAAAGGGTGGTGAAACGGAAGGAGAAGAAGAAAGATGTAATGTTATGTGGTCGCGACCACCTTAAATAGGGTGCGGAGAGATTCTGGTTCGTTGATTAGTGGACTCTTCTCTTTATTCTTTCAGATTCGATTACTTTTTTTTAATATTAGTATTTGTTTTAACTTTAACTTTCCTTTTTTTTTGGGTGGGCCAAACTTAGCGTTGTACCTACGGCATCAAAAATAATAAAACGCGGTTGTTCTTATGATCGTATCCATGTGGCGCCGGTGGTTTCTCATCCCCGTTGAACCGACATCGTTTTGAACTTTCAGAATGTTTAGTCAAACAAAAGTCGTATAATCCGACGGCTCAGAGTTTACGTATCATTTGACGCCATTTTAGTGCTTTCAAGATTTACCAATGGGTTTAGATTTAAATTAAGTTAATAATGACCTTTAACACATTATTCTCCACTCAATATGATCTTCACCTCGTAAGGACTGATATTTGTGAAGGTTGGTGGTTGGTGTGACTTAAGACTTAATGAACTTGTTTCACATGAGTTTTAACGTGCACTAAATCACATGAGACATGTTTACTTCAGGGAATTTGGTTTTGTAAGATGCTCAATATGTGGGAAAGTATTTTTGACTATAACATATCCTTTTGATTCGATTTTTTTTAATGATCGAATAACACGAGATTATAGTTCGATTTCGAAATTAAAAGCAAATCATATCGTCAATTTCTATCCCCAAAATGATTTTTCTTAATTAACGTATTTAATTCCTAAACTTTATTACTGTTTGCACCTAATGCTAGCTTCACTCTGGTTAGTCCAAGAAATAGTTAAACGTAACAGGGGATTGTATTCAAGAATAATATCTTTAATTTAAATTGCGCACCCTGGGAGGACAAACTACATTTTTCAGAGGTGGAGATTCTAAATCTATTTCATTGTCTTCCGGGTCCAAAACCTTGAGGCATCTCTCACTATGTCCCAAGCTTCCTTTTGTGAGCTGTTTGAACCATCTCTTCTGCTTCGGTTGCTCTGCGCTTATTGCTATGACAACGTCATTAGGGAAGAGATCACCTTGGACAAATGCGTGCATCACCGTCAATCCTAGCACACCTATCACCGTTAGAGTTGCTGCTCCCGACATCACTACCGACAGTATCTTCGTTGCTACTCCCGTGACTTCGTCTGAATATTTTATTGTCGCGCTGGCCACTGCTGTCATTGGAAACGTGTATGCCCACCAAGCTAGCGAGAATCTGAAGTTTTACAACAATCCATGTTATTATGTTGGGTAATTTTGATAGATACTTGAAGCTAAAGAAATAGCTTACCTGAATCCGCGGAAAAGGTTAATCCGACAAACCTGAAACAAGAATCACAACAAGCAAAATGGTTAAGATTTCTTGTGGGGCAAGTAACTTAGCTCTAGCTCACTAGGAACTACGTTACTGGAAAAAAAAAAACAAATTACCAGAGAAAAGTACAAGAACAAGGAGATGAAGTAAGCGAGACGCGAGCCGAGATCGAAAGAGGCAGAGATCTTGGTCCAGGCCATGGAAGCGACGGCTGGTGCAGCCACAAAAAGGAAAAAAACAGGGTGAAGCTCTTTAGGTAAGGTTTCGTTTGTGGGAAGTCTCTGATAGAGAGTCACAAATAAGACCAAATAATAAGCCAACCCCACGGCAAAGAAGAACATTGGTCCTTCTTTCAACCCCATTGTTGCTCCTAAAAGTGCTCCGGCGAAGTTACCAACGATGGAAAGGTGGTTTGTAGGATTAGCAACTTTGGAGAGGCGTCGTTGCCCACCAGACATCCACTGTCCATAAATCTTCATCTCAAGAAACAAGATGGGAGCCATAAGGAAGTACCAAAGTGTAGAGGGAAGATGTGAGATGATGGAGTGTGGGATTCCAAGTGCCAAGAAGAGGACTGATATGAGGGGAGCGAAGAAGAAGTTGACTCGGATCGGATGCCGGAACTCACGGCGGACCGCCTCGAAGTAGAGGATGGTTTTGAGGAGATAAGTGATGGAGACGGCGAGGAGGAGGACGAGAGAGATCCACCAGAGCACGTGGTTGATCACTTGCGTCACGTGCAAGAACCTCTCAGCGTTTGTGGTTGCTAAGGTCTTCCACATGATGGCTTGACTGCTTACTCCAAGACACATCCCGTACGATGTGATCGGAAACCGTAGAAGAAACGGCCACGTTTTGTCGTCAGGCAGAACTATCTCCTCCTTCTCCTGTAAAACCACCAATTAAACCACCAAACACAAGAATGAATCATGCATAAGCATAAGCATAAAAAAATGAATAATACAGTACCTTAAGAGTTTCAAGTTCGGGGCCTTGAAGAGCATCAAAGAATCTATCAGCGGTTAAAGATTCAGTGATCTCTTTATCCTGCAACGAGCTCTCGATGGGTTTCCCACGTAAATTAGAAATCTGACGTTCTAGCTTCCCTGACATGGTCCTGAACAGGTCATACCTCTTGTCGTGGAAGTTTCTAGAAGTTTCTTGATCAAGAAACATGGCACCTCGGGGCATAGACTTGGAATGAAAGATCATCTTCCTCGCTCCGTTTCGTGTCTCTAATCTTGAGAACTCTTTGCAACTAGACTGACGTTGATTTTGAAATAGATCTGTGTTTGCTGAAGAACCCAAAGGACTGGCCGATCTTGGATTATTCATCGTTTCCCCTGTTATTTTTTGATCAAACGTTTCCCCTGTTTTAGTACATAAATTTTGGAATTATATTTATATAAACCAACTCAAAACGTCACATCCAACTTTGCAAATGGATTAGTTGGACATAAACATATAAAAACACAAACCATGTAAGCCACACACCACACATGAAATGAATATAAATACTTACAGAATACAATGAAGAGAAGAAAGCGATTGAAACAGAAAATGTAGATCTGATGATCAGTGTATTTTTGGAAAGAACAGAGGAATAATTAAGTCGGTGTGGCCGTATGTGAAGTCAAATAAGTCCCCTAAAAGGGGTACTTTTGTAAATGTGTGGGACAGAAGGAAAGGGCCTTTTGTGTTTTGCTTTTTAGTGCTTTCCAGATAAAGCTTCTTCCGATGTCTTACACTATTTTGTTTTTTTATATGTAGAGTTGTTCTATTTTGACTTGTCCTGCTACTCCTACGTACATTTCCTACCGTCGTTGTTTTATTTGGTCAGTCACAGGCTCACAGCTCAACCAATATGATCAAAGTGATGTTTTCCGGCCTCAAATTAGTGCAACGCTATCTCTAAGTTATTAGTACCACGTATTGCTTGCCGGCCTGAAATGAATCCAACAAATAAGGTTAGCCAAACAAAAAGAAGAAGAGGTGATATATATTAGAGATAACGACCACAAATAGATATGTACATAAGAGATATTAACGTTTCTTGGAATGTATCTACAAGTGGACACGAGAGTCAAGGCAGTCAACAAAAGAGGCGGCTTTGCACTCTCGTATAGTCGCGTATGCGCTTCATAAAAACAGTTCCGTACACCCGTCAAAAATATTCTAATCTGTTTTGATAATCTGCTGCTGTAGTAAAAATCGAAATTGGTCTGTGTTTCTCAGCATATTACTTATCGATTACGTTAAAGTAAAACTTTGTGGACTATATGTTTATTCGCCGTTTACTTAACGTCTTTACTACACAGCTAAGCCATACTATTACTAATGTCTTAAGGGATGAACATCTTGAATTGCTCCCATCCAAAACCAAACTTGGAAATGAAGAAAACTGAAATGTCCACCCACATAGTATGTTTATATGTTGTGTTAAAGGTTTGAGAAATATCTTGAACAATGACATAATCACACTGTTTCAAATTCTTATTCCTAAAATGTTGCTATCATAAAATGATAGAATTCTGGTGATAACTGCTAAGTTCAGTCTGTTCAGAGACACTGCATACAACTGGTTAAGTAATGTTGGGCTTGCTGGTTCCAGATCTTCATAACTTTTAATGGGCTAAATTATCATATGAAGCCCGTTCAGCAGATCCTTTCACCAATCTCATAAATTCTTATCTAACGGCTACAAAACCACAGAGCCTGTGGGTCATGAAAATATGACGTGTGACGTAGGTTAATCCAAAGGATCAAAATGATCCCATCTAACGATCACAAATGAAAGTTGTATCTGTCAGGCAAATAAGACAAAAAAGCAGCACAAGTTCTCTCTTTCTCCCTCCATTTTCAGTAAGTACGTAGCCTTTCTTCTTTTACCAAAATTTCTCAATCTACAGAAACAAAGTTCACATATTTTCTTCTTTTTCTTCTTGGATAAGCTCAAAGGCTTGGATCGCGCAGTTAAAAAAATGGGGAAACCGAGAGTTTTTCTATTTCAAGGACCCGGAGGAGACACGCCGGAGCAGAAACCACCGCCGGCGTCAACTGAAGATCAAAATCGAGAGAGGTTTAGTCATCTTCCTCTTTCTTTTTTTATTCTTTCTATACATTCTCATTTTATCTAAAGGCGATTTTTTCCTGTATTTTCATGAAAAGTCCCCTCTTTTATGATCGATCCTTTGTTTTTTGCTCCTTAAATGTAGGGTTTATGGCTCAGATAATATGGTGATGGGAAGGGATTCAGTAGAATCAGACGTTACCGAGAAATACAGTGAGGGTTTTTTCGAAATTTTAGACCAGATTCAGGAAAAAGCTTCATCCATTTATAAATTTTCGCTTCAGTGTGATGACGTGAGTGATTCGTTGGAGAATGAGGAAGATGAGCGACTGAGAGTGGTTGAAGTGAGGGAGAAGGAACTTGGTTTGCTTGAAGAGTCGATATCTCGTAGATTTAGTGTTTTAGAGGAGAAAGAGATATTATCTGATTTGAGACAGGTCATTGAGAACTTGGTGCTTGAGAAGCAGAGTGAAGCAAGAGATAAGGAGCTAAGCTTAATTGAGGAAGCTATCAATGAGAAGACTGCTGATTTGAAGAGAAAAGAGGAGACTTTTGAGCTCAAAATGAAAGAAGAAGCTGACAAATGGAGAGAGGAGACTGAAATGAGGAGAAAAGGTGTTGAGATTAAGGAGAAGGAGCTTAACTTGAGGAAGCTATCAAAAAGAAAACTGCTGAGTTGAATATTAAAGAGGATACTTTTAAGCTGAAAATGCTAGGCAAGTCTGAAAAATGGAGAGAGGAGACTGAATTGAAGAGCAAAATTCTTGAGATTAAGGAAAAGGCACTGGACAAAATGTTGAAAGAACTTGAGTTGAAGCAGATGGAGTTAGTAAAAATATCAAAACAACAACTTAGAGAAGCAGACTCCAGAAAGAGATCCAACCTTGAGCTTGATCCTCCCTTGTTAGTAGATAATGATGGTAGGGCTCATACTCCTCAAGCCAAAAAACAGAAATCTCATGAAGCAAATGATGAAGACACTGAAGTTGTATACATAGATAAAACTGATGAGGATCCAGAATCATTAACTTGTCATGATACAAATGATTTTAGCAAGTTAATGAGCTCTTTTGCTGTTGGTCAAGTATGGGCTTTATATGATCCTAGAGATGATATACCTAGGATCTATGCTCAGATCAGGAGGATATTCGACTCCCAGTTGAGTTTGCAGGTGACATTACTAGAACCTGTGAAAACTACAAAAGATAAGAAATTTATTCTTAGTGGTTGTGGGAGATTCGAATATGGAGATACAGAGATCAAATGGTTTTTGTTGTTTGCTCATGAGATGCATCATATAACATGTGCCAACAATGTCATTGTGAACCCAAGAAAAGGAGAAAGATGGGCTCTTTTCAAAGATTGGAATGTAAGTTGGAACAGTCACCCGGAACTCCACGAGCCTCCTTATAGATATGACTTTGTGGAAGTTATCTCTGAGTTTGATGATCTTATAGGCGTTCCAGTGGCCTATATGGGGACAGCTGAAGGGTTTGCATCGGGTTTTGACAGTGCTGAGCATGGTATCATCATACCAGGGGAAATGCAGAGGTTTTCTCATAAACTTGCATCGGTTAAATTGAGTGGAGATGAGAAAGAAGGTATCCCAGCTGGTGGGTCTTCCAAGCTAAATCATGATCCTATACCGAGATATGATCCTGAGATTAAAGAGGTGGTGGAAGTGAGAATAGAAAGTCAAGATTGTGGTAAAGCCTTAAAAGTTGAAAATCAAAATGGTTCTACAAAAGATGTTCCCATAATAATAGATTGAGGCACTCACATTTACTATATAACTCTCAAGTGTGTTAGGGGTTGATATTTTTAAATGAACTAAAACTATATGTATGCAATCAATTTGGTTTGATTTGGTTTCAATCGTTTTTGTTCATTCCATAATGTACGAAGTATAGTTTCACATTCTTAAACCAAAATTTGAGCTATTTATAAAATAAATATTAGAAGAAACCTAAAATGGGCTAAATTATCTAATAGAGCTGATACTTTCATCTAATCGTCCTTTATCCAACGGTTTAAAAACCCATCATCCGCTGGTTGTGAGAAGTCTGACGATTGACGTATGGATTAATCCAACGGCTTAAAAGCATTCCATCGAAAGGTCACAGAAGAAAGAAGACAAAACAGCATTAAGTTCCTCTTTTTTTTTTTTTTTTTTTTTTTTTTTTTTTTTTTTTTTTTTTTTTTTTTTTTTTTTTTTTTTTTTTTCCCCCCCAAAACAAAATTAAAAGTTTGACGGGAAAAAAATCCCCTCTAGGGAGAGCCACGACGGAACCGATGTGCTTGTATAGGAGAATTGTACTCCACGGCTTCTTGCTTTCTTCGCAAGGTAATATGAGCGTCCGTTTTCTTTCCTAGGGATACGGCGGATACTGAAATTCGAGAATGAAATCTTTACATCACTAAAAGAAGCAAACTCGGCTGCAAACGTAGGCCAATCTGACGGTGCCTCCAACACAGCAAGGATATCCGAACAATCTGTGGCAAAGCAAGCATTGTTCTGACGAAGCTCTAACATACACTCCATAGCCCAAAGAAGGGAGTCCCATTCGGCATGAAGGGGTGAAAGGGACCTCCTAACACTCTTGAGCCCAATCCAAGAGTGGCTTCGCGAGGAAATTCCTCTATCATCCAGTAGGATCCACCCAAGATCACTAAAGGGATCAGAATCAAGCCATGAGGCATCACATTGACATTCCAAAAGTGGAGAGGATAAAGGCCTATGGACGACCAAAGGAGGTGGCATAGGGACTGGCAAAACATATGTTTCCATAGCTCGCCGCCACACGTCTGCTTCATGTGTAGCTAGCAAAAGGGTCTCCTCAGGTGACTCCATAATATTCTCAAACATAAACCTATTACGGGCTTTCCAGATATACCATAAAATCCAAGGGAAGTTATGGATATTGGTTTCATCTATCCTCAATTCTTTACCTCTCCAAAAGAGAAAGTCAAAATTGTAAAATAGAGATTGACGAGGGAACACCGTCCCTGAAGAAGGTATAGAAGATAGAGCCCAGACTTGTCTAGCCGGAGGACACTCAAAGAGGAGATGATTAATCGTTTCCTCTTCATGGCCACAACGGAGACAATCTTTCTCCCTACCAATATGTCTAGAAAAGAGTCTTTGACAGGTTGCTACGCAACCCGATAGACATAGACATTGCCACATGAAATGCTTCAGCTTTCTTGTGGTTTTAGTTTTCCATACTTGTGCCTGGAGTGTCGAAACATCCGGTCCCTGAAAAGGGAGGTCACAAGGAGGGCGAGAAAGAATTCTCGCGGCCCAATACCCTGACTTCACAGTATAATTACCAGATTTTGTATGAACCCAGCTATACCCATCACTAAGGTAAGTCCGACTAGGGCGAATACCTAGAATAAGAGGTATATCCGTTGGGTCCACTAAAGCATTCAAGCGGTCAAGCTTCCATTCCTGGGTATCTCGATTCAGTAAATCATTGACGTAGAAATGCGGATCCTGAAAGGCGAGAACACTTTTAGCAGGTCGAGGTGGGATAGTGGGGAGCCACGGGTCAATCCATACCCGAGTAAGCATTCCGGAACCAACAGTTCTGCGAAGACCTGAAACAATCAGAGGCTTGGCAGAAAAAATACTCCTCCATCCATAGGAGGGACGGTTGGCCTTAATTATTTGTAAAGGGTCGTTATATCTATAGTATCTACCCCTCAAAACTCTGCTCAACAGTGAATTTGGGAAGCGAAGGAGTCTCCAAAATTGTTTAGCAAGGAGCGCCTGATTAAATTCACCCAATGTGCGAAACCCAAGCCCTCCTTCAGAAAGTTGGGTACATAATTTATCCCAATCTATCCAGTGAATACCATTACTCTCTGATCTGGTTTTCCACCAGAAGTTAGCAATGGCGCTACTTAGCTTAGAAAGGATGGCCTTGGGGAGTAAAAAACACGACATAACATATGTCGGAAGAGCTTGAGCAACTGCCTTAATAAGTACCTCTTTCCCTCCTTTGGAAAGGAATTTGACAGACCAAGTACTAATTCTCTTCTGGAGTCGATCGCGAACGAAGGAGAAAACTTGGGTTTTTGAACCGTGGATCTTTTCGGGTAATCCTAAATACGTACCCATACCTCCTTCAGTTTGAATATTTAAGATATTCTTGATATTGGAACGGGTTGCTGGAGCCACCTCGTGCCCAAACATTACTGAGGACTTTGCTTCATTAAGTTGTTGTCCTGAAGCCTCGCCATACCGACGGATAACATTTAGGACTTCTTCACCTTGGTCCGGAGTTGCTCTACAAAAGAAGAGACTATCATCGGCGAAAAGAAGATGGGATGTCGAAGGGCTTGCCCGAGCAATTTGAAGGCCTTGGATCTTCCCTTGCCTTTCTGCTTCATTTAACTGAGCCACAAGGGCTTCAGTACAAAGAATAAAGAGAAAGGGGGAGATTGGATCCCCTAGCCGGATTCCCCGGGACGGTTTTATACGACCTCTCGGGGTACCGTTTAAAATAACTTGGTACGACACCGAGAAAATACAAAACATCACCATATCAACCCATTTTTGGGCGAATCCCATTTTCAGCATCAAAGCGTTAAGGAAGGGCCATTCCACACGATCATAGGCTTTACTCATATCTGTTTTAATAGCCATAAAATTCTTCCGACAATTAGAATTTGTGCGGAGAGCGTGGAAATTTTCCTGAGCAATCAGGATGTTATCCGTGATAAGGCGTCCGGACACAAAGGCCGACTGAGTTTCGGAAATCATGTCCGGGAGAAATTTCTTTAAGCGAACACTGAGAATCTTTGAAAGGACTTTGTAACATACATTACATAAACTGATTGGCCTAAACTCCTTCATCGATCTCGGCCTATCGGTTTTTGGAATAAGGCAGATGTTTGTCTCATTTAGAGATTCATCAAAAGAACCGGTGGAGATGAAATTTTGGGCTAGTTTGACAAGGTCATTTCCTACAATATCCCAGAACTGCTGGTAAAATAAAGCCGTCAGGCCATCCGGGCCTGGAGTCTTCTCAGGGTTGAGGGAAAAAAGAGCCTGTTTGACCTCCTCAGAAGAGATTTCTCTAATAAGAGATTCATTAATCTCATCAGTTATGGACACGGGGATAGCCCGGAGGACAGAATCCAAATCCGAGGGATTGGAAGCTGTAAACAAATCTCTAAAATATGATATTGCTAAGGCCTCAATATCATCTTCATTATCTACCCATCTGTTATCCTGATCTAGGAGACCAATAATTCTATTTTTAGCCCGTCTTTGTTTGGTAGTAGCATGGAAGAACTTGGTATTCTTATCCCCATGTTTTAGCCATGTCTCACGACTTCGTGTCTGCCAGTACAACTCCTCTTCTCTATATGCATCACACAGTTTCCATTTTAACTCAAGAAGAGCTTCAGAGGAAACCTCTGGATTATCTTGAGCTGCATCAATCTGAGATTGAAGACTTTGAATAAGTTTTTCGGAATTGGTTACGATAGATTTCTTCCATTTTGACATAGACACCCGACAAGTTTTAATCTTTCGGGGAAGAAAACCTCCACGGCTATGACTGGAAGCCCTCCAACCCGCTTTGACAGCCTCCTTTAAGCCAGGTTTTCCAATCCACCTTTTATCAAACATAAACCTTTTGAAAATTTTATTCGGTCTATTTTGAATGGAGGCTAACATGGGTCTGTGGTCTGATCCCCACATTTTAAGATACTCCACAGTTGTGTGGGAAAAGATATGGTGCCATTCTTCGTTCCCCAGGGCCCTATCTAGGCGGGAACGGATTAAACCACACTGGCGACGCCCGGCCCAAGAAAGGAAATTCCCCGTGAATGGAAACTCGAGCATACCACAATTGTCAATCATTGTCCGGAAGGGGAGAAAGGAAGATTCCGATCTCCGTTTCACCCCTTTCTTTTCATGATTTCCGGTGATCTCGTTAAAATCGCCAAACATAAACCAAGGTTCCGATCGAATAATCCCTATCCGAGTAAGACGTTCCCAAACTTCCTCTCGGTTTTGGACAACCGGATCCCCATAAACAAAGGTAATATAGACTCGATTTCCATCAATGATTGTCTCAATATCCATTAACCGATCACTAAGGTACAAGAATTGAACCGGATAATCTTTTGAATACATAAGAGCAAGGCCGCCACTCGAACCTATTGGTTCAACAGTTTTAAGGTAATCGAAATGCAAAATAGATTGAAGTTCTTGGAGATACAAAAGATCATTTTTCGTTTCGGATAGAAAAAGAAAACCTGGGGAGAATGTGCGACACATCTCCTCCAGTCGACGTTTTGTGAGTTTTGCCTTCGCCCCTTAACAATTCCACGCTAGGATCCTCATAGGACTGTGCCGGGGGGGATCGCGGGCCCCTTGGAAAATCCGGCAACAGGAGAAACGGGTAGAGAAAGAGGAGCCCCAAGCTCACGGTAAACAGAAGAGGTCTTACGGGTAGAACGCGGCCTTGATGGGCCGGTTTTGATGGAGTGACGATTGCGAGGCGTGATTGCCTTAGTGGAATGAATCTTGCGAGATGCACGGCTGACTTTGAGAGATGGGCTGTGGGCAATCTTCTTTGACGGCCCAATACGTTTGGTGGGGCTTTTCTTCTTGGGCCTAGGATCATCCGCGGGAACCCCATCAGTCCTCTGCTCAGCGACAATCCGACTACGAGAATTGCCGGGACTAAAAGGAGCATTCTAGTCCCGGCATTAAGTTCCTCTTTCTCCCTCCATTTCCAGTAATACGCAGCAAGAAGCTATTTTTTTTTTCCAAAATTTCTCAGTCATAAAGCAAGAAGTATACATTGTTTCTTCAAAATCTTACTTTTTCTCACTTAGATAAGCTCAAAAGCTTGGATAACTCAGTTAAAAAAATGGTGAAACCGAAAGTCTTACTATTTCCCGGAGGAGACTCGCCAGAGCAGAGACCACCGCCGGCGTTAACTAAAGATCAAACTAGAGGAAGGTACATTCTCGTTCTCTTGTTTAAATTTCAGGCGAGCCTTTTTGTATTATCATGAAAAGTTCCTTCTTTTGTATTTTTCTTTTTTTTTTTTGCTTTTTCGTTTTGCTTGTTAACTTTAAAGTAGGGTTTACGGCTCAGATAATATGGTAACCAAAGGGGATTCAGTGGAATCAGAAGTTACTGAGAAAAACAGTGAAGGGTGTTTCGAAATCCTAGACCATATTGAGAAAAAAGCTTCATCAATTTTCGAGTTTTCGCTTCAGTTTGTCGACTTGAGTGACTCGCTGGAGAAGGAGGAGGAAGAACGACTGAGGGTGTTTGAAGTGAGGGAGAAGGAGCTTGGTTCGCTTGAAGATTCAGTATTTCGTAGATTGAGTGTTTTAGAAGAGAAAAAGATAGATTTTGATATGAGACAGGTCATTGAAGCAACCATCATGATGTTGGTGCTTGAGAAGCAGAGTGAAGAAGCAGAGAATAATAAGCTTAGTTTGCTTTTCGATTCGACTACAAAGGAACTTGAAGGTTTGATGACTGAGTTTCAAGGTAAGAAAGAGGAGGCTCGCCAGATGTCTGAGTTAATCCTTGAGAAATTATCTGAGTTAGAAAAGGCAAAGATGGATTTTGATCTTAAACAAAGGGATGAGACTGAGAGACTGAACAAGGAAAGTGAGGCAAGGGAGAAGGAGCTTAAGGCACTTGAGGAAGCTATCAAAGAGAAGACTGCTGAGTTGAACGGAAAGGAGGAGACTTTTGAGCTGAAAGTGAAGGAAGAAGCTGACAAAGTGAGAGAGGAGACTGAACTGAGGAGGAACGGTCTTGAGATTAAGGAGAAGGCACTGGGAATTTTTTTGAAAGAGATTGAATTGAAGCAGATTGAATTAGAAGAAAGATCAAAACAACAACTTACGGAAGCAGAGTCTCGAAAGAGATCAAACCTTGAAAGTGAAGCAAGAGAGAAGAAGCTTAACTCGCTTGAGGAAGCTATCAAAGAGAAGACGGCTGAGCTGAATAGAAAGGAGGAGACTTTTGAGCTGAAAGTGAAAGAAGAAGCTGAAAAATTGAGAGAGGAGACTGAACTGAGAGAAAAGATCTTGGGATTAAGGAGGAGACAATGGAAAAATTGTTGAAAGAGCTTGAGTTGAAGCAGATGGAATTGGAAGAAAAATCAAAACAACAACTTGTAGAAGCAGAGTCTCGAAAGAGATCAAACATTGAACTTGGGCCGTCCTTGTTGGCAAATAATGATAATGATGGTGCTTCGCTTACTCACCAAGCAAAAAAACAGAAATCTCAGGAAGCAGGTGATGGAGACATTGAAGAAATTGTCTGCACCGAAAAAAGTTATGAGGATCCTAAATTGTTTACTTGTCCTGATAGAAGGATTAATAATTTTAGCAAGTCAATGAGCTCTTTTGCTGTTGATCAAGTTTGGGCGTTATATGATCCCAGAGATGATATGCCCAGGATCTATGCTCAGGTCAGAAGAATTTTTGATTCCCATTCGAGTTTGGAGGTGACATTACTTGAACATGTCAAAACTGCAAAAGATACAAAAGCTATTCTAAGTGGTTGTGGGAGATTCGAATATGGAGATACAGAGATCAAGAATCACTTGATGTTTGTTCATGAGATGGATCACATCGTATGTGCCAACAATGTCATTATGAACCCAAGAAAAGGCGAGACGTGGGCTCTTTTCAGAGATTGGAATGTAAGTTGGAACAGTCACCCGGATCTGCATGAGCCTCCTTATAGATATGACTATGTGGAAGTCATCTCTGAGTTTGACGACCTTCTAGGCATTGGAGTGGCCTATATGGGGAGAGTTGAAGGATTTGCATCGGTTTTTACCCGTGATGAACAGCATGGAGTGATCAAGATCATAGTCTCGCCGGGGGAAATGCAGAGGTTTTCTCATAAAGTTGCATCGGTTAGATTGAGCGGAGATGAGAAAGAGGGAATCACAACTGGGTCTTTCGTGCTAAACCCTGCTGCTACCCCAAGCTACGATTCTGTGTTTGAGGAGGTGATGGAAATTCAAATACTAAGTGGTAAAGCTCCAACGGTGGTAAATCAAGATGGGTCTACTAAAGATCTGCCCATTATATTAGATTAAGTATTCAAGTCTTGCTGTGCACCTTTCTTATCTGTAATGGCTTTTGAGGTTGCAGGAAGTAGTAAAACAGTAATTGTTTTGGTTCACGTTTCTTTGTTCTCTACGGACCTGTCTATCATTTGAACTCCAACCAACTTCTTTTGTTAAAAATGGAAGAGAATGCTTTAGGAAAACTGCCTACTTGCTTGCTTCGGAAGAACTCATTTGTGGATTACTCTGTGTGTCTCAAAGATGCAACTTTGTTTTCAGATTCGAATCAGTTTCACGACTTGCCTTAAACCTATCACAACGACCAGGAGGGTTAACAGAACATGATTCTCTCTTATGCTGATAAATCTTGAAAGGTAACAGACTTAAACAACACTCTACTTGTATCAATACAAAGTGAAACAAAACAACAACAATCCCCAAGCTTTTCGTATATCCATATAATTCTCGAAACTTACAGTTCTATTAATGAAACCAAATTCGTACATTTACAATAAACAACACAGAACAGAAGAAAAGACTGAAAGACTAATACAACCTTTATATCCCCAAATGCTATTAACTATAGACAATACAATATAAATGCCAAAGATAAATGGAAAGATGAGAACTTGATACAATCCATAAGCTTTGCATAATCATTCCCCAAACAGAGTAGAGTAATGCTTTAAACTATCCTCGGGTGTTGTTGAGAATCGAACCCAAAGTCCCCAAAACGGCGAAAGCAAGCAAAGGGCTAACGTCAAGCGTATCGAAGACGGGAGGGATAACGTTCCTGAAGAGATTAAGATAAGGATCACACAGATCCCTAATCGCAGACAAAGGCTGGCGATCCCATGGTATGTTCGGGAACCAACTGAGCAAAACTCTGACCATCAGAACACCACTGTAGATATCGAGCCATTTCGATAGCCCCGCCGCAACTACAGTTAGTGGCGTGTTCAGATAGCCGGCGGGACGATCACGGAGCGACGCGAAGAACAACGGACTCGCTGCTCGGAAAGATGACTGAATCTGTGGAGATAGGTGAACCATTGCGACGGAGAGCTTCTGAATTAGGGATTTGGTTACGACGCCGGCAAGAAGAGCGAGGGTGGTGATCGACCTAGTCGAATCGGAGAAGGGGAATTGAGAAGGGGTTTTATCAGTGGAGAGTACCGGAGACGGCGAGGAGGTAACGGCGGAGGAGACGATGGTTCTAGGGTTGTGTAGGGAGAGATTGAAGGAGGGTTTACGGGGAAAGGAGAGCCGTGGACGGAGGAGGATTGGAGGTAATCTGGGGTTTGCGAGAATTGAAGCGCGAAGAGTGAGGCTGTTGGTGGTGGAAGTTGCCATCTTTGTTGGTCGGCGCCGGAGAATACTCACTCCTTGTCTGGGAGGAAATATAAGGTAATGGACTAAAACAAAACCTTTTTACAAAAAAACTCTATATATCTTAGAAATTTATTTTAATTACAAAACTAGCTCTTTTGTTGAAAACATTTATCAACAGATTTAATTAATTGATTTGCATCAAACAGAAACATAACCAATTAGCATTCTCAAATCTAAAATCCAAAAAACCCAAAATTTCATGTATTCTTATATATATATTTTTATTGAAATTTTATTTTTTCAATTAATATAATTGATTTTATAAAAAAAAAATAAAGTTAAAGACATTTGCCTATAGTTATTTGTACTAATTTTTATAGATTGTTGTTGAAATTTCCTTTATTTCCTAGATTAATAAGAATTTTCCAAGTGGATGTGTTTTCGCGGCAAAGATATTAACGACCATAAGAGTTAAATGGAAGCATTGCTAAAAATAGAGGACAATCATCCGACACCAGTCAAAACCTATATGTCTTCTCCGTCGTCCACCTAAATCTTATTTACCCTCAAAAAAGCATTCCTCAACTACAAAAAAAAAAAAAATTCTTGAGAGCAAAACAAAACAAAACAGGTTCTATTTGCCAAGAAAACACAAAAAAACATCCGTTGTTTTGTTTTGTTTATACTTGATTACTCTTCCTTGTGGGGAATGCTAATCGTAGATTTGTTCGTCAGAAATGGAGCAGAAGAGCGTGTTGTTTTCGGCTTTAGGAGTTGGTGTTGGCTTAGGCATCGGGCTAGCATCCAGTCAAAGTTTGGGTAAATGGGCAAACGGGCCTCTCTCTGCGGAGGATGGACTTACCGGAGAAAAGATTGAGCAAGAGTTGGTTAGGCAGATTGTTGATGGCAGAGAGAGTAGTGTCACTTTCGATGAGTTTCCTTATTACCTAAGGTACATATTGCTTGCTTCCTGCGTTAGGCTCTCTTCCAGCTTTGTTATAACTAATTTCTCATTTTTATCTTGCAGTGAGAAAACTCGGCTTTTGTTGACAAGTGCTGCTTATGTTCACCTTAAGCAGTTTGATATCTCCAAGCACACGCGTAATCTTGCACCTGGAAGTAAGGCCATTCTTCTGTCTGGTCCTGCTGGTAAACATCTCATTTCCTTTTGTGTTCGTTCTCCTTTGATCTTTTTGTTTTTCAAATTTTTGGTGTAATTTTGTTTGTCTCTCTTTACTCTGCAGAGTTCTATCAGCAAATGCTTGCAAAAGCATTGTCTCATTACTTTGAATCGAAACTACTGCTACTTGATATAACCGACTTCTCTATAAAGGTGATTCATTGCATAAGATTTGGTATCCTCCATGAAAAGATGTAACTTTTTTTTGCTAAAGGATAGCTTGTAAGCTTTCTCTTTCCTATTCGTTGTTACAGATACAGAGCAAGTACGGATGTGTCAAGAAGGAAACAGTACGTTACTTTGTAATCTTATGTTGTGTAGCCTTGTTTTGTGTGTTTGTTCAGACCATGATTGTCTTTTTTTATCTTCTCTAATGTTTGCTAGTCTCACAAGAGGTCTATTTCTGAGATGACATTGGACAAGATGTCGAATTTGATGGGTTCTTTATCTATGCTCTCCCAAAGGGAAGAAACCAGAGGTACAGTATCATCAAATAAATCCTTAGCCTTCAATTTGTTTTTGTTTTTGGGGGCTTATGTGTTCAAATTCTTATAAATTCAGGGACCTTGCGTAGGCACACAAGTGGCAACGATCTTCATTCAAGGTACATTGTGTTGTTTCATATCTTTTTTGTATTGTCGTTTAATTAAGCTGGAGTATAGCTTTGAATGTTTTATGCTAGCTCACTAGTTCCTTTTATGTAACACTTCAGGGGATTTGACGTTACAAGTCATCCTCCCCGACTCAAGCGGAATGCTTCTGCTGCCTCTGATATGAGTAGCATATCTTCTCGTTCTTCTACTTCTGCTTCAGGTGTGAAATTTTCGTCTTGCTTCGTGATAGATAGTAATTTGTTTTCATAGCATATCCACTTCACCAGAAATTTCAATGAATCATTTTCTTACCTCCATTTGTGGCTGTTTATACTTTTCTAGCTTCAAGCAAACGCAGTGCAAACTTATGCTTTGATGAGAGACTCTTCCTTCAGTCACTTTACAAGGTAACACCTAGCATGAAATCAGTAGGGCACGATTCTATCTCGTGCAATTCTTAAACTGAACAGTCGCTATCTTTGCAGGTGTTGGTATCGGTTTCGGAAACCAATCCTATAATAATATACCTGAGGGACGTTGAGAAGCTCTGTCAGTCAGAAAGGTTCTACAAGTTGTTCCAGAGGCTCTTGAGTAAGCTTTCAGGCCCTGTTTTGGTTCTCGGCTCAAGACTATTGGAACCTGAAGATGACTGTCAAGAAGTAGGAGAGGGCATTTCTACTTTGTTTCCTTACAACATTGAGATCAGACCGCCAGAGGATGAATCTCAACTTATGAGCTGGAAAACAAGATTTGAAGATGACATGAAAGTGATACAAATTCAGGACAACAAGAACCATATAGCTGAGGTTCTTGCGGCGAATGATCTTGAATGTGATGACTTAGGTTCCATATGCCACGCAGATACAATGTTCCTAAGCAGCCACATTGAGGAAATTGTAGTTTCTGCAATCTCATACCATTTGATGCACAACAAAGAACCCGAATACAAAAATGGAAGGCTTGTAATATCTTCCAATAGGTACTAAGAAGCTCAGTTATCTCTTCCAAAAAAAAAAGATTTGTCTTTCTTAAGCTAACTGATTGAATGGATCTTGAACAGCTTGTCCCATGGACTGAGTATTTTACAGGAAGGTAGCAGATGCTTTGAGGACTCCTTGAAGCTGGACGCAAACACTGACCTTAAGGTATTACAGTTCTGACCACGTGCTTTTGAATTTTGAAGTGACTAAAATGTGAATGGCTCTGGTGCAGGGAGAGGAAGGTGAAGGGATAATAAAGAGTGAGTCGAAATCTGAGACAGCTGCTCCGGAAAACAAAAATGAGTCAGAAAGATCAAATCCCTCGGCCAAAAATGAATGTCCCCTGCCTCCAAAAGCACCTGTAAATGTATAATAGTCCATATGATTCAACATCGTCATCCTGATGTCTTTTCCTGAACATAGGTTTGATTTTTAATCCTGTCGATGTAGGAAGTTGCTCCTGATAACGAATTCGAGAAGCGCATAAGACCAGAGGTTATCCCAGCGAATGAGATTGGTGTGACATTTGCTGATATAGGCTCACTGGATGAAACCAAAGAATCACTTCAAGAGCTTGTTATGCTTCCTCTTCGTAGGCCTGACCTGTTCAAAGGTGGTCTTCTAAAGCCCTGCAGAGGAATCCTCCTCTTTGGACCACCTGGTACTGGGAAAACTATGATGGCAAAAGCCATTGCAAATGAAGCTGGAGCTAGTTTCATAAACGTGTCAATGTCCACAATCACTTCAAAATGGTTTGGAGAAGATGAGAAGAACGTGAGAGCTTTGTTCACCCTCGCAGCCAAAGTGTCTCCGACTATTATATTTGTGGATGAAGTGGATAGCATGCTGGGACAGAGGACAAGAGTTGGAGAGCATGAAGCTATGAGGAAGATCAAAAATGAGTTCATGACACACTGGGATGGGCTAATGTCAAATTCGGGTGATCGCATTCTCGTTCTTGCAGCAACAAACAGGCCGTTTGATCTCGATGAAGCCATCATCAGGAGGTTTGAGCGAAGGTAAGCATGCTCGATATGCATTTCACTTGAAACTCTGAGCTTGTGCGGTACTAACTCCAGCTTCTGATTTTGTTTTGTTGGGAGACAGAATCATGGTGGGTCTTCCATCGATTGAGAGCAGAGAAAAGATCTTAAGAACCTTATTATCAAAAGAGAAAACAGAGAATCTTGATTTCCATGAGCTTGCACAGATGACGGATGGCTATAGTGGGAGTGATCTCAAGGTTTGTCAAACTTCTCATCTTACTTTACCAACACCCCAATCTTTCTCTCTATGGACTGATTATTGTGAACGTTATACAAACAGAACTTTTGCACAACAGCTGCATATAGACCTGTGAGGGAGCTGATAAAGCAGGAGTGCTTGAAAGATCAGGTGAGAACTCCTCAATTCCTTTCCTTTATTTCCCTACTCGTACCGCTTGAATGAATATTTCAATGGTGGTTTCTCATAAAACACAGGAGAGGAAGAAGAGAGAGGATGCCGAGAAGAGTAGTGAAGAGGGGTCTGAAGCAAAAGAAGAAGTGTCTGAGGAGAGAGTCATAACACTGAGACCATTGAGCATGGAAGACATGAAAATAGCTAAAAGCCAGGTATGTTAAAGTAAATTAGTTGCGTATTGATGACGATCTTGTGCGCATTAACACTAATTGTTTTGCATTTTCAGGTTGCTGCTAGTTTCGCAGCAGAAGGAGCAGGAATGAACGAACTCAAGCAGTGGAACGAATTGTATGGAGAAGGAGGCTCCAGGAAGAAGGAACAACTCTCTTACTTCCTTTAATACAAATACCTAACCCACTCCTATTCAAATCTTCTACAAAGACATCTTCCCGTGTGTATTTTGTTTATAAGTCTAATATTTCTCATTAATTAGTATTATCATATTAAACATTAATTCCAGAGATTTTGTAAATAAAAACATGTACAGTTAATCTATCTCTTGTATCGTACTTATTTTATAAATCTTAACTGTTTATGTCCTGCTTGGAAATGCATTAATCCTAGTTGGAAACTCAATAGTCAAGAATGTGGCATGTCTAGCTTACGGTTCTTATCAAGATCATAGCTCATCATCACCAAAAATGGTGAATTATAAGGAAGATGTTTATTAAACAGGATTAGTACATACATGATACATTGTATTGTATACATGATACATTGTATTGTTTTAAGATATACTATTACACAGGGAAGCAGCAGGTAAGAGAAATGGATACTGAGATTTTACCGTTACGTAACATGTCTGATACATTGTATTGTTTTAGAAGCTCGCCACTGTCTTGATGTAGCCTTCATCTTCAAGAACCATTTGTATTGTTTTAGAAGCTCGCCACTGTCTTGATGTAGCCTTCATCTTCAAGAACCATTTGTATCTCCTTTAGAGTTTTGCTATAGGGAGATCGATCTATCAGATTAGATGGCCGGTTATAGTTGGTTTAGAGTAGTTGGTTAACTTAACATGTACAGATACTGTAAAGAGATAGTATATATACGTTGTAAAGTTAACAGATACAATTAATGAGAAAATCAGAGTTTAATATCTCTAACAAACTTTTCTCATCTCTCTCGATCTCTCAATCGCTAATATGGTATCAGAGCCATCACACTCTTGATCTCTTCATTTTTCCGATCAGATCATCTCGTTTTCCAGTTTGATTCTCTGTTTCCGCCGATTGAATCGAAGATACAATGGTTACCGTCGCTCGTGCAACTCGGAAATCGACTCGATCGAGACCTTCGACGAGTTCAGCCGTTCGCAAGCCGTCGCAATCCAGAATGGTTGACTCGCCTCCGGATTCTCCTCCAGCAGTAATGTGGCTCTGATACCATATTAGTAATGTGGCCTAACTAATCCCAAAAGCTAGCTCAAGGGAGAAGGGTTGCCACATCACATATATATTACCCCAAGGAACTATCCCACCATCGATGTGGGATATTCTAACACGATCTGCACCGCTTTCGCATTTGAGACCAATGATCCCAGTCGGCTGCCTTCTTCACCTTTGCCTCCCGAATGCTCGTAGCCTCGTAGGAACATCTCCGCCGCTAAATTCGCTTCTCTCCGGCGAAATCAAAACTTGCCTTTCAGATATATTCATTAGCCATTTCGGCCCAGTTTATATGGGCCTACATATCTTAATGGGCTATTGAAACAGTAGATATTTAGGCCCATTTAAGCTCACCAGCCGCTGTCGGTATCTTAATCGCGAGAATTGAGAAACATTAAGTCACCGATCGTCCGACATGAGATTTATGATATCGGCGGCGGCTGGTGAGCTTTTCCGACGTAATGAGCTCGTAGTGAGGCAGCTCTCGAACCCTCGTTTTTATTCTAAACGCGTCAATGCCTTCTCTGAAATCGAAAGCAAATTGAGATCGCTATGTGAAAATTCAACTCCTCAGGTTAAGAATGCCGTTTCAGTTTTCCAGGAGGCAGTAAACTCCGGTGGCTCTCTTGCGTTCGCCGGAAATAATCTCATGGCAACGCTGGTACGCTCTAGAAACTACGACGTTGCATTTTCAATTTACCGCAAGATGCTTGAGACTGATACTTTTATCAATTTTGTGTCGCTGAGTGGGTTGCTTGAATGTTTTGTGCAAATGAATAAGACCGGATTTGCGTTCGGTGTTCTTGCGGCGATGCTAAAGCGTGGGTTTGCTTTCAATGTGTACAACATGAATATCCTCTTAAAGGGTTTATGTAAGAATCTGGAATGTGATAAAGCTGTTAGTTTACTGAGAGAAATGAGACAAAACTCTCTGATGCCAGATGTTGTTAGCTACAACACGGTTATTAGAGGTTTCTGCGAGGGAAAAGAGTTGGAGAAAGGATTGCAATTAGCTAATGAAATGCAAGGCAGTGGCTGTTCCTGGAGTTTGGTGACTTGGGGGATTCTGATAAATGCATTCTGCAAGGCTGGTAAGATGGAAGAGGCAATCGGCTTGCTCAGTGAAATGAAATCTAAGGGTTTAGAAGCAGATCTTGTTGTGTATACTACCCTGATTCGAGGGTTCTGTGATTGTGGTGAGTTAGACAAAGGGAAGGCGCTCTTCGACGAGGTTCTGCAAAGAGGAGATTCTCCCTGTGCAATTACATATAACACTCTCATTCGAGGTTTTTGCCAGTTAGGACAGTTGAAAGAAGCCTCACAGATGTTTGAGTTTATGATGGAGCGTGGAGTTCGACCAAATGTTTACACTTACACGGGCCTAATTGATGGCCTTTGTGGAGTAGGTAAGACTAAGGAAGCCCTGCAACTTTTAAATCTGATGTTAGAGAAGGATGAAGAACCAAATGTTGTGACATATAACATTATTATTGACAAGCTGTGCAAGGACAGCCTTGTGGCGGATGCTTTAGAAATTGTTGAGTTGATGAAGAAGAGGCGGACAATACCTGATAACATAACATACACTATTTTACTGGGAGGACTCTGTGCCAAAGGTGACTTAGACGAAGCAAGTAAGCTTCTATATTTGATGCTGGATGATAGTAATTATGCGGATCCAGATGTTATATCATTTAATGCATTAATCCACGGGCTGTGCAAGGAAAACCGTCTCCAACAAGCTTTAGATATTTATGATTTGCTGGTTGAGAAATTGGGTGCTGGAGATATAGTAACCACTAATATATTGCTTAATATCACTCTCAAGTCTGGAGATGTAAATAGGGCAATGGAACTTTGGAAACAAATGTCTATTTCCAAAATTGTTCCAAACTCAGATACCTATACTACTATGATTGATGGGCTTTGCAAAACTGGCATGCTTAATATTGCTAAAGGATTGCTTTGCAAAATGAGAGGGTCTAGGCTACGGCCTAGTGTTTTCGACTACAACTGTCTACTGTCATCATTATGCAAAGAGGGAAGTTTAGACCAGGCATGGAGATTATTTAACGAAATGCAGTATGCTGACTGTTTTCCAGACATTGTTTCTTTCAATATTATGATTGATGGAAATCTCCAAGCTGGGAATATTGCGCCTGCAGAATTACTTTTTATGGGGATGTCTCTTGCTGGTCTTTCTCCTGATTTATATACTTACTCGAAGTTTATAAATAGGTTCCTCAAACTTGGATATATAGACGAAGCTATCAGATTCTTTGACAAAATGGTTGAGAGCGGCTTTGAACCTGATGCTCATATTTGTGATTCTGTGTTGAAGTATTGTATTTCACAGGGAGAAACAGACAAGTTGAAGGAACTTGTAAAAAAACTGGTGGAGAAAGATATTGTCCTCGACAAAAAACTTACTTGTACGGTCATGGAATACATGTGTGGCAGCTCAGCAAACATGGATCTTGCAAAACGGTTGTTAAGAGTAGCAGATGATAAATAAGAAGGGGATATGCTGGGTACATAATCATGCTCAGTTATGCTAACTTGAAGACTAAAGCTGGAGAATGGTTCTGCATTTGGAATGCTATGTAGGCTCCAGGTTGAACGAACAAGTCTGATATTTTCACAACTAGTATTATCATCATATACATATTTGTTTGGGAGATTTTTGTAAATAATTCAAGTAGAGTTAATTTATCTCCTGTGTCTTAGAAAATTTAACTGATTATGTCTTGCCAGCATAGTTGGAATTTGGAAACTTAATATTCAGTGATGTGTCATGTGTAACGTAAAACAACAGTATCTAATGGAAGAGATTTAATGACCAAAGGATTCAGTAAATCTTTACAAAAATCAGCTTTCTGCAACATCTTGCAGGTTTTGGGGAAGAGAAACATCTTGAACGAGAATATTACTTTCATTATCTATCATGTAAGACACATCTAGTCCCTCCAGAACCAAGTGATAAACGATTTCCGCAGCTGATGTATCTTGTGGCTTATTCCGTTGAGACATTGATCGTATGTCCCAGGACAGGACCTGCGTAATCAATCCCTTTAGCTCATCCGCTGAACCATAGAGAGACTTCTTTTCCTGTTCGCATTGAAACTACTTTGTTAAAATGGCAAATGGAGAAGACAAGGTCAAGTCAAAAGTCACTCACTATCAGTTTCCAGCAGGTGGTGATGGAGGAAGAGAAGGTGTCTGAGAAACTCACAGAAGCCACAGCCAATGAGCAATCCTCCTGAAATTCATATTTGATTTATTTCAATCTTTGCTTCTACCTACTCAATATGTCTTTGTTAAGTACTCACAATGATCTTTAAATATCAGCAGTGCTCAACAATTCATAACAATGTACATACCTTTACCCAATTTGGCACTGAGGCTCCTTGAATACTGTCCGAGTATGGTAAATAAGGCTTAATGTCGAGCACCGGCTGTTCAGCATCATTAAAACAATCAATGAATACGCAGGAAACTGATAAGAAAAAGTTACCAACCATGCTAGGGAAAGGAGAATTACAGTCCCATCCACCAGATCAACACCAGAGAGCAGAACCTTATCCTTTTGGATTGCCTCTACCTATGGATTAATGAGTACTTTTGGTCAAGATATTCAATATGTCTCTGTTAACAACAGGAGAATTGGATTACGCTCAGAACCTTAGCAACGGTGAGTCCAATGGGACAAGGTCGATGAGGGGACCGAGTAGCAAAGACTCCCTTCCGTTCCCCATTAAGCCTAGGCACTCTCACCTGAATTCAAAACACCCCAAAAACCTTCAGACTGAGAAGATCATCACATAGAAACAGACAAACAAACAAAAGAAGAAGCAGCATAACCTTTGCCTTGAGCTTAGACTGAGACGGTTTTCTCCATAGCTTCTCAATATCAGTGTTGAGATGAAACACATAGAGTATCCAACAGTGAGAATAGTCTTCGAGACCCTCAAGAGATGCAGGAGGAACCAAAGCCGGATCAAATATCAAACATGCCCTCGCTAGAGAAACAAGCAATGGCTGCCTTGGTGTCCCGTTCCTGCAAAACCAAGATGCACAACTTTTTTTTTCTTTTTAAAGCCAACATTTTTAGAAGCAGCATTATTAAGCTCTCTTGAAACCGGAAAGCTAACAGGATCACTATACCTTGTAGAGAAGCAAGACTGAATAGTACCAATTGGTCGCATCGGGTATATAGTGCTGTGTAAATCATGTGACTCAGTCTGTGCTAACGCCTCCCGTAAAGCCTACAGCTTTCAATTGCATCAGAGAAATGAACAGAAGTACATAAATTTCCTCCAATCTTAATAAGAAAAGTTTCAGTATCCTTGAATCAGTTTCAATGTGCATTAGAGACATTAACGCAAATTCCAAGTAGTAATTTCACCTGCTGAGCCTTAACTCGACCTTTTCTCTCAGAAGCACTTTTTTCCATGGTAGATCCCAAAGACTTCTCAAGTTCCTTAATCCTGTACTCCAAATCTTCTCCTCGTCTTCTCCATCTATACACTTCACAAGAACCAGCTCAGTAAATACTAGATATATTTTTTTAATACGGGGCAAGAGTGACAAAGAGCTAGAGAAAGAGATTACGCGAGACTGCGGCGGATACAGATACTACGGCGAGTGTAAAGGCTAAAGCCGTCGTGGTATAACCGTTGGACTGTCCTGCAATAGCCATAGATGAGCTGTTTGCTGCGCCGGCGAGTGGAACGTTGCGACGGCGGCGGGAATGTGTCGTTCCGGGAGTTAAATCGCGTTTTATTTTTTGTCATGGAAGAGGGCCTAGAGGCAAAGTCATTCACTTTAGGCCCACTAAATTATCAAATTAGAAACCCAGCAACGGCCCACTGAATCTGTTGATTTTTGCCTATACAGTATTTCAAGTTTTGTGTGTGTTTTTATCAAAATAAAGTCAATTAAATTTAGCAAACTACATTATATCAATTGAGAACAGTCAAAGAGTATGTATTCGATTTTTGTCTATATGTAAAATTGTGTGCTCTTTTACAAAATAATAGATTTTTGACATAAAAGACAATTTACAAAGTGTAATATGATGTGTTTTAACAACTTATATGAACATAACATTAGTTCTGGTCACAGTAGAGAGTAGAGTAAAACCAAATGAAACTCAACAAGACATGGTCAATGTTCTGTTTAGTGTACTGGGTAGATTCTATGCTGATGGAGTGAATAGATGCACAGCCGCAGACCAATAACCAGCCAGCTGCAGTAATAAATAGCAACTCGCAATCTTAGTAAATGCCTTTCTTCTCACAACAACATAGTGAGGAAGTATAAGTACACGATACCTGAGCCAGAATGCCCTTCCCCGTTTGGGCTTCGATCACAAGTCCTATCATGAGTCCTATGATTGCCCACGCTCCGTTTATAGCCTCTATTTCACGCCTTCTCTGTTAAAGCAATTGACACAATTACTGCTGTGTGCTATTTTTACCAATCTTGATTACAAGTATCATCATTCATCCCAAGGTTTTTTTTCCTTACCTGTTGCTTCTCTCTGCCTTTAATCTCTTCCATTTGCTTACCAGCTAACCGCTTGGCTTCAAGAGGGTCAACCATGATAACCTCTTTTTTGACCTTTGCTTTTCCTGGAGGAGGAGGAGGAGATACCTACAAGAACAACCGGCATGGTATAGATTTTAAACTCATGGTTTAGTCAACCACCAAGAAGATCAATTTATTTCATGAGTATGACTTGGTGTCCAGGATGAAAACACTATCTGGATCCTAATTTTTCTATTTTCTCATGAGATTGAAAAAAACAACTTCTTTTGTATATGGAAAAGCTAATATATAACTTCAAAAATGGGTTAGTGTAATACATTTGGATTAGCTAGGACTCGAACTACTCCACCTCTGGCCCTGTTTCCCACCAATTTTGAATCTTGGTGTCTTCTTAATCCCTTTCTGATAAATTACGAATGAAGGTAAATACAGAGATATATAATCATCAAACGTAATGGCAACATTCAATCAATGTCTCCTGCATTGTAATGCAGAAGAAAAGCAAAAAGAAAAAAACAAACGCAAGATACAGAATAAGAGGAATACTTATATCATGACTAAGATAACGAGTGTGAAGAGATAAGTACCAATAAGTAAGCTTATCCCAAACGCAAGAGAAAAAATTCACAACAGAAGTGTGATATGTGAAAATAAAAAACAGATCCAATTGGCAAGAAACTGCTTCCAGACTAGAAGCTGTCAACTGATTACATTTGGATCCTAAAACACGATATTGAAAAGAAGGAAAAAAAAAAAAAAAAAGAGATGAATTTGAAGCATTAGCCTTACAAAGCATCTTAATTCAACAATCGAAAAATAATAAAAACCATAGATACAACAGAGAAGAAATCAAGTCACACGGATTGCGAAGTTCTGGTTTCAGAAGTTCAGAGGAAAAAACAGAGAATTTAGTGATAAGTAGCAACAGAAATCACAAACCCAGAACACGGATTGCGAAAATTACAAGAACACTACATACGCTATTCCGAAATTCCAAAACTCCAATCAAAATATGAGAACGGAGAAACGTCAAATTCAAAAAGAGATTTGTGAGAAAGACTCACGCGAGAGAAGAGGAAGGAATTGCGAGGCGTCCATTGGAAGAAGAAAGGTGAGGATCAGCTCCAGGGAGGAAGAAGATAGGCGGCGGTGAAGAGAAAGACGTCACCACCATTTCTAAGCCTTTCGTATTTTCGAAGCACTTTTTTTGTCTCTCGTTTTTATATTGGGTAATGGAGAATGAAAGCAAAACGGCGTCGTTTCAACTACAAACAACATGAAACAAACCTTATCCAATCAAAGTTCCTAGTGTTTTGATTTATACACGATAGTGGACTAACGAAACAAGTTTTTTCTCGCAATTAATAAGATAGAATGTTTGCTTTTAGACATCATCACATTTTTGTACCTTTAGCTAATAAACTAATTACGATAAGAAAAGATTTACAATTACATGAGTTATAGAGCTTTTTCTTGATTAACAAGAATATGTAACAAAATGGAGAAACAAAAAGATTTACTACAATTACATGGACATGATTGAGGAGGTAGAGAGGCCGAGCCAGAGGAGAAGCCGTTGTGGCCTATTGAGGTATCGAGCTTGCCACGCTGGCTCCGAGGTCTCTTGCTCGAACCCACTTTTCATATATAGCCTCTTTGCTGCTTCATTGTCCACGGTCACATGCACGTACATATCTGTTATGCCTGAACCATTTCGACAACTCTTTTTTGTTTAAACTCCAGTTTGGACAATTCTAATGAGTTTGATTAAGCGTTCTTACCCCATGCTCTACCAACTTCCTTAGACTTTTCGATCAGTTTGTAACCAATTCCATTGCGATGCAGCTCTTTCGCAACACAGACGTTACTTATGTATGCTCTCGAAAAATCCACACCAATCCCCTGCAACACATAAAAAGTCTCTTAAGCTTCTCAATTTGTCCAATATCAAACTAAGTTCAGCTTTGTATTTGTTGCCAACATCAAACACCTCTGGTTTTGTTCCAGCAATTTCATCAGGAAGCCAACGGCATTGGTTAAGATCAAGACTCCCCACCACAACTCTATCTTCTATGCCATCAGAGAACTGAGAAAATTTATAGACAGAAAAACAGATGAATGATAACACGAATCCATATCACACACACGCAGTCTATCTGGACTAAGGAAGTAATACCGAAATGAATATTGGATATGTAGATGCGCAATACTATTTATGCAAGCAAATATTAAAACTCCCATGAGAAGTATTATATTATACAAACTCCACCTAGATCCACAGTTAGCAAAATATGAGAAATTGAATAGACAGACCTTACATGCAGAGCATAAATCCTCAGAAGAGCTTGATAGTTGCGACAAAGGAAGAGAAGCATTTACGCAGGCGACCCGCGTAAACCCTTCCCTCTTTCCTGAAGTTCTCTCCTTGAGCGCCTCGAACTCACGCTCTGCCAAGTATCTTCTGTGATCCTAATGAAACTTGAACAGAAAAATGTAGCATCAGCATAAGTACACAAAGATAAAAGCCAATAAGCCTTAACCAAAAACACCTTCGAACCAAGATAAACACTCAAAATCAATCACACAATAACAAAGAGCATTAGACCACCTTCTAGACTATACTCACAGCTCCAACATCATTTATAACTTCATCAACAACTTCAATAAGAACAATCCCAGCGATGAAACTAATCGATTCACAGGTGAAGGAGTTGAATTCATGATTCCCCACTATACCTAGAATTGTGAACTAATCCACCGATTAAGTAATCTTAAAGAGTGAAATAGAAAGAAGAAACACTGACTTGGATGTTGTAAGCAGAAGGATTGAGCTCGTTGAAGGTCCGTACGCGAAGACAAGCTGCAGCCCAAAGCTCATCTTCTGACACCGTTTCGGACACGACGAACGTGGACTTGTCGATCGATGGAGCACAAATGTGTGAGGCAGCAGCGACGGGACGGAACCGGAACCTCAAGGAAGGAATCGGAAGAGACGAGCGCGATGACCCATCTGTGGTTGACTCGCTGAAAATGGCGATAGAGGACGAACTTGGAAGAGACGAACAGAGAAACGCCATTTTTTGTTTTCGCGGACTAATCACATCCTCAGCTTCTTGCTAAGCTTCAAAGCTCGCATATCTGGGCTTTTCTTTAGTTTGGTCCCAATATGAGCCCATTAGTGTTATGTTTGTTTACGCTTCTTTCAATTTTTTTATCCGAAACAAATGGCAGCCATACAATTAATAATACCAAACAAAAGATACGTAAACAAACATTTTACTTAAGTTTTGGATATTTGATTAATGATTGTACCTAATCAAAGTATATCAAAATGAAGTTTTGGATATATAAAAGAATATGGAGTTGTATTCGTTACCTAACAAAAATTAACTATAGAATAAGGATTCAAGTTGTAATTATGTACACCTAGCTAAAACGGTTAAGCAATAAGTTGAGCTAATTCATGCATATGATGATGTATGTGGTGTGATAAAAGAGATTAGATTGTTCATATATATAATAAAGTAATAGTTAGAAAGTATGGGAGGATTAGAATGAGGATGTGAGCATGATGTGTGTGTGTGTCGTGAGTCATGAAGTCTTTGTCATTATCCTAAGATTCATATCTATTCTCATCATCTCAAGCATCAACTTAATTCTGATTGGACCAATGGAAGAAGAATAGATCATCATATCAGCGCGCAATAATAGAAAGAAACACATTACTCACGATTGGTGGGAGATTGGATGTAAATAAGGTGACAAACCATAACTTAAATTTTTTTTTTTTTTTTGCTAAAAATGTAAATATTTCATTAAAATGAAAATGGTTTAGGCTTACAATCAATGATTATAATCTATAAACATGGTCCCATGTCAAAAAAGATAAAAACATGGAAGCATAATTTTAAATCTGAAATTCGGTCCAACCACTCAACCAAAGCAATAAAGCTGAAGGAGTTAGAAGAAGCGATAGACGATTTTGATTGTTCTTCTTGAATTTGCTGCAGGAGGTGAAGAGCGAGTGCAAGTAGAAGAAGCCCGAATGCAAAGTCTAATATCACTAGAAGCCTTTCAATGGACGTCCGAGACTGGGCCGTCAACGGCAAATACCTCAAATTTCTCGACCACATACGCCCCTCTTACGTCATGCGAGAGTAACCGGGTATCAAAATCCATGAGCTTTCCCAGAACGAAACCTCACGGACCAAATTACGCGAACGATGTGAGCTCCCTCTACCAAGTTCCCTTGAAGTCGGCTAGCTCAGAGCGAGATAATACAAATCAAAAAACCACATCGAGCGCCATTAGCCTTACTAGCTCCTCTAGGACATAAAACACAACGCATCGAGGGGCAAAAACACATTGCAAAAGCTATCTCCAACTCACCGCAGTGCTAACAGGAAGACACGAGCAAAACCAGGGATTGAAGCAAAATCATCGGGTCAAGAATACAAGAGGTGTGAATCAAATTGAGACAGCAAAAAGCAACCACCGGAGGCTAAACTGTCACCAAAGCCAGCACCACCGTAGCTACCTGAGGGTATAAAATGAGTAACCGAGACGATACCTCACACTTGACGCGCCACAATGGAAGCTCTCCTAATAGTTCTGTGACTGTCCTCCAGCAGAATTTGCCAACAGAGAAGCGTCCATCCAATCGCCAAGCCTCATTTTCCAAGTTAGCACCAAAAAAATACCTTCACGGCAGCATTACCCTGAAAACCTATCTAAAGGAGAGTAACAAGAGTAGTCGAGGCCACGGTGACCGAAGAGGTGAAGGACAAGCAAGGCACGAAGCCAAGAAGCTTCACAACAGTCTCCGAAGACCACTCAAGACGCCACAAGCTCCGACAAACGAAGACGATCTACACGACGGGGACAGAGGCGACAAACTTCTGAAAGCACCGCCGACCACAAGCAATGAAACCATCTGGAAGTAGCCCAAACCGCCGGAGATAGTAGATCGAGCGGTGTATCTTCCACGGAGGAGCTTCCACCAAGAGAAGCAACTACTATCGCAGAGAAACGAGGGAGGAGCGCAGATCTGAAATCATGTCCTCCCACTCACCGCGTTTCAGAACAAAACACGACCCGATGACTGCTTCAAACTCCAACGAACGAAACACCAAGAGAACTACAAGGACGAGAGCCCTCTCACAGCGCCGGACTGAGCCGGACACCGGAGAGGCGTGAGCAGCAGCGGATCTTTGGAGGAAGCTTTCGTGAAGGGTTTGAGAGAGAAAATTAAGTTGCGCGTGAGATACACGCGGTGTCTCCGTTCTAAAGTCAGCTATTGACTCATATAACTTAAAATTTAACTAGGGCACGTTCACGCATATGGTCTATAAATCTATTTCCATAATTCTGTTCTCTATAACTTATGATACAACTGTATATAAATTCATAATATACGCCGGTCGATATATTCGTAATAAAAGGCATCACATGGCCTAACTAATGTAGGTGTCGATTTTTTTGTTGCATTAATGAAAAAAAAATGTTTTATTCAGTTGATTCGAACTCAATAGCTAGTGATTATCATTAGAATATCATACCTGGAAATCAAAACAACATTTAGAATTTTACTGTAAAAAATATTTGAGTCAAAACTCTTAATATGTCTTACCTACAAATTTCGTCTACCTTTTTCTTTTTCCTCTTTTTTAGTTAAAGATTTCCTTGAAACGGTAACAAAAAAAAATTCACACTAGTGGATAGAAAAAATCCAATGAAAAGATTTTTTTTATTTAAAAAAAATTGTATTTAAAACAGCAGACATTATTGAACAAACACGAGACACTATATGCATGTGATAGTTACTGTGTAATAATAGTGGTGGCATCGCAGCCATCAAAATAATGTCGGCATTTTTATACAAAGACAAATTTGGTTCAAGCTACTTTGCTAAACAGAGAATTTACGCGGAACCTCGAAACCGTAATCTTTTTGTTGCAGTTGTTGTTGTCGGCGGCGGCTTTCAACGTACGTAAATACATGTATCCAATTGTCGCGGGCTGGTCTAGCATTGATCCATTTGCAAGAAATGACAACAAAATATATATTTTTTATAAACGAGAACCCTTATCATTCCACGAGAGTTTAGTTAAGGTATTCAATTCCACACCTAATAAATGTACATTCTCGAGATTTAATAAATGTTTATTGTTGAATAATATATATATATATATCTCAATAACGTACGCGGCTAAGAGCATCTCCGATGGAAGTGTTTAATAGGGTGCTTAATGAGTTGTTTATTCTTATATATAATGAATATAATTAAAAACAATTTAAAAATTTTAAGCATTGTTGCTTAAATTGGGGTTTTAAGCAATTCATAAGTACTTTAAACTACAAATTGTCACAATTTTTTATAAAAATATTGGTAAGGACCCTTCATAGGTGCTTACCATTAGAGGTGGTCTAACAGGTCTGCTAATCCTTCCTTCCTATCTATCAAATGATTCACTCTTACACACGTTCGACACATGGATTAGTTAATCATTCTTCGCATACTATGATATATATACACAGCCAAGAGGCCCCAGACGTATATTGAGAGATTAATATTCAGTCATTTTTAGTCCTTAAGAGAGAGAGGTCTAGAGAGAGCGATGGAGATATCGTCGCAGTACAAGGCGGTGATAGCGTTAGTGTTTTTGCAGTTTACGGCGGCGGGTGTTGCACTCTTCACGAAAGCTGCTTTCATGGAAGGACTTACTCCCACCGTCTTCGTTGTTTATCGTCAAGCCATCGCCACTCTCTTCATCTGCCCAATCTCTTTCTTCTCCGCTTGGTGAGTTCATCATCAATTTTTCATCCCTTCATATAAAAATACAACTACATGAGTATCTTGATGAAACCTTATTTTCATCCACATGTGATTAATGGGTATACAGGAAGAAAGAAAACAAACCTTCTCTGGGAGTAAGAGGCTTTTGGTGGGTGGCTCTCACGGCTGTTATTGGTGTGAGCGTGAATCAGAACGCTTATTTTAAAGGGATTGATTTGTCTTCTTCATCCATGGCTTGTGCCATGACCAATCTTATTCCTGCCGTAACCTTCATTATCTCCATCATTGTTGGGTACGTATATGCATTATTCAAGATTCTTCTGAATTGATGGATTGACTAATTTTCTACATAATTTGGATGTTTGTTTTCAAGATTCGAGAGTATAAAGAGGAGAAGTATGAAAAGTGTTGCAAAAGTAATAGGAACAGGTGTGTGCGTTGGAGGAGCCATGGCAATGACTTTTCTCAGAGGTCCCAAATTGCTCAACGCCCTGCTCAACCAAGACAACACCACCTGGTTACTCGGATGCTCCTTTCTTCTCATTAGTACATTCGCTTGGTCCCTTTGGTTGATCCTTCAGGTTCCTATTGCCTCTCACTGTTCTGATCACTTGTACACTTCCTCCTGCACATGTTTCGTGGCTACTGTAGCCTCTTTCCTCATGGCTCTCGCCTTAGGCAACACTCATCTACCATCATGGAAGCTTGATTCCTCCTTGAAGCTCTCCTGTTGTATATACTCTGGCATCCAATTGGCAGTATCTTTCTTTCTACAAGCTTGGGTCGTGTCACAGAAAGGACCTCTTTTCTCTGCCCTCTTCAACCCTCTTTCAGCAGTCATTGTCACTTTCTTCGGCGCTTTGTATTTAAATGAGCAGACTTACCTTGGGAGGTATGCCATTTTCTTGCTGTCCTATTTTCTTTCTGAAGCTCAATTCCCATTTTCTTAACCTGGTTTGCTCGTATCTCCAGCTTGCTAGGCGCTTTGGCTATAATCATTGGTCTCTACGTTGTTCTCTGGGGAAAATCCGAAGACTATCAAGAAGAATCCATAGACCTAAAATTGGGAAATGAATACACCACTTCCTCCCAAACTGACATTGCGTCCATTATGATTGGTGATAAGGCCTTTCGTAGTTCGGAGCTCTTAGAACCTCTTCTCATGTGAGTTCTATTGACGCTGGTGTAAGTAGATTTTTTTGACAATGGACAACTTTAGAATAAGGCAGTAATAAAAAAAAATGAAATGGAACTTCTTTTACAAATCTCACTCGTCCCAACAGATGGAGAAGCTACTCCATGCACAAAACAATGGAAAAATAGAAGCAAAAGCAAGTTCTTTTGTAATTCATTTATTATGTTGCATATTTAAGAGAGAATTAAACTACACTGAAATGCAATCTTAAACACAAAAAAACAAGCCATCAACGAGGTGTCTTAAGGCTGCATTAACTTACTTGACAGTAAGATGATAGCACTTCAGATATCTTTCATTTGATCTCAATCTTGGTTTGGATCTCTACTATTTCATCACATAAAGCTCTGATACCAGCTACGTTTCCTGTTGTTTCTGAACGCACAACAGCCAACAGAGTAGACAATAATGAGAAATATGAGGAAGACAATGTTGACCTGAGCCATTTTTTTCCATGAGGTCTTAATGTTGTCGAGCACCATAAAGCAACTCTCTAAAAACTCCCATGAGAAGTACTATATTATACAAACTACACCTAGATGCACAGTTACCAAAATATGAGAAATTGAATAGACAGACCTTACATGCAGAGCATAAATCCTCGGAAGAGCTTGATAGTTGCGACAAAGGAAGAGTAGCATTTATGCAGGCGACCGGCCTAAACCCTTCCCTCTTTCCTGAAGTTCTCTCCTTAAGCGCCTCGAACTCACGCTCGGACAAGTATATTCTGTGATCCTAAAGAAACTTGAACATCAAAAGGTAGCATCAGCATAAGTACACAAAGATAAAAAGCCAATAAGCCTTGACCAAAAACACTTTCAAAACAAAGAAACACTCAAACCAATCACACAATAACAATGATGTCGACCGCATTAGAACATCTTCTACACTAAACTAACAGCTCTAACATCAATCATAGTTTAGATCAACGATTTCAATAAGAACAATTCCAGCGATGAAACTAAACGATTCACAGTTCAAGGAGTTGGATTCCAAATGTACCTCGAATTGTGTACCAATTCACCAATTAAGTAATCTCAAAAGAGTGAAATAGAAAATAAGAAACACTGACTTGGATATTGTAAGCAGAAGGATATTGAGCTCATTGAAGGTCCGTACGCGAAGACAAGGTGCAGCCCAAAGCTCATCCTCTGACACCGTTTCGGATACGAAGAACGTAGACTTGTCGATCGATGGAGCACAAATGTGTGAGGAAGCAGTGACGGGACGGAAACGGAACCTCAAGGAAGGTAATCGGAAGAGACGAGCGCGGTAGAGGACGAACTTGGAAGAACGCCATTTTTGTTTCTTCTCTTCGCGGCGGACTAATGACGTCCTCAACTTCTTTGCTAAGCTTTACAGCTCACGTTTCTGGGCCTTTCTATCGTTTGGGACCAATATGAGCCCATTAATGTTTCTTTACGCTTCTTTCAAAAATCTTTCCAAAATAAATGGCAGCCAATACCAAAACAAAAGAATGAAAGATATGTAAACAAACTTTTTTACTTTAGTTTTTTCGGATATTTGACTAATGATTGTACACACCTAATCAATGTATATTAAATGGACATGGAAAAGAATTTTGGGGTTACATTCGTTACCTGATAAAAATTAATTTGAGAAAATGTGAATACAAGCTGTAACACCTAGGCCCTAGCTAGCAAGCAAGTAGAGATAATTCAAGCATGAATCATGATGATGAAGGGATATACAGATTGTTCATATATATATATATATATAAGCTAGGGGAAAAAATGGAAAGGATTAATTAGAACGACGATGTGTGTGTCGTGAGTCATGAAGTTTTTGTCATTATCCTATGACTCATATCTGTTCCCATGAATCAACTTCTGATGGGCCAACGTATCAGGAAAAAAGATCATCATATCAGCAATAATAGAAAGAAACCTACTTATGATTGGTGGTTGATAGACTAGAATTAACTATGGCACGTTCAGGGAGGGATCTACGTAGTAACTTGGGTGGGGGCACGTGCCTTAGGTTGTTCATTTGTATAATTTCTCTAATTTAAATTATAGTTTTCTTCATTTCTTATATCATTTTGGTACTTCATTTTCCCTTATATGTAGTTAGCACTGTTTGATACTTTATACCCACTTATTCCTAATTCCCCTTTTCTTTCCTACAACTGTTATTTGTTTGCCACATATATTATTTTTGCTTATTAAGAGTAATTGTTCATTATTAAAAAAAAATTTATACACTAAAAACAGTATATATGTGTTAATTTGAACTAAACAAAATATTAAAGTTGCATATAAATATATATTAATATTTGTAGTAATTTTTCAGATGGATTTTTAAAACTAATTCATGATAAAAAAAAATCATATTAGTTTCATATATAAAAATTTCACGTTAAATTAGCATTATTAACAAATTAATTAGCATTACTTATGTTTAGTTCGTGCCAGTAGGAAAAAAATTCTCTGGATCTGCCAATGGGCACGTTCACGCATATGATCTTTATATATCTCTCTCTCTAATTCTCTTTCTCCATAATTCTCTTGTCTACAACTGTACTATATAATAAATTGATAACATATGTCGGTTACAATACTCGTAACAAAAGGCATCACATGGTCTTAATCAAAACAACATCTATTAGACATAAACTAATTAAAAAAATTACTAGTCAAATCTCTGAATATGTCTTAGCTAAAATTTGCTTCAACCCTAATATATAAAATCTTTCCATATATATTATATATAGCTCTAGATAGTGGATGGAAAAGAACCCAATGAGAAAACTAAAAACGAACATTTTTTGTCCATATATATAGCTTTGTTTTTAATATATAACACGGGACATTAAATATTATTGAACAAACACCAGACATTAAATGCATATGGTAAAAATTATAGTACTGTAATAATGGTGGCATCGTAGCCATCAAAATAATGTTGTGTCGTCATTTTTATGCAAAGACAAATGTGGTTCGAGCATCTTTTGCTAACACAGAGAATTTATGTCGAACCTCGAAACCGTAATCACTCATTATACAAGTATATATTTTTTTGTTGTTTCTTTCAACGTACGTAACGTAAATACCTGAATCATCCAATTGTCAGGTGGTCTAGCTTATAATCTATTTGCAAGAAATGACAAGAAAGTATAAAAAGAGATCCGTTATCAATCCATGCATGAGAGTTTTTAGTTACGGTGTTCAGTTTCACACCTAATACACACATTCTAGAGATTTAATAAATGTGTATAGTTGACATCTCAACAACGTATACGGCTAACAGGTTTGATAATAATCATTTCTTCCTACCTATCACATGATTCACACACACACACACCCTCGATACATATATATGGATGATTAATTAATCAGTTTTCACATACACACGTTCGACACATGGATTAATTAAACAGTTTTTCACGTAATTATATGATATATATACACATACAGTACAGACACAGCCAAGACGTGTATATTGAAAGATTAAACAGTTTAGTCCTTAAGAGAGAAAAGAGAGAGAGAGAGAGGGAGAGAGAGCGATGGAGATATCGACGCAATACAAGGCCGTGCTGGCGTTAGTGTTTTTGCAGTTTGCGTCGGCGGGAGTTGCACTCTTGACGAAAGCTGCTTTCAGGGAAGGACTCAGTCCCACCGTCTTCGTTGTATACCGTCAAGCCATCGCCACTCTCTTCATCTGCCCCATCTCTTTCTTCTCCGCTTGGTAAGTTCATCATCAGTTCGTTATCCCTTCATATACTTATATATATAACCACATGAATATATTGATGAAAACCCATTTCCATCCACATGTGAATGGGTACACAGGAGGAAACAAGACAAACCTTCTCTGGGAGTAAGAGGCTTTTGGTGGGTCGCTCTCACGGCTGTTATTGGTGTGACTGTGAACCAGAACGCTTATTTTAAAGGGATTGATTTGTCTTCTTCAGCCATGGCCTGTGCCATGACCAATCTTATTCCTGCCGTCACCTTCATTATCTCCATCATCGTTGGGTATGTATATTCTCAACATATATATGTATATGCATTATTTAAGATTCTTTTATATTTGATGGATTGACTAATTTTCTATATAATTTGGATGTTTGGTTTCAAGATTCGAGATTATAAATTGGAAAAGTATCAAAAGTGTTGCAAAAGTAATAGGAACATGTGTGTGCGTGGGAGGAGCCATGGCAATGACTTTTCTCAGAGGTCCCAAATTGCTCAACGCCCTGCTCAACCAAGACAACACCACTTGGTTACTCGGCTGCTCCTTTCTTCTCATTAGTACATTCGCTTGGTCCCTTTGGTTGATCCTTCAGGTTCCCATTGCCTCTCACTGTTCTGATCACTTGTACACTTCCTCCTGCACATGTTTCGTGGCTACCATAGCCTCTTTCCTCGTGGCTCTCGCCTTAGGCAACATTCATTTAGCACCATGGAAGCTTGATTCCTCTTTGAAGCTCTTCTGTTGCATATACTCTGGCATCGTATTGGCTGTATCTTTCTTTCTACAAGCTTGGGTCGTGTCACAGAAAGGACCTCTTTTCTCTGCCCTCTTCAACCCTCTTTCAGCAGTCATTGTCACTTTCTTGGACGCTTTGTATCTAAAAGAAGAAACTTACCTTGGGAGGTATGCCATTTTCTTACTGTCTTATATTCTTTCTGAAGCTCAATTTCCAATTTCTTAACCTGTTTTGCTCGTATCTCCAGCTTGCTAGGTGCTTTGGCTATCATCCTTGGTCTCTACGTTGTTCTCTGGGGCAAATCGGAAGAGTATCAAGAAGAATCCGAAGACCTAAAATTGGGAAATGAATACATCACTTCCTCCCAACATGACATTTCCATTATGATTGGTGATAAGGCCTTTCGTAGTTCGGAGCTGTTAGATTCTCTTCTCATGTGAGTTCTATTGAAGTTGGTGTAAGGAGTTTTTTTGTACAATGGACAGTTTTAGAATATGGCAGTGATAAAAAAATGAAACGGAACTTCGTTTACAAAGCTCACTCGTCCCAACAGATGGAGAAGCTACTCCATTCACAAAACACTAGAAAAGTAGAAGCACAAGCAAATGCTTTTGTAATTCATTTATTCATATATTGCAAATTTAAGAGAGAAGATACATTGAAATGCAATCTTAAATACAAAAAACAAGCCATCAACGAGTTCTGCATTAACTTACTTAACAGTAAGATGATAGCACTTCAGATATCTTTCATTTGATCTCAATCTTGATTTGGATCTCTGCTATTTAAACACATAAAGCTCTAATACCAGCTACGTTTCCTGTTGTTCCTGAACGCGCAACAGCCAACGGAGTAGACGATAATGAGAAATATGAGGAAGACAATGTTGACCTGAGCCACTTTTTTCCATGAGGTCTTGATGTTGTCGAGCAAACCAGCCTTGCAGGCTTGACAGTCATAGCATAGAGTTCCTGGTTTGTTGTCCCAGACATTACAGTCCTCGTTTGTGTATGGACCAGGGGTCTTTGTCCAAGTAGTCGGGTTTACATAGGTGAAGTTACAGTCGTTGGACGGCTTACAGCAACCAGACTACACAAGTAAGGCAAAAAAGACAGTTAGTAAAAATCAAAAATTCAAAACAAAAACAACTCACATTTTGTGTATGGTACCAAATCCAATATGTAGTAGATAGATGAAAGGGAATTTATAAAGACTAAATCTACTTAAAAGGCATTGTGTGTTTGTCTCCATTGGAGAAAAAAGTAAGCATTTTCGCTTTTTGAGGGAAAAAAAAAAACAGCAAAGAGAATCAATAAATCTCTTTTTCTTTCTTTTGTCTAAATCTAGATTCATGTGATTCACTTTATAATTCGGATCTCAAATTCTCAATTGCAGATAAACCAAATCCGAATCGGATCAAAAATGTGACCTGAAGAGCATTGAGATTAGCCTTGTAGAAGTCTTCAACGTTAATGCTGGAATAACGAGTGCGGTAAGTGGAGCAAACGTCGGAGTACATCAGACAACTCCTGATCCGTTCCCAATTCTTAGCATTGCTGACACGTTTCTGCAGCCAATTTGAGTAATCGCCGACGCGATACTCTTTGTACCCTCGATCGGATATAACCTCGCCCGCTCCTTTGTTAGTGACGGCGAATGCGAAGATTGTGAAGCAGAATCCGAGGAGAATGAGGAGGAACATAGCGAAGAGGTAAAGCCAGAGGAGGCAAGAGACTCGGCAGCAAGCGCCGACGAGACCTGCGATCGAGACGAACATGAGGAAAATTCCGAGAACGACGATTGGTTTGTCGAGGAATCGTTCGCACTCGGTGGCTGCATTTTTACCGAGCCAGATCCCGGCGGAGAGAATTGGAATTGAGAGGAGGAAGGTGAAGAAATTGAGAATTCCGAGGAGGTTGTTGCTACACTGAACCATGCTTTTTGTTTTTTTTTTACTTTTCACTTTTCTGCTTAGCTTTTCTTTAGAGAGCTTTAGTCCCGCTGAAACCAAAAGGTACTTTAATCGCTCAAATTCAGATCTTAATTGCAAAAATGGGAGTTTTGTCCGTTACGAAATCTGTTGGGAATCAAACGGTTCACAGTGTACGACAGCTAGACAAGTAAAAGTTGTTTACTCATATCTTTGATTTAAAGAAAAGGTGTTTTGTTTTTGTTATTTATTGTTTAGACCCTCAAATTGTTGGGAAGTAGGAAAAACGTCTCGAGAATTAAAAATTGAAAATTGAATCACAGAGAATGTCTTGCAATTTATTTGATCACCCAAAACGAAAATGCTTAACAAAAGAAGACAAGAGTGTTAGATTTCATGATCATCCACACGACCTTTTGGTCACACAAACTTGAAGAAAAAAAAATGATAGAAGAGAGGTTATTTTTCTGAATCAGAGAGGGCCTGGAAAAGTTCCAGTCTCCCTCTGCTCATTCCACTTGTCAACCTGCGAGGATAATCACATTGTCAATAGTGTGTGTAGAGAAAGATGGTCATAAGAGAAGTGAAGTAAGGACATAAAAAGTACAAACCCATTCTCCAGGGCAGAGAGCGCGGTAATACTTGGCGAACCTCTCGCATTCGTTGGAGTCCTCACCCTTTGCAGTTGTGCACCTACAGAAATGATTTTTGTTGTTGAGGTTAAAACGAGTTGAATAATCACTACGATTGTAAAACTCAATGTTAACATAAAAACAAGAGAGTACCTGTGGAACTCAATGTAACGGGTGAAGCAGTGCCTTGTTTGGTTTGTTGTAGGAAAACGGAAATCGGCAGGGGCAGTTTTCAATTCAATCTAATGCAATAGAAAGAACACAAAAAGAACAGCTCAGACACCAAGATCGCAAAGATGAGACCAATTGAGCAAAGAAACCAAATTTTTTATAAACTTTTATTTTGGAACTCAAAGCTTCATACGTTTCTTCTCTTTCAAATCCTAACTCTACTCTACTCTATTATACTGTAAACAAGCAACAAAATCTAGCCTTTGAGAAAATGGTTTGACAAAAAGCTACATTATACAAGAATTCCAATGCAATCACAGTCATTTAGAATGCAAAGCTTCATCTACCATAGTGAAACAGACCACACAACCAACAATACCACGTTTTTGAAGCAAATGATTTGACAGAAGATATTCATCCCTTTTATACAATTCCAAGGCAGTCACATGTATCTCTTCTCTCTCCAATGAAACATCTCGTCAATTGGAGGAAACATCTCAGGGTTGTTCTCTACCAGATCATACATGTAGAAGAAGAAATGAGAGAGTACGAGTAGGAAAAAGCTAGATCACCACCGAGCAGCCAATTTTGCATCAAATCGAATTCTCATACAAAATAATCCAATGGGAATTGAAATAAATTTAAGCACAACAAGTGATCAATCAGATCTCACATGAAGGTCCAAGTTTTCAAAACAAAATTTCCCGATTCTTCGAAGTAGTCATCTACAAGCAGAGCTAATTCGTATTTATATAACATGAATGACAAAAGATGAAAGCTTTACCTCGTCCTCCATGGCTGATCGGAATACGAACGATGAGAAGAATAGGTTGGGTAGGAGAAGAATGAGAAGACGCAGTCGAAGATGGAAGTTTTGCAAAACGCCAACATTTTCTCCGGTGACGACGACTAGAAAAAGCCAATGAGGCCGCTTTCAATGTTGTTGGGCTCTGTTGGGCCTAAAAATCACTAATAATTCATACCGGTTCGATGGTTAAAATCGGTTAAGTGGAACGAAATGTCATGGGTCGGTTTAGTCTAGTCACATTGTGTTGGATCTATTAGTTCAACTCATTCAGGTGATCGAGCTCGAGCAAGTGAGTAGTGAGGGAGGTGCAGTCTCTACGACTCTTCTTCGTTGGGTCCGTCATCCTCCAATCACGCCGGACATTTTCGATTACTTCTCTCTCTGACTCATTCGCACCATGCGCTTGCTTCTTCTCTCCCTTCGCCGTGTAACTCTGTTCTCGAGGCATCGACGATATTACACCGTTGCTCCAATTCAAAATTGTTTGATCTCAATCAATCCCAGCTCGCCTTCTTCATCCCTTGTTTTCTCGGCTTCTTCTTTCTCTACTTTTTCAAGTCCCGATGGAGATGGGAAGATTGCAGGGCCTCTAGTAGAGTATGAACGCAGAATCGTAGCTGGAGAGCTATTGGATGGAGATTTATGTCAGGTATACTTTGTTTGTTTTTGTTTCGTTCTCTAGTGGAATCGATTCTGAAGCGTCTTTTTTTTTTTTGTTGTTGTTGCAGCTAGGTACCTTAAGAGAACTTCAGAGACTCTACGACGAGCTTGTTCAATCCGCTGATGCTTGTCGATTAGATCGTTATTCTGCATCGGCAAAACCCACCAAGAGTAATTGGTTCTGGAAAAAGTTTGTGTCTCACTCTTCTGTTTCACCTGTCAAAGGCTTATACTTATATGGAGGTGTGGGAACTGGGAAAACAATGCTCATGGACTTGTTTTTTCATCAATTGTAAGTAGGAGTTCACAATTCGTATGTAGCTTCTACGTTTATTTTTTTGTGTGGAACTGTGGATTCATCTGATCCTGTTTATACCGGGTTAGGCCAGCTAGTTGGAGAGCGCAAAGGATTCACTTTCACAATTTCATGTTGAGTGTTCATAGCCGCTTGCAAGTAAGATTCTAGTTCCAAGCTTGGTTTTTTAAGCTGAGGCTTGTAGTAACCTCTGGTCTCAACTCTTTGTCATTTTAATATCCTCTGCAGAAGCACAAGGGTCTTGAAGATCCACTTGAAGTCGTTGGCCTTGAAATAGCCGACGAGGCTATACTTCTATGCTTAGATGAGTTCATGGTATGTGACGCTTATCTTCACTGTTAACAAAATTTTTTAGGTAACTCTCCTTACTTTATTGCTTTCTTCATGAATAGGTCAATGATGTAGCTGATGCTCTGATACTAAACCGTCTCTTTAGGCACTTGTTTAGCAATGGCATTGTATGTAATCTATACTAATACAACATTCGTCATTCTCAACTCTTGTAAGCCACTGGGCCTAAACCTGCAGTTATTTAATAGTTTGTTCATGTCGGTAACTGGAAGCAAGTGTAGGTTCTTGTTGCTACATCAAACCGTGCTCCAGATAATCTCTATGAAGGGGGTTTACAGAGGGACCTATTCCTTCCGTTTATTTCTACATTAAAGGTATGCGAATGGAAATGCCTGTTACTATCATCGCGCTGAACTCATTTTTATGTGATCCATTACCTTGCATAACTGATACTGAGAAGTAACTGCTGTAGGAAAGATGTGTAGTTCGTGAAATTGGTTCATCGGTGGACTATCGGAAACTGACCTCTGTCCGTGATTTCGATTCTCTCGGTAACTCTGTCTTAGTTTTGTTGCAACGTTATGACAATCTTATAGCTATATACTCTTAAATGCAGGCTGAAGAGGGATTTTACTTTATTGGAAAGGATATTTCTGGTCTTCTTAAACAGAAGTTTCAGCTGTTGGTTGGCGATCAATCGGCAGGTCCTCAGGTGGTTGAAGTAGTAATGGGGAGGAAATTGGAGGTATTTGTTTTTCTTCTTCTTCACAGATGTGTCAACTTGCAGTTCACAATCTTTTCTGAGGAGTGCTTCGCTTGGATTCTGTTGATTGATTGGCCGAAAATCTCCAAATGCCGTTCCAATATATTCCTTATCTGATATCTCTTTATCCTTTTTATTTTTATTTTGCTTTGTTTTGTTCGATACACCAGGTTCCGCTGGCTGCTGATGGATGTTCATACTTTCTTTTTGAAGAGCTGTGTGATAGACCCCTAGGCGCAGCTGATTATCTCGGATTATTCAGTAAGTCTAACCCCAGAGCCATCAGACTTTTCATTGCACTAAATTTACATGCTGCTTAGTCTTGAGACGTAAATTTTATTGCAGAGAAGTTTCATACTTTGGCTCTGGAAGGTGTACCCATTTTCGGGCTCCACAATAGGACCGCAGCTTACCGCTTTGTGACACTGGTTGATGTATATCTCTATTGATCTCTCTTTTCTTTATTCAATCTTCTTTTGAAAAATTGCTTTCCCAATGGTTGAGATTACCAACAGGTGATGTATGAGACCAAGGCCAGGCTGCTGTGCACAGCAGAGGGTAGCCCTCTAGAACTGCTGGAGAGAATAGTGACAATCTCTGATGCACAGCAAATAGCACCTAGAACCTCTTCAAGATCAAGGAAGAGTGATGATCCCGACCTTTGCGTGGACAATGAACTTGGTTTTGCTAAAGACCGCACCATTAGCAGGTACGTTTGAGCAACTGTTGATGTTACTCTTATATATAATATGGAGTCTGGATTGATGATCTCCAATGCATGCTGTAGATTAACGGAGATGAACAGCAAAGAGTACCTGGAACAACATTCAAGAATGTCGGATGAGCAGCCTTCTTCTTAGTATTGTTACAATGTTGGTAGAGACGCTGTCAAACCTGTTGGAACCATTTGTTTACCGAAGGTCTCCTAATGTATTTATTTTGTGTTTGCGCACGGACCCATCTTTTTCTTGCAAGTTGATAATGTGTTTCATCTAGTGAAGTATTTACAAAATCTAATCCTCAAGCTCTCAAATAGAAGGAATGAACATTCACGGTTTTCTCTTTTTGGGAGACCATGAGCTATATTTCTAACAAGCTGGACCTACACAGTACACAGTAACCCGTTGTGTGATCTTTCTCTAGAGAAAATTAGACACGACAAAGCACTGATATCTCTATACCCCCATAGTAAATAGAAGAACACAAAAGGGCAAATCTTTATTAAGGAGTTGAATATTTCTAGTTTTCAGCCACGGAAACCAAAAACTGAAAGCAGGAGAAAAGTTGTTAAAGCAGGAGTGACGAGCCTTGGTCCTGCGCTAAAACACAAAACATTCACATGTAAAAATGCTTTTATCAAATGATGATCGTGTACCTCAACCTCTCATCAATGGAGCCAAAATGTTTCCCCATTCCTTTAGCCTCAATGTTAATACTTCAGTGACAGACAGTAGCTTCTTCAACTTGTAACTTCAATTTGCTCGATTTCATTATCGCTGTAATCTCCCCAGCACTTGCCTCCCTGTCGTTCTCCATTTTTCTCGTCAGAGGTCTCATGAGATGTGGTTTTCACTTCACCTACTGTCAAATGTCCATTTTCAAGTGCATCTGTAGTTGCTTGTGCAATGGCTTCTTCATCCTCTCCAGCTTTTTTCTCATTGTTGCTTTCTTCTTCGCTTCCGCTCTTCTCCTCAGAGCTTTCGGCACCAGGTAGATCCTCCAAAGCAACTGGTGTAGGTATGCTAAGTCCATTCTGAGGCTGTGTAACGGACATGTTACACGGATATCCACCGGCTACCGGCGACAGCGGGTACCCATTCTGTGTTATTTCTGCCCCATTTGGAGATACTAAATAGCCATTTGGTGGCACTGGATACCCATTAGAAACCCAAGGTTGACTAGGTATGAACTCAGCTGCATGGGGGTTCATTATTCTTGGGCCATTGAATTGATTAGCCTCGCCATTGGACTCTGTGCTATTGGAAAAGCTTGGTTTGTTACGCGGAACCCTGTTTCCAGAACGATTGTAACCACCACCTGAGAGCCTAGGTCCATAGGGAACTCGAGCTGTTACTGACTGATGAGGAGTTGATCTGCGGACATGGTTAACAGGAAGCATTGGCGGCATATTCAATGGAGAGGGAAGGATTCCACCATGGTCTTTGAATCCTGGAACTGCAATCGATCCAAAAATTGGAATGGTTGTTGGGGTATACGGCGGCGCAGAAGCAGAGAGCTTCTTGCTCATCTCTTTTTGTGCTTCGCATGCGTCTTGCTTTTCTCCATCTACAGCTATTGATGACTTTGGGCTCGAGTCTCCATTGGGCAGATTTTCTGTTTCGCCATCTACTGTCTTCAGTTCAGTATCAGATAAATCCTTTTGTAGCTCAACTCCAACTGGTGATCCACTACCACTCGAATCTTTTGGTGTTGGTGACTTATTCAATTGACATGTATTTGAATCCTCAGACATTTGTGCACCCTCAGTTTTTCCTTGTCTTGTATTTGATATGGCTGCCTCTGTTGAAAATGCTTCGTCAGCTGTCTTTACGGCCTCCACATTCTTGATTTCTTTTGGTGAGCTCGTCAAGTTCAATCCACCAACAACCACCCTTTCTTGTTGACCGCTATCAGTGTTTTCCGTTTCTGCAGCCACATGCATATTCTCGCTCTCCGCATTATCCTTTTGAGGACCATCCACTGCAATTTTTGCCGTATCCAAAATCTCTGGGGATTTCGATTCTTCTGGCAACTGCTCTGCAGCTAATTTTACGATCGTTCCAGGGGGTGCTAGTGCAACCTCCTTATAGGAAAACAGTTTTCCAGCTTTGACATTCACAGGACTCACCATCGAAGTCGGCTTGTTGATCTGTTCAGTGCAAGCTGGGATTGCCATGGCTGGTTTATCGTTAACTGGTCTTTCTCCCACCATATTGGAACTGTTTTGCTTTCTGTTCAAACTCGTGTTCTTGACAAACATCTTCGGGGCATGGGAAGAAGTGGAACCAGAAACAGAAATTGAAAGCTCATTAGAGCTAGTCTTTGGGGATGTGAAATTAGTGGATTTTCCTCTGCTTCTTGATGTCTGCTGAGTCACATTCATGAAGTTTGTGTTCAGCTTTGCCAGACTGGGTCGGGTTCTACGCCCAGAAAGATAACGGTTTTTTGGGACTGCTTCCTGCCATCCTTCGTCGGGGTCATTATCCTCTTGGACCGTGGCTACAGGCTTAACCAGCTTCAGCTGGTCTTGAGGTTCCAAATCAATATTTTCAACTTTTTTTTCTTCAGATTTTGCTTCGGATTTGTTCTCTTTATCACTTGAACTCTCCCCAGTGACATGAGCTGGACTCAGAATTTCATCATCTTTCTGATTTTCTTCTGACACAGGTCCTGGACTTTGTCCTGGTTTTCCTTTGACCTGAATGAACATTTCAAGAAAAATATCTGTCACGCCTAATTCATGCAAGCATTTCACTAAAAACATGGATAAAGTAAGTGGAAAGCAAGTACCACCTTTGGGCGAGCTTTCCTTTGAGCATCTCTTGCTTTAATACCAGAATCCGGGGTTATATAATCCAACAGGTCTGATACACTGTTATTGGGAAGAAAGCTCACGGTTATATCACTCAGGACAAGATTTACGCAAGATAGAAATTTGTACTAGTGGTCTAGGCAAATGGTCTGCATTTTAAATTTCATTTATGGTAGTCAGTTCTATTTATATTTTTTGGCACCCATGTAGATTTTGTAAACATTGCTACAAAATGGAATGCAGGAGTATATCAAATAAATATGTAAAACGTAAAAGAAAAATCACAAATGTTTCAATACCTGAGATGGCCTTTGCTTGAAATAGAGGCGTCTGGCTTGGGAGTACCATTTCGTGCAGCTTCTTGCTGTTCCAGAGCTTTAGACTCGAAATATTCAAGCCACGCAGCGGCATCCTAATCCAGTTCTCGAACATAAGAAACACTTTTTAACTGGAAAATCCCTATAAATCATAACTAATTAACAACCTGTGTCCGAAGATCCTCGGGGCCTAGTTTTGCTTGTAGAATCTGTAGAGTGGTCTGCTCGTGTTGGACGCTTAAGGAGTATGCATCCATCAGAGAAAGAGCAATAGCAATGGCATGGTAGCTTGCAGCAGTCTGAAAAAAAATATAGCAGAAGTAAATTCATGTTTTAGGGCATTATCTCGCTTCCACAATATTGTTTACTTATTAAGCCCAAGCCTTCATGGCATGGGAATCCGCTGTCTTTAGACATTGACAGGTCATGGAGTTAACGCATTTACCAATCATGTTCTTGCTTAAGAAAACCAACCTGGATATGATCAGCTCCAAGTAGTCGCTGGTTACATTTCAACGCTTCATGAAGGTATCTTAAAGCCACATGGGCATTCTTCATCCCTTCTTCCATCATTGCTACGTTAATATAAGTGGCAGCTGTATTTGGATGTGATGGTCCACATGTTAGATGCAAAAGGTACAATGCACGGTTCACATACCTACAACAAGAATAACATGTTAGCAAATCGTAAGAATTAATTTTGTAGTCTTTGGCTTTGAGAAATACAGAGAGCATACTTCAAGGCTAACTCTGTATGCTGAAGACGATAATAGAAGACGGCCAGGTCGCCGTAGCTTTTCATTGTGTCTGGGTGATCAAGTCCAAGTTCCCTTTCATTTATGTCGAGTGCTTTCTGCTGATATATGGTAGCCTGAAAAATCACAACTGGTTAGTGCTGCAGAAATATTCTTCTGCGAAGGAAGTAGGTTAATTGAATGATGCCTCGATGATGGTCCAAAAATCTTTCAAAGAGAATACCTGGTTAAAATCTCCAGTATGGTACAGCACAACAGCGAGGAGGCTATATGCTCCAGCAGTCATTCTATGGTATGGGCCGCACACTGCTACAAGCTTTGCTAATGCCTATCAAGTTCATCCCAGAATATCAGCTTAGTTAGGCCGGTTGAACAAAATGAATACATCCGTGTGAAACAAAATTGTCAGAAATCAAATTATGTTTTAAACTGAAGGGTTGATTCGTTGAGTGCAAAATTTTCTTTGCCGACAAAAATAACTCAGTGATTCATTACTTGCATGGTGCTAAAAATCCTAATCAGTTAGTATTGCTAGTTCTCAAAATAATAAAATAAGTAGTTGATAAGAATAAAAGATGGTGAAACTTATAATATGAAAATGTTACATTGCTTTCAGAGAAGAAGGGATATATAATGGGTAGCAACAGAGGGAGGCCAGAGAGAGAATTGGTTTTCTGTATAATTAGATTTTGGAAAAGAAGAGAGAAATATATCTAGACTACTAAAGAGAAACGCCTTTGTTACATGGTTGGTATGTAAAGAGGAGTGAGAAAGATATCAGTTATACCTTGGTGCCATAATTGACAGCATCCTCCAGTTTGCCTTTATCTAAGGAGGTTTTGGATGATTCCAACAAAGTGCGTCCATCGGCAGATGAACATGCTACGTGCTGCACACAGGAGCAGTGCTCGTAAGTAAGTGAACCACATCACTTTTTCTTATAGCTGATTACTAAAGTAAAATAGTTATGCATGGTACCTTATACACAGGAACCATACTGATTATATCAAACTTCTTAAAAGGATATGACGTGTCCATCTCATAGTCTTTAGGAACAAGCTCCAGTCCAACCTGAAACGATAAGTGAAGCAACATGTGAGAACATCATGTCCGATTTTCATCACTAAAACAATCTGATTGACAGTCGCAAACCTTGTGAGACAATCCTCTAAGAATGGCGAATTTTCTTAGTTCCTGGCAGCCTTCATACTTCCAATCCCACCCAAACCTCTTGGAAATGAATGTTTCCACCCAGGTCCATTTTATCTTTTCATCACATATACTCTCAGTGTCAGACGGTGTTCCCAACAAGACATTTAAGCATGTTGCTATTGAGATGGCCAGATCAGCGGTGTTTCCAACAGCTGCCACAACAGCCTGCAGTATATGCTTATATGCCCGAACAACCATTTCATGAACACAGAGGGATTGCACATGAGGGAGCTTTTCAGCCAGTTCGACCTAAAATAAGAGAAAGAAAGAGTGATTCCTAAAAGAAATGGGGCACTTTTCTTTTCTATACATAAACATATTCTACCATCTATTTTGAAGAGAGCGGGTACCAAAGACTATGAGATGAAATGGTTACCACTCTCCCTAAGGAATGCATTTGCAAGCCTCTGGTATGCATAAAGTCTGTCAGAGTTCTCCCATCGACTGGTGAGAGTTCAAGAGATCCAAAGTCTGCCACCTGCACAACATATCCAAGTTCAATTTTATGAGGAATTAAGAAACACCCCTAAACAAGCAATAAAGATCCAAGAAACTGACCAATTTTGGAAGAGCAGTGTCAGTGTAGTATTTGCGGGCCATCTCAATCAGCTCTTTTGGTGACTGCAGGGTAGTTTCATGGAGAGGGAGAACACATGGTAAGATTCATAAAAACAAACTAGGCTAAGCAGATACCAGAGATGATTCATCACTTACTACTAGCCTCAAATATTATATATTATCAGCTGGAGAAACAGACAAACCTTGAGATGAAAACCAGTTTCTGATTCTTTAAGGCGCTGGTAGGCAGTTTCTGTCACTAGCTCTTTCCACATCTTTTCCATTTCCTCGTTTTGTTTCTCGAGTTCCTTTTGATCCTCAGTTTCTGATTTATTGTCAGTGTCCTCTTTGCCCTGTTCAGTCTTGTTGGCTTTCACATCAATCTTCCTTTTTATCTCTTTCAGCAGTGCACCTTGCTTCCCAAGACCCTTAACAGCTTGTTCAGGCTTGGCGTCTTCAGTTTTCTTAGACTCACTTTTACTTGAAGCTTGATTTTGCAGATGTTGCACCCAACAAGCTCCTAATTCCCACCTTATAGGCTTATAATTTCTTGAGGGTTCAGTCTCCAATTTCTTTAGACTGTCCTCAAATACTTTCCTCACAAGGGACTTAGCCACACGTATTTGTTCTGAGTCTGCATTTGGTGATCTCTGAGCTAAGCTAGACGGCGTTGACGACTTGTGCAATAGAGTTCTCAAGCTGTAAAATGATATACAGAAAAACCTCTCTGAATACTGTCTATTTCAAAATCCACATATTGTATGTCAAAATGTCACAGATTTTTAGATCATGCCAAGCCATATGTTCAGCAACACACACGTGAAGAAAACGGACATGCCTTTTTTGCTTGAAACTTGTAGCCAACAATAAGTAATCATTAAGACTAACGCATATACACAAAGATTTACCTATTTACATTCAGTGCATTTGCACCTCCTTCTGATTGGTCTTCAATGTCGATATCCTGTAGTATCTGGCCACCATTCAAGTTAAATTCAGGAGCAACCTTTACAATGGCTGTACAACCACAATGTCTTACAACCACCACCCCCAAGGTAGACGTATCCTATATGATCAAAGTAAATCTCAGTAACAAATCCAACAAGAGCAAGCTAAGAAAAGCATCTCAAGCTAACAAATTACATGAACTGTCGCACTCTCATCAGCAGTGATCCCTTTAAGCAAATTCCTTTGAGCAAGTTCTTCCTGAGAGATCTCTAGGACCTGGGTCCCATCACTCTTTCGGTCAAGCTTGGCACTTGCATCAGGATCATCTCTAGCCACCCTTATGATTAAATCACCTATTCTTTCTTCATGGAAAGCCAGTGCAGCAGGATCCTTTGGTGAGCGTTGATTACTCTCTACTACATTTTTTATTGTTTCCACTGCTTTGAATACTGAAACGTCGACAAATAGACTGTGGAGTAGAAAGGCCTTCCTATCTCGAACCTGTCTCTCTTCAGGTGTTTTACAGGGCATTGCTGCCAAAATCGCAAATTCCTTTGCCCATTTCCTTTGGTCATGCTTACCAGACCGGCCCACCCCACCGCCATCTCCTCCCCATGTCTCATCCTCCACTGGAAGTGACGGGAAAGTAGATGGGCTATCTGCAACAACCGGAGGAACTACCCAAGTGTTTGCTCGGAAACCGTAAGGAAGGTTGCCAAACTGAGAAAAAAGAATAACAATTACTACAAGTTTAACTTTCCGACAATCAACTATCAATACCGGTGAAATTATATAAGGTATGAAAGTACATTTGCGTACCTTATTGTGCTCAATAAAAGCTTTCATAAGAGCATCATAAGCCTGCAGCCACAATCACATATGAGATATGACCAGCGATAAGAAGGCAAAACCAAAAAAGTAAAAATGGCAACTTTTTTTATCACCAAACTCACCGCATCAAATGGCCGGCTGATCTGTTGCAGCAGCTCAACCAAGGAGTGACACAGAAGTTGCTGTTTCCCAGCTGGATAAAAACCTGTTCTTGATGCAACAACCGTGAACGGTTTCCCAGTTGATACTTTAATCTGTATTTGACAACAATGGTTGTAGCAAAATTACTTTAAAAATCACATCCCAAATTCATACTCGTATAGCTTCAAATGAGAAGAGCCCCTTACATCGATTTGAAACAGGTCATCTAATCCTTTCTCTTCTTTGGGTGGACGAACAGACCTCCTGATATCTGGATAATTAAGAATCCGGAATCAACAATAAGCGAGTGATCATCCTCAGAATTCGACTAAGAAATGAATAACAAAACTCACATTGAATCGGAGGAGTAAGATAAGAGAAGGAGAAAAACTCGTAGAACTGCCCAAGACGAGTCGGTGGGCACATGTTGATTTCACCCTTATCGGTGCCTTCCGCCGCCTGAGCCTTAGGGCTGAGACCGGAACCTGAATCACCTGCATCCTTGTCGGCCGGAGAATCTCCCTCAGTCGAGCCGGACTCCTTCTTTTCATTGGGAGGCGTACGAGACACCGGCGGTTTCGATGGACCAAATGCGTTGGTGCAAGCGACGATGTCCAAGAGCCGCCGTATGTGCGCGGTGGCTTGTTCCTCCGTGTAATCCTCTACGAATTCAAAAAAAAAAAAAAAGTCAGGATCACCTGTGGCTCACCCTAAAAGAAAAAATCAATTGGAGAAATATAGACCGTCAGATCAACGAAGATTACCTTCGACGATGGTGAGGTGGCAGGGCTTAAGAGATACGATGTCAACGGAGTCCTTGAGTCTAGTGCCACGCACCTGCAGCAGAAAGAATCAGTTTCGGCGGCAAGTGTCAGAAAAAGCTATAACCGTCACTTTTGGGCCTAGGGCCCATTAGCAAAAATGTACATTAAAAAGTTTGGGAGAAAAAAAAACATATGAAAAGAAGCGATGAAACAAAAGCCACATAAATGTGTTGATTGATGAAACCTGGTGAGAGAGAGAGAAGTTGGTGAAGTGGCAAGTCTGAACATGGACCGCCAAGAGCTTCCTTACATCCAAGATTCTGTCTGTGGAGATACCCTATCACAACATCATCATCACCACAAATTCACATCATCATCAACTTGAGAGAGAAAGAATCATGTTCATCTTCATTATTGGCTTATTAAGTTGAACAATCAAATTCTCAATCAATGTTTTTTTATTATGAAGTGTGTTAAGCTCAAACCTTGAGTGTCACTTGGGATTCGTCTGGTGTTTCCACACTTATCTCAATGACAGTGGGCAAAACTGCACACAACCACACAATTCTTTATTTATTTATTTGTCAAGACAAAAAACAAGAAAGAGCTGAGAAAGCAAAACTTGGCTTGTCGTTCTGCGTGGAGTAACCAAAATGAATTTTAGCGATACGAAAAACAAGTTTGAAATGGTATTAGTGGTAATGAGAGAATTGAGAAACCTTTCTCTTCCTTCTTCTTCTTCTCTCCTTTACTCTTGTGTGGCTTAGTTTTCCCAGCTTTAGGAGCCATTACCAATTCACATAAAAGAACTTATAATATCCTGAATTTGATCAAGAAAACTCAAAACTAAGCCTTAGATATTGAATTACACCCTAAAGTAGTGTAGATGAAGGGTGAGAAAGAGAGAGCAAGAAGAAGAAGATAGAAGAAGAAGAAGAAGAGAGAAGGGTGTTGTGGGTGGTGACAATGAGGAGGAAGTAAAAGGTATAGGGGAATAAGAGAGAGGAGAGGGGTCAAATAGTGATTGAGAAAATATAGTAGAAGAGAGATTTTTAGAGAGAGAAAGAGAGGATAGGATAAGGTGCGAGGGGGGCTATTCTCTTCTTCTTTCTCTCTATGAAGCTCCTTAAGAGTGTTTTGAGGCTAAGTAAAATTGAGGCCTCTCATTTCTTTGTTTGCATCTTTAACACCTCATCATCAACTTCATCTTTTCTTCTCTCTCTCTCCCTCTTTCTATACATATTTTTCTCCTATTTTTTAATAAAATACAAACAAAAATTTATTTTAATATTTCCACCTTATTTTCGTCATTTTATGAGATTTTCACCCCATCACTTAAGATATTTGGATTATCAGTTTATTTTACAACCTTTGGTAAATCATAAACTATATATAGAGACATGGCCTGCTCAAGAATCAAGATTATATGGATCGTCGTCTAAATGTACTTTTCTTTTTTTGCTCTTTTGGGCTTTTATCGGCCACAAAATTGTTAAACATAAAACAATATTGAATTTTAAGAAAATAAATTTCTAAACAAAAGTTTTCAAAAACCTTATCTATATATAACAAAAAAAAAAAACGATTTCAAGAGATGATCATAATTGGTTGATAAGTCTAATAATTCAGATTATTGGATTCATTCATGTGCGCTGCAACATACTACGTACCAATCTTTGGGTAGATCTATCCATAAGAACACACTAACGATGAGGCTGGTGATATCTGATTTATTGAGATCAGACACATGCCGTCCTATGACTTTGCGATATGTTTCTAGTCCAACAAAAACAAAAACAAAAAAAGCCTTGCATCGAAGCAGAAAACCACAAGTAGTAGTACAGATGAACCACGTGAGTGCTCTCCCTAGATTTTGCTTCAGTCTTTGTCCTTTTCTCCTTTTTTGTAAACACTATTTTTCCTTCGTGTAAAGCCTAAAATTGGATAATAGACGTATAACTCGTAAAGGCATCTAGCTAGCTAAGCTAAGTAATCAAAAAGAAAACACTTATTAACAGCGGATTATACATGGGCTTGGGGGCAAAACAATACATGTCAAACAAATTCTTCTTGACAAAACCTGAGATGGGGCTTACAAGTTTGAAAAACTGGGCTCTCTATAAATAACGTTGAGTCATACAAAACTCTTATATAGTAGGCCACGTTTTGATACCTTTCTGGACTTAGCTCATTCATTTATTAGCACTTTGATGATCACTAGTGTCTAGCAAGACGAGTCAGAAGTTGGAGGTCAACTCAATCACTAAAATATAGTATTTACTGGCATGTATTCATTCTACCATAGTCGATACTTGATAGTACCATGCCTCAAAGTTCTATTTCCTTTAGTTAGCTACTTTGTAGCTGTCATCCAAAATGTTGTGAATTCAGATGAACTTTCGATAATATCTCAAAGCGTAACAACTACACAAAACGAGCTTACTTTTTTGTATTAATCATATGAATAACAAGTTACAAATCTTAGGACATTCTCACATATGCTTCGAAACCTGATACCATCTAACACAAAATAGCAAAACGTATAAGATGTGTGTCATATATTGTGGGATTGTTATTGTTGTTTTTTTTCTTTTGACTTAGATAGTGTGTGTTATGGTTCATATCCATTTGAAGAAAAATAAGTATTTACATTGACATAGATGATCAACATTGGGTGGAGGAGTCCACTTTGGAAAAAGATGGACATGGTCTAATTGCTTTAGTAGTATATTTGGATATAACTCTTTTGACCCCAGGAATTTCAAATTAAGATGATTACATGATTGATGTTAAGTATTCCCCTCTTAATGTGCCCAGGCAATTCCTGAATTCCATTCCTCAGAAGTTAATTAAATCAGACAATTTTTCTAAATAATATTTTTCTACAGTTTCAAACTTTTTTCTTTTCTTAATTTTCTGCTACTTTGTCCACGTTTTGTTGCTTGAAATGGCTTTTTCTTTGATTTTTTTAATTACTCTGACTATATCAAATTGGTCAAGACTTAAACACTAGGCTAGTAGGCTGGACCGCGTTTGTATATTTGTATATTAATTTCCCAACCCAACAAATAAGACTTTCTTATTTTAATATCACTTGAGAACAATTCTTCTGCCTATCTCAATCTCTATATATATAATCACATATCCATTAGAATTAATCAAAACGCAGAACCAATTCAAGATGGGTGAAATGATCAAAGGCAGACGCATACTCCTCTTCTCCATCATATTGCTCTTATTTTTCTCTCAGACGTTTCTTTTGTGTTCCGCTAATGAGCATGGCTCAAGGAACCTCGCAGTAGTTATGAAGAAAAGGGTGAGATACAGAGGACCTCGCAATACAACAACCTCCTCAGCTCCAACTATGATGTCGCCAAGTTCCTTATATATTGGTGCTGCTTCTTCTTTCCTCCTCGCTCTTCTTTTGTAAGCTCCGTTGTGGTGATCATGATCATACTGTTTCACACAATTATTTATGTAAATTTAATTTGTTTTCTTCTATACGATTGGTTTTGTAAAAAAGTTTAATGCATGGTGTAACAAAACTCTGTTTTGTATTTATTTGCTCTGTTTCAAGACTCTGAAAGATTTTGGACGTTACTGGACAAGGATTCTTCTCTCTGTTCCGTTCACGTTCTTTCATATATAGTTTGAAATATCTTCTCTGCTTCAAGAAATCCAGAAAGTTAAAAGATATAGTATCTGGATCCGCTGCTTTCCCTTTTTGTCTTTGTACGCAAACATAAGAAGCTAGCTAACGATGGCTTTACGATCTCATCAGTTAAAAAAGAGCTTCTCCAGTTATCTATGTCCCATTGATCTAGTTCTTTCTTATCTATATGAACGTCAAAAGTATATCGTCACCTACTTGTTCCCATCTCTGCGTATTTGTTTTATCCCACCACTTTCCTAAAACCACACCAAGTCACATCACATAGATCTTGATTCATGCAAACAAGTCGTCACAGGACGAAGCTTTCACGATTCTATAAGCATCTCTTGACAGCCTGGTCACTACACACTACAGTGGTGACTCGAATCATTGCTCCAGGTCAAATTCGGCCAGTGATCCGCAGTATTCGTTCATGTGATAAAAAGGGTGATTGGATATCTCTTTTTTTAATTGTTTTTTTTTTTAAGTCTTTCTTAATGATTTTATTTGTTGAGAGTTTGTCGCACGAACGCAGTCCGCTCGTACCATCGGACCTTGACTTCTGACCGATTCTATATAGTTTTAAAAAGAAAAAAAGAAAAAACCCTTTTTTTTTTTGCTTACCGTATTGGTTTTTTTCGTTTTCTGATGAAATAAACAAATCATGCAGACAAAAGTGTGTTACGAAGAAATGCGTGACCAGAACAAGTGGTTAATAAAGAAGAAGAAATCTCAAACATATTGATGATTAATTTTTTCATAAAAAAAATCATAAATTAATGGAGTAGATGAAATTAACAAAGCATAAAAAGAACATTGTAAAAAGACAAAAAGCAAAACGCATAAATTAAGGTGATTGAGCGTAAAAAAGTGGACGACGGTACTCATCGAAGAATTGATCACGATCCACGTACACAATTGCATAAAGTGCGTAGATGATGCCCGGTACGTATCCCAAAAGTGTTAGGATCAGGCATATCATGAACTCCGTCTACACATTAAAATGTTGACATTCACGTATACATTTCAAGCTCTCGATCGTGAAACACACACACACAAAAAAAAAAAAAGAGAGAGATAGAGAGACGTACCGTGCAACAGCCATGCCTCAGACATACACCGAGAGGAGGGATGAGTATGGCGATCATTATTTCACAGCAAATCTCACACCCATTCGCCATTTCTCAATGTTTCGATCCTTTAATTTCTTCTTCTTTTTACTACTTTTGTTGGATTGAAAGCGCTTATTATATAAAGGGAAGGGAGACAAAAAAATAAAACAGCGCTTCAAAACGACAGCGTTTGAAAACACATACCTAATGACAGATGTATCACATATTTAAGAAAAGAAGAATGAATGCTCAAAATGTGCAATAATACAAATATTAAGTATTTTAACGAGTACAAAGAGTGGAGCTATTTCGAAGCTCTTTGTGTTGGATTGTGTAGAAGATAATCTCTTATATTTTATGTTATCAAACAGAATCAATATAACTCATGCCAGTTAAGGATCTACGGAGTGATGATAGTCCTGTGTTCTATTGGAGGCCCGACCACACAACAAAACATTCTTGGGCAAAGGGAATTCATCTTTGTGAGAGTGTCCTGGAGAGTGAACTCGAAGGTAAAATTGTTGACCTAAGTATTGTCTCGGCCAAAACTGGCTCCTTAGATTCCACATCCCCACATTGTCCAATGCCACATATATAGCTGTCCAAGATTCTGGATATACCTACAACAAACCAAACACATTTCAGCTTTGCGATCAAAATCTGTCATTCTTTCTAGAAGAAGAGATCTGGAGAACGTTTACTTACTTGAGTAGTAGAGCGAGAAACAGCATCTTTGAGGTTATACCCTCGTCTGCTCGCCTTTGACCATGTTCCTTTATTGATCCTGTGGACAACTCTACGGACTTCAACGACCATTGACGTATTCATATAAGTCTCTAAGTACGACTTAGCTATTATTCTTACCCAACAACCCAAAAGTTGTATCCATCGAGGTGGTAACTTTGGACGATCTTCTCGCGGTTTTGGAAGATGATCTCAATAAAAGCATTATGGTCTGCTCCCATCACTGATGTATCTAGCCTCATCTCTCCTCCTCTTCTCGGCTTGTCAGGGATGCTTCCAACTTTAAAAACATCTTTTATCTTAAAATAATCCGCTAGCTTCAGCGGAGTATCCGCAGGCACGAATGATACGCCGTTTATGGCATAGCGTTGCCTTCTCTTCACAAGGGCTGCTGAGCTTTCCAATATCAAAGTCCTCGAAATCTTCATTTTACCATAATGGTTATCGCCTTGAGGGTCGGTGCTTGGCCCGAACGCAGTTAGGTTGGTCCTAATGGACTGGGCTTGTTTGATAGACCATTCTACGTCATCTACTTCAGGTCGTCGAGCATGGATAATTTTAAGGCCTTTGGAGTTGGAGTAGTGGAGATTGACTCCCATACTATGTTCTACGTGGATAAACCTTGTTGAGGCGACAATTGAATAGTTGTGGGGAGGTTGGTCCATGGTGACCAAGACAGAGTAAGTTTGACCAACATGAATGTCGAGTGAGGTGTACACGGATTGGACTGTGTGGGTTCCCTCGACCTCTATGAGCTTAAGCTGATGACCTAATATTTCGAAATTTAGGCACGTTTGAAGCCCTACATTTGATATTCTGAATCTGTACGTTTTACCTATCACATGGTCCACGAAAGTGATGAGAGAATGCTCTTTCTTTTCTTTTATTTTGTAAACAACGTAATATTATTGATGGTTTTTCAATATGAACCTGCTTCGACGGTGAGAGTAGAAACATAACTTAATCCTTGGCCATTGATCAAAACCCCATCGGGCGTCGTCTTTAACTTGCGTCCTTTATCCAAAATTTTCTTCAAAGTCTGATGTGGGATCAGTTTGTTCGATATTGTTCATCATATATATGTAATGAAAAATACAAATAAAACATGGCTAGGTAGTAATTGAGAAATTAATGCACCTTATGGTCACGTCGATACCAATTGCCTATGAGTAGAGTGATATCTCTAGCGGGTTCAGGGAAAGGGAGGGGGATGTGAGGGAGGCTGTAGATACGGAGGCTGCCATAACCGCCGGCCGCTTTTTGGACGTCTAGGGAAGGGAAGTAGTAGTAACTACCGATCTGATCTTTAACTTGAAAGTTGTAAGTGTAATTCTTGCCCGGTGGGATAGGACAAGTCGTACCAAACACTCCATCTTGGTAAGAGTTTTTCCTCATATGCACTCCATTCCTTCATTTATTACTTTTTGTATTTATTAAATCTTTGATATTGTAATTAGCATGAACAACCTTACGTGTTCACTAATAATACTCAACAAATTAACAAGATTTTGAAGAAACGGCACATGCAAATTGTATCCATTCTTACCATGTACCAAACTCCAATCCTTGTTCTAACATAATTTAAGGTTTTAATTTATTGTTATTGGAAAGGAGTTGTTACAAGCTTGTTAATATATATTGAAAAAGAAAGTGGTAAAGAAGGAGAAATAGATGATACCAAGATAAGAGAAAGGGCTCGTCGAGATCGTTGTGAACATGGATGACCAAACTGTCATTGGTGAGTGAGCGAATCTCCGGTCCAGGAAATTCTCCGTTAATTAGGATTCCCTATGTGTGTTTAAATAGGAATATAAGCATGATCAATACATACAAACACACAAGAAGCAAGAAGCCACTTTGGGTTGATCTTGGAAGAAAACGTACCCTTCGAACCAAACTAGGTCGAGTAGTGATGTCGCCGTAAGTGACCCTCCAGTTGTAATAAAGGGTATCTCCAGCATTAACAAAATATATGATGGTCGTCGTCATCATCATCCAAACACCGCCATGTAGCCACCACCCCATACTCGATCTTGATGAAACTTCGGTAATGAGAAGGAAAGTAAAGGAGAAAAAGGTTGGAAGATGAGAGCTTGAAGGTGTGTTTTGGAGTTTGTAGTGGCCGTGAAATGGACTCTGTGACGTATTTAAAGTCTTTCCAGTGAGCTAGATAACTAATTACGTATATCATTAAATTTGTAATAAAGTGAAAATATTTATGCCTCAAGCCCAACAATTGGCCTTGTTATTATGCTGAGTGTTGCATTTCATTCTCCTTGTGAGATATATTTCAAGCAGATACATTATTTTACTCTAGTGAGAGCAGTTGATAACAACTTAATATTCTAATAGATTTATATAGAAGAAAGGGTGAATGCCTTTTGGATTTGACTTTAGGTGGAGACATTCGCATTAGTAGAGACGACCAACATGCTTTGTTAGTATAAGTCCTTGGGATTCGATTACCCAAGGCTCTCTTCTAATTGTTTATTAAGAGCACATGATCTTATTATATCGTCCAAAATGACAACTTTCTAGTCTCAATATGATTTTAAAATTTCAAGACCTCGGACCAAGTGTTAAACTGGAAAAAAAACACAGTTAAAAACAAAACAAAAATGAGGGTTAGAGTTTGCAGAACCAAAACTAAAAAAAAAGAGCACAGCATTTACATTACACAACGCATATCTGTCTTGTAGCTTCACGTGACTCTCTTTAACCCTCTCCGGACCAAAAAAATAAATAAAAATCACAGAAGAAAGAGAAAGAAACAGAGGAGTAGGGGTAAAAACGGTAAGAACCCAACAAGATGGGATGATGAAGAGAGGCTCCTCTGAAACTGAAGCGAGTCAACTGCTAATGGCATGTTCTCTTGGTCAGGGCTGCACTTGTTGAGGTGAGGTGGGTGTGGACTATACATAATGGCTCTTAACACAGCCGAAACTGTTGGGATGTAAGCCGTTTTGTTACGAGCCAGTAGCCATGTGAGTCCCATGAGCTGGCAATCTTTGCTCATCATCTTACTCCCTCTCTCTGTTGTTGTCTTCTTGTTTCCTCCTCTAACCTTTAGCTGTAATCCATCAAATTTTTAAACCAAAAACAAAACAAATTTAAGTTATTAAAAAGTTATTTACTATATAGTATAATGGGAAAAAGATTGCGTGTGAAAGTGAAGTGTCTCAGAGTGTTTCAGTGCTTTGGGTTCATACGAAAAAAGAAAGTTTCTGAAAAAGCACATCTCCAATTGTTTGCAACCTAAAAGGATAGCCAAAGATAACAATGTGCTTGTGTGTCTCTTTCAAGATAAACCCTAAAATTAACAGTAAATTTGTGAGTTAGGTGAACATGTTTCTCATGGATAGAGAAGGACAGCTAGTGAACATTCTGAAGAAGACTTCACGCAAATGAAAGCAAAACATTTATTATGCTTTTAAGGATAAGAAAAAATTTCATTAAATGCTCTCGTGAGAATCCTTTTAGTATAGGGACATAAAGGATGATAATTTAATGTAACGGAATGCAACAAAAATTTGAACTTTAACCAAAAAAAGATATAAAAATCGAACCTTTTGAAGAGCGCCGAGACATCTGGTACAACCAGAGTAAGAAGAATTCCGACATTCTTTCTCGAGATTCTTCACGGCGGCGGTCGGAGTAGCGTTTTTGAAGCCGGAGGAGACGTTGAAAGCTGCGGGACAAGAGAGAGAGCTAATCTGGTGGAGACGAATGCCGCAGAAGCACAAGATTGCATCGCAGCTCGAGTTAGGCTGAGGGATCTTGATTTGTTTGGTCAAAAGCGCGCTCTGCAATGTGTTGACGCACTTCTGTGAGTCGTCAGGCTTCATGGGTTCGTCGGGGTCAGCAGGCTCCGGCGTCGGAGCAGGAGCTGGTAGCTGTAGAGCAGAGCGAGCGTGAGCTGCGAAGAGCCACGCGGCTAGAACAGGGCAACATCGGCTCCGGACAAGGTTTCTTCCGCAAGCCTCTTTGACGCCGCCGAAGAGCTCGTCGGATAGGTCAAGACGGCAACTTTGAGCTTGGGTTTCGACGGGGAATGCCGGTACAGTATTGGGTTCAACCGGTTCGACGAGCAGGTTGCTCAAGACGGTGGGGAAAATGAGAGAAGAGAGGAGGAGGATGAGTAAAGTAGAACTTTTCTTCATTCTAAATGGCTAGAAAGAGAGACAGATAGAGAGAGAAGTGGATTTAGAGATATTGAAAGGCTTTAATCAAATCTCTCTCACAGTCTTTTAGATTCTGAGATTCACGAAGAAAAGCAGCCTTCCATTATTCACAATCTTCTCTCTCTTTTGTTCTGTCCAAAGGACTATTGTGAAGAGAGAGAGAGAGAGATGTGACGGGAAAGAAAACAAAGAGATTCCTGACTTTGGCAGTTTCTGATTTGTTTTAGAGTCTATAATCCCTTTGTAAACTGTGATTAGCTCCGGAAACTATAGGCCTTGTCTTTTGGCAAATGTACTATAACAAGTAACTGAGATCCTTAACTACATTAGTTATGAATTTTTTTGCATGTATAAAGATGTAGGCTTTTAAATTTGTAAATGTTCGCAAAATATATGTGAAAGAGGATAAATTAAAAGATATGCGTTAAGAGGAAAGAAAATAAATAAATATGAATGGTGGAGGAGAAACAAAACGAGCCCTTTAACGAGGTGAGGTGAGATGCGAATGGAGCATACTCACACGAAGAAAAGGGTCATTTTCTAAAAGACAAAAACACAAAAAAAAAGAAAAACAACTACGACAATCATATATTAAATCATTGATTCACTTTTTGTGCATTGACATACCAAAATACAAAACAAATAATAATAATAGTAATAAATCTCTTTATTTTTTTTCAAACGGGTAGTAGGAATATGAGCCGGAGGCCCGCCTAGGGAAACGGTCCGTCAGAAAAAGGTGAAAAACTCGTAAAAGGCGAGAAAAAAAGAGTCCCCACTTTCTTGTATTTTCTCTTCCTAATTAATCGTTCTTCTTTTAAGTTCCAAATTCAACCAATTAGAGCATTTTCACACGTTCTTTGTTTGCTTTACTTACTTGTCCATACCAAATACCTCAATCAATCCCTCAAATTGAAAGTATCTTTATATAAGACTTAGATTTAACTGTTCCAAACTCATTTTCTTGCTTGGAATTGAAAAAGAAGTACATCATTTATGTTTAGTGTTTACGAAATTTAAACTAATCCACTCAACTTTGAATACTTTATGTCCCAACCGATTAGATCATAGTTCTACGAGCTTTCGGAATATAGGTTTTAGATTGGGCCAAATTAACTACTCTTAAGGGGTTTTAAATGGACCTTGAAGTGGGCTTCATTATTATAACTCACCTAATTAATTAACTTGATTGACTCTGATTATAATTCGAAAAAAAACATTATTTGATGTGTAGACAACTATAGCCATTTCATTTTACCATAACTGTGATTGACGCTTATAATTTTATGTTTGCTTCTGTCGACTGTGTTATATGGACTTATGGAGCAGATTTAAGATATCTCGCTTACGCTTCGAATACGTTAGACTTTAAAATTTACACATTCATGACAAATTTATAGACTTTAAAATTTATCTTTTTACACAGAAAAAAATGTTTACATATTTTACAAAAGAAAGAATGCAACAAAGAATCATAGGTGTGAAAAAGATGTTGTATAAGGAGGGATCATATGCGTAGTATATATATTGTAAATTATATTAAAACATAAAGTCGTCTAAGATGAAATCGTCCGGAAAACCAAAGTCGAAGAAACTGCTGGGGTTGGCTTCTGCTTCAATGCTCTTTTGTTGTGGAGAAGACATTGGCGTTGACATGAGCGAGTCCAGGTCAAAACTCTCTGACAAAGGTGGTAATACATCTACAGGACCAACATCGTCGAGTCTTGCATTCATAGGCTCCAAAGATGAAGTTTCATTGTTTGTTGGGGTTGTACTCTCGGTTTGTGGTTGAGACGACTCTGACGATGTGATCGGAGTTTGAAGGTTTTGGTCAAGGTTCGGTGAGTAAATTGGATTAGGGTTTTGAAGTGGGAAGAGTAAAAAGGCTAGCCTCAATACATCAGGGTTAAGCAGAGACGACGCTTGTGTTGCAACTGATGAAAAGTTTGGTTGACTTAAAAGTACGCTCAAAAGTGAGGACAAATCAAGAAGATCAAGTCGTGGGGAGTGAGTAACAGGGTCGATGCCACTCCTTACAAGTCTCTTGCGGATATGAGTGTTCCAATGGTTTTTTATTTCGTTATCAGTTCTCCCTGGTAGACGAGCTGCTATTGCTGACCACCTAATTAAAAATTCACCAATTCAATATATTAGTGACATTAATCTATGATTAATATTAGACTCCTTTACCAAGTGCTAATAGCTCAATTGGTAAAGATCTCTGGCAGAAGCTTAGAGGTCGCCGGTTCGAGTAGCGCTTGGGACGAAACCATATAACATGCTTTGGTTTCGGGTCTGAGGGGATGTATGGGCTTTGGCCCAGAACCTCTTTGATTATTCAAAAAAAAAATATTAGACTCCTTTATTATTATTCTAATATAGGTCTAGTAAAGTACTAAATAATATTTTTGTTGGAGTTGGTGGCCTACATTTGATATGTACGCTCCGCATGCAAACGTACGCTCTCTCACATTTTTCATTAATTAACATACAAAAGCTGTAACTGATGATTGATGATTGATGAATATGAAACTTAAAACAAATGACTATGTATGGTGTAAATGAAGCTTACTTGTTTCCCATAACACTGTGTAGCTGAATGATAGTTTCTTCTTCCTCAAACGAGAATCTTCCTCTCTTGATGTCCGGTCTTAGGTAATTGGTCCATCGAAGACGACAGCTTTTCCCGCATCTTTGAAGTCCTATAATTAGTAGAATACGACTTATAAGTGTGTGATTCAATTTATAGAGAAATATAAGCTGTTAGAAATAGCACATATACATTAAAAAATATGTAAAAATGTATATGTACCAGCATTTTTGGGGAGAATACGCCAATTTCCCGGACCATGAAATCGAATATAGTCGATAAGTTTCTGGTCCTCCTCAGCCGTCCATGGTCCTTTCTTCACTCCATTCTTGTCACAACAAGGTGATCTTCCCATCTTCCGCACAATATGTATACAACGATCGACTTTAGTTAAGATCCGAGTAAAATAATTATGTTATGTAGATAAATTGATCGTAGAGAGCCAAAGGGAAGTTGAAGAAATGTCAATGTGTGGATGCACTCATACCTTCTCCATTCATTTGTTTATATAGGGATGTGAAATCTTGAGAAAACTTGGTTAATGTAGAAGAGAGCCAAGGTCAATTCCACTTGTCATATACCTAATATGCCACGTCCTTTTAAGTCACAATAATATATTCAAAAGGAAAAATACAAACCTTGCCTAGACCGCATATCGCCTCTCTCGTCTTGTTTTTTTTTTACCGTATATTCTAGAAACGATCCACGTGACCATATGCATGGTATTATAATCTAATCTATCTATCTAACTTAGATTCTGTGACTCTATCAGTACAACTAATTAATCATATATAATTATCTATGTAATATCTTGGAGTGAAAATAATTAATGTACCCTTGTATGTAGAAAAAGCAATGGAACTAAGGGATTAAAATAGATAATTAGTTTTATACACCCGATAGTTATCATGGTCGTGAGAGTCAGGTTGAAGCACATTAACAATTTTGCATGTTTTTGCTTTTTGTTTGTGGATTAAGTTATTGACTTTGCTTAAACAAAAAGAAAGTTGTTGACTTTGCATGTTATAATATAGGTCAGTTGACTTGTACAAACATGTTTGGTTAAAAAGGAACCTGGAAAACTAAGTATGATAATAATATGTTGAATTTTTGTAACATAAAGCCTAGAGTTTCAAAGGTTAAGAGAGTGAGGACGGTAAAGTAGTTGGATATTCTCATCAAATAAAAAGTTTTAAATAACGTGTTAATGTCATGTGCCTTGTGGTTTTAAAACTGATGATGGATGATGAGACGAAAATTGCAACATTTTTACATAGGCAACGTATTATTTCCCAAGTTCAATTGTAGAGATTGCTTGTGGAAGGGTCTCTCCGAACGAACAGCCATCCACGTACGCATTATCTTAGAACGATTTCAAAAAAAGCAAATAAAATAAGAATTCAAAATGCTTTGTTTCTGTTTGTTAAATTGTTGGTGGAAAGCTGTGCAACAAACTTTGAATTACATATCATCTCCGGCCCTTTATCACAAGATCAGAACCACAGGCTTCTTCTCTGGAGTTCACACACCAAAGCTATTTGGCCATATGTATATTTTTAAATATTTTTTCACTTTCCTAACATAGCAATGTGTGGGTTCATGAAGAATGAGACACGTGGAAGAAGAAGAAAAAGTGTTTGTGGGATTGTCCTTTTCACTTATTTTTTGCATCATTTCATCTACTCTTAGCTAGGTTATGTTTTCGGATTGGTCAGCATCAGAGTTTTACCACACAAAATAATATAAAACGGTCAGCGTCACAGAGTCTCAGAGATGATGATGTCAAGTCAAAGATTGTGTCAAGTCATCGTATTAGGAGATTCGCGAACAAGGCCTTTCACCACAGCGTTTAACACTTTAACTTAACGGGCTACTAATGGACTTAAGCCTCACACTTAATGGGTTTATGATATTGGTGCTAGCACTAGCAGGTTGTCTCCATCTAGCTTGTAATTTTGCTATGTATTAATAGCGTTTAACCTTAATATTATAAAAAATTATAAAAAGGTATACAAAAGTTTTAGGGTATCTAAATGATATAAATATGTATAAATTGGTATGAAATATAATTAAATACTACATATATACAAATAATGACGAAATTAATTTGAATTTGTACAAATACAACCCATATCTAAATATATATAAAAATTGATTAAAAATAAAAAATAAACTAATAATTGGTATGAAATTTATTTTAATGTACTAACTTTTTGTTGTTGTTGTTTGGTTATATGAAAGATGACACATAATGTTTAGACAATCAATGGACACCATCTTCTCAGCAGTGATTAGATATGCATGTTAATAATGACGTTTACAAGTGCAGGCAGGCCATTAATACTAGTGGCAATGGTACCTATTAAAGAGAAAAATAAACCAACTTTGTGACTTTTAAACCTTGTCCTAATTAACATTAACCAGAAAATAGGGAAAAAAATCTTGGTAAGTAATCTTTAAGATCTTCTTCCATTATTTAAAAATTCAACAATTTCAAGATTCCTGGTATGTCTCTATCCAGACACACTTATATCAATATATGTTAGGGATATTATGGTATATATATGGTAACACAATGTCTTCGATCGTTTCTTTTGCGTGATTAACATTGTAGATTCGAATCATAAATTTAGAGTAGTGTTGATATATATACGACGAGAATGGATAAATACAAGAAGTTATCAGATTTTCTCAAGAAATTTTATATTCCTTCGTACGTTCTCTCGCCTGATCATGAAGCCGAGCTTGTGGCTGAGCCCAGTAGTAGTAGTAGTCCACCTGAGAACCCAATCCTCGTATTCGTCAACTCCAAAAGCGGAGGTCAACTAGGAGCAGAACTCATCCTTACCTACCGCACTTTGCTCAACGAGAAGCAGGTCAATTTACCCTAACGACTTCACTTGTTGCTTTATGAAAAATATAGAAAACGATCGGACTAATTGATTCTTCTTGAATACGGAACCCTATATTTTTAACCTAAAAAAATCAAACTTATTTTTTTTTGAGTTTACATAGGAGTTAGGATCATATAAATATTAGTATTGAGTTTTTATTGACTATATAGCACGTTTGGTGCTCAGGTTTTTGACCTAGAGGTAGAGACTCCGGATAAGGTTCTGCAGAGGATCTACAATAATCTAGAGAGGCTAAAGGACGATGGTTTCGCTTGCAAGATTCGGGACAAGTTGAAGATCATTGTGAGTTTATTTACTTTTAAGTCATTTGGGTATGTAGAGGAAGTGTTAATAATGAAGTGATTAAGCATGGGTTGTGTATTTATATTATTAGGTTGCAGGGGGAGATGGAACAGCTGCTTGGCTCCTTGGAGCTGTTTCTGATCTTAACTTATTCAATCCACCTCCAATTGCTACGGTTCCTTTGGGTACAGGAAACAACCTTCCCTTTGCATTTGGATGGGTACGTTACATATGTATATTGACTCACACTAATAATCATACTATTGTATCCCACAATCATATGCTCTGTTTTTACCAAATCTCATCTTCAGGGTAAGAAAAATCCTGGAACAGATGGTTCTTCAGTGGAGTCTTTTTTGGAACAAGTAATCAACGCAAAAGAGATGAAGATAGACAAGTATATATTTTGTTACACATACATGTCACTCTCTTCCAGTTTTCAATTATACACATTAGAGTTTAGTTTTGGATTGATATACATGCATTTATATCTTAATTAAGCTGGCAGATACTTATGAGGATGAAGGCTCCCAAGAAGGACTCTAGTAACACTATTGTACCACTTAAGCTACTACATTCTCTTCATCAGGTTTTACCATCAGATCAAGAATATATGGTAAGACAATCTCTTCTCTTGCGGCACCATCTCTTCTTTATTTTATATGATCAGCAATATTTTCATTTTTTTCAGGAAGATTGCAAAACATTTCGTGGGGGATTCTGGAATTACTTTAGCTTGGGTAGGAATTTTACTTGGATTATAAATAAATAAATTGTATGAGTTATCGATTACTTCATTGGTTGTGTTTGTGGCTAATATAAGCTAAATGTCTTATCAATTTTACTGCAGGGATGGATGCTCAAGTATCTTATGCATTTCATTCCGAGAGAAAACTGCACCCAGAAAAGTTTAAAAATCAGTTGGTTAATCAGGTTTTTACATACCCTTGCTCTCAAAGTTTTCTAGCGTTGTCTTAAAATGATGATGTGGTTCTATTATTTTCATTAATGGGACAACTTATGCCTATTTTAATAAAAAGTCTAACAAGTAGTGCTTCCATTATTTCATAACGTTCCAGAGCACATATCTAAAGCTTAGTTGCACACAAGGATGGTTTTTTGCCTCTCTTTTTCACCCTTCTTCACAGTAAGTGTGTTCTTTTTTTCTTTGCTAATCCTTGTGTTGTTCTTTCCAATTTCTGTCTGTCATGTTGTCATTTAAAATCATGCAAAATTTAAAGTAGTCAAAGGACACATGCATATAGTTTTGATCGAATTAGACGTGTTCTTGGTTATGATGGAATTTGATGTCATGTGTATATAAATTTTGCTCTCAGTTGAAACCTCTAATATTTTATGACGATTGTTGCAGAAACATAGCTCAGCTTGCAAAGGTTCAGATTTGTAATAAAAGTGGCCAGTGGAATGACCTTAACATTCCCCAAAGGTAAACTATAATATGTAAAAGGTTACACACACGAGGCTTCTTGCACAATAGACACTATAGTAGAATAATTAATGAAACATTTAATTATCTCTGTTCTGGCAGCATCAGGTCCATAGTATGTTTGAATCTTCCTAGCTTCTCTGGAGGACTAAATCCTTGGGGAACACCAAATCCCAAGAAACAACGTCATGTAGGTTTTAGAACATTCTCTTCAAACTGATACAATAGTCTACTAAAATATGGTTTTTGTTTCTTTGTGATGTCTGAACAGAGAAGCCTAACTCCACCATTCGTTGACGATGGGCTCATTGAAATCGTTGGGTTTAGAAATGCTTGGCATGGTCTTGTTCTGCTCACTCCAAATGGTCATGGGACAAGATTAGCACAGGTAAATGTAATGAGTAAAAGTGATAGAAGAAAAAGTATGAGTAAGTGCACCTTTTTAACTAGTGTAAATGTAGGCAAACCGAGTTCGATTTGAGTTCAAGAAAAGTGCAGCTAAACATGCATACATGAGAATGGATGGAGAGCCATGGAAACAACCACTTCCATTGGATGATGAAACTGTGATGGTCGAGATCTCACATCATGGACAAGTCAACATGCTTGCAACCAACAGTTGCAGCTCCAAAAGCATGCATGCATGAGTCTTCTCCCGCAATCCAGTCTAGTGATGATGCAAATGGCTCATCAGTGGTTAAATGCGAGGATTTTAGAAACTCCGGTGCGGCTGATCCAGTTAATAAGATAAGCAACACTCTTTGATATATATTCACTTATGTTCGACTCTTAACACAATATTACTCCTTTTTTTCTGTGACTTCTGTGTTCAGACTTCAATTTAAACTCAAATCTCGTTGGGAAGTTTTGTACTAGAATCCACTAGAAACAGTTAAATCGATCTCTTTCTTGTGCTCGTATAATAAACAACTAACGATTAACCAAGCGCACAAACTCACCTAACCTCTGTTTCTAGTCCTCTGTTCTTTCTCTATATATGTTCAAACATCCAAATTCCAAAGAATGACAAAGTGACACAGTGCCAACTTGTCAAAGTACATATGACAAACAAACTTCATGAACAAAGCGGACATCTATGTATGAAGTCATAATCAAACACTCAGACACAGATATATATTAAGAACAATAGTAATAACGGAAATATAGGGAGAAAATAGAGATATATAATGACTGATGTGTGGAGAGGGAGATCACCAAAACTGTCTCCATCCAAATGCCAATAAGCATATAAACCTAAACTACAAACCTACAATGTGGGCGTAGAACCTTTTTTTCAAAAGAAAGGCCGCATGGGACAAGAAAGAGAAGAAGGAGAAGATGAGCTTTCTGAAAACTGATGAGAACTGTCCAAATCATCCCAAAGGGCACTTTCAGGACCCCATCCTGATGTGACTGCATTGTACCACGCTTCAGCCATGCCTTCCTCTCTCACATTATCAGTCACTGTCACTTCCTTGCTTTCCAAGCTAACCTCGCTTGGCTGTGGCGTTTCGTCTTGTTTCTGAAGCGGCGAAGAGTTTGAATCATGCGGCTCGTTTTCCATATTCACATAATGCTCCGGAAAATTAAGCGTTGCGTTATGTCCCCTCAGTTTGAAGGCTTGGCGGTCGTAAGCCATGGCAGCTTCCTCAGCTGTATCAAAGGTACCAAGCCAAAGACGTGCCCTGCTTCGTGGCTTACGGATCTCTGCGACCCATTTTCCCCATTGACGTTGTCTAACTCCTCTGTACAGCTTGGTTGCGCTGTAGGGTTGAACACCTTCTTGGTTCATCATCATCATTCTTCCTCTTGGGCTCAGATTCAACGTGTCGCTCCAATACCTGGCCATATACTGCTGCTGCTGTTGTTGTTGTTGAGGACTAAACGAGATCATTTGCTTCTGGCCTTGCATTGTAGGGTCATATTGTCTCTCAACCGGAACGTATGATCTGAACTGTTGTTGATTTTGCATTGTTGGATCGAAAGAAAAAGGGAAAGACCCTAACGAATAAGGAGAAGGGGGAGAAGAATAGGGTTTAGGTCGATTAGGACTCTTCATCTTCTTCATAGATCTTGGAGACGTAGACGAAGCTTCTCCAAAAGAATGATCAACAGTTTTACCTTTAGTAATACAAAGATTTAGCTCCTCGTCAAAGTCCATCTCTGCTTCACTAGTGGTACCTTGCACACGATTTATAGAGCAGTGGAAGAAATAAAAACTTCGAGGGGAGGAGAGAGCTAGAGAGAACAGAGGATATTGTTTGGTTTTTGTTGTTATTGCAAAGAGAGAGGGACGACTACACATTGGTTTATATATGAATGGCAAAGATTTAGATATTTTTTTTTTTGTCAACCGCTTTTGTATTTTGTATTATATAATGTGATATGACCCATTATTTTAATTGACTATTCAAATACTATCTTTTTGGGGTTATTCCTTTACTTTCACTCCAATTCATTGGCCAATTGGAAATTCAGATATTGATTGACACATAAGATTAAGATTACAACGCGCATAGAGGAGTTGAGTTGAGAAAAAAACATTCAAACGTCCGTACGACAAACGTGGCATGCTCTGTTTTTTTGGACGGTGAAGGCATTCATTAATCCATGCTTCCAAGTTCCTATCCCTCCCCCTTTCCACTTTATTCCAATAATTATTATTGTTTTCGTTAAGGCCACACCACTTATTACAAACCTCAAAAAAGATAAAATTAGACTGTTAAAACAAAAAGTTGTATAGATAATTTCAACAGTTTATTATTGAGGGAGGTTACATGCAAATAGAATGGGAAATAAAGAGAAAATATGATGTAGGTGTGTGGAATGGTCGGCTAGCCGCGGCTAAAGGATAAGAAATATCCCTCCACATAGCATAAGAGTAAACCATTTGATGACAACCCAATTCCATTATAGTTATCAATCTTCTGGGTCGGTGATTGGTCAACCTCAGCTTTCACTTTTAGAGATATTTTTTTTTCTTTTTTTTTGCCTTATTATTCCCCCACCTCCCTCCAGAAAGATACTCACTCACAAGACCGACCAAGTTTGAAAAACAACAAACTGAGAGCAACTTCACCTCTTAGACAAAATCATTCTTTTTTGGTAACTATATTTCAACCATATATGTTCTCACGTGCAATATCTCTCTATGTTTTGATGTTTTTGTTTGAACAAAACCTATGTTTGATGTTTATTATCCATCATATCATCTTCTATTTGCTAAGACTTTCAGTAAGGAAATTAACTATTTGGAATCTCTACTTTGTTATGTAATTTTTTTCTAGTTGCAAAAAAAAAAAGAAGATGCGTGTATTAGAAACTCTATTAACAAAAATATATATTGTTCTATATAAGAATATTTGTGACTTTCTTATTTTTATAGATCCACACGTTTATTATTTAATTTATATGAGTTAATATTCTTGTGTATACATAGTTGATGAGGTTAATTTTAGTTAGAGACTTAGAGGTAATATAATCGCAAATCGAGCCAAAGTGACCCAAAATTCAATCCAAGCTTGCACCTTCATTTTTATTATAACCTACAGGATATAAAAATCCATAGGGCCATTGACATTGAATTTTCATCCTAATTAATGAATATTTTTTGTAATATTTGCCAATACTAAAAAAAATGATTGACCAAACAATGCCACTACAACAGTTTTAAATGAAAACTATATATAACGTTCTTTATTCTTCAATTTATTAAGCATTATTGTTTTAGTCAACTATTAAGTACCCTAGATTTTTCCAGAAGTACGTTGGACAACACACTTCAATTTAGGTTAATCAGAACGCGTTATGAGCCTAACAAGTTTGCATATTCCAGGGGATTAACGAAAGTAATACAAAGTAGCAAACTAGTTACATAAAGCTCTCATTTTGCCTCATTTGTACATGAAATATGCAAGATCACTCCTTAATCATCTAAATAGTCTTTATACAATCTACTGAAAGTAAAGATTAACCGACTTAATTACGGGACAATGATGCAATTATTCAAATTTGGACAAAAATTCTCAAGAAAAACACCCATAACATGATCCAGAAGTTTAGAGTTATCTTGAGGAACAATCTAGAACAGTAGAACACAATAAACAATACCTAGTAGTAAATATCTTAATATTATTGTAGAATAGTCTAGATACTTGTTAACAAATACTATATGGTAGAAAAGGTTTTAGAGACTAAAATAGTTAGTGCTAGTCCATTAACTACTTTTGCCGTGTTATATCATGAATGTTAATCACCGTTTTATAGGTTGTATTATTCCAATTTTTATTATGAAAAAAATAGTATAAGTTGTTCGTAAAAGAACCACCAAAAAAAACAAGGGAACCACCAGAAAGTCACAAAATATTAGAAGAGATTAAATCATCAATCAGACCCCAAACCAAATTTTATAATTAAATAAACCATTTTGAAGAAAAAGTCAGTGCCTCTCATTTCCAAATAGTATCAAATGACAATCCAACATTACTGATATATGTGCTACTCTTAAACAACAGAACTAGTTTGTTAACCAAGTATGAATCTAAAACCAGCTAGATGTATCAGTAATGAGGAGTAGTGGTGAAGTAGGTGAAGTCATGGTGGTGGACCCTGAGCTGCTTTAGCCAAGAATCTGCTACGCTTTTAAGGCAAAGCAATCTATCATTGTCCCATAGCTTCCCTTGCATCTTGTATGTGGCCATCCCAAATGCACTCACACTTATCCTCTTCCTCTCCTCTTCCTTCACATCTGTTTCAATGCCAAGGGACTTGAGAATTGAATGTAACTCTACGAATGCAATACAACATCAAGATGAAGGTGGAAATGCACCTTGGAAAGATGAAGAAAGCGTGTGGTAAGTGAGGAAGCAAGTGGACAAGTCTTTTATGCTTCTATTCATGGGGATGTGATAGATTGGATACCTACATGTATGAGTAACACCATCACCATTTGAAAAACAATAACCTTAATTTTTGTGTGTTCTGAAACCACACAAAGAAGAAAAAGCAGACCAAGCAACAGCCATCCAACTAGCAGGAGACAGATCAACACTCCTCAATGACCACAACCCTGCATGTCTTTCTCCCAATTCTTTGATCTGAAAGCAGACAGAGACTTCATGTAGCATCTCTAAAGTTATAAAGAAAGTACTTCAAGAATCAACTCCAAGAAGCAAACCTTATCCATGAGAGGGACTCTAGAGTAAGGTGTACATCTCTCGAAATACTGCAAGTAAGAGTAACCGAGGCGATCCAGAGGTTCTTGATGATCAAATCCATCCTCGGAAGAAGAACATCCTTCCCATCGCCACTCCTCGCTACATGACTCGCTCCCTGAATCCCCTGATTCTGTCTCCTCCCTCAATCATCATTCACCGCAGCAACATCTTAGATTCATAAAAACTTGTTTATGTTTCTGAAAATGGCATATCATGATCATTCATTACCTTAGAGCACTGAGAGCAGAATGAGAGGTGAAAATCTGGATTGCAGAGAGGTAAGGAACGTAGTACTGGACCAATGTCTCGTCTGTTTCCGAGACAATGGGGACACCTGCACCGTAAGCGCTCCACTCGTCGAAACAATCCCAAAAGTCGCTCAACCTGAAATACTCAACGCTCTCGCTCTCCAACGGGTACCACAGAGGATTAAGGTTCTTGATCTGTGTCTGCCAAACACACAATGTCAGATCCTCAAATTTTAGAGAAATGTTTGAAGAAGAAGAAGAAGAAAAGTGTGAACCTTTGGGAGGGAACGAGCAGGGACGATTGGTGTAGTGCAGCGGAGGAATCGGTCTAGGTTGGATTCATCAAAACCCATTATTACCCAAGAAAGAAGCAAACTCTACACACAAAAGCAGAGGAAAAGAGAGAGGAGAGAGTTTTGCGGGATTCTCTTTCCCTGACGTATCAAAGAGCTCAGTTTTCGGACAAAAATGTTTGCTTTATTGGACAAGCATTTGAGACTTTCACGGCAATGTCATAAACGGAGAGAGATCCCGGAAAAGACTGAACGAAAAGGTAAGGTACAAAGCAAAAAACTCCAACGGGACTCTGTTTTGAGAAATGGTAGAAAAAAAAAAGGTAAGTAAATGTATCTACTTTGAGAGAAAAAATAGAGTTGAGAAATAGGTTAATATATATAAACCAAACTCCATGTGACCCATTCTTCTAAGGCAGGAGATTATTGGTAGATTCACCTGTCCTTCTCACAACTCTCCACCTTCTCCATTTATTTTCATTTCATTTTACAATTTAATATTTTCGTTCCTCTAACTTTGTCGGATGAGATTGAGTTTGTTTGGGTGACTAAAACGTTTTTGGTTTTTCTTTCTTGATGTCTTTTTGCATAGTTCGTGAAGAGAAAGCAACAAAAAACAGAGCAAAGATCTCAAAAGTCTCTTTCTTTTGGACACATCTTCAAGGAGGAGAAAGATCACATAACACAATTATACTTAAGAAAAACAGAGCAATGAGACTCAGTAATCCTTAATTTTTTATTTCATATGGTGTAAAAGAATCATTAACATAAAAGGACATGTGTGACAGGTTCAGTCGGCAATGTTGTAAACCAAAGAATTGGTTAAAACCAAATACTTAACAATACTACAAAGTTTGACACATTCAAATAGTGAGACATGGGGAGAATAAAAGTACGGATAGGACTCTTTTGACTTTTGGTGAGTTTCTTTCTACTTCTATTAACAACTGTAAAATAAGCCGCTAGTCACGTAAATGACTAAATGTAATAAACAAAAACTATATAGAAGAGGTCAAATTTGAAGATTGGCGCGTTCTTTTACCAACTTTGAATGAACAAACGAAAGAAAAGAGATCAAACTCTTTCAAAGTGGAAGCTGTCGTCTCGCTGACTCCTTCTTCGGTTTTTTTTTTTTTTGTATGTGAAAGACAACGACCTGGTTGCACACAAGTTTAACAGCCCATCAATAATTTGGGTTTACATAAACCAAATTTTAGTATTTAATCATCATGCAACTTAACTCACCGCCCAATACTTAAGATGCCACCAGACTTTGTAGGCTCTCTCTTTTGGGAGGTAAAGCAATTTGTTTATGTTTGTTTAATGTATCCATAATTAGCTTCAACCATTTCGCTCTAGTCTATAATAATATGAAGCTCTTCTTACCTTTATCTTCTACTAGCACAACAATGGCTTGGATTCAGAAAACACTGACAGCCACAATTGTTCTGGTAAGCCTGCTTCTTGGATGTACAGATGAAGTGAACGGGATGCGTTACATTCCCAATTCCCCCACTCCCAGTGAGAGCAAACATTCAGACTTTCTTCTGAACAATGCGCCCCAACCATATGATCTCATTCCTGGTTTTGGAAGGTTCTTGCTGCCTCCCACACCCAAGCTGCCTTTCCTTCCTTACAAAGATCCCCTTGCTCCTTCCCCAGCCACTTCTTATCCAACTCCTCCTAGTCGTTTCGCCTCAAGCAGTGGATATAAAGCTCGCAGCCCGGGTTCAAGAGAAGATCAAGTTCCCCCAGTGCCACAACCATGAGTTTTATTGAACCTGTCAACAGATAAGCATCTGCTAGATGCATAAGGGGGTCTTCAATCTTAGTATGGTCAGTAACATTTTTCTTGTATACATAACAAATCTAGTAGTCATTTCATATCTTTTTGATCTCTCTCTCTGCTTAAGAAAGAAACAAATAATGTATTGAATGAATTCCAGAGCCCTTGCTCACATAGTATCTAAAACTAATGAGAATATTACCAAATGACTCCACATTGATACAAAGTGAAAATGTTTTGAGTCAGAAACGAGTAGATGCAGAAAAGGAAGAAATGTAGACAAACAATAACGTTTGAGATATATGTATATATATACCTATACTTCTTATATGAGGTTATTACAATCTCTCTAAATAAATCAATTTTGTTACAAACTATGTTTCCTAACGTTCGAGGTTGATGTAAAAGAACGAAAAAAAAAAATTCCCTGAGTGTAAAGATTTGTCAGTTGATGAAAGAAGAGATGAAAATCATAAAATTCATCTCAGCATTACCAAAACCGATGAAAAGTTTAACAAAAATGTATTACTCTGACAACAAAACTTAGCGTTTGGTCAGTAGGTTGCAAAACAAGGCACTGCGATTATGGATGGACAAAAGGATTAAAAACAAGACAATGCTTAAAGTTTCCGTGTTCATAGCGTCAAACGAAAAAATAAATGCGATCTGGCCACAAAATTTGATTGACGATGATGTAAATACAATGTACGAGAGGTATATGATCACCATGATCAAACCAAAGGCGATGAAATTTTATCGTTCACGCACCCAATACCTTGAAGATGATGAAACAGAGGAAGCAGAAAAATATAAAGAGGAAAAGATAATCAACGAACACGAAGAAGTTTGTGGATCCATGGTTTCGGTTTTTCATCTTCATCTTCCTCTTCTCCTCTGTCTCATCCTCATCAATGGGCTCAATCTTCGCCATTGTCACCGTGACGATATACGCCGATCAAGTTTTCGCGGGATTCCGAGAGATTTGCTCTGCTTCTGCGATCGATGCGTCGCTCGTGTTTTTTTTTTTTGTTGTACTGAGATACAATATTTTAACTTGAGAGCAAGTTTGGCCCATTTTTGGACCGTATAATAAGGCCCAATAAAAGAAAGCCCTATATACGAATGTAAGTGTTGTTGTTGTTGTTGACTAGTCAACTAAGAATGGAAACTTTGGTAATCTTCTTTCATTCTATTTCTTCCTCTGTTTCACTAGTCTCGGTTCATGTTACAAATGAGCGGCGTATACGACCATCGTAGGTTTGAAACGGCGGCTCCTTTAGCGGCGGAGGGAGAAGGAGAAGAACATTTTCAGAGCTCGGTGAATGCTGTACCGTTTGGTTTAGTGGCAACAGCAGTTTTAATATTTTTCTTCGTCTTAATGGCAATCTTTGAGAAGTTTTTTTTCATCAAGCATGCTCCATTACCACCTCTGGACTCAAAGCTTCCTCCTTTTGCTTCCCCCAAGGTTCCATTACTTTTCCTCTCTATTTGCTTCTACACACTTTTGCCTACGTTTTGTGGTTGTGTTCATTTTTAACAAAAAAAAAAACAGGGCGATTCATTTTGTCTTTGCATCTAATGAGGTGATCATCCCAAATTTTATGATCATAACTATGTTTGTTTTTGTTAAGCGGTGAGATTAAGATAAGATAAGACATAATATAAGTTCGATGAACTCTGTATAAATCAGGATTGCTTGATTAGTGTAGAAATGTAGATGGCGATTACCAGGGTTTATGCTGGAGGAAGCTCTTTTGTCGTATCTTTGAAAATATTGCAAAGTCCAAAAAAGGATTACATTAAATGTATTAATATTCTATGGGGATACAAAACCCCTTGATTCATGCAACGAGGTTTGAATATACGCAGAGTAGGAAATAAGATATGTTAAAAGAGGATTATCACACTAATTTGTCTATACACCAGTTGTCTTTTGTGTGCTGGGGATGATGATGTCATGTAGTATAATCTATTGTTGTATGTAGATGGATGTATGTAAGAGAGACATATCGGTGTTGATGCCTGGAGAAGATGTCCCAACGTTCATTGCTCAGCCATGTCCTTCCTCATCATCAAGTTGCTCTGTCTGAAACTAGCATCTTAAATTTTACCATTAATGGTCACTCTTATATTAGGACTTTGTATTTTCTTTTTTGAAACCAAAAAAAGAAAGAAGGACAAGTGGTTTATGTAGTCGAGTGAGTGATAACAGAACAGTGTTCTCTGTCTGTGTCTGCTCATCCCGCAGCAAAAGAGCAGCAATCTCCATAAAAATAAAGCCAAGGAATTTGTGAAGCGTTGTGCTTAGGCTTCCCTTTTACTTTTTTACTAGTCAATAACAATAAACAAACAGAAAGGAAAGATCCGCAAAAGATTTGGTTATATGATTCAATACATTCCGCAATTTACAAATCAAAAAAGGGAAAAAAAAAGAACTAGATCAATCAATCACATCAGAGTTAAATCAGTTAATGATGAAGGTAGTAAGAAGAGACCATCAGAGAAAGATGAAGCATTCCATGGACACTTCAGGGTCCTTCACTGCTTCTCCATCTTCTTCCTTCTTTACCTCAACAGCTACTTTCTCAACTTCTTCCTTCTTCACCTCTGTTGCTGCTCCTACTTTCTCCGGAGCTTTTTCTCGCTTTTTCATGGGGCTTCTCCTTGCGGAACTCGGGACACGAGTGGCCGGTGACTGTGAGCGACGCCTCGGATTATCCGATAACCCGCTCCGTGGGAGTGGACCCGAATCCACATTTCGCCGGTTGTGAGTAGGGTTTGGCTGACGGGACTGTCTCTCTCGGACTAACCTGGGACGGAGCTGCTTCCCCTGAGGAGAATGTCTCTCTCCCGGAGATCTGAGGACTCTGTCAGGCCTGTTCCGGCGAGACGTGGAAGAAGAAGGAGGAGGGAGAGGACGGTGGGGTTTGCTGAGAGCGTCGTCTTCGAGGATGGAAGCAGCAGTAGCAGTAGTGGCGGTTGAGTAGCTGTGAGAGACAGAGACGCTGCAAATGTCTGACTTGCTTTGAGAGATCTCCGGAGCTGGAGGTGAGGGAGGCAGAGGAACTTGAGGTTCTGAATCTGAGATAACTGTAGCTGCTGACGGAACTATGTCCGGAACTGGGACAGGGACAGGGACGGAGATGGGTACGGGGACGGATACAGAAACTGACTGAACCACGACTTCTTTCACGGATTCTTCTTCAATGGGTGGAGGAATCTTAACGGCGGCGGGGACTGGTGGAGCTGTGACTTTTCCGGCACTAAAGCAGCATCCCATTTCTTAATACTTTTGTTAATGCCTCTTGACTATCCTCTCTCTCACTACTTACTCTTTTTACTCACCCTCTCGAGATATACTTGTTACTCTTAACGGGCCTAGTTGTTCATTATGGCCCAGGCTTACTCTGGGCTTCACTATTACCTTTCGTGTGTTATTTCCTTTTTATTATTATTATTTTTAAGCCGCAATATTTATAAAGATTTTAGTATCTGAATCAGCTCTGACCCATTAAGCTCGAATCTTATATTTGTCTCGTTCATGCTGTGAAAGAAAAAAAAAACGCTAGTGCTTTGTTTTGGTGTAAGTAAAGAGGAGATCTTTTTAAAATATATATTTCGAAAAAAGGTATGCAGGATGGACAAATATCTCGCTTGATAGTGACCTATCATCGTTGGGACAAATGAACCACACAACAAGGACATACCGATTGCCACGGACAGAGACATGTAATGAAGTACGTTCACTGGTCATACTAATAACAATAAGATAAAGAGAACTTGCCATCATTTTTTTTTGCTTCATCATCTAATCCAATATGTTGTTGTATTTACCAAAGGATTGAGATAGCAGCAATTATACCTAGTCTGAAAAACCAAGAAACTAGAAATCAGTAAAGGCCAAGGCTCATAAATTTCTAAAACCCAAGCCCATTAATTTGTCAGGAAAATTATGATTTTGAGACTCCCATAAGTAAGTTCATTCCCATCCGCCACATTTTTTTTTTTTTGGGGAAACAACTGTAGGAGGAAAAAAAAGAGTATGTACTTATTATTAAACTCTTGAATGTTAGACAACAAATGTTTTTGATGGTGATACATCAGAATTGCTAATACTACAAATTAGTGAACACCTTATTCTCATATTTGTGTTGACATTATTGTTGATTTATTTCATTGTCTGGATTTTTCTTCTTCTTTGCAACCCACTCATTTACTTTTTAGTGTACTTATTAAGAGTTAAAGATCAGTTAATATATATAAACCATATACGTACAATTTATATGGTCTATATATATCCTCATCTATAATTAAAAAAATGAGTTCCTCGGAAGACATAATACATTACAAATGTAGTAGATATGACATTGGGGTTAGAGCGCAATGCAGAATACCTAACAGACATAGATGTCAATGACGTCGTCGTCATGTACTTGGGTTATTACTAGTTGTTTTATAGACAACTAGTTTGATTAACTTTGTTTCTTTCAACTTTTTTATTTATTAAAACAAAAATAGCCAATGGGGGAAGAAATGACTCGGTAACCCATGAATCCTGATGAAAGGGAAGCGCCCAAGAATTTGCAGAACCTCAAAGAGAAAAAGAAAAGGACCCTCTTGAAATTGGGAAATGAAGAAGGTGAGAGAAGAAGTAAGTACAAACGAAAAAGGAGTTATGACATAATAAAATCAAGAGGACCTGAAACACTTGACACAACCCTATTCCTCAACTTCTTCTCTCTTGTGTCTTATCATCTCTCTCTCACCCACCACCGCCTCTGTTCTGCCATAGACATTCTCTCTCTCATCTCACCCCCTACCACACTGTTATGTAGGTGATATATATATATATTGATACTACATACAGTAACAGTAGTGTATCTCTATATATTATAATATACTTTACTATAGTATAGTATAATCCAGAGGTCCCATGCCCCCACGAGTTTTGTTTTGTTGGCCAGCTAATTCCACATCCCTACCTTTGTTTTTTTTGTTGTTGTTGTAAAACACCAAATCCACAAGGCCAAAGAGGCTTAAAGGCGCACTCTTTCTTATATTTATTTCTCTCTCTTCTCTTCTCCCGAAAAGCCCTTATTAAGCTTTTGCTTTGATATCATCAGATCTCTCTTACTTACGGCTTTTGAGATGCGTGCTCCTTTAGGGCTTTCCTTTTATACCCCAAAACGAGGCCTTTCCTTCTTCTCTCTTCTACTCTCATTCTAACCCCTTCCTCTTCTTCCTTCTCTCTCTCCCCTTTTTCTCATACGCTATAGGTGAGATTCTCGGAGAGAAGTGAGCGAGAGAGAGAGTGTGTGATGGCCAACGAGGGAGAGATGCAATGTGGGTCGATGTTGTTCAAGCAAGAGGAGCTACAAGAGATGAGTGGGGTCAATGTTGGTGGCGATTACGTTGAGGTCATGTGTGGTTGTACCAGCCACCGATACGGCGATGCTGTTGCTAGACTTAGGGTTTTCCCAAGCGGAGACCTTGAAATCACCTGTGAATGCACACCTGGCTGCGATGAAGGTCTCTCTCTCTCTCTTTCTTCCTTCTCGTGTCTTTCTCATGGTTTTGGGGAAATGGGTTTTGATTTGTGTGCATGTTACATGTGAATGTGTGTAGGATTTAACTTCGATGCCTCTCGTCTTCTCTTGACTGTCGTCTAACATTTTAAGACTGCGATTGCCTTTCTCTCTTCGTCTTTTCTTTACTTTAGGTGGTGTGGTGTGGTCTTCTTGTACCTCTTCGTTTTCAATGGTCCCTTTTTACTTAGCTGGTTGGTCTCTGCCTAGCTAATATTACAATGGGCTAGTAAAGCTTAGGTCTTTAGCATGATTACATCATATCAACAAGACTGCTCTTTTTTTCTTAGCAGTTAAACAAGCTACCATGTACTTGGATATAGTTGAATAACATTCACGGTCAATGAGTCTTAATGTGTGGCAGATTAGTCCCTTCAGAAATGGAATGGCTTGATCTGCTTCACTCCAGTGTTTAGTCCGTCTGTGACTGTAAAGATCATGCTCTCTTTGTTAGTGGCCAAATGGTAGCTTTATTGACATATGATATGCCTCACTTAGTTGTATATGCGTGTATACCTCTGATGTCAAAGTTGCATTGCCATTGGTTCTTGTAGTTGCTAAAACCATCTCTAGCTTTTTGGTGTAGATGAACATTTGGAGTCTCTCTTTCGAAAATATGATCTGACTTGAAAAGTTTTGATTGTATGATGGTAGACAAGTTGACACCAGCTGCGTTTGAGAAGCATTCTGGAAGAGAAACGGCTAGAAAGTGGAAAAACAATGTGTGGGTTATCATTGGAGGCGAAAAGGTTCCACTGTCAAAGACAGTACTGCTCAAATACTACAATGAAGCTTCAAAGAAGTGCAGTAGATCAAACAAATCACAAGGTGGAAAAGTTTCCCACAGGGATGAGTTTGTTGGATGCAACGAATGCGGGAAAGACAGGAGATTCAGGTTGAGGAGCAGAGAGGAATGTCGCGTACACCACAATGCAATGGCCGATTCCAACTGGAAATGCTCAGATTTTCCATACGACAAGTAGGAAACTTTTGTCCTTGTATGTGTTTTTAAGTTGTATGCAAATGATGGTATTATAATAATGCTATCGTGGTTGCAGGATAACATGTGAGGAAGAGGAAGAGAGAGGGAGCAGGAAGGTGTACAGAGGCTGCACACGTTCACCTACTTGCAAAGGCTGCACATCCTGCGTCTGTTTTGGCTGCGAGTTATGCCGCTTCTCAGATTGTACTTGCCAGACTTGTGTCGACTTCACCAGCAATGTGAAAGCTTGAAGAAGGCAGTCAACTAAGAAAAAAATGTCTAAGACTTGGTTCGTGGGTTGCATTTAATAACTTATTCTAATATTCCAAACTGTTTTTATCTTTTATCTATGGGTTGTGAATGGAGCAATTGAAAAAAAAAGTAGGAAAAAAAAAAAAGTTGATTTCCAAGAAGAACATGCAGACGAGCATGCCTGAGTTTAGTGCATGTCTTGATTTTTGGCTAGTGGCAGAGAAAAACAACATAAAGTGGTATTAAATAGTTTGTTGTTACCCTTTATTTTATTAGCTGTTGACAGCTTTGGTAGACGAAGTTGTCAATGGCACAGCTACTACGGTCTGTGATTTAGGAGATGGGACTGGGAAAGAGACATTTTCTTAATTACCAAAAGACCCTGAGCTGTTATTTCCAACACAAATACCAAATGGAATCCCAAACAAAAAGTGATGTAGACTTTTTTAATTTTTGTTATCAACAACAAAACAAGTTGGGGTTCAATAACCATATTTTTATTATCAACAACCAAGTCGTCGTCACCAGGCAAAGAGACAGAGCTCCATCCATTAAAAATGTGAAGTGATGAAGTATAGAGGCTTCTGCAAAGTGAAGTATAGAGAGGAATAAATAAGAAACGCAGAAGAAAGTATAGTATGATGCAGCAAATAAGTGTATAGAACCAAACCTCCTTTTGTCTCCGGTTAAGAGTCTGTTATCGCTTTAGAAAAGCAGACCCCAACCGGATAGTGAAATAAGTACAAACTGCGTGCGTGCAAAAAGCATGAACCATGAATCAATCTTACAACGTTAACATTGTCATTTCAGCCTACTTAGGACCAAAAAGAATAGAATTCATCATATGTGAAAGGTGAAACCAAAGAGACTCTAGAGCATGGCCATGGGCATCAACATTTTTTGTATCAAAAATGTGTCTAGTAGAGAACTAGAATCATAAAAGCAGTACATCGTCTTCTGCTCTTTTACAACCAAAATTCACTTTCTTAAGGATCACAAAACTGAGACCAACATCCATAAATACGGGGCAAAACATAGTGTTTCTTCAATCAAACTACCTACAAATCAGATCCAACTACGAAATCCGCCGAATCCTTCAGAGTCTTCCTCGCCCGCCAATACACTCCATTGGTAGTCTCTGATGTTCCCATCTACAATAAACACCAGATACATGGTCACATATTACTTGACATTAAGTCAAGAGTATGGATTTTAGTCAGGGAGCAGCTTACCTTTGTCTCCAATGAGTAGTAATTCTTCCACAGCTCCACGTCTTGACTGTAACTTGCAACAGCAGAATCATACAGCTTCCGGGCATTACTGAGACTATCTTTATCACCTAGTGATACAAGGTTGGTCTCTATTTCAATGCAAGTTTTGTATAGAACAAGACTGGGACCGGGAAGAGTCAGGAACCTGCAAATTTTCGGTAACATTGGTGGGAATAAAGTGGCTGAGTGATTCAAGGGGATGGAGTAGGAGTAGTGACTTACCTCTTGTATATCTTCCTCGCATGGTGGTTCCCTTTTGTTTCAAGAACAAATTTCACCACCA